CCCCTACCCCCCCCCCCACCCCACACACACACAAACCATTAGAAAAAAAAATGCGAAGAGTTCCCTGCAGATGCGCAACGGTTGTCTTCAAATTGCCTGTCGTGTCCTTTCTTCTTTCCACAGAAAGTTAGAGGACGTCGATTTTTCTCTTCGCTTAAAGTGTTTCTTTTTTCCTTTCCTTTCCCCTTATTCCACGTAGTCAGTAGAGAGAAGATATAAAACTAATAAATGCGGTGAGCGCTTACAAAAGAAAAAGAAACTTTTTTTTTTAATGGAAAGTCGGAAGAAGAAGAAAAAAAAAGAGAGAATCGATGCAGGAGGTGTGGGCCAACGAGGGAGAGAGAAAACTGAAGGAGAGGACAGTAACCCCATCAACATTGTTCCTCTTCGGGTGGAATAGCTTTTTCCCTTTTTTCTCTGGTCAAAACAACGTGAACGACACTTTTCACATACGTGCTGATGCTGCCTCGGTTGAGTGCTCACTCGCTCAGTTTCTGTCCTCTTTCCAGGCGTTGCTGCTTCTTCACGCGCCTTCATCAGCGCTGTTAAAGCAAAGCACACCCACAACAACAAACAAGCAAGAGAAGCGTGTACTTGAAACAGAGGAAGATGCGCATCAACGGAAGGCACTTGCTCATGAGGAAGAAAGAAAAAAGCAAAAACACCGAGCGATTGTTAAGCAACAAGTGAGATGAGGTTCTATTGTTGTCGTCGATGTTGGGCCGTTTGTCGGAAGCCGCGGCTGCAGCGTCACCTGCCATCCTGCCGTACCTCAACACTTTTCCCCCTCTTTATGTTTCTCCTCTTTTCTTCATCGTTACTTGAAGAAAAAAAAAAACAGAAGTAATACAAAACAAAACAAAATGAGGCAAAAGTACTATTTTATTATTTCTAATTTCGGGTATTTCTTTTTTTGTTGTTTACTTTTTGATTTTCTCAAATCAATCTAATGTTTGCGCGTGTGTGTACGTAGCCGTGGCGAAGCGTGTGGGCGTGCATCTTCCGTACTCGTGCCCACGCACAGTTGTGGCCGAACCTCAACTACGGCCCGTTGTGAACGCAGGTAGAAGAAAATCAGGACAGGTGGGGGAAAAAGAAACTCATTAGACTGAAAAAAGAAACCAAGAGAGAGAAAAGGAAAAAAAAAACAGCTGGCTCCTCTGCGCACACTAGCCCCAGGCACCATCCACCAAACGCACACGGTGCCCAGCATGTGTGTAGCAAAAAAAAATTCGCTCCAGTGCAAAACTGTCTCTTTCTGTTTTGTTTTGTTTTCTTTTTTTTTAATTTATTTCGCCCACCGTTGCCTGAATGGAGGTGCTTTCGTGTGTACGCGTGATTGGGAGTTGCCTGCTGCAGATGATAATGATAACAATAATGAAGGAACAAAAAACATAGTAAAAGGAGAAAAAAAAGAGCCACCTATGCAAAACAAACAAAGAAAAACATTACTTCAAACAAATACACACAACAAGGGGCAGCACTTCCGGGTGCAATGTGAGGCATTACGTGTGTAAGGTCAATTTATCAAAGATGGAAAGCAGAAGAAAAAAAGCGCAGAGGTCAATTCACAGACGTTCGTCTGATTCTCCTATTCCATTCTTTTTCTCCTTTCATCTTCTTTTGAACTTGAAAGAAATGTCACCCAAGTCAAACCTTTTCCTCGTTGGTCTGCGTGCATGTTTTAGTACATCTCTACCCTTGAAGATGTACCGTGCTCCGTCGTGTTGTTGCTTGTTGGTTTGGAAGCTACGCGTATCAAGTGCGAGGGCGTGATGGCAGTGCCACTGCTCTCCCACGCACGCAGACTTGAAGTTTCGAAACCAAACGAGGAAAATAATAGAAAAGAGGCTAGTCTACTTAACGACAAAGTTCTCCTTTTGCTTCCGCCCATAAACGTGAATTATCTTTGCTATACGAGAAAAAGAAAATGTAGTAACGGATGGTATTGAATAAGGGTGACACACACACACTTTAAAAAAGTAACTGGCTCTTTTAACATGTTCTACGTGTGAGTTAAGCTTATAATACTTCCTCTCTTCTTCTTCCTATTGCGCGTGGGTCGCAATCGATCATCATAAACCGGAAAGCGGCGTGTGCATCTTCGCCGTGGTGCTGTGTGCGTACGGCGATAACACCTGTCACATCCGATGAAACAATCAAAAACAACAGAGAAAAAAAAATGTCTGATGATGCGTGTGCATGTGCAGTGGTGTGTTAATGCGTCCGTGTCTGTACCTTCCCCCTCTTCTTTTCTCCTTCTTCCGTGCGTTGCACCCTCCGAAGAAACTCAACCTTTATTGCACACAGGGAAAGAAACAACAGAGAAGTTATTATTATTTTTAAAAAGCACACTCTCCATTATTTATTCGATGAGTCAACAAGCGCGAGAGAAATGATACGAAGAGGAAGACAGTTAACAAAGTCTTTTTCCCTTTTGAGGGTGCGTTCAAGTTAGGTTGACGCGTGTGCGGGAAAGGGGGAAAAAAACGGAGAGAGGCAGCGCACACCCATCGCTGGAAAAGCTAAGCCCAATAGAAGAGTAACACAAAACAAAGCACTGCAAAAACTTTACCTCCACACACACACACACAGAGAGACATCTTTTCGCTGAATCGCCGTTCTAATCTTCTGTTCACGTAGACCTTCTTCTTGCCATCTTATTTTCTCTTGCGTAAACCGTTGTCTCCCTTTCCCCCGCACATCCGTCACGGCGTCTCTTTCTCTCGCTCTTCATCGCAGCTCCTCCTGCCTGCTGAAAGATGAAAAAAATGGAGCACGCAGCGGTGGGGTGAGGGTGCAGCGCTGCGTCATTTACTCCACCACACACGACCCTTTCAGTTTTGGCCACGTCGAGCGGTGTCTGCCTTTACGGGTGAGCACTACGACGTGTAATGATAGAAATAATATAAACAATTAATGGAAATTTCAGCTACCACAATTGAACTTGATCAAATATATATCTTAAAGGGAAATATATAAATACGATTTAGGCATAGAGAAAGCAAAGGTGGGGCGTGCGTTGCGCACCTCATCGGTGAAGAGGGTGTGGGGTCACACACAACCAACGGAACCTCACCCGCAACTGTAACAATAGGTTATCGAACCGTCTAAGAGCGAACAGTAGCGCTCGAAACATAACAACCATCAAGAGTAAACAAGAAAAAAAAAGTGGGCAATGAAACGGAAGAATGAATCCGGACTCACGTAGGCGTAATAAACAAGCAATCAAACAAGAAAGCAGAAAGAAGAAAAGAGCCTCTATACAGTGGAGTCGAGATGCGGGAAAGAAAACAAAAAAATGGAGGGCCGTTCGCAGCGCGTCGTAAGCGCGCTCTTCGACACAAGCCAATGCGTTTCCACGGGTGACCGCATGTGGGCGTTGAGACGAGCTTCGAAAACGGGGAGAAGCGTAAACTGCCGCGTTAGCGCGAGTATTCAGAAAGCGTCCGTCATTTCTTCCACTTGCTTTCAGCTTACAAGGGCCTCCGCGCACTTCACGATGCGCTTCGGCCACTTCTGGTTCTCTCTCGCGCTCGCAATGAACTTGAGAAGTTCCGCGTGTAGCGCCGTCCCGACCCCCTCCATCTCCTCGCACACGTCGAGCGCGAGCTGAACCGCCGCCTCCGTTGAAGCCAACTCGCTGGCGCTCCGTTCTGACATGCCCTCCGCTGCCACCAAAACAAGACGGGCGAAGGGCATCCAGAAGGCTTCCTGCGCCACGTCGTCCTTCGCTTCTGCGCCGAGCATGGCATCAATTTCGTTGCTGTACAGCGGCATGCCGAGCAGTACCGCGATCGCGGACAACTCGCGCGTCGCGGAGAGCGCCAACAGGGTCGAGCGCTGCACTTCGCGCGTGTTCACCGTCGTCGTCTCGAGAAGGCGGACGTTCGTCGGACACGTCGGCGTCGCCAGCCGGGACGGCGAGGCGGAGGTCGGCGTCATGAGGGTGTTGGTGCTGGTGACAGTGGCGGTGAGGTTGCTCGTCGTCTTGGCGCTCGGCACCCCTTCACCGCGGACGCCCTCCAGAGCCTCCGTGTACCCGAGCGGCGCGGCGAGGAAGACCGGCCGTGCGCCGATGGTGCCGCTCGTCGCGGGCGTGGGGCGAGTTGTGGGGCGGATGATGAGCTTCGCGAGATCCCCCTCATGCTGCTCGTAGATGCCGGAGTTGGGCGGCGGCAGCCCCTTCATCTCGTTCTCCAGCTTCGGCAGGCCGGGCACGGAGAAAAACTCGCCGGCCGTCGAGTTGGGGCCGTACACGACGCACGTCAGCGGATCGCCGTACACGCAGCCGGTGTCGATGCCGCACGCGTACGGGTGCGACTGAAAGCCAGAGAAGGCGTCGTGGCCGAAGATGACCATCTCGGGCCCCTTCCACAGCGTCCCCCACCGCTCGCCCTTCATGCCTTTGGCGATCGCGTTGTACCCACCTGGCCGATTCGGCACCTCCTCCAGTCGGCGCAGGTGCATCACCTCCTCCACGTTCTGCTCCTCCAGCGCGTGCTCCACGTTGAGACCGGCGTGGACGAGGAGGAGGTTGTGGCGGGGGATGCGCACAATGTGGGGCAGCCCGCGTAGATAGTACTCGCAGTCCTTTGGAAACTTCTGCGCCAGTCGCTTCACCGGGTCGCGTAGGTCCTCCGGAGTGAAGGGACGGCGACGCATGCGGGCACAGCAGCGCAGCAGTGTGTAATCGTGGTTCCCGAGCACGCCGTAGGCGCCAAGCCGCTGGCACGCGCGGACCACTCCAATCGAGTCCGGCCCTTTGTTCACGTAGTCGCCTATGATAAAGAGACAATCCTTGCCCTTCACGTAATTCACCTTCTCCACCAGCTGCTCCAGCTGCTCTACGCACCCGTGCACGTCGCCGACGATGATGTAGCGCGCATCCGCGGCGATCGACGGGGCGGAGCGAATAAACGGCTTCATGGCGTCCAAATTGTCGATGTGACCGAAGGCGCCGGCGAGAAAGCGATTGGACGGGTCGCGGGTGTCCCTCGGTGGGGGCCTCGCCGCTGCCGCGGTGCTGCCGCCGGTGCTGCCGTGGTGGTGGTGGCAATTGTCGACGTTCGCGACACGCCCGCACGCGCGTTTGCTGCAGCGCTGCTCGGCGCTGTCACCGCAACGCCGGCCGGGATTACCGGCTCCGGGGAGACAGAGGAGGAAGAAGCGCGAGGCGTGCGCGCCGGGCCGGACTTCGCGTCGGACAACTCTGCCGCCGGCACCGCCACCGCCACCTTCAACTCCGCCAGCGGCGGGGGCGAACGAGAGGAGTTCGCCACTGTATTAAAAAACTCCAACACCTTCGGATTCAGCGCTTCCCCTCCGTTCGACACGGTCGCTGCGGGCTGCGCCGCCGCCGCTGCTGCGGGGTGGGCAGCAGAGGCAGCCGTTTCAGCGGAGCGCGGCTTCGGCAACACCATTCCATTTTTTGTGCTGGCACTCGCCGCGGCAAGGCCGGGCGGAGGAGTCCACGGGGCCGAGAAGGTCGTCGCACCGGCGCTGCCGCTACTCGACGGCGGCGGTGATTTATGGATGTGTGCCGCGAGGGAGGAGATGATGTTGCTGCCGCTATCGCCGTCGTTTGTGCTTTTGGTGGTCGACGCCGACGCGTTAGCGGAGGTGTTGGCGAGGGAGCCTTGGTTTTGTGCGATGAGGAGGCCGATCTTGTCCATGAGGGAGCTGGGGGACTCCGTCTTCTCCGCCTGTCCCACACGATGCCCGCGACGTTGATTTCCCTGCTTGGTGCCAAGAGGGTCGGTCGCGGTGGTCGTGGCGGGGAAGCTGGAGGGGGAGCCCGCGGTGGGGGTGGAGCGGGAGCTGAGGGTCGACAGCGTCGGCGGCGTGCTGCTAATCCGGCTGCCCACCACGCTGCCGTCCGACAACCGCAGCCCGCTCAGCTGACTCATTAGATTACCGTTTTTACCGTTCGACATGGCGAGTGCGCTGCTCCCTATTAGTTAGTTATGTTTTTTTTTTCTGTAAGGCGTCAATACACAACACAAGGCAGCACGGAGAACAACGATTAGACAACCGATTAATAGAGAAGAAAAGGAAAAAAAAACGCAAGTACACACACACACACTCGATTGGTGGAGAGAGAGAGAGATACAGGGAGAGTCACGCGCACCACACACTCGGGGGGTTTATAATTGTGTACTCCAACTTGGAAAGGAATACCAATGAGAATCGTGAGAGGAGCAACAGCAAATAAAAAGGAGATATACGAGGTGAGGGTAGCAGTGCAAAAAGAAAAAGAAAGTAACAGAGGGAAAAAAAAGAAAAGCTGCCCAGATACTGAGGAGAGAATAGTAAAACAGAAAAACCAAATAGAGACTACTGAAAGCGCACTGAAAGGGAAAGGGGAAACCAAACGAAAGTGGAAAGACGTGCTCGACGGGGCGCGTTGACCGATAGGTGGGGGTGAGATGTTCGAACTAGCGCACAACAAAATTGAACAGAGAAGGATGTACCTTCGGGATGAACCACCGCAGCAGCAGGTTTGAAAACAAACAAAAGCAAGGAGCACACACACCCAAACACAGAGAGAAAGCAATAAAAAAAAAAACTGATCTCGCAATATATGCGTGTGCGTACAACCACAAACACACAAGGCGCAGAAAAAAGGCGAAGGAAGAGAAGAACGAAACGCTTCGTGGAGAATGGACACACGAGAAATGCTCGATTCAGTGTGAGAGTCAATAAGGTTGGTAGCTATACATTAAATGTAAATGCAAATCACCTGTTAGTATTGTATAGCCGAAGGTCTTTTTTTGTTTTCTTAAAGAGCAAAGACAATAGTAAAAGGAGAACAGTGCGTCTTGAGACCACTGTGAGAATTGACGTGGTGACAGCGATCTTGGTGTTGTGTCCTTTTGTTTCCTTTCTTTCCACGTAATCGTGGAAGATTACCGCCAGTTTTTTCTTTTCTTCCTGGCGGATACGTCTGTCTGCGCGCGCGCGTTTTTGAAAAAGCACGCACGGTGTACGAAAGTAGTGCAAAACAAGAAAAGGAAAAAAGGGAAAGACAGCACAGAAAAAGTTGAAGTAGCTGTAAAAATAACCGTTTTTCTTCTTCTTCCGCAGTGCAACGTTCACTGTTCACGATCTTTTTCGTGGATTCCGAGAAGGGACAAAAAGACGAGGAATAAAGGTGAAAAAGATGGAGTGTGAGAGAAAGAGAGCGAGAAAGAGCTCCGTATCAATCAGAGAATACAAGAAAAACAAAATATGTATGTATGATACTGGAGAAAACAAATTGTGTAAGTTAAAGAGGAGGAAAATGTGTTCTTCTTTTTTCATTCTTTGATGCAGTTAAAAACGCGTGGATAAAGCCACAAGAGCGGAGAGAAGGATATATATATATATAGAGAGAGAGAGAGAGAGAATAAATGAGGCGGAGAAGAACAATGCACGCGAGCGGAGATGCGCCTTTACTGCCCCAAACAGTGTTATCTTCACGAGTACCAAAGTCAACAGCTCCTTGAGTAAACTAAAAAAGGCTCAGCAGATGGTGACAAGCGATGAGAATTAGTCTTCCTCGTAGCTTCTACTAAACGGAGCCTCCTTGTGGTGCACAGGGATTTTCCTTTCATCCATTTTTTTTATAAACGAAGAAAATACAGCGCAAACAAGACCGCTTTTCCCTTCTCGTTCTTTACGGGTACGGGAGAAATAATAGACGAAAACCTGGGGGAGAGAGGGGGGTGGGGTGGAGCCTCCAGCTCGCAACGCTACCGCCGCTGGAGACTCTCTTAACATATTTTTTCCTTTCTTTTGAGATGACAAAATCCCACGGTGCCCTACGCTTCTGCCACTACAGTACGTTCAGCATCTCCGCGCACGTGTCCACCGTGAAGTCATCCCCATACTCCTCCGTTAGCAGTGTCTGCACGACGTCGTCTAAAGCGGTAAACTTGCGCCGCACCACCGCAGCGTCGCTCTCCGGCGGAACGTCGACAGCGCCCGTGGCAGCAGGGGCATGCGACACTGACCTCCTGCATGACGGCGTGGACAGGGCGGGAGCGGAAGAAGACGCAACCGCGCCATATCCATTCTGCACCAAATCGCGAAGCAGGAAGTACTCAAAGACGGCGTCCGCCATCACACAGGCTTGCTTCTCCGCCTGCCGCATCCCGGTGAGGGGTTGCAGCGCACGTGCCACGCGAAAGGGCCGAAGGTGGTACGTGTATTGCAGCACCCCCGCAGGCGCTGACGGGTTCACATCCACCGACAAATCCAGTGCGTAGGCGTCGGTGATCACCTGCTCCAGCCGCATCAGCGGATGCGCAAAGCCGTACGGAATCTCCAACGCACCGTAGAGGCTGCCGTCGTGGCAGGGCAGCAGCAGCAGCCGCGACGAGCAGTCCTTCCGCACGCTACTTGACTGCAGATGGTAGTTGTGGCCGCTGCACTGCAGCTGACGGGGGTAGCGGCGCTGAATCGGCGCGACATGACGTAGCACCCGCGCCTTCACCGGCACCGTGGGCAGGCGAACGGCGTGCGTGAGGAACGTCTGCGGGCCCTCCGCGGAGCCAACGTAGGAGTCCTCGCCTTTGATGTGGGCCGCGCTGCGTGTCTTGCTGTTGGCCGGTGCGAGGGTGATGAACATCACCGTCACATCGCCCTCGACGTCGGTGCGGACGCAGCGGTCGTACAACGGCGCCTGCGCGAGGACGCTGGCGCCGAAGGTCGGCTCCCGCATCGACACACGCATCTTCCACGACACCTTGCCGTACTTCTTCAGCGGCTTGGTGGATTCCTCCGAGTAGCTCGGCGCGAACACCTCCGTGTCATCGTTCACCGGGTACACCTGCAGGTACACGTTCGAGTCACCTTCCGTGCAGACCGTGACGATGGGGTAGCAGAGCGTGACAGAGGTGGTGCAGGCGGGGGCCAACACGCAGTGCTGAAACAGCAATGTGTAGCCGCGCAGCACAAAGAGGTGAATCGCGTAGTCCACGGTGACCGTCACCAGGACTTCGCCGCCGTAGGTGTCGCCCTCGCTGTTGATGCGGGTCGGCACCACCTGCACCGCACCGTCCACGCTCACGCCGCTCGAGACCACGTCAAGCCAGCCGGGGGAGTCCTCCAAGGTCTCGCTAGAGGCGATGCGCAGGGGGTGGGCCGCCACGACCTGCAACTCCACGGTGCCGTTGTGTGTGTTCTCCGAGCACATGAGAAAGAGCGGAGCGGCGCGGGCGATGCGAGGCGTGCTGGGCGGCACCGCCGACATCCAATGCGCGATGCTCTCGTGCAGGACGAAGGAGTCCAGCACCGCCAGAGTACCGGAGTGCAGCGTTGTGAGCCGCGTCAGCGACGTCTGGTCGCACACCGTCACGCACAGCAAAACGCCCTCGCCCTCGTCGTCCGGCTCGCGCGCGATGGAGACGAGCGTTTCGTGCGGGTTCAGCTGCGGCAGCTGCAGGCGGTGGGTGCATATGTACCGACTTGGCGCCGTGCACGCCAGCACGTGGGCTCGAGTTGGGGGCGGTGGGAGGGGGACGTGGCGGGCGCCGGCGGACGGTGCGGTGGTCGAAGAGGAAGAGGGGGAGGAGTTCGTCGTTGACAGCGTCGCGCGCGGGCGTGGGTAGGGCTTGGCAAAGAGGTGGGTGTCCAGCGTGCACAGCGTGATCTCATCCTGCTGCACGACCAGCGCATCGTAGCGCAGTGTCCCATCCGCGGTGATCGTCTCTAGCAGCACCGCACATCGCCAGGGGGCGGCGCGGACCTGCCCTGTCGCGTCCGGTGGGACAATGGCGCGGACAGTGTTCTCCAGACGCACCACCCACTCCCCATCTTCCTCGTCGCGCTCGCGCAGGCGCTGCATGTGGGGAGGGGCCTGCGTGTCGCCCTCTTCGAGTGGCACGGAGAAGAAGAGCAGGGCGCCGTCGCGTGGCTGCAGCAGCGCCCCGTCGAACCCGTTGTACACCTCCTTCTCTTCCTCACCGTCCTTCGCGGCATCAACCGGGGCACGCACCAAGGAAGCCATCGCGCACGTCACCTTCTGCTGAGCCCGGCGGTACGGAGGTGAAGTCGGCGCCCACGAAAACACCCACCCCGCACCGCCGGTGCATTCCTTTTCCTCCTGTTCAGCTTCTGTTGAAGACGGACCAGTGGTTTGTTGCTTGCGTGCGAGGGCGAGGATGGACACCTCGCCGCTGCTGTGCGCGGCCATCCATCGCGACATCACCCCTGCGCGGGGAAGCGGCAGAAATTGCTGCACCGGAGAGGCGGTGCCAAACGCGGCTTGGATGGTTTGAGAAGCAACGCAGCGCCACGCCGCCGGCTCGCCCGCTCGTTGCAGCTCCAACACCGTCACGCAGCCATCCCAACGTCCGACAAGCACCTCCACGGACGCGCCGGTCATCCCGCGCGCGGTCAGGCAGGCCGGGAAGCCGAGCGAAACACCCGTCTTCGTCGCCACATCCACCGTACACACGCCGGCGTCGGCGACGGCGACGGAGAGGTGGGTGCCGGCCAGCGCGGCCTCGCAGAAGGCACCAACGCACACCGCCCCCACGCCCGGCACCACCGTGACGACGGCGCGGACCAGCGGGGACGGCAGCCGGTGCACTGTGGAGCCAAACACGCAGCGGGTGGGGGTGCACTGCACTAGCACGGTGGGGGAGTTGCCGTCCAGCGCACCAGCAACATGCCCCTCCGTCACTGCATCAAAAGCCAGCGTCGCCTCGTTCTTCTCATAGACCCATGCGTCTGACGTACAGGCACACATGTTCGCGTCCTCCACACGATACAGCTGTGAGGTGTGGTGCGTGCTCATCATCACGTACACGCCGGCCTCGACGCGCACGCCAGGCGAGCTCGCAGAAGTTGCGCCAGTAGCGGTGCGGCGGTCCGTCACGCGTGCGGCATAGATCGAGCGGATCGGCATGCCAAAAGGGGGCAGACGCACCGTGCCGCGCACGTGCAGCTGCATGCCCGGTTGGAAGTAGCGCAGTACGCCGCGGGCGAAGGCGGCCACGTAGCCGTGTGGGGCCTCACAGACATCCGTCATGGGGCCGTCTCCGGCCAGGGCCGCCACAACGCGTCGCTCCACGAGATCCACGACGTAGACGTCCTGCACGCAGTCCGACAGCAACGCATAACGCTTCGTGCACGGGTACACGGAGAGCGAACCGTTCTTGACGCCTGTGCTGCTGTTGGCGCTGGCCCCGTTGTTGATTACCCCTTCCGACCCTCGAATAGGATGGAATAGGGTGTCTGCGGGGAGCAAACGACGGCACAAGAAGGTGGCGGGGAGTCCGGCGATGGCGGTCTCGGGCCAGGGATAGAGGTGCACGTTCCTCACGTCACGCGCGTCTGCGGACCGCGCGCGCAGCGCCGCAATCGAGAACCGCGTCACCACTCCGCTGTCCAACGCCACCCACACATCGTTGCTCGCGTCTCCGCTGTGCGTGCAGAAGAGCACCTGTTGTACACGCAGCGGGCCGGAGAAGAGGCCGTCCAGCACGTACTGCGGCGTCCCGAGAGGGGTGCGAGCACGTTGCAGATGATAGATCGCGGTGTGGCTCGTCGATGTGAGAAAAGCGAGCAGCGTCCAGTCGAGTCCACGGCGGCTGGCACGCCGCGGCGAGCTAACCGCAAGCGCGCCGATGCGGTCCGCTGCGTAGTCGTCTTTGACCGCGGTGGACTTCGAGGTGGACAAGTCAAGCGAGGCCTGGTACACGGCGGCCCGCCCCGACACAATACGCACGTTGGTGAAGCCGCCCTGACGCGCGTTGCAGTAGAACGCAGGGGTCGGCATCAACGGAGAGGGAGAGGAGTACGTCTCGCGGTGCACGGTCACCGCCTGCACTCCGCACCAGTCGACTTTCTCAGGGCCGGTAGACAAGGCGGCGAGAACAGTCGGCGTCGCGGCGGTCTTGCGCTTCGACAGCTCCATCACGGCGTGGGTGGCGATGAGATCCTCGTCCAGCACGTTGGCGAAGGTCGAGCCGGACTGCCAGAGTTGTTCAATGCGCTGCTGATGGGCCTCGGCCGACTCGCCCGGGCGGCGGGTAGCGACGCTGCAGTTCTGCGTCGGGTACGGAAATCGGTTCTCGGCGAACAGGCGCATGTAGTCGCACGTATGCCAGCGTGTCGTGACCAGTGAGGGTACCGAGGCAGACGAAGGGACACTTGGATTGTTACTCAAAGCCGTCGATGACGTCGCGGCGGCTCTGCCGGGTACGCAGGTGCGTTCCCACTTAATGCACACGAAAAAGACGTGCTCACTGCAGAAGCGAAGGTGCACCATTTCCACGCTGTCGTTCACACCCAGCTCGGGTGAGTGCAGCGAGGCACAGGCGTCGGGGCACCACAGCCGGAGCCGCTCCACGACGTACCAGTGGTGCTCCTTGTAGTGCACGGGAGATGGCTCCCCGCTGGGGCGGTACACGTGATCGGAATCTACCACACGCGGGTCGACCAGCGCCGTGGCGAGGTTTGCTTGATAGCGCACGATAATGCACTCCTGATCGCGCGTCCACAAGAAGACGCATTGGTTGGCCAGGGCGAGAAGGCTGACAACGCCGCAGCCAACGTGAAAGACGTGACCACGCGGGCGGGCGTCGTAAGCGGTGCTCGACGACGACGGAGCACCGTCAACGAGGCAGATGTCGTACACATGAACGCTTTCAGAGATGGCTGCCAGCAGAACGGAGAGACCGTTTTCGAGTTGCAGCACGCACACCGCGTTGACGGCCGCGGATTCCACAAGTTTCCGAATAATTAGCATCTCTCATCAGCAATTAAACGGTTCCGCTTACCCGATTATTACCGTACTGAGATTTTATTTCTTTTGTTCTCCTTATTTTTTTTTTTTAACGGAGCACACACCATACTCGTAATCCAAAAATTATGATAGACGGTTTCGATTCAAAAGGAAAGCAGAATCACGCTTGTTGTTGTTTCCTCTCGTTCTACTCGGCAACTGATGGGAGGAAAAGAACGCTGTGCGCAACCCCTGAATGGGAGAACGACAACTACCACCAAATAATAACAATATCAAGCTGAGGCACGTAGACGTCCTACAGAGTATCTGCAGAAGTACTCTCAAACAGAAGAAACAAAGAAGAAGGTCATGACGCGAGCCCAAGGAGAATGTGAAGAAACACAAGAGAGAGGGAGAGGTTGAGAGCCACTGATTTTTTGAAAAGACACAAAAGCCGATTGTCGGGCAGAGAACACGTTTTTTTTTCCCTTCTTCACGGTCTCCAACGTAATACGTGCGTCGGGTGGCCCGAGGAATGCTGGATGAGACAACAGTCGCAGAAACTGTACGTCCGTCGACGTTTCTTTCTTTTTTTCAAGAGCTGGAGATTATACATTTCTTTCTTCGCCGTGGCACAATTAATGCTTACTCGCAAGATGACGAAGATACGAAAGTTATCGCAAATACCCCCCCCCCACACACACACACATCTGAAAGAGAGCATTATTACTCTGTTTTCGCCTTTTTGTTCGCCTGCTCATCCTGCGGTTGCGCGGCCGCCTGGATGCCGAGACGCTGCTGGGCCCACAAAAACTGGCTGCGCACCGCCGCCTTGCGCTTCACATCATGCGCCTCCATTGACTCTTTCATCTGCGTCAGTAGCGGATGGGTAAGCTGGATGGCGGTGTTCATGCACTGCTCCAGGTAGTCAATCGACACATCGCAGCCGTCGGCCTTTTCTAACGAGCAAACGTGCCCCTCCGCGTTCACGGCAACGGACACGGTGCAGGCGGCCGCCGCGGCCTCCTCCAGCGAAGGGTCCACAACGACCTGCAGGGCCTCGGACGACCAGGCGAAGGTCTCGTCCTCACCTTCCCCTTCCCCGTCGGGATCACCATCCTTCGCGGACGACGCGGCACCGGCCGGACCGGCCCCCGCTCGCCGCAGCGCAGCCGCACGCGCCGCCAGCTGCACCTGCTGCGGGTTTGCGCACACTGCAAACGTAAACGATACGGGCACGTGGTGGAGGGAGAGAGGGACCGGGTCCCGCTCGTGCGGGGGGTGCACGACGACGTCGTCACCGCGAATTGTCAGCTCAGGGCGACGGACGTGCTGGAGGGCGGCCATCACTGCCCACTGCGCCACGTCGTGGATGTTGCCGTCGTTGTTCATTATCATCACCTCCGCGTCGATGCTCCACACGCGACGACCGGGGATGACGCAAAGCCCCTCCGTCTCCACCACGCTGCCGGAGAGGAGGCGGGTGAGGAACATGCCAATTTGTTTGATTTCTTTCGGTTGGTCGAGGGGGTCACGCTCGTGCAGCAGCTGCCGCGCGTGAACCTCGAAGAAGCCGTGCTTTGGTCGAAAAGGCATCGGTTCGACCAGGTCACAGGTGACCGTGGCTGTCGCGACCGTGTTCCCACATTTTACTTGCACCATGTCCCGCGACAGCAACGGAAAATCAAACTCGATGACACGCAGCTGATTGGCTTCGCGCTGATCAGGGCGAAGACCGGCCTTCCACGCAACCCGCGCAAACTCGACGTTACGCTGCACGAGCGCGTCTGCCGGCACCGGGACAGCGGAGCGGTAGAGCATAGTTTATTCTTCGTCGTTCGTGGCCGCTGTTGTGTTCTCTATCTTCTCTGCTGTATTCACAGACCAGCGAACTGTGATGCACGTGTTTTTGAGTGGTTAATGAAAAAGTCAAGATACAGAGAGAGAGATCCTGAAGAGTGGCAGCCGGCAGAGAAAGAAGTGAACGGCACGCGAATAAACGCAAAAGGCTGCTCTCCGTTGCGACATTGCATTAAACATTTTTTTCTGTTGCTCCCCGTGACGAATGCACCTTCGCGTAGTGCCTTGAAACCCATGAAGGAATAAACAAATAATAAAGAGCGCAAGTACACATTGGTACCACCTTTTCAAGGGTTTTTTCTTTTCTTTTTGTTTTTGAGTGAGAAAAGTGGTGATGAAAGCGAGAAAAGAACCTCGATCACGTTTGTCTTATCTTCTGAGACCTGCGTTATAAGGCGAGAAAGAAGGTGCACCCTCAAAGACAAAGATACCTCCCTTCCCCATCCCCAACACACACACACACAAGTACGCAAGCAAGCAAACGCCAATCTTACTCACGCCCGAAAGCTCGAGCGCTGGCGCACACGGAGGCGAAAGCAGACGAGACACGGACAGCTACAGCTGCAGCGGCCCTGCGTCACCGTCGCTGTTGGCCGTGTACAGTGAAACGGTGTAGTCGGGGTCCTCCTCTTCCGCGAACTGCTGCTTCAGCACCGCCGCGGTGGACGCCGACACGTCGGCATCCAGCTCCTCCTTCCGCGCGTCGTGATCCAAAGAGTAAGACGAGGAGGAAGTGGCTGCCGAACCGATCGCATGCCCCGGCGTCCCCGCCTGCCCCACGACGTCCTCGCTGCGAACACGGAAGTCGTGTTCTGTGTCGTAGACGGAAAGGTTCGGCGCACACAGCGTGGCCAGCGTCGCCGACTCCCAGTCTTCCAACTCGTGCCGCGCACCGCTGCTGCTGCTGCTGCGCGGACCACCGTTTGAGCTGCCGTCTGCTGTGAACGCTGCTGCCGCCGACGTTGCCGTGGAGCTTGCGAGGAAGGTGACGTAGTCATCCTCGCTCAGTGCGTCTTCGCCGGTGCCCGCCACCGCCTGCGACGCGGTCAGGCATACCGGGTTCAACGTACGCCACAAAACGGAGCCGCCGCCACCACCGGCCGCTGCTGCGGCGGTCCCACGCCGTCTGCGCCTCGCAGAAGCCTCCTCGTACGGGTTCTGGGCAGAGGCCGGCTGAAGCGGCACGATGCCGTCCCCGAGCGAGCGCCCGTCCTCGCCGAGCAGCCGAAGCGCATTTGTGTCCTTCATCAGCAGCCGTCGTTCGCGCCCTTCGTGCTTTTCGCGGTAGTCCTCCCGCTCCCTCGCCAGCTGTGCGTTGCTCTCCTTGCCCGCGTGGTACCTGCGAGAGAAGTGGTTCATCATGAGCATGCGGATGGCGAGACGCGCGTCGTTCTCCATCATCACCGTGTCGTTGTGCAGGGCCTTCTCTTGGTGTGCTTCAGTGGCGCCCTCCTCAGCGAGACGCTTTCTTTTCTTCGGCGAAGCCCCCGCCGTCGGTGCGGCAAAGGTGGCGGGAGGACGAGACGACGACGACGGTGACGCAACGGAAGGAAAAGAAGACGACGTCGCTGTCGACTTTGCTGTCCTCCCCCGTGTCTTCTTCCGCGTTGCTGAAGTCGCCGCGGCTCGAGCAGAGAGAGAGCGGAGACTCATCCAGTGGCAACAGGAGAGGTGGGTAGAGAAAAGGGCGGTGGAGCAGACACGTAACCGTGGCCGCGGGAATGGAGGGGACGCAAATGCAGACGTGCGTGTCGTCAGCAAGCGCAACACACCACTCATGTTGTGATTACCAAAACTATATATGTGCTCTGTAGTTGTCGTGATTATCTTCACACAATGTGACGGCTGAAAACGAGTTTTCCTTCAAACCTTTTTGGGCAGTATTAAAGCTTACGCGTATGGGTTGATGGTGCGAAAGAAGCGCCGCAAGCGCTAACAATGAGTCGAGACAAAAAAGAAAAAACGGAAAACAAACGAACGAGTAGATGTAAAGGGAAGAAGAACACCGAGAATATATACGGTGGCAATCAAGCGCTTCAACATACGTGATGTTCATCTGCACGGGCGCGCCTGGCAAAGACGGACTCCTCAAGCCACGAGAAGTCAACGGGAGGAGCACGAAGTTTATGCCGAGAGACGTGCTAATGCATCGACGTTCTACCGGCAAGAAGAAAAGGAAGAAGAGGGAGTGGCTCAGTGGTATCCAGTGTGGTGGTCTACTACTACGCCTCATCCCCTTACTCCGCGCGAGTCGCAGAGAAGGATGAAGGGGACATGCGCAGCATTCAAGTCCACATAATGACGCCGAAGCCGTCACAGATTCTCGACTTTCTCTCTCCCTCGCGAAGAAGCATCACTACGCAGCTTATTTTCACTTTTTCGTACTCTTTTTGCTCCTGCTTGAAACGATGCGGCAACGCTACGAGAGACGAAGAGGAGGAAAAATGAAAACAGAGAGGAATAAAATGTCACCATAAGGAAGGCGACACCCACACCCATCAGAGAACAGGAAAAAAAGAAAAGAGAAGCGAACGAAACCTATTTAACCTCTTCAAGAAGACGACAATCATGGCAGAAAAAAAAGAAAGAAGCCATAAATAAAGAAGTAATAAGCTCAAGTGAAATAAAAAGGGAATGCTTCCGTCTCCTGTTTCCTTCCTGTTGCAATCATTGACGGAATAATGAAGGCACGGGTGATGGGTTCATGAGTGGTTCCGCTACTTATTACTGTACATCGCTCTGTTGGACTGAGAAACCGAAAACATCAACCAGAAAAAAAAGATTGGAACCGTTATTGTGCAGCGATTACCTTCACTACGCACAGAAGCACCTGTGCGTGTGATTGAGGTCGAAACACGCGGGAAAAGGGAAAGAAATTGTAGTGGAAAAAAAAGCGGAATAAACAATACAGTAGAAACAATAAATAGGAATACTAAGGACATCGCAACGAGAAAGAGAAACAAAAGGCCTTCAAAAAGAAGAGAGAGAGAGAGCTGATTTGTTGAGCAGACGATCGCGATTATCAAGCTCGTTGGCAGCGACTACTTTCCCATAGTTCTCTTTTTGGGGGTGGCCACGTTTCCCCTGCCCGTGCCCAATGCAGAATTAACACTAGTTCAGCCGTCGTGGGTACAGAAGGTGACAGGAAAGCAAAGAAGCCGGTCGTTCGCATGCACTTCCCGCTCTTCCTTTTCCATACACATACATATTTCCATACCATACCGCGTGATAAGAACAGCGCTAAAACTGGGGGAAAAAGGTAGAAATAAGAGACAGATATAAACAGGGAACGAATGCGAGCATCCCCCTGCCCAACATTCCAGAGGCTGTTGTTGTTTTTTGGCCAAACACAGCAACACTTCCATTGGTTGAACGAACTCTCCTCTAACGTCACGCACGTGGTGCTGAGACGAGCGTAAGTGACCGTGTTGACACACACACACACACACAAACCACAAAAAAACCTCTGAGACAAGCGCTTCTCAACTCAAAACAAACAAAAAAGAGAATATTTCATGGAAGAAGAAGAAAAAAGAAGATAAAAGTAGAGTAGTTTTTTTTTCTTTGTTTGTTTAGCTGAGAAAGAAAAGCATATCTGTGCAGATACCACAAAAAGCGAGAAAAACAGAAAACGCACGCAATACGGAAGAGATAGAATAGAGCAATGATATAACTCTTAGGGCTGCATGAACGAATCGAAAAGAAAAGGCAGAAACGGAACTGTGCGCACGTGCTTTTATACGCGTCCTGCGCACACGCCTCAAGCAGGTTTCTTCTCTCTGAGGTTCCGCCCATAGTATATGCACATGAGAAGAGCAGCAGCAACAAAAAGATTGTTTGAACACTGGCTTGTGAGAGTCTTGACTTTTTGATTTCATATTGAGAGGCGTCGACATACCATCTGACGCGCTCTTTAGTGAAATTGAAATGAACTCGAGAATACTGAACCGCGGACGACAACAGGCTTTGTCTTCCAAAGACGTAAGAGAGAGAGAAAAAAGAAAAAGAAAAAGAAAAAGAAGTGCTCGAAAGAAGAATCACATATAGGGAAAGAAAAATGTGATAAAAAGAGGTAAAATAAGAAAATCGTGTGAAACAAACGAGCTACGACACAAGAGAAAGCTGTTAGAAGAGGGGAAATACATTTAAAAGAAAAAGGGTAAGAGCTGTGATGACGTAGCCGAAACAGCGTACTCGTCTTCTAGCTGCCTTCTCAGCGTTCATGCGTGAGTGAGTGGGTAAGTGGGTAAGTGAGTTTTCAGTGGAAAAGAGGAGCAGACAAGCAGTTCGTGTGACCTTGATCACCCTCAATCTCTTTGCGCACTAGTTGTCTTGCCCAACATACACATGTGCAAAACCGACACAGTCACTCACTCACACACACACACAAAACGAATCAAATGAAAAACTTCTACTGCTCCCTCTCGCCTACGTAAGAAACAAAAAGAAAAACGAAAAGCTGCGTCCCTCGTGGAGCCGTAACTTTCGCTTTTAAACAAGAAGGGTCGCTGGCGGAGAGAAAAGTAAGAAGACAAAAACAGAGATAGGAAGGAAGCATGCTCACACACACACACAAAAGGAAGGAGTTGAAAAAGACCAAGATGATCGCAGAACAACACACAGCTCCACGCCCTTTTCTTTCTAGAGATGCTACTACGAAACAAGCCTGACAGAAAGCAGGCATCGAATGATTGGGAAAAGGAAGAGGAAAGAAACGAAAAAGATCGGGGGACATGAGAAACGGAGAAAAAAAAAGAAGAAGAAGCACTTATATCAAAGGAAAACCTTAAAAAAAGGGGGGGGGGAGAGGATAGAAAGAGCAAATACGAATCTTAGAAGCAAACACTTATATCTATATAAACCACGCAAACAAGCTAACATCGCAGAAAGCAATTCTACATAGGGAGAAAGGAGAAACGTAAGGCTGAGATGGGCAACCCGGTTTCCACATCTTTTTCTTTTAATGAAATGCGCAGGTGGGCCGGAAAGAAAAAAAAACGCGGAATGGGTAAATGGTCAGGCAAGGGCGAGAATGGTTGCTTTACCACGACGCTCACGAGACAGCCTTCAGCACAGGTACAACAACAATAACGAAGAGTAACCGTGTGAACAACGGAAGTGAGCACTTTGCGTCTTCACTTCTCCCATCTCGCCAGAACCCTTACGCCCCTTTTCCTTTCGACCAGCCACACTTCAGGATTTTCTTTGCACATACAAACACACGCATAAAGACAGAGATTATCACACAGCCAACGAGTCCAAATTATCGAAAAAAAAATGCAGAATAATTCGAAAAAACAAAACCATAACCACTTCTCGCATTTTCATTCTTTCTGTTCGTTATAAATCCGGGAAGTCATAACTTCGTTGCAGGAACGAAGAAGAAAACTTTTTAAAGAGGCACGGCAGTGCCCGCAGTACGGAAAGTTGGACTGGTGAAAGCACGAACGGTGAACGCAGAAAGAAAAGAAAAGAAAACGCAAAAGCAAGCAAGAAAAGAAAAGAAAAGCAGAGAACACTAACAAAGGGGAAAAGAACGAAAGCAAAAGATGTGAAGGGAGCTACAGGTTTGAGTCGCACAAAGAATGGAGGAATCGCACAAAACTCCAACGTTTTCTTTTTTGTTTTTACAGCGTGAAAGAGAACAAGAGGGTCAAGGTGGCAGACAGCAACAGCAGTACAAACACACACACACACACAAAGAAAAAAACGAACACTTAACGCCCGAAAAGAAACACCAGATATTTAGATAGACACTGAAAACCCCCCAAAAGGTATTAAAACAGCAATTTGTCTCAATAATAGAAACGAGGCTTTCTGTGGTTACTACGCTGCACAGAGAGAGCTTTCCATCATCGTTTCCTCAAAAGCCGACGCTCATTGTGAACACGAAACCAACTTTCATAGTTAGATCTGTTTCAGCGGAAAAAGAACAAAAAGCCGTGTTGCATACAAATACCACAAGCTCCGTAATCGTACCACACTGCGCTGCCGTTTCCGCTTACCGCATCTGTGTCCTCCTTCTTATTCTTCCTCAGACAAGTATAAATGAAAGAAAAAAAAAAGAACGGCTGTGTACCACAAAGCACTGCTTTTGAGCAAAAGAAAAACGTCAAAAGCAATCCCCTCTCTTTCCCTTTCTCACGGATCCCTCACGCAGAAGAGAGACTCAACTAGAAAAGAGGAAAAAAGAGGCACATAAGAGATTGATAGCTATAGATGTGGATTCTTGTTTTTCAAAAGCCTCGCTTTCAATGTTACCAGCACAGCGTCTCTGTGCGCTAATAGCCTTGTACAGGAGTTGCTTTTGTTTTTCTTCTTTTGCACACGACTGTTCCTCTGAAACGATGGGGCTTGCAACGCACATGCCTCAGCTACGGATAGTATATAAATAAAGAAGAAGAGCCCAAAAGTGAGAACAGGCAAATATCTTACCAATAAAAATGCGAAGAGGGGAAAAAGGGTTGCTGTTACCAGAAAGAAAAAGAAATATATATCTATGGAAATATGATTTACTTCACAAAGACAGCGATCATAAACACATTCGAATAAAAACGTTCAGCACACGCGCGAGATACAAGAGATGGGAAGCGAAGGCGATGCCGTCTGAAAAAGAGGAGCATTGTTCCTCTGCGTCAGTAAAAAGGAGAGGCAATAGAGAAGGTCTTTTGCAGTTATTTGAGAGACCTCACACACACACACGTCCACACATACCATACTCGCCCATCGTGTGGACGCGTAAAGTTTTTTTCGGTGATCTCGTCGCCTAGCTAAATGGACGTACTTGTTTTCTCTCAATCTATCAGAAGACTGGTTCGGATGAAGAGTACAAGAAGGCAATTGTCTGTTCTTTTTGCCTATTGCTTTGGATCTTCATTGATCCATCAACTTCGTGCAGGCAACACCGAAGATCTCACGCTGGCGACGCGCACCGTCGCGCTGGAAGTTCGCGAGGGCCTCCACGTCAATGACGCTGCCCCGATGACCGCAGCCCGCCGAGCCGTCGGAGGACGACGTGTCCATCGAGAACATGTCCTCGCTGAGCGACAAATCGCACAGACTACTCTGCGTCATCTCGGCTGCCGGCCAGGAGAACTCCTTGTCCGCGCGTCCGCTGTTGGGGGCGGAGGACGACGACGGAGTGGCAGCTGGAGGGGTCCCCGCTGGCGTTGTATCCGCGGTGTTGGTGTTAGAGCTAAAGAAGGCGAGCACGTCCGCATCCGACGCCGCGTTCTTCCACAGCGCCGCAGCAGACCGTTCCATCGATGACGTGTGTGCCGCGGGTGCATGGCGTCCATACACCCGCGGCACAGCCAGCACTCTCGGAGTGCAGCAAGGCAGGTGGTTCACCTGCACCCCCTCCGGGCAGAAGGGATTCGTGCGGGCGGCCGGGCTGACGATGGGGGTGGCGCGGGTCGGCTTCATTGGAGGGCAGAGCTTCGGCTTCACCTTCTCTCCCGACGTCAGCGCGTCGCATGGGCTGCGTGATGAGGCGTTCACCTTTGCAGGACGAAATACCGAATCGGGGGATGCCGTGTGCAGGGCGAAGACGCTCCCTTCCGCCTTGGTGGGGCTGCCGGTGCAGGGCAGCACCGGTAGTACTCGTGGCACCAGCGGTGCGCGAATCGGCACGGGTGCGTTCACGTTCTCTGACACCTCCGACAGCGTGTGCAGTGACTCTGCGATGGGGGGACGACTGAGCAGCGTCGCGGTGCCGCTGCTGTTGGCGCTCGCGGTTACCTCAGGGAGCCTCGACGGCGAGGACAAAGAAATGCTGGCAGCTCGTGCATTCGTGCTGATCAGACTGTAGTAGCTGCGCGCGGGGACGAAGCGTTGTGCGTCGCCGCTGGCGATTTCATGGGAGCACACCGTCGCAGACGACATAATCACTGTGTTTCTTGAGACAAATATTACTACTAACACGGTGAGTCAGCGCGGTAGACTTCGAAAGAGAAAAAATGTGAAAAGCTGTTGATGCGACACTCCACAGAGTTCTTAGTACCCACCTCGCTTGAAGTTCTCGCAGTAAGTATCAGATCTACTTCTGACACTGCTTTGCCCTCTTTCTTCAAACGAAAGAGGGAGAGGAAAAAACGATGATAGGGTAGAAGGAGATTTAAAAGGTGGTATACAGACGCCCACTTTATCACCGTGAAGAACTGCGTGGCGTAAGGTACGCAAACAACAAGAGAAAACTATTGACACACACACAAAAAAAAAAGAATGAAAAAAGGGTGGAAAACAGAAGAAAGAGGCGGAGAGCACCTGACTACCGTTGATGGTGTCTTGTGAGCACTCCTCTCTTCGAATAGAGGAGGTATGGCGAGTGTGGTGAAGAAAATGCGCACATGCACACTACACCGAGCGACAAGAAGAAAGAGTTACACAAACACACACAAAATAAGGAAAAAAAATGCACACATAAAGCGACAAAAAAAAAACAGGTAAGCACACACAAAAGAAAAACGCACGAGGTGAGCAACAGAAAACTCCACCGGAGCGCCAAGAACTCGGGTATACGAGTAATTGCTGTATATTTGGCCTTTTTTCTACTTGCGCTCCTTCCTTCTACAACACGCGGAGTGGTTCTTCAAGTGCACAGTTTAGGTTTGGATGTACCTCGCCTTCCGAATCTCGTGATGGCGAGAAAAAGAACGAAAGAACGGTTCAATAGCACACTAAAGGTAGCGTTGTCGGTCAAGGCGAGGAAGGAATAGTGGCGATTCAATATGCTGACGTACGCGGAACACACAAAACGATGAAAACCGCTTTCGTAAAACTAACTGGAAAGAAAAGAAAAGACGCACAGAGAAGTGAAGAGAAGAGAAGAGGCAAAGGAGAAAAGGAGGTAAGCACAAAATTAAATTGACAACAGGGAAGAAAAACGCAAAAAAAAGAAGAGTAAAAAAAGAAGAGCGCGAAGGTGTTGAGGTTTACCAGAATATATGTTTTGTCCTCAATTGTGATGAGCGCTGAATGCAATGAAAAAAGGGAAAAAACTACGAATAGGAAACAATAAAACCAGAAACTCTTTTAGCTCTTTCTGTTGTTGTTGCTGTTGTTCATGGCGAGCGGCAGTGAACGCAGAAGAGCGAAGACGACGTAGGCGGATGTGAGTGGAAAGAGGTGATGACGGCAAGACGTTGTCGTCGAAAGAAGCGTGTCGCAAAGCAACCCAAAACGAAGAAGAAAGGAAGGAGAAGAGAGAGAAAAAGTGTAGAGTCGTAGAGAGGGGAGGCATTGATGAAGGGACTGGGCGAGCAGCGATGCAAGAATGTCTGCACACGAGTCGCAAGTTCTTTAACACGCAGCATGAAGTGGTATTGTCCGCAAGCAAGAGAAGAGGAAGAATGGCCACTTTGCTCGTCTTCTAGTAAAAAGCAAGCGGCTCTCACTGGTTGAGGTGAACTGATTCGACACCGCACGCTCCAAAGCGGCCGCGCAGTGAGTTCCCATAAGAAAAACCTCTCAACTGCAACGACGATGCAGAAGCGCATTGCGTCGCTCATGTAACCAAAGGCCGGATGACACAATGGGAACATGCAGCGTTAAGGTTGTTTTCGCTTCTTTTTTGGCTAAAGTACGTAACGTAAATAATCGCAGGCAAAATGAGGAAATCAGGGTGGTGCCTTACTTCTTGGCCTTGCGGGCGGCGATGGCCTTCTGCATGCGCTTCTTCGCGCCCTCAGTCGCGTCCGCCTTCTTGGCGTTCTTCTGCACGCGCTTCAGCTCAACCTTGTGCCACGACACAGGCGACTTCGCGTCCTTCTCGTCGAAGGCCTTGCGCGTCCAGTAGGCGCGAGAGCGGCGGGCAACGCGCAGCTGGTAGCGCTCGAAGTCCGTCGACGCAGCGCACGCCTTCTTCGCCGCGATGCGGTGCGCAGTGCGCGTCTTCGCGTACTTCTCCAGCGCCTTCGACGAGTCCAGCGCAGCCTTCAGCGCCTTCGCCGTGCAGTTGCGCGGCACGTCCACGCAGAACTTCAGCGGCTCCACGTTCTTCAGGTTCTGCACGTGGCGCCACATCTTCTCGTCCTCCGGGTTCTCCACCAGCACGCGGTTCGCGTCAACGATGTCGACGATCACACCGACGCGGTCCTGGCGGGGGCCACGGAGGATGCGCACCAGGCGGCCAGCGCGGATGTAGTGGGACTTGACCATTATGCACACAAGCAATACCCTGTGCGTGTGTATGTGTGAGTGGGAGTGGGAGAGTGGTGAATGTTGAGGTGCGTTGTGACGAGACGCGCCGCAGAGGAGAGACGAGAGAGTGGGCGAAGAAGAACACGGAGGTGGTGGTGGTGGAGGAGGCGGGAAAGGCGCAGATCATTCGCGACAAACGCACAACACCAACAAACGAAGAATACCAGCATCGCCGCTTTCTTGCGGGAGAAAGAGTCTAATGACCCCCAAAGGAAAAAAAAAACCGAAGACCACTTCTATCCAGTGCGACCACCAATGAAAACCAAACCGAGGGAGCGAGACACATGTTGGGTGAATTCGCTGAACGAGTAACTTCTCAAGCAAACGAGACGACAAAGAAAGGGAGAACGCAAATGAAAAGACGGCTGAAAAACAACAAGTATCACGTAAGGGCGTATATATATGTAATAGTAATACACAACAAAGAAAAGGTCACACAGGAGCCCCTAAAACCAACCATCCCGGAGATGGGAAAGACAGCTGCGAAAGATTCGCGAACAAAAAAAAACACACACAAAAGGCGCTCCCTTAAAACAAAGCAGGAGAGTGCAAGACGCCCTACCGCAACTCGGAAAATATGACGTTGACGTCTTTCATGAGAAGCGACGAAGAATTCAGTTGATCATACAGCGAGTACGTCTCGTACACGTAGAAGGCTACGCTTAACGGGTTCTGCGCGTAGATGCGCTGCATGGACGGGAGAGAGATCAGTCCCGCACCAATCGGGGTTTCGTCGCCGTCGCGGGGTCGCACCTCGGTCAGGTTCAGCCGCACGAACTGCTGCGGCATCGCCCCTGGCCACTTGCGCAGCACCAACTGCTCCGTCCACCGCAGACTGCCGCTGGCGCTGTGGTAACTCGGCAGCGTCTCGCCATGCACAACCTGCCACCCGCGCTGATCCAGCAGCGTCACGCTCACCTGGAAGGACGGCGAGACACCGGTGGTGGTTTCGTACACCATCGGAAAGCCCCGAATGGTGCCGAGGACGATGGTGCACAGACATGTCTTCTGCGAGAGGTTCAGCAGCGGCCCCCGCGAAGGAAAGGGGTTGCCGACACGGGTGTCTCGCACCACAAAGGACGCATTCGTGTCGAATCCAAACTGCGAGGCTAACTCACCAATCGCGCCGGGGTCCAGGTTCTCCCACCCGGAGAGCGCACCTGCAGCCGTTTTCGACAAGTTGAAAGGCAGCTGCGATGCCTGCGGCTGCGACGGCGACTGGGCGTCATTGCCGCCGTAGAGCCGGCCCATTGTCACAGGAACGCCGTTGGCCCGCACCAGTACTTGCTCGCCTTTATCCTTGTCGAAGGCGACAATCATGCCCTCACTTTGGTCCACAGGGGCGCTGCGGCTAATGAAGCGATACACAGGCAGTGTGGCGTGGATCAAGGGCAGCTCCTGTGACGGCAGCATTTGACGGTTCGTAACGCACGTTGTGTTGACCCAGTAGTGAAACGGGAGGTCGGTGGCGCCGGAGACTTGCGGGACTTGGTTGTGCACCTTGATGATCACCGGCGCAGAGGGCTGCTGCGACCCGTTCACCGTTAACTGCATCTCTAACGTCTTCATGCACGCCTTGTTGGTCAGGGCCCAGGTGGCGCTGAAGTACACACGCTGTTGCGGGCGCACTGTGATCACCTGCGAAGGCTCCGTCGCGATGTAGTTCGCCGCCGACCGCAGCGGCACCAGCTGCATGGCGAGCGAGCTAGACTCGGTCATGTTCATGGCGCAGAGCACGTTCGACACAATGTACTCCCCCGTACCGGTCAGGAAGAAGGACGGGTAGTAGAAGTCTACCGTCGACACACGCACCGTGCCGTAGTTGTACTCCAATGGGGTAAAATTGAAGTCAGGCGGCTCGTCTAGCAGGCTGCTGTGGATCTCTATTTCCGCCACGGCGTGCACTGTTGAGGCGTCGATGGCGGCGTGGGTCGGGAGGACGTGGACGGTGTACTTGGCGTACTGCCGGTTCTCCGTCAACATCGCCTGCGCGTTCATGAGGCCGAGACCCAGCACGCTCTTCTTGTTCGCCTTCATGACGGCCACCTCGAGCATCAGCACAGGGTCGTCCTCCAGCGGGACCGCGATGCCGGCCGCATCCGGCCATTCAATCCCACTCCACCTCTGCAGCTGTGCCTGCTGCGCACGACCAAAGACGATCCTCTGCGGTGGGGTCGACCCGTGCTCATTGAGCTTGTTGCTGACGGTCGCGAAGATCGGCTTCCCACCGCCCCACTGCCGCCGTGCACGCGTCGCCCACTGATGGTTGTCCTCGGCCGTGTCGATCAGCACCAGGCGTCGCACGTACAGCTTGAACGTTTCGTCTTGTGCCTTCAGCGCCGCGGATGCGGATGCGGAGGCGTCGGGCGGCGTCAGCGGCGACGCAGACGGTCGCGACATCACTGGAACATGAGCGGTCATACTAAAACAAAAAAGAAAGCTGCACAGAAAAAACAAAGAGACAATTTTCCGCGTGAAAGCGGCGAGCTACTCGTCGTGTCTGCGCTTCTCTGCTCCCTCTGAGAGTGAGGTGCCAGTGAATCTCCACCCGAATCTGTGTCTCTGACCAACACTTATCGCACACCGTTTCGAGTTAATGACCTGAAAGACAAGAGCTCAATCGTGCACAAAAGCAGAGAAAAAAAATCACGCACAACGAGACATCTGACCTTTCGCACTTCTGGAAGACGCCGACGTGCGCACGCAGCACAAATATGAGAAGAGAAAGCAAATAGGCAGAAACCTGCCCTCGCACCGGGAGACCGTACGTGTGAAAAGGAGAGCGCGACAGGACGACGAAGAACAAAAAACGTCCTGGTGTTTATCTTGACTCTTCTTTTTTGGAGGAGGGGGGGGGGGAGGAATTGGAAGACGACAGCGTAGAGCAACAAGTGGCAACTACAATAAGTGTCTTGGTAAGACTCGTAATGTTTTTAAACTATTTCTTTCGTGTGTGTGCGTGTATGTGAGGTGAGGTGACGCAGTAAGCACCAGCAGTCTTGCAGTTGCGACGAAGACGTGGGTGGCCTTCGAGATGACAGAACACCCACACGAACGTGCACTGAGCGATGAATGAAAAGGGAAAAGTGTTGTCGTTGGAAAGCAGATGAGCGCAACAAAGAATGGTGGGGAAAGGGAAAAGAAAACGATGTGGATAAGGACGATAGTGGACATGCCGTTCTAGACTACCTTACGCGAAGAGGAAGCCTTCTATTGTGAAAAGCATTTACGTGGAAAGAGTGATAGCACTTTTTCAAGTACCACTACCTTAAGACCAGCAGATGAGGCAACGTCCGAGTCGGACCTCTCCGGCAGATGCCATGTCGTCTTTCGCTGGGCACACACACCGCGGAAGGGTCTCCCAAGAAATAACACCTACGACTCGCAAAAAGACGCAAATGTCGACTTTTCTTTGTGATAATCCACTGCAAGATGTGCCTTCGTCATTTTTCATAGGAATAACTTCTTTTATTATTATCCGGAAACGTTTGTGAGCCGATTTCATCCTAGATACACACATTGTGTGCGTGCTTATGAGTGTGGGTGTCGCATTGTTGAGCGCCGTCATATTTTTTCTTCTAAGTACCACCGCTAGCATGTGTGCACTTCACTTCGCAAGACGCATAGAAACAAATTAAAATCGCGCATCTGTGTGACTTTGGGGAAAAAAATAATTTATTAAACAACAATTATGCCGCTATCGATGTCGAGTTAGCATGCAAATATACGCTGCCGCTTGCATTGCCCATTCCTGTTATTCATACGTCTTCCTTCTTCGTGTGTCACAATTACTGCTTTTCTTCGCCCCTTCCTCTTTCCACTGCTGCAGGCAACCGAAATGAATTAGGACCTCCTCTCCAATTCTTGGGTGTGAACCTTAACCTCGGGGCTATCACAAACAAGGCAACGAGTGCAAAGCAGCAGTAAGAATACCAAAAGGAAGAAGAAGCCGAAACGATGCGCACGCGACAGGAAAAGCGCTAAAAAGGCGATGGAAGGTATTTCTTTCCGCGTACTAACAGTTACGTAAGATCAAATAAGTGTTGGGGTTAAGGAACGAGGAGCATAAGAGCAAACACGAAAACAAAAACGCAAATCATTAGGTCAACCGAGAGCCAAGCGCTGCCCCGACACAACACCTTTTACAGGCAGGCCTTCATTTTCTCGGCCTCTGCGGTTGCCTTGGCTAGCGCCGCCGCCACTTGTTTGTCCGGCAAACCCGACTGAGCCGCGTTCGGCTTGCCGCCACCCTTGCCAATGGAGGACTTGGCCCACGTTACGGCGCTCAGCTTCTTCTCCACGAAGGCGGACGGCATCGAGACGATGGCCAGCGCCTTATCGCCGTCGCTGCCCACAAGAAAGACACCGACGGGACCCTTCACGGTGCTCGAGAAGGCGTCTGCGAAGGCCTGCAGTGGCTCCCGCTCCGCGCCGAAGTCGCTCACCTGTTGGACAAGGAACGGCGCAGCGGCAGCATCGTACGACTCGCCCAGCGCTGCACCGGCCGCCGCCGCTTTCTCCTTCGCGTCTGCCGCCTGCTCCTTCAGTGCTGCGTTCATCTTCTTGATGGCCACGTCGATGCCGTCACGCAGCTCGTTCTTCAGCACCAGCGGGACGGCGCTGTCGCCGACCTTCTTATTCAGCACCGAGAGCGCCTTCACGTTGGCGGCTGTGGCGGTGTCGTGACTCAGGGCGTCGAACTGCGCCTGCAACTCCGCCCCCGCCTGGATGGCCTTGTCGGCGTCCGCCTTGGTCGCCACCACGATGCGGCGCACCCCTTTCATCAGCGCTTCGTCGGAGAGGATGACGGCCTTGTCGGCCTTTTTCAAGTTGTTCAGGTGCGTGCCGCCGCAGAACTCCACCGAGTACTCGCGCCACTTCGCGTTCTCCGGGTCGGCGAGCATTGCATCAATCGGCGCGCCGATGGAGACGACGCTGACCGGGTCGGGGTACTTCTCGCCGAACATGTGGCGCAGCCCGTTGATCTTGAGCGCGTCGGCCAGCGCCACCTCCTCGCGGTAAACCGGCAGGTCCGCCTGGATCTTCTTGTTGAGAAGCTTCTCCACCCGCTGCAGCTCCTCGTTCGACATCTTCGCGTTGTAGCTGAAGTCGAAGCGGAGCAGCTCATCCGTCACAAGGGAGCCCTTCTGCTGCACCTCCATGAAGCTGTTCGGGTTCTCCTCTTCCAGTACGCGGCGCAGCACCCAGTTCAGCTCGTGGGTGGTGGTGTGGTTCACCGCGACGGGCTGGCGGCGCTTGTAGTCCACTTGCATGTGCACCACTGCCGACGGCGGAATCGGTGCCGTGGAGTCCTTGCTGAGGTTGCCGACGTGCACCACGTAGCCGGCGACGTTGTACACCTTTCGCACCTCAAAGACGCAGTCCTCGGCAGCGATGAGGCGGCCGGTGTCGTAGATCTGGCCACCAGACTCGGCGTAGAAGTTCGTGCTTGTCGTGATGATGCCGACACCCTCCTCGCCCAGGCCGTTCTGCGGCGCCAGCAGCGAAACGAACTTGTCGTTCTTCTTGTCGAAGATCGCTATCACGTCACCGGTCGTCTCCTCCCAGGTGTACTTGGCGTTGTCCTCCGTCTGCGGGATACCGCGTGACTTGAGCTCCTCGATTTGGTGCACATCGATGAACGTCCTCGCCGCCGCCACACGGCCAGCGCTCACCTGGTTTGCTTTCATCTCCGAGTTGAAGTCGTCCAGATCCACTGTCATGCCGGCCTTCTCGGCCAGCAGGCAGGTCAGATCCACCGGGAAGCCGTAGCGGTCGTGCAGCACGAACGCCTCCGACCCGCTGATAACCTTTGAGTTGCTCGCTTTGCCCTCCTCGACGGCGTGGTTGAAGTGCTTCAGTCCGATCTCCCACGTTTTCGCGAACGACTGCTCCTCGTCTGTCAGCACCGCCTTGATGCGCTGCACGTTGCGCGGATCCTGCAGGTGGGGAAAGAATGGCCCCAGCGAGGTACACACGCTATCCACCAGTGCCGCGAAGAATCCCGGCTTGGCGTTGAGGAACTGTACGCCGTAGCGCACGGCACGACGGATGATGCGGCGCAGCACAAAGCCGCGGCCGACAGAGTCCGGCATGGCGCCGTCGCCCACAGCCGTGGTGAGGCAGCGGATGTGGTCGGCGACAACGCGGTAGGCCACCACCGCATCGTTGTCCGCCTCGTTGCGGATCTCCATGTAGGACTTGGGATAGCCGGTGACCTTCTGGATCTCCTCAAAGATTGGAATCCACGCGTCAGTGTCGTAGTTTGACTTGACGTCCTGCAGAATGGAGGTCAGACGCTCCAGACCCATGCCAGTGTCGATGTGACGCTGCGGCAGCGAGACGAGAGTGCCGTCAGTGCGGCGTTCGTACTGGATGAACACCAGGTTCCAAATCTCCACCACCATCGGGTCGTCCTTGTTCACGAGGTCGGCCGCGTTGCGCCCGCCGATGCGGTCAAAGTGCACCTCAGAGCACGGGCCGCACGGACCAGTGTCGCCCATCTCCCAGAAGTTATCCTTGGCGTTGCCGGGGATAATCTGCGACTCCGGCAGAAACTGTGCCCACAGCGCCTTCGCCTCCAGATCCGGCGCCAGCCCGTTCTTCTCGTCCCCCTCGAAGTAGGTCACGTAGAGCTGGTTCTTGGGCAGCTTGTACACCTCCGTCAGCAGCTCCCACGCCCACGGGATGGCCTCTTTCTTGAAGTAGTCGCCAAAGGACCACGAGCCGAGCATCTCAAAGAAGGTGTGGTGGTAGGTGTCGCGGCCGACGTCTTCGAGGTCGTTGTGCTTACCGCCCGCGCGGATGCACAGCTGCGAGTTCGCGGCGCGCTTTAGACGGCCGAACTCGGTGTTCGGGTCCGCCGTGCCGAGGAAGATCGACTTGAACTGGTTCATGCCGGCGTTGTTGAAGAGCAGCGTGGGGTCATTGTGTGGCACCACGGGGCAACTCGGCACGAAAGTGTGCTGCCGCTCCGTGAAGAAGTCAACGAATTGCTGACGCACGCGACCAACGGGCCACTCGATGGACGACATCCCTCGATACAGCAAAGGGAAGAATCGCCTCACTTTGGAAGAAAAGGAAAGAAAGAAAGCAAAAATGTGGGGCAGTGTTGAAAAGGGGATGACGAAGACAGCACTTCTGGTGCTGTGAAGAAGCGAGTGTTCGACGAGACGTGTGTGCAATGCAACAGTAGCAGTGGCGAAAGTAAACTTGCCGTGCAGTGATTGACGGAGAAGAGCACGGCCCATGAAAAGAAGGAAGAGAGAAAAGCGTTGAGGACGTCACGATAGGCAATTGATTTGAAAAGGTTGACGTTACTGAACATCAGCGGCAACTTCGGGAAATTGCTCTCCGTTGTACCGCATTTGGCTTTGAATCACCGGTCAACGAAAACTTAGCAATACGGCAGAAGAACACGCCGTTCAGCGGTTACAAGTTGCGATAATTAAAAAAAAAAAAGAAACTTCGTGAAGTTCAAGTACACCACAACAGGGTAGCAGCACAGCAATAATAATAATAATAAGAATAGCAATAGAAATAACAGTAATAAAGTGAATCGGCGGAGTCACAGAATTAAACGGCAAACAGCTTCACGCCAACATAGCACACCACTGCCACAACGCTAACCCCCGCGACGACGACGCCGCCAAACATGTACGAAAGACGCAGGCTTGACTGCTGCGACATCCACCCGACACAGTCCTGCACAGCTCCGCGGAGCGCATCAAAGTCATCGGCGGAGTCGTTTTCAATCACATAGCCTGCCAGCTGCCGTTTCACAGAAAGCGGCATTTGACTTTGAATACGTTGGACAGCTTCTTCCTTCGAGAAGTTGTTGCGACGGCGAAGACGCTCGATCTGCCGCTCCTCAGAGCAGCTGACCACCACGGAGTTGCTCACAAAGTAAGTGAACGTTTTGGTTTCAAGCAGCGTCGGCGCATCCAGCACCACAATGGAAGGCGGGTGCGAGGACACGATGCGCTTCACATCGCGCCACCACGCAGCAACAATGCGCTTCATGATGGCTCTGAAAATCGCCGGATTCATTATTTTCCCGAGCTCTTTGCGCACCTGTGCATCGCTAAAGACCAGTCTCGCCATCGCCGGCCGAAGGAGCTCGCCCGTGGCGGGGTCGACGCAGTGCGGCCACCGCGCTGCAATTTGGCGGGTGCATGGAGCGTTGGGAGCTTGCAATTCGCGCACGATAAGGTCCGCGTCAATGATTTCAATGTGATGCTCTTCCGCCAAGAGCTTCGACACGGACGACTTGCCGCATGCGATGCCGCCTGTGAGGCCGATGAGAATCATTGTGTATTATTTTCCTATTTAGCGTGCGTTTTTGTGGCTTCTCACTCGTTAGCAAATTATGGTTCAATTGCCTCTTATTTTTACTTCCTAATGGAACATGTATAAGAAGTAACCGGTGCTATCGTAATTACGTTGAACGCAACAGCGTGACAGTTTCCATGCAGCCTCAGTGCCTTCATTCCTCGCTCGCTCTCCGTGGATTGGGGATTAGAGGAAGAGAAAAGAGAAGAGAGAGGTAAAGAAGATCGAAAAGGAAGGCATAAAGAGTAAAAAGGTGAATGAACACGAAACGTGATCATGGGAAGCAGGAAAAAAAAAAGACGACGGAAGCTCCTCCACGTCAAGCTAGCGATCAAGTTGACTTCCTAACGTCAGCTACCCCCCGTCATTGGGAGCCTTTGGAGAACCACACCACAAGAAACAAGCGTGTGCGAAGGTCAGTTACGCGGGGCGCGCGTCACCAGCACGCAACCTGCTGTCATTCGCATGGTTTTGAAACGTCAAGCATGCGTGACTCTCTTGCCCCTTTCCACACTCGCGAGAGCGCGACAAGATGATAAGGGAGCACAGATCGTCGCCTTTTTTAAAAAAACCCTGATTCACTTTGTTTTTGAAAGATAAATGAAATCGATGAGGCAAAAAGGAAGACTCCTAAACTCACCGTGAAATGAATAAAAGGAATCGCAGGCAAAATGAGGAAATCAGGGTGGTGCCTTACTTCTTGGCCTTGCGGGCGGCGATGGCCTTCTGCATGCGCTTCTTCGCGCCCTCAGTCGCGTCCGCCTTCTTGGCGTTCTTCTGCACGCGCTTCAGCTCAACCTTGTGCCACGACACAGGCGACTTCGCGTCCTTCTCGTCGAAGGCCTTGCGCGTCCAGTAGGCGCGAGAGCGGCGGGCAACGCGCAGCTGGTAGCGCTCGAAGTCCGTCGACGCAGCGCACGCCTTCTTCGCCGCGATGCGGTGCGCAGTGCGCGTCTTCGCGTACTTCTCCAGCGCCTTCGACGAGTCCAGCGCAGCCTTCAGCGCCTTCGCCGTGCAGTTGCGCGGCACGTCCACGCAGAACTTCAGCGGCTCCACGTTCTTCAGGTTCTGCACGTGGCGCCACATCTTCTCGTCCTCCGGGTTCTCCACCAGCACGCGGTTCGCGTCAACGATGTCGACGATCACACCGACGCGGTCCTGGCGGGGGCCACGGAGGATGCGCACCAGGCGGCCAGCGCGGATGTAGTGGGACTTGACCATTATGCACACAAGCAATACCCTGTGCGTGTGTATGTGTGAGTGGGAGTGGGAGAGTGGTGAATGTTGAGGTGCGTTGTGACGAGACGCGCCGCAGAGGAGAGACGAGAGAGTGGGCGAAGAAGAACACGGAGGTGGTGGTGGTGGAGGAGGCGGGAAAGGCGCAGATCATTCGCGACAAACGCACAACACCAACAAACGAAGAATACCAGCATCGCCTCAATGCTTCACGGCGAACAAAAACGCGCTTTGCGTGGGACACATTTTCTTCGGTTAGGTTGTTGTTGTTGTTTTTTCTTCCGCGTCTACATACGGCGTTTTCACTCATTCCTAACAGTCTCAATTGTGGAAGGGACGCTACTGTTTTTCAATCAAAGGAATCCGTGCTTCTTTACGAGCTCGCCGCACTTTACCGCAAAGACGCTCAATATGTTTAAAGCCACAAAACTAAATAAAGTGAAGATGACGAATATACGAAAGAAGAAGAGGAAAATAAAAAAGGATGATTCTTGCCTTGCGCTTGCCTGTCTCCGCTTCTGTTCACGCGCGAGAAGAGCACGGGCTTTTCACAGCTGTGACAAGAGCAACGACGACTCTATTAAAACAAACACCTGACGATAAGCTAAACCGAGACGATTGAGAAACTACAAGCAAATGAGAAACAACAACGAAAAGAACGGTTAATAATATTGTGAAGCCACTTGGGGTTTCCAAGTGACCACCGATGCAGGTATATCTGACTCTTCACCAGAGCCAGCTTTATCTACGGAGGAGGCACGTTGCCTTCATTCGAAAAGTTACGCTGCTTGCAGAAAGATTTTATCTCTCGTTGCGGTTGTTGTTGTTGTTTACACTCCAGCTCGTGTCACGAGGGAGATGGGTAAAATATCATCCAAAATGGCTTCATCGGTCGAACAACACGCGACATTCGACACCTTCGCGTGGTTCACGTAGAACATAAAAGGACCCGTACTCTCCGCCGTGGCTGACGGAAGGTCCCCCACAAATGCGATCTCTACCGGCACCTTGTTCTCGGTGCCGTCGCGGATCAGAACGTGAAGGCCGACGGTGCTGCGGTCTGCGTCGCTGTCTTTGCCCGCGTCCACGTCCACGTAGGCGTCAAACACGTTCCACGTAAAGGTGAAGAACACTCGCTGGCCTTTGCGGTTGATAACGCCTTTTTTGTCCGGAAGCACGCCAACCTTCTTCAGTTCCTCTGGCAATGCCACCTCCAGTTGGACAGGGTTGTCGGAGCGGCTTTCTACGCACAACACGTTGGTGACAATATACTCCCCCCTGCCGGTGAGAAACTTGGGCGGGAAGTAGAAGGTGCGCGTCGAGACGGCGCACGTGCTTCCCACCTCCAGCTCAGTGGGCACAGGCGCGTAGCGCGTATTGGCGGCCATGGAAATGGCGGTATCGCCGTCGGTGGCCCCCACCACGACACTAAACTCCAGCACGGCGTACACGGTACTGTCCTGTTCTTTCTTCGGCTTCGCTTTCAAGGGAGTCATCACAATAGCGTAGTGGTGCACAACAGGGGCTCCCAAGACGTCCTCGCCGAGGATGGCCTGCACATCCGCCTCCTTGACGGCCAGCTTTGTGCCAGTGGCGGTGATCACTTCAAGCAGCAGTGGCCCCTTCGCGGCCTGCGCAATGTTGATGGGAACACAGCTGCTGAAACTGGGCCGACGCACAGCGGGCTGCGGATTCGATGGCGTTGCCGGGCTGACAGGGGAGTGGGTGACAGCTCGGGGGATGCCTCCCTCACCCTGTAAACTTCCGGGTGCATTATGGGCCGCGGCAGCAGCAGCAGCATTCGAGGTTCCATTAGGGATGGGGGTGGAAGGAGGAGACTCGGAAGAGTGAGATGCACCTGCACCTGCACCTGCTGCTGCAGCTGCGCCGGTACTGGCCGAAAGGCCAGCGGAGCCGTCATTGACCTGTGCGCCTGCCCCATCGCCGTTCTCGCTCGTTTCTTCCGCGGCTTTTTCAGCAGCGGTTGCGGAAGGCAGGTGTCCATTCTCTGATAATGTATCGACGGGCGGAGGGCGCGCTGCAGCACCTTCCGAAGCGGTGTCGGGCGCTGGTGGTGATGGTGCATCTTCCCCGCTCTGCTGAGCAGGGAGTGACGGCGGTGGCTCGTGTCCCTCTGCCATGTCGACGTTGTGCGGCGTCGCTACCGTGTTTTCTGAACGCGCCTCGTGCGGCTGCGCAGGCGATACGTCCTCTCCGTCGGTGTCGTCTGCAGCGTACGATGCCGCGCCAGACTCCGCTCCGCCGCTCTCCGCGGGCTGCTCCGACGCCTCAACGGGGTCCTCGTCGATCCACGACACCCCCCACTCTGCTTGGCCTTCCTGTGCGGCGGCAAACGGCATGGGGATGGTCGACCCAAGGACACGCGCGTTCGCGTCGTGCACGCGTACCGCAATCATGTCACCATAGCTCCACTGTTTTTTCAGGTTGTAGGTCCACAGCGTCTCCGGTTCTGCACGGTCGATCAATACGATTTTCTTCACGCATAGCATTTTTCTTTTGTTGTTGTTAGAGTTGCTATTGCCGTGTAGGGAGTGTAGAAACGATTCTGTCTCTCTTCGTAAGGAGGAAGGTGCAACTGTCGACGCCAGCAGCGAGAGCAACGTCGAGTTACGTAATGAACAGTACTTCCTTGTGCGCAATTCGAAGAACAAAAAAGAACTGAGGTGAAGACGGGGGAGGGGGGGGGAGGACATTGAACAGAATGGAGCTTTTTGGGTGGGCAAGAATAAATGTGTGCCACTACTGTGGGCAGTAAAGATACAGATAGCCCTTCAAAGCATGACCAGCTAACGCGCAAAAGTGATGAAGAAAAACGCACACAAAAAAGTTTCAAATCCGAAGCTCAGAAAGTAGGCTATACGCTCCTCTCATAGAAACACGGCATTGAGATCCCACCCAAGCCGAGAGATACAGCCTTTGCTTTTGTTGTTCGGCTTAGATTATTTCTAAAATATATGTACTTGCCATCCGATGCCGACATAGACGCCGGAGCAGGTATTCATTACGGAGACAACACAGACAGAACGGTTGATCACTCCTCTTTTCACTTCACTCGATCTTTCAGAAAGCGGTGAATACCTGCCATTCAACTTCGAATATATAAAAACATATGGATTCGACTCGTTGAAGAAAAGCAACATTGTACGTTCTTCCTCAAGTGGAAGGTTCCAGACACTTGTATAAACAGATGTGCATCTGTGTGCGTACGACGAGCTTACGTAACTCCGAGAATGGGAACGATTTGAAAACACCAAAATAGAGAAGAGAAAATGAAAGCGAGGTGGATATGCTCACCGTCTTTTTCAGGGGAACGTGACGGTGGCCCAGTTTTTCTTGTTGGTGTGCCAATGCTAGAAAAAAAGGGAAAATGCTCCAACATCGTGAAGAGAAGAACCGAAAGATTAACGTGACAGCGCTTGGAAGTCGACATCACATTCTACAAAAAAAAAGGCACAAGCAGGCGAGGTGTTACGAGTGTGTAACGAGAGGTTGAATGACTTGTGGGTTGAGATTGCCCACAATAATGTCCTCGTCCTCGTCACTTTCCTCCTCCCCCGCCTCCTCCTCCTCGTCCTGCTCGTCCTCCTCGCCCTTCTCACGCGCGCCCTTTTCGGCCACCACCGTCTTCACCGCCGTTTCTTTCTCCGCGCCACCATCGTCGTCACCACCCGCATCCTCTTCATCAGCTTCGCCTTTGCCGGGTACCGCCGTTTCTTCTGCCGTTTTGGCCGCTTGCAGCAGCTCGGCAGCGCCATCGTAGCGGAAAACAGCCAAATCGCCGTAGGCAGCGGTTACATTTGCCTTCTGGGCCTCGGTCAGCTGCCTCAACGCGTTGTCGCCGTCCTCCTCCTCCTCCAGCAGCGGAGCATCGGCGTCGGAGGCACTCGAGTCGTCCGGACTCCGCCCCTCCCGCCGCGCAAACCCGGGCAGGAAGCTGCCTGCCAGCTGCATCTGCTGGATCGCCGGATCCATGTGAACTGCCTCAGTGGCGTTGTTGTCCACGGATACCGGCGCATCGACGCCGGAGATTGGGTAGCCGACGATTTGGGCGAGTGCCCGCACCAAGGAGTCCGGGAACTTACTTGAGCGCACGTTCTTGATGCACGTGGCGAGAAAGAAGTCCAGACAGTCGCGAGCGGTGTGCAAGACAGCGGCGAGCTTTTTCGGCGCAATGTATAGCTTTTTGTCGCCATCAAAGAACATGGCGGAGTAGTTTTCCTTGTCGGGCAGACTATCCACGTCGAAGTACGCCGGTGGGGCCAGCTTGCTCTCGTCGTCGCTGAGAAACAGATCCGGCACATCCAGCAATGGGCGGACAGTGAGCTGGCGAAGGCACAAAAGGATGTCGATGGGAGTGACGGCGGTCGCATCGAAAAGATTCAGCACAGCCTCCAGATTCATGCGGTCATAATACGTCACAAAGGAGTTCGCGCCAAAGTCCCTGCGCTTGTAAAAGGCAAGCACTGAGTTGGCCGAAAACACAGCAGACTTGTTGTCCCAGCAAAACACCTGCGGATTCTGGGTGTCGCGGTTTGCGCGGTACTCGATAGTGGCGATACGTGGATAGAGGGACCACAGAAGAACAAGCCGGACAAGTCCTTTGTTGCTTGCGTATCTGGACAGGTGCCTCTCGGGTGCAATGACGCCTTTCGCGAAGGAGGAATGCAGCACTAAGTTGATGAACTGACGCTTTGTCCGCTCGAGCGATCGCAGCGTCGTGTTGTCCGCAAAGTGCGAGGATGAGTACTGGTAGCTCCTCCCACTTCGAATCCACTCTGTGAAAAGCTTGACCACGGAAAAGTGATCCGAGAGACCGCCGTCGTCGATGCGAAGCAGGTTCTCCTTGAAGGCGTTCTTCTCAGGACGCTGAGGGCGGATAAACGGCGACTTCACCGACAGGCCGGCTGCAATAGTGGCCACAGCGTCCAGGACACCGAAGCACGCGGCAGTGAAAAGCATCTTTCCCAGCAACGGGTGCGTTGGCAGCTCCGCTAGTGCCTTGCCCAGATTCGTCATCTTCTCGTCATCTGCCGTGAAGGCGCCCATGTCCGTCAAGAATTGCACGGCGTGCTCTATAGCCTCTTGCGATGGGGCGCTCATTGCACGGGCCAAAACCCTCGCGCACTTCTCGTTCGCCTCTATCGCCTTCAACTGCAGGCACACCTCTTCTAGCGGCGAGCGCACGATTTCGGGAGGAAGGAAGTCAGGCAACGCATCATAAGCCGCCTTGGGCAGAAGGTGATAGCACACACCTGCCTGGCATCGCCCAGCACGACCTCTCCGCTGCACACCATTTGCCTTTCCAATCAACGTCGCCTTCAGAGCACTGGTGTTGCCTTCTGGGTCGTACGAGGTGCCCTTGACGAGACCGCTGTCGATGACGTACACAATGTCGTCAATAGTAATACTCGTTTCCGCAATGCTGGTGGCGAGAACGACCTTGCGGTATTGGCGCGGCGGCCGCTCGAAGACCCGCTGCTGCTCCGCCGTGGTCAAACTGGAGTGTAGCATCAAAATCGACAACTCGCGTGCGATTGTTGAACGCTTCAGCAGACCTGCTATTGTAGAAATTGCCGCCCAGCCGGGAAGGAAAACTAAGATACTCTCCGAGCGCGAGTGCGAATGGTCGTGAATTTTTTTAATTAAATCGCACACGAGATCATACGGAACAAGCGCTTCAACATCACGGTCAAACGTGTCAAAGACGGATGACTTCAGCTGCTCATACAGTGCGGCGTTCCCTTCCTTGACTTCGGTGGGCACCTTCGGCTGTTTTTGCTCTGCGATTAGCCTCATTGCAGGGGCGGCGGAGGCTGGAGCCCCAACTACGTGAAGCACATCTTCGAGGAAGAACTCTTTAACGGGAAAGAGCGTTCCTGGAATTGTTATGAGGGGAATATCTCGACCGCCGTTGTGCCCAGTGAAGTACGAGACAAGGGCTTCAATTTGCACTGTTGCGGACATCACAATAAGTTTCAATTTGAGCGGAAACCTTTCGGGATGTTCGCGCTGTGCTTGCAGGCGATCGCGGAGAAGCAGCAGGCAGAAATCTGTCTCAACGTCGCGCTCGTGCACCTCATCTACGATGATGCACGCTACGCCCTTCAACTCAGGTTCAGTGTGGAGGCGGCGCAACAAAATACCAGTGGTCTGGTAGATAATGCGTGAGTGCGGGCTAGTCATGTTTTCAAAGCGAATAATGTACCCACAGCTGTCGCCACACGCTTCGCCGCGCTCTGTTGCCACGCGCTGAGCGACAGAAAGGGCGCTAATGCGACGCGGCTGGGTGCAGATAATGTCATCCTTCTTGTTGAAGATGCCCGCATCAAACAGCATCTGTGGGATTTGAGTCGTCTTGCCGCATCCGGTATCGCCGGAAATGACAACAACATCGTTTGTTTTCACGGCGTTAATAATTTCCGGACCGTGACGGTAAGCCGGTAGCGACTTTCGAAATTGTTGCAACTCGACTCGGTTGATGTGGTGTGTCGGCCTCGGCACCGAAGAAAGCCCTGGCTGGTGAACGCGAAAGCGCTTTGCTTCAGAGAACGGGTGATTGGCAACCAGTTTGATCTCGCTCGTCATACTATTTTTGTGCGGCTTCAAATCGAATGTCAAAGAGTCGATGTCTTCAGAAGAGAGATGACTGTGGACCAGCTCCTGCGCACCTTGGTAGCCGTCTATTGTCTTGATGCGCACACCGCCCTCAGCAGCGTCGCGTTGACGATTTATGGCATCGATTGCACCACCAATTTTAGTCAGCTTCAATACACGATTCACACCTTCACCACTAGATCTGTGGTCCAAATTAAACGTCATAGCAATGCGGTGTACCACATTTCGTTGTGCCGGCGTTAAGGAGGAAGGGAAGGAAAGCTCATTGGAGCTTCTGTTTTCCACAAAGCCTTTCACGAGCTCGTGGAAGTCCTTTCGGCGCCATGTTGAAACGTCATTCTTGTCGACGTTAGCCTGGGGAGAGCCGCTTGCATGCTGCTGCGTTGACGCCTGCTGAGAGCCGATTGGCTCACTTCTCTGTTCAGGATAGTTTCCTCCTCTACCTCTCCCACGACCTCTGCCACCAAAAAATCTGCTTTGCAACCTCGCCTCACGTCCATTTCCGCGAGTGCCGTACGTCTCTGCCGCTGGTTGACTGTCGCTGTTTGCAGAAGTGACTCCCTCTCCACGGTTAAAATTACCTTTCCTGGGGTGTTGATCACCCTTGTACTTTTGACCAGGATGCATTGGGTGGATAAGTGTGTGGAAACAACGTAGATAGCAATAATAACGGTCCAGCTTTCGTTGGCATGAAATTGTGTGAGCATAAAGTGGAAAAAAAAGGGAGATGAGTGATCGCTGCATTTCTTTTCTTTTCGGGGGAATTTCTTTTTAAGTTACATACACGCATACACACACAAAAAAAAAAGAAGCGATATGCCCATTTGGCGCCTCCTGCGAGAAACTAAGCAGCTATTGGAAAAGCAGAAAACGCTCTACTCTAGTCATGTAACCGCACAGAGTCTATTCCCACCAACTTTGTCTTCTATCATTACCCTTTTCTTTAAAGACAAACATCGTCAGAAGAAGAAAATAGAAGCAGTAGTTCCAAACTACACTTCGACATCTCTCTTATCCTTAAGGACGCACCTTAATTGAAATTACGTTATTTTTGTGTGTCGCAGCCCAGAGTAACCAAACAGTTTAAATATTATGTCAATAAAGAGTGCAGCAGCTTCTTGCAATTGCAAGCAGAAACAAGCAAACAAAAAAGTGAGAACATTACAAATCACCGTTGTCATCGTCCACAATAAAACTGGACTTAGGTGAAAGTTGTTCACCATCGTTACGACCGTCACTCGTCATTGAAAACGCCGAGACGCCCTCGCGCAATTCACGAATGATGAATTCTGTCGAAATCTGTTGCAGATCGGTATCCAGATACTTGAAAAATACCATTTCTAGTGCTGCAACGTTGTTGTACATCCATCGACTCATACCAACATCAGCAGCAATGACTCGCTTGTTGCAATATTGTTCAATTTGGCCGGAATCTTGTGGTGTGTGTCCCACAACGATGCGTGAGACATTAAATCTTTGTAATATTTTGTTGACTTCGTCGCAGTCGCCCATCATACTGTCACTAATCATTTTTCGTGTCCACAAGGGTCCGTTGCTTCGCAAATAGGCATGTCGGAAGTCACGCTTACGGAGAGCTTCTCGAACTTCCGAGTTGAGAGAATTTAGATCGGGTAACAGCATATCGGCTTCGATTCCTGCATGAACAAATAATGTGTTCTCGTCCAGATAGGCAGTCCTAAAATTGTCGATGATGTACTTGCCGAATGCGCCGTCAGCGTTCATTGCTTCCATGCGCAGGGGTCGACTAATAAATCCGCCGTAATTCCGCTTGTTAACGTAGTGATAATGGCCCTGGATATTCAAAAGCTCGTGATTTCCAATCAACAAGATAACTCTATCGCTTGTGAGAGAATTCTGTGTCTGTTCCTGAAGAGCCATCGCAATATTTAATGACTCAAAGTCCTGCTCGCCTCGGTCAACCAGGTCGCCCATTTGCACTAGCGTTGTCCAACTCGTCACTGATGCATTTGGCGCCTGGGAAAATTTCCACTGAGGAGGATTAGTGAGCACGTCCACTACACCACCTGTGCCCTCTTCCACAACATCAGCGAGACGGAGAACTTTCAGGAAGTTTTCTGCGTCGCCATGAACATCCCCAACCGTCACGATGCGGTGAATTTCAACGAGCTCTTTTGTGGCGGCTGCAGGCGTCGCTACAAGTACGCTACAAATTGAAGTGACTAGAGCAAAAAAAGTGAAGTAATAGTTGACAGCACATCGCCTCATTCTCCACTTGTAGAAGTATTCTGTCCAAGTGGCCTGCCCCTAAACAGTTGAATTTAAGCAGCAAAAGAAGCGATTCAAAAGTGAGAGAGAAAACGTCAAGAAGAAGATAAAAGGACTTCTGCATTCCTTATTTTGTGCCCTTTAAATTCCAGAAGCATATGAAAACATCATATGCGATAAGCACTTCTACGTTTTCTTTTTGCCGTTATACCCAAGGTTTGCTATTGCAAATAAGAATAGCAGAGGAAGAGGTGCGAGGGATTTCTGTGTATGGAATTCCTTTTCTCTCTGACGCTATTAAAACTTATACGAGACGGAGCAATGTGTAATATGAAACTCTTGTTTCCGCCTCCGCTGAACCATGATCCATTAAAAAAAAAAAGAGCTTGCAGTGCTGCGCCTTTGTAATACAGCTTCGCAGCAGAGGAAAAGGAAATTCACCTCTCCTAACCTAATACACTACAGCCCCACGCATAATAAGAATGCCTTCAGCGTGGAAGGAGTTAAAAAAGGAACGAGTTGATGTTCGGAGAATGCTGCGCAACTACAAACACACAATAGCCCTCCGTTTCCCCAGCTGGTATGGCATACTCAACCCCTACCGACATGCGAAATCGGATATGCCAGTTGTTGTTAATGTCCCGAAGGGAATCTCAACCTCTTCGCTTAAAATCAGTACCACGTGGAATGCCGCATATCCGTTTCGGCCCCGACGGTGTAGCTAGCGAACACTGAAGTGTAAGTCGCAGGAGATCCCGGCGACTACTTTTATTACTTTGGACGGCCCCAAGCTTTTCCCATCACTTTCGTACTTCTCGTTCTCTGCTGCATACGACTTCCATGGGTAATCTCGCCGGATTTCCGGGGCTCCGCCAGCGCCCCCGGTGCGACCATTTTGACCGCCCAATGTAGCTCTTCGGCTCCCCCTCCCCCCTTCTCTTTCTCCTCCCCCTCTTTGTCTATTCTCTTTCAGCGCAAGCAGCGCCGCATCGCACAAGTGTTGTGCTGGTTTAGGATCTTGGCTACTTTTGGAAAACTGAATGCCTTTTTGGCAGGCAAGGGATTTCTGTTTTGTATGGAACGGTTGTCTTTTCAAAAGGTGGAAGGCATGATCGAGGGTTAGCGCGTATGCTGCACAACGACATATCGAACATCCCGTTTTTTCCCTTTCCGTGCAAATAACGGTATGCAAGCGCCTTTTGGAGGCTTTTTGTGGCTGTCAGTTCTGAAACTCAGTACAAACGACCTGCTTGAGGCTTTTTTGCTGCATCATGCAGAATTTCGTTCGTGCTTTGAGGCGTTGCATTTTGCAAACCAGCTTTGATCTGCTGCATCGTCTTTTGTTGTTGTTTTCGCTGTATTTACCCCGGAACTGCAAAGCAGAAAAAAGGAATATCCAAACTTGGTGAAAAGGATTTGTGGTGTTTACTGGTTATACATACGATCAATAATGTGTTAATTTTGGTGAAGTGTTTGGTCTTGCTTCACATGCTGCTGTAAGACAGAGTTAATTGCAAACGCAACTGTTAAGCTGTGTGTGTTGCCAATGGTAATAAAATGCGCTCGCAGTGCAGTACGCATCAAGCAATACTGGTGTATACGGGCAAAAACTCTAGTTTCATCTTGTCTTTTCTTACCCTTTCAATTATCGCATGACGGACTTCACCAGAAATATGCTCGTGGACTTCTTCCAGTTTGCGTTTAAGGAGATATTAAGTGCGTTCCACTCCAGCAGAGAATAATGTACCGCTCCGGAAGTTTAGCTGCAGCGGCAAAAGTTTGTGACTCCTGCCTCCGCTATGCAAGCACGGAAACCCTTTCAACGCCGATTCGCACAAAACCTCGACTACATAGAAAGCTGTATTACCTGACGCGTCGTGAGGAGCACGAGGAAGGGCTGCGCGATTTTCTTCCCCCAAAACCTTTGCTTCCGGCTGGTTGGAGGATTCAACACCAAACCGGCTTAAACCGTTTTGACTTAATGAAAAACGTTGAAATTCGACAATGTGGTACCGAAGAAATGCACATCATCACTCTCGTAGAGGCAAAAGAATATGAAGGCACTTACCGCATGGACACCGGTGAGCGCGAGGAGCAAGAGTACCTTAACTTCGGCTTATTTATGCGAAAGCAGCGGTATCCAAAAGGTGGGCTGGAGTTTAGCCTCACTTCTATCGATATGGAGCTTGTTATGGACGCGCTCATCGTTCACCCCACAAATGAGGCGTTTGAGACGGCGAAAATGTGTTATGAGAGAGATGTTGTTTTGCGAAAGAACGCAGCTGGTCCAAAATCGACCGGCGAGGCGCAGCGGATGCGACGATCAAAGTACGGTGGTCCAATGTTGAACGAGCTCGATGACGACTTGTCAGACGAAATATTAGACTATCTGGACGAACGTGGTGTCAACAACGCGTTTGCGGAGTACATCATGGCACAGGCGCACTATTACGAGCAAGAGGAGTATTTGAATTGGCTGCGTCTTTTGCGTAAATTTTCTGATTGATGCGACTTCCTCTTAGCGATATCATCTGGTTCTTTTTTTTCTCAACGAACTTCTGAAATGATGGAAATGGGTCGGTGCCGGTGTTACATATATTGGTTTTCCCTCTCTGTGCTGTGATTCACATTTCTAACTAAATCTTGGAATGAAAGTTAAATAGAAGAAAAGGAGCGGTCATTAAAAAGCACTTTTTACTTGGTGTGCACGAAAAAATTTTTCGGAGTGCACGGCCTGCAAAGCCTTCTATTCCCTTGGTTTTTTGATGTACTTTTGATTTACATCCTGTGCTACTCTCTTCTGCTTCCGTGTATCAACTGTTTCGTTCTGTGCTATTCCCGCTAATTATTTGCTGTGTTCTCTATCACTCTCCGCTTTCTTTCAAAAAAGCGATAATAGTATTAACTTTTCTTCCTGCTTTCAGTCACACGGAAATGTTACGGAGACAATGCGTAGCGTTGAGCTACCAGCGTGGCAGTTGGGCCCCAGGGTCCAAGCACCAAAAGCACATGTCCATGAATCCTACAATGTATTTGTACAGATTTGCTGGACCAAGAGGCCCTGGTCCGTACGTGATGAAATATTGGTGGACTCTAGGCTGCTTTCCAACGGGTCTTGAACGTCCGTTTCGCCTTGACGAATTTCTTTGTACCTACCAACAGCAGCACGTGCCGGCTGAAATGGAGGACTGGCTGAGCTGTTTCGTAAAGAGTCCATTTGAGGAGCTGAAATGCGCTACATCGGAGCTTCTTCACCAACTTGAGGAAGTTCCGTCTACCGAGAAAACTCGAGGTTACTGCTCTATTGAGTCTGGCGTTGTATCGTTTGCCGCACCACTGGCGAAGATCGAGAAACAGCTGGGCGTACGCATTCCTTCGTTAGCCGTTCGGGCTGCCTTGGGGTCTTCAGCGTTGCGCGAACGCCTGAAGGACGATTTGTACGAGTATAACGTATCCTTGAGCGAATGTGGCAGTACACCCCACCGCAGACTGGCTCGGGCTTCTTTTGAGGACACTCTCGCAATTAAATCGGGTGAGGAAGAAAACAAGGATGTGACAGGTGCAACTGCTGATATTCCCGCTCCTCTTGGTCAGGCCATCGGCTCGTACGTCTCACCTGACGCACATACTGCGCCTGACGAGAAGAAACTCCTGCGCCTCTTGACCACGTTGTCGGAAGGCTGTGTGCTTAAAGGAGATTACGAAAGTGCATTCTCTATTCTGTCCACCTCACTAAATTTCTCTCACGATGACAGCACGGATTCCGTAGTGCACGCCAACGCCTCCACTGCAGCACTTCTCAATGGCCAGTTTAGGGAAGCTGAGTTTCACGCACGGCAGGCAGCACTGCTAGAACCGCAGTTGGAAGCCACCAAAAAAACTGGCGGCCGGGGATATGCGCTCTGGGCAACGGCAACTGCGTTTCAGGATGATTTCGAACGCGCGACACGCGTTACGGAGAAAGGAATGGAACTGTTTCCTGATAACGCCGAGCTGCAAACGTTGCACGAAAAACTTGTGGTGATGCAAAATAGAAACGTTCCCTCATCCTTGAAAGGGCTCTTGATTCATTCAAAGGCACAGCAGTCTCGAGGTTTACTACACGGAAGCGGGCGGTCGTTTGACAATGAGTTCGACTGGATTGTTTTCAAGAACAAACTGTATCCTAGCAAAATGAATCCGTCTACGAACGAAATGGGCTCCGTGTTTAGGCGTGTGGGTGATTTGGGTGGCCATATCTCTACTTCTCGATCGACAGAAATTCTGTAACCTGGTCGATGCTGTTTCAACTCTTTTGTTATATTTATATCTCACAGCTTATTTTAATTCCATACCAGCAAGCTCAACAGTAATAGCAGCAACCAAAGCACACCTATTGTTATGCAGAGTCTCTTAAGCACAAAAAGAAATCTGTGACACGTTGGGGAGAAAGGAAATTCGCGTCAGAGGATAAAGGTGGGCTTACACACAGAGGTTTTATGTTGGTTATTAATGCCAGCGCTCCTAGCTGACCGACTCTCAACGTTTTTGTTATGCCTGAATATGGATAAAATGTAAGTCTCTCTCCTCCGCTGTTGACCCTTCACTTTCTTTTTTGTTTTCTTCGTTCTCCTGCTCTATCGTCGCCAATCTCTTTAATCGCTATTATTTCTTTTATTATTATTATTATTATTATTTTGGCACACTCGGTGTAAGAAACGATTTGTCGTCAAAGAGTTAACTGAAAAGAAAAAAGTATATATCGGTATCCCAGAAAAATTCCTTTTTTCTTCTCTCTTCTTACCTACCATCAAGTTTCCTTTTTATTGCCTACTTTTTCATTGTCAGGAAGCATGCCGATCTCGACTACTGAAGCCTTTGCGAAGCGTCACGTCACGCGCGACGATGGTGTAGATGTTCTTCCACGTAAGGTGATCACCGTCGCCGCCCTCGAGGCGGGATACTGCCTCTCCTCACCCACAGTTAATGATGCTATGGGCGGTGCCACGTACCCTGACCAGATGACCGCAGAAGAGTTTGCGGCGCTTTGCGAGAAGAACAAGTCTGCATTCATGTCCGCTGAGGATATGGCTAAGTCTGTTGTCGTGGTGGCACCTTCTGGAGTCATCACTCGTGGATCTCTCGAGGAGATCATTAAAAAGAGCAACAACAAGGGCGATGCGCTTTCCGAGGATGAGGTGGAAGCTCTGTTCACGACGCTAGACACCGACAACAAAGGCGCCATTACGGCTGAAGACTTCATGCGTTCCCTCTATGGCGACGAAGGCGCGTTCCGGCTGGCAGAGCGCCGCAAGCTGGACACCGCAGAGGCGGAGCGCCGAAAGGAAGAGGCGGCTGGCCAGGAACTTGCTCGCAAGGAGAAGGAAGAGAACGACAGGCGCAAGGGTGCGGCTGCTGAGGCCAAGCGTAAGGAAGAGGAAGAGCGCCAGAAGGCCGAGGCCGCGAAGAAAGCAGCCTCCGGTGAGAAGAAAGATTCCAATGAGAAGAAGAAGAAGGCCTCCGCCTGCTGCTAGGCCTTACTGTGTGCCCACGAGCGCCCGTGCGAGTCATTCAGAACCATATGACTATCTTGGGGTGTTCAGTTGCACCCGCAGCTTCGTTTTCGTTTTTCTTTTCTTCATCTCCTAGGCAAATTCCGACTTTCTTCTCAGGCGCTTGCGGCACCCGCTCACATACAGGACACACTTCTGCAATCATGGCAAAAATCACACTTGCATTCGTCAAGGCTTCGCTGCCAGAAACTCCTCGAACTTTAATTGTGGGCCATGAATTCCCAGGGTAGACCTGCGTGCGCAGAAAGCGGCGTTCCTGCAACGCAGCAGTCGAACGGTGGTGATACATTTACTTGCCGTGTGGCTGATCTAGCTTGTCAAATCGTTGTTTCTGCGAATTATCGTATTTGAATTGGTGAGTAAAGGCGATTTTTTCTTCTCTTTCTTTTGTATCCTGTTCTTTCCTTCTTTATATATATGTCGTTTCTCGTTTCTCTCTTTGTTTGCTTCTCTGCGTTTTCATCTTCCTCTCCGTGAGTCAACACCTTCGAAGAGCGCGCCGTGCTTTGTTACCACTTTCAATTTCTTTTTCGAGCTCATGCGGCGAAAGCACAGGGAGGGAACAGAGAGCGAATCATCGAGGCGTTTTTTTTTCCCTGTACGATCTTCATTTTCTTTTTTTTTTTCGTAATCAAAGCAGTCGTTGAAATATTTGTCATCTTGTCTCGTCTATATGCATGAGTGAGCTTTTCTTTCTGTCAGGGTACTGTCGAAACAAGCAATCAGAAGAAAAACAAGAGTAAATTTTCGTTCAACAATCTATTTTTTTCGTGAAAGTAAAATGGTTGTTCTTTCGCAGTCGACCCTGTCAGCATCAGTTTTAGAAACTGCGTTGCTCACACTCAGCAGAGGATTTTTTCTTCCTTTCATCAGCATCCAGGTGAACCGACCCCATCAAGTTGTTGGCCGCACCCACTGCGCACTTGAGAAAGAAACAGAAAGTAGGACTGAGTGCCCTCTTTAGTGGACGTATCAACTAGTATGTTGCGTGGAGCACGCTGTGTTTTTGATTCACAGAAGAGACTTCCTTGTTTATCCCTTTCTTGGATAGCTTCCACTCTTCGCATAATTGGTTCTCTTTTGAATACCCCATCTTGTCTTCTTACTGTGCGTGGTGTTCACCTGTCTATGAACTTTTCCGTTTCATGGTATTGCTTGGCGAGGCTGTTCAAGTGAGTGGTGATCTGTGCCTCGCTATTACAAGTTTCTGCTTCATCGCAAATCACTAATTCATATTAGAAACGCGCTGATCACTCACTTTGCAACTAATAAGGCGCGCCGCAGTTATGTGGCGCATTTCACGCGTGGCGCTGCAGGCGAATCGGGCCGGGCTCTACATGCCTTACGCCCCCGTTGCTACAAACCCCGTGGTGTACCTCGATATTACGGTGGAGGGTGATGCTCTAGGGCGTGTGTCTGTGGAACTCTTTCGCGACGTTGTCCCCAAGACGAGTGAAAACTTTCGCTCACTCTGCACGGGAGAGCGCGGACACGCTCAATGCCCGCTGTACTTCAAGGGCATCCCGTTTCATCGGATCATTCCTGGCTTTGTAGTGCAGGGCGGCGACATTCTCACCAAGGATGGCCGCAGCAACGTTAGCGTGTTTGGATATCCGTTTCCTGACGAGTCGTTTGATGGGAAAGCGGGCAAGCATCTGTCTGGTACGGTCGGTATGGCGAATAGCGGACCGAACCGGAATGGATCGCAGTTCTTCTTCAACTTGGGGCGCAACGAGCAGCTAGACCGAAAGTTCGTTGTGGTGGGCCAAGTGCTAGAGGGCTGGGAGATTGTAAATCAAATCGCGCAAGTTTGCGGTTCCCGCTGCGGGACTCCCGTCAGCCGCGCGTGGGTCTCCGATTGCGGACAGAGCGGCGGCTACATGGCGGAGGAGACAGAGGAGGCCCTGCGCGGTGAACGCAGCATGCACGCCTTGCCGGGCAAGGAGGTGCTTGATCTGATCCAACCGCGATACTGATGAAAACGAGTGGAGGGGTTGCAAAAATGACAACCTTTGGCAGCAAGAGGAAAAACTCTACGACGCTTTTGCGCCAAGTTCGAGTGCTTTTCGTTTGTTCTAGCGTTGAGGCTAATGGTTATTTGAAGTGTTCACAACGGTGATATCAATCTTGTTAGTCTTAACCGCATAGCTTCCAACCCTTTTCGCTGACGAGTAATGGTCTTTTTTTTTGTACACTAACACCAACCTGACCTTTATTTGGCGTGAAGAATACTTGTAGGGCTACTTTATTCCCCAAGGACCTTTTCCGCAACACATTTCGAATGCTAATCGGATTTGAGTACGCTCTCACAGCGTTCAGGTCACATTATCTTTGGCTTGAGCTGCTTCCGTTTTTGTTTCCTCCTCCTCCTCCCACTCCCCATTCTCTACCTCGCTCGATCTCCTCACACTTTTTCGTCCACGTTGCTTCCGCTTTTGTTTGCACAGAATTTTCCACCTTTTTTATTCTTCTGCTCAAGTTCGCTGAAAACCCCCACCACCTGAGGTGCTACATCCCTTTTTCACTACTCCTCAGTGCTTCTCATCTTATCTCCCTCTTCTTTCTTTTCGAGTTTACCGCGGCCACTGAGCAGGGTGAGCAGCAGACACGATGCGAAGGACCAACACAGTTGCTGTCGAGGACCCGCCAAGGCGCGGCACGCGTGGAGCTGTCCCGGCCTCGGCGACGCGCGAGTACGGCGTGGCTCCACGTCCCAGCAAGCGCATGCTTAACCGAGAGATCGGCGTGCTGCTGCTTGTCCTTGCTGCGCAGACGATCATGGGCGTTGTGAACATGGACAATGCGCTGAGCACGGAGCTGATGGCGGAGTCGGAGAGCTTCCACGGCCGTCCGTCGCTGAACAACAAGCACTACTCCCACTCCTCGTGCTACTACTCGTCTGCGTCTTCTGCGGACAAGGAGATGCCATACCTGGATGTGTCGGAAGGCATGTCGTCGTCAGGGACCAGCTCCGACGCGAGCGAGAGCTGCGACGACGACCGCGACGAGGAGGACGTTGCGGCCGCGCTGTTGGCGTCGCGGCTGACGATCCCGCGCCGCGCGAACCAGCGCTTTGCGCACGACGAGGACGTGTGGGAGAACATCTTCAGCTCTCTGCCGTGGGATGCGGCGACGCAGGCCCGCGAGCTGAGCAAGTTCCACTTCGGCGAGTCACTGGCGCACGTGACGATTGCGCGGATGCCGCAGAGCAAGACTGTTGCCCTGTTCATCCCGTGCCCGGAGGACCTGGACGGTGACGACATGGCCGTGGAGGCGGAGCTCGCGCCGCGGCTTGCGAGCGCTGACGGTGCGTCGGGGAGCAGCGGCCAGCGCCTGTTCCTGGGCCAGCTGCGCCGCACGGGCACGGTGCCGATGGTGCGGTGGCTTGTGAACACCGTGTTCAACGCGCCGCCCGGTGCGCTTGTGTCCGTGGAGAACCGCCGCAACACGCGCACGCAACGCGGGAAGGGGTGTGCGTGGGCGACGATCAGCGACGCGGCGACGGTGGAGCGGATGCTCGGTGCGCACCACCGGCTGTTCTTCGACACTGTGGACGGCGTGGAAGGCGTGTGGCTTGTGCCGGAGGGCTACGAGGACGCGCTGCAGACGGAGGTGTCGCTGCGGAGCGAGGGCAGCGCGCACCCGAAGCACATGCCGCGCGGCACGATCGTGGTGGAAGATGCCCTCGATGGCGGCGCCACCCGTACCTGCTGCGATGCATGCCCCCGTGAAGGCGTTCTTTCACGGTGCTCGCCGTGGTCACGCAAGGAGCTATGCCGGAAATGTGCCACACTTCGGCCCCGCTCCGCCATACGGGTGCGAGATGACGAACTGGAACGCGGGCGTGCATTATCCCTTCCACCCGATGTGCGAAGAGATGCCGCCGCCGCCGCCGATGCCACGGAGAGACGCGACGGTTGGAGACCGCTGTGCGAGTTTCACGCCATACCGCGTGCCCGGTGCTGACTTTGTGCAACCTGGGGTGTACCGTCACAACCCATACACGGCGATGGCGTAGTGCGAGTGTGGTTCCGCGGACTAGCTTTATCAAGCACAAAAACTACTTTTTTTTCCCTCTTCCCCTCCCCCTTTCCCCTTTTTAGGTTTCGAACTGTAAGTAAACCACGACATTGGGCTTTCAAGATCGTGGGCCTCTCCTTGACAAATGTTCACCTTCACGCACAAGTGATTGCTGTTGCTTGTGAGTTGAGTTTAGCACGCGAGACGCAAGACACCCGAATTGCGGCGCTGTCTGTGTGTGTGCGTCTTCTGTGCTTTTTTTTCATGGGCTTCGTGCTAACAATGTGATTCTTGTTTCTCTCTCTTGCTTCGCTTGCCTCGAGCAACGCATTCTTCTCCTTTCAAATGCTTCTCAATCAGTAATGTTGAACAAGCGGCGCATCCTGTGTTCCTTTTTTTTCTTTCGTATTTCCTCGCATCGGCGTGCGTGTGCCACGGTGTTGCTCCTGTGCGCATGCTTTCCGCGCGTGCTGTTCATGGCTCCATTGCTACCTCGTTACCGCGGTGTGCCTCGTTGGCTTTCACTGGCACGTCTGCCTTTGAATCTTCGGAAGAGTGCTCATCGTTGGGTACATCAATCTCTCCCCTCCTCTCCCCCCTCTCTCCCCTCCTCCTTTTTCTGGATATTACTGTTAGAAGTGAAGGTACCTTTTCTTTTCACCCCGTGCGCTCAAAGACCAAAATCTCTTGATAGTGTCCTGTGCTGCATTTCTTTTTTGTTGTGTAGTTAAAAACCATTGTTTTTTCTTCTACTCTTTTCCTGTCGTTTACATCGAGAGTCTAACTGCGAAGCAGCTGGATCCTTCTCCGCAGGCAGTGAAAGGCAACCCACACTCCGAAGTACCTGATTCGTGCGTCATGAAGAGTCCAGCAGCAGTTGTGGTGGCGAAGACCACGACCACGGAGTCTGTCGAGCTCACAAATGAGGATATTCCCGTTTCACCGAGGCATCCCTCGAAGCGGATGCTCAACAAGGAGATCAGTATTATCATGCTCGTCATGGCGGCACAGACAATCACCGGTATGGTAAAGATCCAAGAGAACAGCGGGGGCGCGGAGCTCGTTGCTGAATCCCACAACTTCCACGATCGTCCGTGGCTGCATGACAAGTCGTTTTTCTCTGCTTCGCATTACTCGTCGGTGTCGTCATTGGAGCAGCTGCCTTATGTGGCTATGTCGGAAGGCATCTCATCGTCCAGCGCGCATTCTGACGCGAGCGAGAGCTGCGACGACGACCGCGACGAGGAGGACGTTGCGGCCGCGCTGTTGGCGTCACGGCTGACGATCCCGCGCCGCGCGAACCAGCGCTTTGCGCACGACGAGGACGTGTGGGAGAACATCTTCAGCTCTCTGCCGTGGGATGCGGCGACGCAGGCCCGCGAGCTGAGCAAGTTCCACTTCGGCGAGTCACTGGCGCACGTGACGATTGCGCGGATGCCGCAGAGCAAGACTGTTGCCCTGTTCATCCCGTGCCCGGAGGACCTGGACGGTGACGACATGGCCGTGGAGGCGGAGCTCGCGCCGCGGCTTGCGAGCGCTGACGGTGCGTCGGGGAGCAGCGGCCAGCGCCTGTTCCTGGGCCAGCTGCGCCGCACGGGCACGGTGCCGATGGTGCGGTGGCTTGTGAACACCGTGTTCAACGCGCCGCCCGGTGCGCTTGTGTCCGTGGAGAACCGCCGCAACACGCGCACGCAACGCGGGAAGGGGTGTGCGTGGGCGACGATCAGCGACGCGGCGACGGTGGAGCGGATGCTCGGTGCGCACCACCGGCTGTTCTTCGACACTGTGGACGGCGTGGAAGGCGTGTGGCTTGTGCCGGAGGGCTACGAGGACGCGCTGCAGACGGAGGTGTCGCTGCGGAGCGAGGGCAGCGCGCACCCGAAGCACATGCCGCGCGGCACGATCGTGGTGGAACTGCCGGCATCTTCGGCGGGTAAGACGCGGGCAGCGATGACGGTGGAGGCGGAGGCAGCTGAAAGATCGGCTGGTACGACGATGTCGGAGAGTGGCGGTGCGGCCACCTCGGTTTGTGCTGCGACACCTCCGCAGAACTTCGTTGGACCAGAGAACGAGGAGGAGATCACGGTGCCTGTTGAGAAATCAGCGGCGGATGATGTGCGTCTCTTTGCGGAGGAGCGGTTTGTGCCGTACCGCGTTCCCGGCGTGGACTTTGTGCGGCCTTGTGTGTACCGCCTGAACCCGTACACATCAATGATGTAATGCAGCCTCAGATGGGACAAGGGCCCACATGAAAGTGTCGGTTGCAGCAAAGGCTGCGTTAGAATTTCCACCACACCTCGACGCGATTCGGCGTGTTAGGCTCAGGCATAAACACTGCAAAGCTCGACAAGCTCCATTGAAGTCTCTCTTACCATTTTTCTTGCTTCTTGGCTTGTTTGTCTTCGGCGTTTATTTATTCGTCTCTTCCATCAGCATCATGAGCCGAGTCGGAGAGGAAGGCATAATTCTCTTTTTACTTTGATGCCTACGTACCCCATTTTTTCTTTCTTTACGTTTTAACAACTCCTTTACCTTTCTGTTGTTGTTGTTCTCCTCATCATCTCATTGCTGAAGGTGTGTTTTCTTCTGGTTTGTGCAAAAGTACATTTCCTCAAGTAGGGTTTACTGCGCTGTATCGTGTGTTCAGTGCAAGAGGAATATTGTTTTTCTTATCATTGATGCCGTCCAGTATCTTTTTAGTTATTTCCCTATTAAATAGCTATGTAGTTTCTTTGGCTTCATGTTTCTTCGTGGCGTGTATAATAAACGCTTTTGTTTTGGGTTTTAAGTGACCTCTCTCTCGCTCTGCATACGATACTCAGCCTTCTGTGAGTGTGTGTGTATTCCTCCTTGACAACTTTTTTTCCCCTTTCTTTCCTGCTCCGTCGCTCCGCAGAATCCTGATTGCGTCTCTATCCACTTTCTCGATCTTCTTTTTTCGCTCTTATGATTGTTATTACTGATGTTTGACATCTTTGTTGGTGCATTGGTGTGTCGGTGATCAGCACAAAGCAGAGAAGTCGAATATTATTAAACAACTTGTGTAAGATAGAAGAATCGAAGGACCGCAGAATTCTGCAAGCGTTGTGCTGATGAATGACAGCGCGGATGCGGCGTTGTGTTGTTCCAGCGAGGAAGTGGCAGAGGGGAAAATAAAAACCGAGTAATTTTCGAGGGGAGATTCTATATATGTAAGATCGATAGGCATCCATACACCAGCAGGAATAACCTCTTTTTCTTTAGAATATATCTGCGCGTGTTCGTTCTGAAGTAAAAAACTCATGAATATCTATGATGTCATTGAAAGGAAAGCCTACGAGATTTATTTTTCTTTGTTAAGAAGGACGGTCATAATAAAACTATCATCTCTATTTTTTTTTTTGGTTTTGCTCCCTTTGAATTTTGTTTTGCTTTCAGTGATGCACATATATATTTCCTTTTCTGCCGTTGTAGGTGCGTTTCTTTTTTCGGTTATTGTACTCATTTTGCTTCCGCCTCTTCTTTCTTTTTAGATTCTGTCCACGAGCTTTCTTTTCTGCTCTGTTCTCCTTTTTCATTCGCGTGCCCCTCCTCCTTCTCCAGGCATTCTAGCGTCTTTCGCTGAAGGGTTTCTGTTTGTTACGAAGAGGAGAAAAGAAGAGGAAGGCGTGACTTGCAGTCGGTAGGAAAGAGAGGCTGTAGAACGCGTGAGCTGGGTAGTTTTTGGATCACACGGCACGGCGCCGTAATGCAAGAGTTTTGTTTTGTGTCGAGCTCGAAAAGCCTCCTCATTTTTTTTTCCTTTTGTTGCTGTGTTCATCTTGTTGTGAATCTGCGCGGATTTTTGTGTTGCAGGACGGCGCGTACGATACAAGCCCCGAGGTCACTCCCTCCTATGCTTTTTTCCCCTCTTTTTTTGTCACGTGCAGAGGTTTGCGCTTCACGATGCCGCGGTTTCCAAGCATGGTCCGCAAGTCAAAATTACTCTTCATTTGGTAGGCTTTTGACTTTTTTATTTTCCCGAGTTCTTTATTAAGGTGTAGAGCAATGTCTGTTTCTCGAAAAAGCAAAAAAAGAAAAAAATGGTGAAGATCCTCCGAAGAGCAACGCGAATCTGAATAAGTAGGTGAGATGCATCACTCAGAAATTAGTGCATACTTATATCTGCGTGGGCGCACTCTTGTCCTTGCGTTGTGGGTCGTTCTGGGCGGTACACGATTCTTCATTTGATGTGCAACACTGGCGAGTTGTGCATCAAAAGGAAGGAGAAGAAAAGACCATCTCTTTTCTTACAGCACAGGACGTTTGTTGGGGATATTTCGGCATGCTTCGAAGGTACTCTTATGCATCCTGTTATCCAGCAACAACAACACAAGTGAGATGAAGACGTACATGGGCCTTGAGACACACGCACGCATGAGCAACAACGGTAGTTTTTTTTTTGGTACCTGTCAACTTTCCTGCGTCCTTTATTGAATATATTTTTTCTTTCTTTTTGCCGATCTCCTATTTCTGCGTATGCACCCAATCGTGACAAACCAACAAACATGGTTGCTTGCTTTTCTATTTTTTTTGTTTTGCCAGATAAGCCACAACCTTTTGTCCAAGCCTTGGAGCACCCCCCTCCCCCCTGCAGCCGTTATCACTCGCCACGTCGTTCGATCTTCTCTGAGGGGAACAAAAGTAGGCTCCTCTTCAGCCAGAAAACGACTCACGGGAACAAGCGTGTATCCACGGAGACACTGAAACGGAGAGGAAGATTACAACTGAACAGCATTCATACCAGACAGAGTTTGAATCGTAAACGCAGTTCCCCGATATATTGCAGCGCAACAATGCCGGCCGATGGAGTTGTTATGGATAAAATTATTGAAGGGGACGGCAAGACGATCCCCCGTCCTGGCAGCGTCGTCACGTTGGATTACATCGGCTGCTTAGAAGACGGCAGTAAGTTTGACTCGACGCTCGAACGGGGCAAGCCCTTTGTGTTTCGCGTAGGCTGCGGTGAGGTGATTAAAGGCTGGGACACCGGAATCGTGCAAATGTCGAAAGGCGAGCGCAGCAAGCTGACGATGCCGCCGTCTTTAGCGTACGGTAGCTCTGGATTCCCCGGGCTGATCCCTCCCAACTCTACCATCGTGTTTGAGGTAACGCTGCTGGATGTGGCGTAGCAACCGCACTTATGTGTCTTCTTGCTGTTGTTTTTTTCTTTTTCTTCTGGCTCTCACACAGACAACGAGCAGGAGGGAGCTGGCACTTTCTGCATGTCGTTGCAGTGATGTCATGTAAGCAATGGGGTCTGTGCTCTAACTCCTGCCTTTTCAGTTATTTGTTTATCTGACCAGTGCTGCGAATGTAGCTGGATGGTGCTTACGCGACGAACATGTGTTCTGCGCTTTGGTTGTCTACTATGTTTGTCACCTACTATTCGATGTACACAAGGAAAACTTTTCGTCCATGAAAACACACACACACACACATACCCCCATCACCAACGAAGCAATCAACCAAGAAAAAGTTTTGCAGAGAGAGGGCGTGCGAAACCGTTGTTTCGCAGAAGGAACGTGCTCTCTCTCTTCTTCTTGTTGAAGGACCGCTTTGGAAAACACTCCGTGGTGAAAAGGGAAGGGTGAAAATGGAGCGCCTACGGAGAGTAGGCAACGCCTGTCGCCGCAAAGACGCGACGCTCGTGGTTGCGGCGCTTCTCCCTAGTGTTCTTTGTAGTGCCCAACACGCCGTCACCTGTGCGGCTGCTACTCCCACAGCCCACTACTCTCAGGTCATTTCCCTCTATACGGCAATGCGGTCTCGTAGAGGCCAAATGAAGTGGTGGTAAACGCGTTCAGAAAGCGCCATCGTCGCCTGCTTGTAGTGCTCCTCTGGCGTCGATCTTCTTTTCCCCCTTTTCGCAGCGCCCACTCCAGCTTTCAACCTCTGCGAATGCAGTGGCAATACTTGTCCTTTTCTCTCTTCCCTTCTTTTCTTGTTGTGTTACGGTTAAGAAGAACCCTCCCTCTTCGACACGTACCGGCAGTAAAACCGTGTCGCTCTTGAGTTGTGGTCATCTTCGACTCTGGCTAGGTGTGTCCGCAAATTTAGTTCTTCTTTTTTTTCTTCGGTTGACTGCCGCCTTCTTCCGTCTTCCCTGTTACATTGGAAGTTGCCGTGCATATACACGCACGATTCTCTTTGTTGCTTCTCACACAATCACCCTTATTAAACACAAAAACAGCTTTCCCAATGCTCACCGCTAATCAAAACAATGTGGTTGAGCCGCCGGCCTCACCTGACCCGCAGCGCACTTCTGGCAGAGTGGGAGTACGGGACAGGGCGACGGAGGTGGCCGCACCCACCTCGCCACCGCCGGTCTCAAACACCGACACCACGATCAAAAAGTTCTCGTGCCTGCAAAACTTCCACTTTGGTCCGCTCATGTCCGCGGCGATTGTCGAGTTCATTGGTACGTTTCTGCTGGTGCTGACGGTGCCGCTCACTTCCATTCAGAACGCCGAGATGGCGCCGATTGCGGTGGGCTTCTTGCTCATGTCCCTCGTCTTCTCCTTTGGCTACCTCAGCGGCGGTCATTTGAATCCGATGGTCACTATCTCCGTCTGGCTCGCCACATCCACTGGGGCCGGCTACGCTGCCTTCAATAAGCGTCGCCTCGTCATGTACGTCATTGCGCAGATGGCGGGCGGTGTGCTGGCCACCTTCTTCTGCATGATGATCAATGGCCGTGAATTCCCTGTGCCCAGCATGGGACTTAGCTTCAACAGGATGGTGCGCGGCTTCCTCGCCGAGAGCGTCTTCACCTTCGTCTTGTGCTCCGTCGTCCTGCACGTGGCCATTAGTCGGCAGCGCAACAACAACTTCTACGGCTTTGCCATCGGCTTCGCCGTGCTGTGCGGTGGGCTGACGTGTGCGCCGATCAGCGGTGGTGTGTTCAACCCGGCCGTGGCCACGCCGTTGATTGTGATCCGCTGCTTCTTCTCTTTTAGTGCGTCCGGGTGCACCCCAATGGCGTCCCTGTGGGTGTACTGGGCTAGTGAGGTGGTAGGGGCCGTGTGTGCTTCGATCATGTACTTGGCCCTGCAGCATCTGGGAGCCGAAGTTTGAAAAGAAGATGACGACAAGAGAACATCTACGTTGCACCTGATCGGTTTTTGTTTTTGCCTCGCTGTGGTCGAGAATGGACCGAAAGTGCGCGCCTGCGGAGTTCTTGTCCCTGGACCTTTTGCTTCCGTGTTGACGCGTTGAACACTCGCCAGCAGAGCGTTTTTTCCACCTTCTTTATCGTTCTCTGCGCCTTTTCAGTTCTTTTTTTCTTTTGGCGGCTGTTGACGCACATCGCCAAACGAACAGCTAGACAGCAACCGTAGAAGCAAAAGCGAAACGAAAGACACATGTGCGCCATCCTCCCAAAACAACCACCGTTGAAATCTATCGCGGAAGTAGGCGGCGCACAGGGAAAGTGTCACGATTGCCGAACACTTACCATTCTTGGACGCCTTTTTTCCTTTGGACGACTCAAAAACCTCCAGAAGACAAATCATGAGGAAAACTGCACGCCTTTTTTTTTCCATGGAATCAAAAAGGAACAGCTCTCCTACCAAAACAAATTCAGCGCACCCCGCTTGCATCGCAACCTTCTTCGCACAACCTCAACTACTAACTCCCGACTTCTTCTTTACTCCCAGATCTGTCAACAAAACAACACTTGAAGGGGCCGCTCCATTGAGCCTCCACGCTTTCCATTCTTGTGGGGATGCGGACACCCCCTCACGCGCAGCGATGACGATGATCCACTTACGACGGTCTTATGACTACCATCCCGACTATGGATGGAACACGAGTGTCAAACTGTTGCTGGAAGGAGCGCACCACCGATTTCCAGCCGGTGCGCTCTGTGCCCGAGTTGCGCGTGCGCTGCCGCGGCTGTTCCCCCGGAGAGGGCGCTGCGCTTCTGTGTGCTTGCTTGTGTGGTGCGCGTGCGTGATGAGAATCCAAGCTTAGGACACCTTTGGATGCGGCGAGTGCCGCAGGTGAAAATACCGAGTTTGTTGCATATCGATTCGTACTCTGACATGGCGCGGCGCGAGCGCGCGTGGGTGTGCGGGCACCTGCGTGTGCCCCCAAAGCAGCCCCGCATTCATCGAGACACACGATGCGGACACCCCCTCACGCGCAGCGATGACGATGATCCACTTACGACGGTCTTATGACTACCATCCCGACTATGGATGGAACACGAGTGTCAAACTGTTGCTGGAAGGAGCGCACCACCGATTTCCAGCCGGTGCGCTCTGTGCCCGAGTTGCGCGTGCGCTGCCGCGGCTGTTCCCCCGGAGAGGGCGCTGCGCTTCTGTGTGCTTGCTTGTGTGGTGCGCGTGCGTGATGAGAATCCAAGCTTAGGACACCTTTGGATGCGGCGAGTGCCGCAGGTGAAAATACCGAGTTTGTTGCATATCGATTCGTACTCTGACATGGCGCGGCGCGAGCGCGCGTGGGTGTGCGGGCACCTGCGTGTGCCCCCAAAGCAGCCCCGCATTCATCGAGACACACGATGCGGACACCCCCTCACGCGCAGCGATGACGATGATCCACTTACGACGGTCTTATGACTACCATCCCGACTATGGATGGAACACGAGTGTCAAACTGTTGCTGGAAGGAGCGCACCACCGATTTCCAGCCGGTGCGCTCTGTGCCCGAGTTGCGCGTGCGCTGCCGCGGCTGTTCCCCCGGAGAGGGCGCTGCGCTTCTGTGTGCTTGCTTGTGTGGTGCGCGTGCGTGATGAGAATCCAAGCTTAGGACACCTTTGGATGCGGCGAGTGCCGCAGGTGAAAATACCGAGTTTGTTGCATATCGATTCGTACTCTGACATGGCGCGGCGCGAGCGCGCGTGGGTGTGCGGGCACCTGCGTGTGCCCCCAAAGCAGCCCCGCATTCATCGAGACACACGATGCGGACACCCCCTCACGCGCAGCGATGACGATGATCCACTTACGACGGTCTTATGACTACCATCCCGACTATGGATGGAACACGAGTGTCAAACTGTTGCTGGAAGGAGCGCACCACCGATTTCCAGCCGGTGCGCTCTGTGCCCGAGTTGCGCGTGCGCTGCCGCGGCTGTTCCCCCGGAGAGGGCGCTGCGCTTCTGTGTGCTTGCTTGTGTGGTGCGCGTGCGTGATGAGAATCCAAGCTTAGGACACCTTTGGATGCGGCGAGTGCCGCAGGTGAAAATACCGAGTTTGTTGCATATCGATTCGTACTCTGACATGGCGCGGCGCGAGCGCGCGTGGGTGTGCGGGCACCTGCGTGTGCCCCCAAAGCAGCCCCGCATTCATCGAGACACACGATGCGGACACCCCCTCACGCGCAGCGATGACGATGATCCACTTACGACGGTCTTATGACTACCATCCCGACTATGGATGGAACACGAGTGTCAAACTGTTGCTGGAAGGAGCGCACCACCGATTTCCAGCCGGTGCGCTCTGTGCCCGAGTTGCGCGTGCGCTGCCGCGGCTGTTCCCCCGGAGAGGGCGCTGCGCTTCTGTGTGCTTGCTTGTGTGGTGCGCGTGCGTGATGAGAATCCAAGCTTAGGACACCTTTGGATGCGGCGAGTGCCGCAGGTGAAAATACCGAGTTTGTTGCATATCGATTCGTACTCTGACATGGCGCGGCGCGAGCGCGCGTGGGTGTGCGGGCACCTGCGTGTGCCCCCAAAGCAGCCCCGCATTCATCGAGACACACGATGCGGACACCCCCTCACGCGCAGCGATGACGATGATCCACTTACGACGGTCTTATGACTACCATCCCGACTATGGATGGAACACGAGTGTCAAACTGTTGCTGGAAGGAGCGCACCACCGATTTCCAGCCGGTGCGCTCTGTGCCCGAGTTGCGCGTGCGCTGCCGCGGCTGTTCCCCCGGAGAGGGCGCTGCGCTTCTGTGTGCTTGCTTGTGTGGTGCGCGTGCGTGATGAGAATCCAAGCTTAGGACACCTTTGGATGCGGCGAGTGCCGCAGGTGAAAATACCGAGTTTGTTGCATATCGATTCGTACTCTGACATGGCGCGGCGCGAGCGCGCGTGGGTGTGCGGGCACCTGCGTGTGTATGCGTGGTTCCCTAACTTTGATAAACTGCCTTTTCCGTAGTGTGTTCCTCGTTCCTTTTTGTTGTTGTTGTGTTTTCGCCGCTGCCCATTTCTGAGAACTCTCACTTCGGGATGACTCTGCATAATATGTGTCAGAGCCGCCCGCTGATGAAGTCTTGTATCTCTGGGAGAGGGTTGTCACTGATGTAGAAAGAGTCAAAAAAGAAATTGAATCAAAGTATGACGTGCTTTACTGTCTCCGCTCTTATCGGACGGGAGGAGGGGGCGCTCGAGTTCATCTACGATACATGCGATCGTATACGTGTGGTTAAGTGATGTTTCTGAACTTGTATCCCTTACTTCTGTTTATAAACGTTTCCTTTGTTCTCTTTCTGTTGTCCTTCTCTCCTACCTTTCTTTCCCCCACTGTCTACGCTTTCTACGCGGTTACTTATCATAATAGTCTTCTAGCATCTGAAGGAGTTGCTGCTCTCGACTGTGCACCACGCGCTTGTTATCGCCACTCCCACCTCCCTCCCCCTTTCTTCGCTTTTCTACCTCTTTCTACTGTTGTTTTTGAAGATTCCAACAAGGTACCGTGAACATGGCGGCCCTCACCGACGAGCAGATTCGCGAGGCCTTCAACCTCTTCGACGCGGACGGGTCTGGCGCGATTGATGCGGAGGAAATGGCCCTAGCAATGAAGGGCCTCGGCTTTGGTGACCTGCCGCGCGACGAGGTGGAGCGCATTATCCGCTCCATGAACACCGACGCCAACGGACTCGTAGAGTACGGCGAGTTTGAGAGCATGATTAAGTCCCGCATGGCACAGAAAGATTCCCCTGAGGAGATCTTGAAGGCGTTCCAACTCTTCGACCTGGATAAGAAGGGTAAAATTTCCTTTGCGAACCTGAAGGAGGTGGCGAAGCTGCTCGGGGAGAACCCCGGCGATGACGTGCTGAAGGAGATGATCGCCGAGGCGGACGAGGATGGCGATGGCGAGGTCTCGTTTGAGGAGTTTAAGAGCGTGATGCTGCAGATGCGCGGTAAGTAACGAAACTACGAGAGTGAAGAAAGAGTATTAGATTTTTCTTTATTTATTTCGATGCGAAGGAACCTGAGCGGAAAATGCGAAAGCATCTGTATTTTGTGTTTTGATCTACATTAGAACCGTTGCCTGTATTTGTCTTCTTGTCTCTCCAAAGCGCTTCTGTCCTTTATCTTTTTTTTTCTTTTTTGCGCCTGTTTCACGTGAGAGAGCAAGAACTGGAAGATAAAAACAATTTGTTATGTTGTTGTTACTGTGCTCGTTTTCCGCACTTTCTGCCGATCCAGCGAAAGGGACAACGGAGACCGCGAGATGGCTGTCGGATAAATTCATAGAGGTGTTTTCCGTGTCGCAAAAAGAAAAGGAGGGAAAAACGGGAATGCCACGCTCGTGTCGAAGTACTTAAAAAAGCCTTCAAGAAATATGTCGGGGGCTTTGCGCGTTGTCTTCCTGCCTTCCATCCGATAGGTAGAGATAGACGAGTGCGAAGAGCAACTCTCTCTCTCTCTCACTTACTCGTGCAGTGCTTTCTATTCGTTGTACTGAAGCAATGAGAAAGTAAAAAAAAGGATTTGTATTTCGCGTTAGCGGGCGTATATGCGCAGCCTGGACGACTGAAATGCCTATGAAGATAGAGTCGCTCGACTCTACAGCTATTTGTAAGGCGGACAAGTGATTGATGTTATTGTTTCCTTTTCGTCTCTCTTTCTTCTGAATCTGGCCCTGCCGACTTCCTTGCAAATCAGCTTTCTCTTGACTGCGTAGATACTGCCTTCGTCTGCTTTCGTTTTCTTATTTTCTGTATTCTTTTCAACGAATACAAGACGCAGAGGTTTAGAAACGCTTTAGCACGCCTCAAAGCCAGTCGTGAAACACATTTTTCCATCTTTTGTCTCTCCACTCGTCACTGGAGAAACGAAGAAAAATACGAAATGGAGTCCGACCCTGCCGCTCGTTCCACGACGCCAGCAACACCCCACTCCCCCGCTCCACACACCGGATCTCCCGCTCCACCTACAGCCGGTTCCACCGCTTCTAGAGCCTCTGTTCCTCGCGCGCTCCCCCACGCTCTCAGTGATGTGGACGTGTCCTTCACCTCCACACTTCCTTTACCGCACGAGCTGTCCGGCCGTAGCACTCGGCCGCAGCTATCCAACGCGACCGAGGTGGGCCTGCCACTGGTTGTCCGCACCGCATCCTCATCGATGCTTCAGCAGCAGCTGCAGCATCAGAAGCGCTTCACACCGACGCCGCCGCTGTCGCGCATGTCGCTTGTCCGCGCGTCTGGTGCGGCGCGCGGCACGCCCACCAGCGTCTCTGGCCGGCACCTCTCCATCGCCGAAGACTCCGGCCACACTTTGTTGACGTCCTCTTCGTTGCGAGTCTTCAGCATGTCCATCCCGAAGGACGCGTCTCGCCTGCTGCTCCACCCCCTCGATGCCCAGCGGCAACAGCAGCTCGCCTTCTCTCTAAACAGCCGAGACCAGCAGCTGGAGGAGCAGAGCCGGCAGGGACGGGTGAAGATGCTCCTACAGCAGCAACGGCGGCGACTGGCGTGGGCGCTGGCGAGTGACGCGGCAGCGGGTGACATGCTGGCGGACTGGGAGGCGGTCGCCCTTGTCGTGCGGGATCGGCGGACCTCGCTGCAACCAGACGGGTACCAGGCGTTCTCCTTCCCGGACGGCGCCGCGGTGTACGAGGGGAACTGGAAAAACTGCCACCCGCACGGGCGCGGCTGCCTACGACGCTCGTCACCGCTGAATGACGTGTACGAGGGACAGTGGTTTGCCGGGCAGCGCTGCGGCACCGGCACGTACCACAACAGCGATTTTCAGATCCTTTACCAGGGCTCGTGGCTGGATGACAGGGTGCACGGCAAAGGCGAGCTCGTGGAGCCGGAGGGGGTCTACACGGGCGAGTTTGTCGAGAACACACTGCACGGCTACGGGGAGTACGTCTACAACGACGGCCACGTGTACAAGGGCGATTGGGTCCGCGGCCTCTACGAGGGCAATGGCGTCTACCTCTATCCCAGCGGCACCAAGTACGAGGGCGGCTGGCTGCGCGGCTGCGAGCACGGCCGCGGCACGAAGTGGTTCAGCAACGGCGACGTGTACATCGGGGAGTGGGTGCACGGGATGCCGCACGGCAACGGCACGTTGACCAGCACCTGCAGCACGGCAACGCGTGTGAGCGGGCAGTGGCGGTACGGCTCGTTGCATGGGCAGGCCACCTGCACCTTCTCGAACGGCAGCTACTACACCGGGGAGTGGCAACGGGGGCGCTTCCATGGCCAAGGCACCTACGAATTCTCCAGCGCCAACAGCGAGGAGCACCGCTACACAGGTGCTTTTGTGAACGGCAGGCGGCACGGCTACGGCGAGTACGTGTCGCCCACCGTCACCTACGCGGGGCAGTGGGTGCAGGACAAGAAGGAAGGCGAGGGCTCGTTGCAGGTGCGAGGAGGTGGCACGTACTTTGGACTGTGGAAGGCGGATGTGCCAGATGGGCAGGGCGTCTACGTGTCGACGTATCGAAAAGGGTGCCACGACGAGGTGCACTGTGACGCCGTGGAGGGCGACTTCGATGCCTGCGTGAATCAGAATGAGCAGCAGCGCGTGGACGTGCGGCTGCTGGGTCGTTCGTGACGAGGACAAACACGGTTATATATATAAAAGGGTTTTTTGTGACTTTCACACTACCCTTGTAAATACTCTGTCGCATCTTCTTTTTTTTTTCATTCATTCTTTCTTTTGGAATCCACGATGTACGCTTTGTTTTTCTCCATCTCTTTACTATGGTAGCAACGCGACTTTCTTCTCATCAAGCCTGCACCTGCTTTTGCCTTGGCCGCACTCAACCGAATAATGCGAACGAAAAAGAAAAGAAAAGGAAACTGAAAAGGAGAGATTGATTCTGAAGGGGTCGCGTACGTCAAAAGGAAACTGCTATCAACTGTCTTTCCGTTTTTACTTGTTTCCCATTCTTGTGCTTCGAACAACACTTGGGCAAAAAAGGAAAGAAATGCCGCAACAACCAACGTCAGTTGTTAAAGTGGTGCACACGTTTTTGCTTTTGTTTTTGTTTTGGGAAAAAGCAGTATCCTCGTGATGTGTGATGTGTTCTCGTTCGTTGTGGTGACGCGTAGGACTGTAGCGCAGCACGCGTCTTTGGCTGGTGCAACTTCACTGCACTTCCTTCTCCTCCTCCTTTCTCTCCTTTTTTTTTTATCTCCGTCTTGATTCATTTGCATGCATTCTTTAAATCCCTTCTTGGATACTGTTATGTCCGAAACAGTGAAGGAAGAGAAGGACATCGTATCGCAGAGAAGGCATGCACTCCACTTCTCCCGTTGAGCCGCCGCCTCAGCAGGCAAGCCGCAACCCCACCACTGCCACCAACGACAGCAGCACCGGCTGCAGCGGAAATGCAAGTGCCTCCTCCGACACAGTGGTGCCCGTGACGTTTGTGTCAAGTGTGGGCGACTTCCAGGCGGTCTTTCGCAGCAGCAATTCGGACAGCAGCCTAGCGAGTGAGAGGAGTGACGCTTTTCTCCTCTGCTACGAGCAGCCGACGGACGCGGTGACTTCCGATGCTCTCGTCCGCTTTCAACAAAGCGTGGAGGAGGCTGCTCGGCTGCACGGCACGCGACTGCGTCTCTTTCTCTGGGACTGTGGCAGCCCCGCGTTCGCCAGCGCAAAGACCCAACTAGAAAAGCAGCCAGGACATCCGCTGCTGCTGATTGTGTTTCGCGGAGCCATCGCGGATAGCATTCGTGGGGTCTCCCTCGCTGAGATGACAGCGACGGAGATCCCCAAGTTGTGCGGCCGTCTCGCCTCATTTCAGTCGTCTGCCAAACCTGCGTGTGTGACGCAGGGACCGCAACGTGCGGCATCACAGGAAAATGACGCCACCGAAGAAGGAGAGCAGCAGCAGCAGCAACCGGCACCTCAGCATCTTTCCGTGGATGTGGCGAGGATGGTGGGAATGGGGAAGAAGCTCATGGCAGAGCGTAAGCCGTTTTATGCGGAGAAATTCTTTGTCAAGTCGCTGCAGACCCTCGACTCCGTGTCCGCCGATGTGGACCGCTTCGTTGTGACGCGCGCAGATTACGACGGCAGCGTAGCCCTCTGCCTTGCGTGGGCAGGCCTTGCGCAGCTCATTCAGGGGAAGCAGACGGTCGATAATCCCTACCTGCGTCGGCTGAGGGACTCTGAGAGCTTGCGCGTGTTTCGCGAGGAGCCGCTGAGCGACGCCTGTCGCGCTGTCGTCATGTGGGAGTTGATGCAAGCAGCGCCGCGGACGTGGAGTGAGGCAGAGGGCAGCGAGAAGAAGCTGCGGGAGGTACTAAAGACGAATCCGCACGACGTCACCGCGCGCTCGCTGCTCGTGGTGACGCTCTTCTTAAGCGGTGACCTCGAGCGCGCCATGACGGAGGCGTTAAAGCTGCACGTCTGTGGAGAATCGTACGGTCGCGTAGCGCTGAAGCAGATGAGCTCGTTTCTCGGACATGATCACGCCTTGGTGAAGCAGCTGGGTATTCCCGCTTTACTGGACCCTCGGCCCACCTAATGGTGTGTTGCCGAGCGTGTGTTTTGTTCTTCTGCGAAGGGCGATTGTGCATGGGCATGGCCGTCTTCATCGACGAAAAAGAGGTCATGTCTTCGCACTGCGTGGAATGATGGACGTGTGTTTTCCCTGTATTTTTATTGCGCAGGTGGAGATCGTGCTTGACACTCTTCGGCGTTCAGCGCAAGGAGTTTGAAGTCATGATCTTCACAATAGTAATGGTAATAACGCGTATTTTAAAGATGCATGCGCAGCAGCTTGTTTTTTTCCCCCCTGCTCAAAGATGAACTCCTCCTGTGCTATTCATCTTCTTTTAGCCTCTCGACGCTCGCCTTCTCGATACGTTGGGAAATCCCAAATGCTTTTTCGCGTCATCGTTACTTTTCTCGCGCGCCCCTGTCCTCCACAGAGTTGTTCGGCGTACAGACAATTCCTTCTTCCTCTCTTTTTTGCCGAAACTCCACCTCCACGTTTTACTACTCCTTTTCGTTTTTGTCTTCTTCGCATTCCCCTCCCCTCCCCTCTGTTTGCTCCCTCTCAGCAGTTCTAACTCTCAAAGGAAAAAGAGGGAAAGTGGCAGCTGTCGTGGCAACCGCCTCACTCCACTCATTTTCTTCGTGCTCGCTGCTTTGCTTGCGTGTATTCGAGCTGACGTGACGCAGCGTGCGGCCAACCGTAAAAACAAAAAAACTCGTTGAATACGTCAGGCAGAGTTCCCAGCAACACGCTCTCTCTTCAGCGCTGCTGATTGTCGTTTCAGTACGCTTGTTTCTTGTTTTCTTTTTAACCATTCTCCTTCACAAAAATCTTTAGCTAGCAACCATGAACCACGATGCTGCTATGTGGAATATCATGGGGCAGAACTTCTGCTCCTTCAAGGTGAAGACGAACGATGACAAGGTCCGCTTCTGCCGCAACCCGTACAACGTCACGGGTCTCTGCCAGCCCGGTGTGTGCCCGCTCTCCAACGCGCAGTACGCCACCGTGATTGAGCACGAGGACGAGTTGTACCTCTACGTTAAAACCGCCGAGCGCGCCCACCTACCGCGCCGACAGTGGGAGAAGGTAAAGCTGGACGTCTCCTTCCCCAAGGCGTTGGCCCAAATCGACGAAGAACTGCAGTGGTGGGATCAGAAGCTCGTGATTAAGGTGAAGGCGCGCCTGCTGCGGCTGAAGCAGTACCTAATGCGCAAACGCAAGATGCTAATGGAGCCGCAGGAGGAGTTCGTGTCGGTGAACAAGCGCCAGGAGGACAAGCTGCTGCGGCGCGAGGAGAAGGCCGAGGCGGCGGCGCGCATTGAGATGGAGATCGAGAAGGAATTGCTGGATCGCCTGCGCCAGGGCACCTACGATAGCGTCATCAACTACAACAAGGAGGCCTTTGAGAAGCTCCTCGACGAGGAGGAGAACCGCGAGGACTTCGACAAGTTAGAAGACGAGGAGGATGCCGAGTTCGCCGACTACGTCATGGACGAGGAGGACGAGGAAGATGAGGAGATGGAGCCGGTGCAGGGTGGCCGTGCGACGAGCAAGACGCGCAAGCGTGAGCGGCTGCTGCTGGAGGAGGAGGTGGAGCGCGAGCCGCGGCAAAGATTGCGTCCGGAGGACATTGAATGGTAAAGAGGCTCTCCAAGGCCCAACAACAGCAAAAAAGAAAATGCCGCGCTATTCCTGCAAGAATGATGTGTGTTTGGTTGTTGTTATTCTGCGTCGTCTCTTTTCGAAAACCTCTTTCTTTCCGCTGCTTCCTCTATTGGCAATTCGTTGTTTTGTTTTCTGTTGGTCGCCTACTTCGCCCAGAAGCTTCTCCTTTTTGACGGATGGATGCTGTTTGGTGTACTTTGGCATAACGTTTTTTTTTTCCTGTCTTCGAGTAATAGCTCCTGGGAAAAGGGAGGAATAAAGGCTCCTGCTTCACGCATCTGCACCGCTTCTTTGTTTTCACCCACGCAGGATGAAGCCCGAGAAAACCTTAAAAAGTAAAAGCATGCACTGGCACGCCAACTTACCTCACTTACTGCGAATAAGAAGAATATTAATTAAGTGATGCGCGAATGTTCTGTTTTTCTTGTTTTTTTGTTAGACATGCCACCTCCGCATACGCTCCGTTTGTAAGATAAATCTATAAAAGAAAAAGTCTTGAAAAGTAAAAGAAATAAGTAGGAGAATCGTAGTTGAATCGGTGACTGCGATGTGGTTGGGCGGCCCAATGAGTGGAAGAAAATGATTTGTGGCTACTTTTCGCTCTTTCTGCTGTTGTGCTCGTTTAGCGTGTTGGTTGCCCGAATCGAAAAGGTGGCCGTCGGTGCGCAACCTCGGAGACACACCTGTTAAAGCGCCTGTGTTTTTGTGCTTTGGTACGATTCAGCGGCTGTAATGTTCCGCCCTTCGTACCGAGGTGCTCGCATCTCGTGATATCTTCCTTTACAGACTTTAGGCTTTCTCTCCTTCCTCTCCTTCCTCTCTCTTCACCCTTGTTCGCCGTCAAACTTGTGAATTCACTCATCCGTGATTTCTGCGCTTTGCACGTAGCAGCAGCAGTTTTTCCCTTCTTTCTTTCTTGCACTCGCATTGCTCTTTCAGATTCACCCCCAGCTGTGATTATAGGATCGTGCTCGTGTGCGTGCGTGTAGATTTACGTGAATCACTTTCGTGATCAACTACCTTTTAGAGTTCCTTTTTTTTTCTTTGAGGTCTTCTTCAGTCTCGCCGAATACCCGCACTCATACACACACGTACATACGCACCCACAAGCTCACCTACACGCACGCGCCCATGAACATCGGACAGGGCGGACTGGGCGGGGCCAACAACTCCCTTCGGCCCGGGACGACGATGCGGCCCGGGTCGCAGGCCCGTCCCGGCACCACCAACCGCACGCAAGCTGCCGGCATCGGTGGCAGTCTGCAGCAGCCGGTGGCCGTCTCCGCGGAGGCTGCCGTCTCGCGCGAGGGCATGCGGGCGGCCTCCCGCAGCGGCGTCGGCACATCCGCCGGCCCGGGGCGTCAGGTGGGCGACCGCAGCTACTACATTGGTCTCATCCGGCCGAAGATCGCGGAGCTCTCGACGGAGATTGAGCGGCTGCGGGAGCAGGAGCAGCTCATCGGCAAAAACAGCTCCCTGCTGACGCAGCTGCAGCAAAAGTCGAAGAGTCTGCAGGACGACATTGCGAAGTTGAAGGACACCCTCGCGGACGTGAACGTCGCGGTGGAAAACTCAAGCTCGCGCGATTCGGACGCGGTGAAGGATGAGTACACGCGGCTGGACAAGCAGAACGCTGTTCGCCGAAAAAAGGTCGACGATTTGTTTCTTGCCGTCAAGGACACGGAGGCCAAGACGAAGGCCACGTCGCAGTCTCTGGAGGAGGAGATACGCCAGCTGGAGGTGCGCATCCTGAACGAGAACCAGGACTTTAACTCGTACAAGGCCGCGCGAGATCAGTCCTTTGCGGTAGCGGACGAGGTGCTGGCCCGGCAACACGACCTGCGCACCCTCAACGCAAAGCAGGAGCTTCTCATGGCCACGCTGGCGGGCGACCCGGACAAGAAAAAGGCCGCGGATACGCTGCGGGCGATTCTGCGCAAGCGGCGCGAACGCGTGGCGCTGCAGGGTCAGTGCTCCCTCTCCGTGAAGGAGGAGCAGGAGAAGCTGATCAACCAACTCAAGACGACGCGCGGTGACATTGAAGTTCTCGAGCGGCAGGTGAACGAAACCCGCGACACCCTACAGGAGTCGCGTGCGCGGCAGAGCGCGTTGGAGGAGGAGGTGAAGAACTTTAGCGGCGACAACGTGCAAGCCTTTCAGGAGCTGCAGGAGAAGGACAAGGAGATGCAGGTCTTCATTGACGACTACCCTGACAAGGAGCGGGCGGAGCTGGACAAAATCACCGACACACAGAAGCACATTGCCGACCTGCTGAATCGCATTTCGCAAGCGTTGGAGATGCAGCGGCAGATGCCGTCGGAAAACACCCCTGGCATGCTGCACGAGCTGAACGCGCAGGCCGACGCGAAGCGCGATCAGATTCAGAACGACGTCAAAACACACCAGCGACTGGAAAAGGAGTTGCTGGAGCGCAAAGCGGAGCTGGACAAGGTGGCTCATCTGGACAGCAAGATCCGCGAGGAGTTGCAGTCCCACAATGTAAAGATGGACGAGCAGAAGGTGGAAATGGAGAAGTTCAGCGACCTGGATGGGCTGCGCACCGAGGTCGAGGACACGCGTAAGACGCTCAACGCTCAGCTTGCGTACTTCACCCGCGTCCGCGACGGATCGAAGCAGCAGCTCAACGCCCTCACCGCCCAGCATGAGGCGCGCAAGAAAGAACTGCAGGGCGACGAGGTCTTCAACACGATGACGACGCAGGAGCAGCGCATTCGCATGCTGTGGCAGTCGACGTTCTCGCTGGAGGACTTCGTGCGTCTGCGCGAGAAGGACACGCAGTACCTGACCACGAAGGCGGAGTGCCTGCGCATTGTCGACGAGGCGAATTTGCTGTTGCAGTCGCCGGCGCACCTCGTGGGGCCGGTTGGTTCTCCCACGTTAACGAGTCGTAGCAACGCATAAATTTGTCGCTGAGGCAGAGAGCCTTGCTTTTTTCAGCGCCTACGACAGCAATGCGATGAAAAGGAATGTAACAGAAAGCGCTTCTTGTAGTGTCTTTTCGGGGTGATGTACATACGACGGCTCTTTGTTTTGGCCTTTTCTTGTTTTTGTTTCTTTCCGTTTCGATGGACGCACCGCTCCTTTTTTTGTGTGTTTTACCATTATTTGTCCACCTCGAATGCTGGCGCCGAGGCGGGTGGATATCAAGGATAGAACTCACATGCCTTCTGTTTTGAATTTCGGCTCTTCTTTTTGAATATCAGCTTTCAGACTTCTTACCGGCTGTGTTTGCTGTGGCGACGGCGAAGGGTGTTTCTGTTCTTGATGTTCGTCTCGTGCATTTTATGAAGTTTTTTTTTTCTTGCTTTATGTGGGATAACAGCAACAACAAAAAAGAAAGGCAACATAAAGTGAGGATCGATATACGGCTGTCTCAGTTTGCGTTTGGAAGAAAAATGAGCAGCGATGGCACGGAGGCAGCAACGTCCTTTGCGAACGATGTGAAGGCAGAGAAGAATCTGAGAAGAAAAGGAAAAGAAAGAAGGAAGAGGTATCCCAAGCGTTGAAGCGTGCCCATACCAGGGGCTGAAAAAAGAAAAGATGACTCAAGCAGATAGTTTTGTTTTAGTGCTTTCAAACCGTTTGCGTTTAGTTGGTGCCCCTCCAGGGGTGAACTGTTCATCTAATGACTTCCACTTTCACCGATGACGCTCGTACTCATCACTTTTTTTTTCTGGTATTTATCTTGTTGCTTGATGTGCCCCTCAATAAATGTGCGGCATGAAAAGTCACAAATTTCCCTAATGGGCTTATTGTGATTTCTCCCCTTAGTGCTCATCATTACCGTTATTCTTCACACCAAAAATACTTCCTCAAGCTTTCTTTTCTTTTTCTTCGCTCTCAACGATGTCTGCAGGCATTACCCACATGGATCGTTTTATGCGCGTGTACGCGGAGGTGCAGGAGTTTCTTCTCGGCGACGCCGTAGGGCGCTTCGAGTTGGACGAGAACCGCAAGCGCTACCTGAAGCAAATGATGGACACCACCTGTCTCGGCGGCAAGTACAACCGTGGCATCTGCGTCGTGGACGTTGCGGAAGCCATGGCGAAGGACAGCCAAGCGGACGCGGCGACGACGGAGCGTGTCCTGCACGACGCCTGCGTGTGCGGGTGGATGATTGAGCTGCTGCAGGCCCACTTCCTCGTCGAAGACGACATCATGGACCACAGCAAAACCCGTCGCGGCAAACCGTGCTGGTACCTGCACCCGGGAGTGACGACGCAGGTGGCCATCAACGACGGCCTCATCTTACTGGCATGGGCCTCGCAGATGGCGCTGCACTACTTCGCGGACCGCCCCTTCCTCGCGGAGGTGATGCGCGTGTTCCATGATGTGGACATGACCACAACCCTTGGCCAGCTCTACGACGTGACGTCGATGGTGGACTCGGCGAAGCTGGACGCGAACGTGGCCCACGCGAACACGACGGACTACATCGAGTTCACCGTCTTCAATCACCGCCGCATCGTGGTGTACAAGACTGCCTACTACACCTACTGGCTGCCGCTCGTCATGGGGCTGCTGGTGAGCCAGACGGTGGAGAAGGTAGACAATGAGGCTACGCACAAGATCGCCATGCTCATGGGCGAGTACTTCCAGGTGCAGGACGATGTGATGGACTGCTTCACGCCACCGGATAAGCTGGGCAAGATCGGCACCGACATCGAGGATGCCAAGTGCTCGTGGCTCGCCGTCACGTTTCTGGAGACGGCGCCTGCGGACAAGGTCGCGGAGTTCAAGGCGAACTACGGCTTTGACGATGCGGAGAAGGTCGCCGTCATTAAGAAACTCTACAGCGAGGCAAACATGCTCGACCGCTTTTCCAAGTACGAGGAAGGCGTCGTGGTAGAGGTGGAGAGGCTGCTCGCGGCGCTGGAGACGCAGAACGTCGCGTTCGCGCGTAGTGTGAAGGTGCTGTGGAGCAAGACGTACAAGCGCCAGAAGTAAAAGCTACCAAAAGCCAATTTGGGTTTTGAAAAAAGCTAAAAGGAGAATAATAATAAAGAAGACGAAGGATTTCATGGAAAAATTCTCGCCACAACTCCAAAAAGTGTACGTGGGACTGTGAGGTGAGAGCTTATCGAGGTCGGGCATGGGGAATGTGAAAACGGTGGCGCTAAAGGCAGGATAGAGGAAAAAGAAAGGTGATCAATTGCGCTTTTCGTCTTACTATCCCTCCGCACCCATATCGACGCAAATGGCGCCAAAAAAAGGGTGGCGCGAGGGACAGGGGCGAAAGTTAAGCAGAGGGCGTGGGTACGCGAGGACGTACATTGTTTTGAGCTTGCCCACCACTTCCTAAGTTCACGTGCCTTTTCTTGTTGCCAGATTCACTTCATGTGCCAAAAACTTTTTTTCTTCTCCGTTTCGGTGTTCAAGCCACAATGGTGTGCGTGGATGTATTCTGTCAAGCGGTCTCCTACGGATGTTTGGTAATACGGCGCATGCTTGGTGAAGAAACTACGAGAAGCGGAACACAAAGTCCTGAGAGGGAAGAACCCAAGTCGGGTTTACTCTTCTTATGGTGTGTGTGTGTGTGTGTGCGACGACACGTTTCTCCAGTGGCCTCCGCACAATCGTCAGAACGCTATTTTTTTTTCCTTTTGGCTTCTTTCTGATGGTGTGGAACGACCGGCGCCCTTTTTTGTTTACACAACAAAGGAGGAGGGAAAAAACATATCACGAATGGATGGACTTTCCCTTTTTTTTTCTGCCTCGCGTCGGTAGGGCAAAAACTCTTTTTTTTTCCTTCGTTCAATAGGGCGGAAGTTTCGTATCGTTCTCCTCTCCTTCGTATTACTTCACCTCTCTCTCTCTCTCTCTTTCTCCTTCCTTTCTTGTCGTCTTCCTTTTCAATTGGCAATGTTGATTCTTCTACACTTGCACCTGCCTTGCTCTTCCTTGTCCCTTCGCCTACAATAGTACGCAGACGGCATACACAGGCTTTGACCAGAAACGACGGTGTGAGGTGAAAAGCGGGTGTGAGAGAACGAAGCATCGTTTTCGTTCTCTCTCTCTCTCTCTCTCACCTATTTCACTCTATGGACGTGCTGGCCTTTTACCTTATTGTGTGAGCCATAAGTCCTTAAGGTTTTCTCTTTGTGTGTGTGTGTGTGTGTGTGCTGCTGAGGAAGAGACAGTGGGCTCTCTTGCAGCCAAACCACCGGGGTCCGTTGTTCATACACCTACAACCGTTTTCTCCTTCTTTGTTTTTTGCTCTATTCTCTTCCCGCGAGAGCTCTCCCACCAGCTTCGTCCTACTCAACTTTGCACAAACGTCTTTATTCCTTCCTTTCCGGCCTTTTCCGTTTTCTTTCTCTCTCTCTATATATTCCTTTTTGTTTTGAGGCGTGTAAGAAACTGACGCGACTTCACGTGCTGTAGCGCCAGTGCGCACGGCTCTGTTGTTGCTCTGTCGTAACTGTAGATCTGCTTCTTCTTTTGGATCGCATACTTACGCATCTTTTTCGCCTTGTTGCCCTTCTTTTACCTCCCGATTCGAGGGACGTTTGCAAGAGAAAGGAACGCGACAGGTGAATAGTGGAGATGTGCCTCGGCTTCTGCTCCACGCAGAGCGAGGAGGGCGAGTGGCGCGACATCTACGGCGATCCCGTGCGTCCGCGCCGCACCGGCTACGAGTGCCCGCCGGACTTCCTTCAGCTCGGTGCGTGGGCCGCTATTATCGTGCTGGTCGTGCTACACTACACGGTGCAGGTCCCTTTTTTCGAAGGTGCGCTCTTCATTGTGGTGCTCGTCATCACGTCGGTGATCGTGGCGACCGTCGTGGTGACAAAAATCATTTTAGAGGTGTTTCCGCAGCACGATCCCATTGTTTTCCGCACGGACATCCCGCGACTTGAGCAGGACGCGCTGCTGCCGGAGCAGGCACCGGAAGGGACGGAGCCGTGCGTCTTTTGCCGCCGCTTTGTGCAGCTGGGCTGCAAGCACTGTAGTGTGTGCGACAAGTGCGTGCCGGGTTTCGACCACCACTGCCGCTGGCTCAACAGCTGTGTCGGCTCAAAGAACTACCGGCTCTTCGCCACTTTCATGGTCGCCGCGTGGCTCGGAATGGCCTGGGTGGCGGCCTTTAGTCTCTACACCATTCAGTGGATGCTGCGCGATATTACAGCCTTTAAGCGGCACATGCGCACCCACGCGTACCACAGCCCCAACCGCGCCTTTCCCGCACTCGTCGTCTTCAACTTCGTGTGCTTAATCATCGCGGTGATGGGGATCTGCACCTTGGGCAAGCTGATTTACTTCCACATTTACCTCCACTTCACCCACCAATCCACCTACGAGCACATCGTGAAGAAGCGCGCGAAGAGGCGCGCGAGAGGGGAGTACCGTAGCCAAAGCGGGGAGCCGGAACCGAGCGGGCCCTTTGCGTGTCTAGCGCTGCGCAAGCGCCGCAACTTCAAGAAGCACGGAAACAACCAAAACGATAACGCTGGTCACCCCAGCGCCGACGAGGCACAAGAGGAGGGGGAGGATGGCACGAGTGAGATGGGCATGACGCGCCGCTCTTCCAGCGATGAGCAGGGGGAGATGTATTTGCTGCACCCAGTGCCGGGTCCCGGCGAGGCGGCTGTACCCACGACGGGCCGCTGTGATAGCTTTAGTCCAGGTGAGGGGGCGTCGCCGAAAGGGCCTCAGCGCCGTTACGCGCCAATCCCAGAAGGCCCAGCAACGCATGGGACGAAGGGTGAAGATGACCGCCGCACCTACTCCGGTAGCACGCATGAACCGGTGGAGTGAGACGCGAGAACACAACGGAGAAGTGAATTCCGCTCAGCGCGCCGCGAGAGCAAACGAAAGGAGCACGCAGGGGTGGGTGAATGAGAACGAGGGAACGGAAGAACGGGTACGTTGTGCAAAGCGAAAGAAGTGTGACTAGAGGAAAAGAGAAAATAATCGTCGCAGACGCCAGTTTGTTTCGCCGTGCTCTATGCGATGTACCTTCTATTGCGATGCTGCTGCAGTATTGTGCGTTGAGCTATTTCTTTTTTTCTTTTGTTGCAGCTGTACTTGCCTTCTTTTTCTTTCCCTGTAGTTATACAAGAGAGACAGGGAGAGGGAGAGCATGACAACCCCAGCTGATTGAAATGGGATGCAGCTTCTGGCACGCATTACTGCTTACTTTCCTCGTCCACGTTGGCACCAGTCGAGCCTGGTTGCCGTTTCGTGGAGCGTGGACTTTTTTTTCTTTCTTTCCCTTCTTCGTTTTTTTCGCATTTGTTCTACGCGTGGACTTTCCTCACCCGCTGCTACCTGCGCGTTAACAAATCGAGGCAGAACAACGTCATCAACAACAACAAAAAAAATGGGCGGAGAGGGGTGTGCAGTTTGCGTGACGCTGCAGCGCATGCGATGAGAACAAAACCCTTCCCCGCATTGATTCTTTGGTATCTCCTCGTTACTCTTTGCATGCGCTCTGAAACGGGGGTTGTCTGGTCTTTTTGGTTGGATTTGCGTGTGAGCCATTGTGTCTAAGTAGCTCGCTAATGATTTGTCGACGATTAAAAGGTGTCTGTTAAGGGCAGGTTTGCTTCTCGCCCCTGAAGCCTGTTCACGGGAGAGGTGCAGCACGAAGCTCCTTTTTTTTTCCCCCGTTACGAAATTTGCGCTTGCGTCTTGTATTTGTGACTTTGTTGTGTAATAGGTATTTTGTATTGTCTTTCGGTGTGGATGGCTTTCCGAGTTGCTTGCGGTTGGCAGTTGTTCTTGCATTGCCCTTCTATCACCTTTTTGATCTGTTTCGTTTATCTTGCTGTGATCGTCTGGATCGTCGTGTTTGTCGCTCTCTCGCATTCGCTCTCTTTATTTTGTTTTCGCCCAGGTACACGCAGAATGAACAGCACTCTATGGGAAGGGCGCGAAGCCAGACGTTATTAACAACACGCGGACACACGCTGGTGAAGCGGGCTGCGGTTTCGCCGTCTGTGCAGTAGCAGGAGCTCCTTCACGCCTTTTCACAGGAGGGAAAACGCGGAGCGAGGAGACTTGGCGACCCAGGCGACTTAGAAGATGATCCGAAGGGCAAGCACGTTCGTCCACAACGAAAACAACAACAGAAAACATTCTTATGGATCACTCTATCCATTTCCAGCCATCATGCTCGAGGCGTTACAACGTGCTCGACGCACAAGGGAAAAGCAACGTGATCAACGGCTTCCTCTTTTTTTTTTTTGCGGCAACAACAACCCCGACTTCGCACACGTTGGCGTTCAAGTCTCTTGTGTTTCCATCGGACTAGCAGTCTGTGTTGCTTCCGTCGCTTCACAACTGCGATCTTCTCCTTTTTTTTGTTCTTTCTGCGGGCAACATAATTTTCAAACCCCACGTACAAACAACTTCCAGCAGGCACGTCGAAGAAAGCTTTGTGGAACGTGTGGGCATCTGCCGTCCATTTCTAGACGTTGCTGAAGCCCGTTTTAAAACAAGAAGAATGTTCGCATTCAACGCCGAAGGAAAATAATCGCGCTTTTCGCTCCTCTCCCTCCTCTCCTTTTCCCCTTCGCTTTGCGCTCGTTTCGCACCATATCCAACCATGTGTGAACGGAACGCGTTTTTTTCTTTCACTCTACTCGAACGCTGGCTTGTCTTGCTTTGAGGATTATTCCTAGCGGACTTTATCGTAGAGAACAGAAAAAATATCATGCGCACTCGTGCGGCGTTGCGGCTGTGCGGTGGAAGAAAAGGCTACGTGCTCCTTCAAAATCTAGTCACTCCCACACCCGTTACTCATTCAGCACGCAATGTCATCCTGCGCGCGACAGACACAGCCGCCTCTGCCACGACCGCCCTGCTCATGGCAGGACTTTTTCTCCGCTCGCGTCTGCTGTGCCGCTCCACCGCGTCGCACAACTCGTCCGCCGACAATTCTAGCGCAACAGACGCAAAGCGCAGCGCGGAGAAAAGTGATGCAGACGAGCTCGCGGTAGGAGGGGCGTCGTCGCTGATGCTGCATACCAAATCCAACTCTGGGATCGAATCCTCGGCGGCAAAGACGGCCAACTCTCTCCGCCACAGCAGCGGCGCTCCGTCTGTCATCTCGGCCGAGCACGACATCACGGCTGAGGCACGTCTTGACGAGGTCGTCGCCTACTTGGAGGAACAGCGCGTTGCCCGTCAGCAGAAGCTGTTTGAGGACATGATTGTGTTTGAGGGCGGTGCGGTCGCCGATCACCCCGCCCTCGGGGAGCTTTTGATCATGCGCGATTTTGTGCACTTTGCGCTGTACCACAACAAGTGGGGCTACTACCCGAAGCTGTTTCGCAAGTATCGACAACTCATGACTACCGGCTACTTTGACCCTATCCCATATGCATCCTTGCGCAACCAACACGACTACGAGCATTACGCCACCAAGATTCACGAGAGCACCCCAGGCTTTATCACGCCTACGCAGATCTTTCAGCCCTACTACGGCTGGGTCCTGGCCGAGTACCTCGTAACGACGCACCGCGCCAAGTTTGACCCCCGCGAGCCCCTCATCATCTACGATATCGGCGCCGGCACCGGTGCGCTGGCGCTCTCCGTGCTGAGCTACCTCGCCGAGCACTTTCCGGCTCTCTACGCCACCTGTGAGTACCACGCGGTGGAGCAAAACCCGCACCTAATACAGGTGCTGCGCAACAAGCTCATCCATCACTACCACCACGTCAACATCCACCATCTGTCTGTACTGAATTGGCGACAGCTGGAGAAGCGGCGCTGCGTCGTGCTCGCAATCGAGCTCTTCTCGGGCATGCCGCACGACTGCATCTTGTGGGACCGCGAGGAGGCCGTGAGTGAGCACTGGTTCGGCTTCCAGCAGCACGACAACCTGTCCACCGCGCACGAGCGCTACTTCGCCTTGCAGGACCCGATGATCCTGCGCTACCTGCGCTACCTCAACTGGATGCAGGAGGAATCATTTCACAACTTGAAGGTGCTGTGCGTGACGGGCGGCCGCGAAACGCTGGACCCGCCGCTGCGGCGCAGCATCGAGCCCAACCCCGACGACTCCATGTGCTCCATCGTGACGAAATTGGGCATGATTCACAGTCCGTGGCGCACCGCCTGGCTGCCGACGGCGCAGATGGTGCTCTTGGAGGTGCTCGCCCAGTACTTCCCGCGTCACCACCTCTTTGCCGCGGATTGGTCGCACGTTCGTCAGGCCCTGCCCGGTGTAAACGGCCCAGTGCTGCAGGTGAAGCTGCGTGTGGCAAAGGACATCTATCTTCGCCGACCCATCGACGCGTTCCACGCCAATGCAGGCATGGTCGACATGTGCTTCCCGACAGACTTTGACCAGCTGACCGCCGTGTACGCACGCATCTGCGGAAAGCAGAAAGAAGTGGAGTCGATGCGACACCCTGTTTTTTGGCAGATCCACGGAGGCGACAAGACGGCGCTGTTCACGACGCGTAGCGGGTACAACCCACTGCTGGAGGACTTCCAGCAATTCCACGTCTTCACTTCACATCACTCACCGGAGCTTTAAGACGATGAGCGAGCAATGTATGAACATTTTCTTTTGAGAAGTTCTAGGGCGTTTTGCTCTCGTTGCTCTAGCGTATGGAAATCGAAGCAGTTCAGCTACCTCCGAGTTTTCGCCGAGCCTACTGTGAAAAGGCAAGCACAGCTTTTAGTTCGTCCTTGCGGGTCACTCCCGCGGAGGTTATCGCATTGATCCCGCACGTTGTTTGAATTGGCAAACGCGTGTCTTTTCTTTGTTCGTGAGTTGCCGTTCGAGTTCACCGATTGATGTCGTCACATTTTCAGCATTCAGGGGGCTTCAACGGGGGAAAAGAAAAAAAATTGATGTTCTTTACAACTTAAAAAAAATTCTATCGTTCTCGCTGTCAATTTAGAGGTCAATTATGTTGGAGAGAGCGACAGCAGACACACATAAAGACTTGAGCAGGTGACGCAAGCACCCACAGGCTTCCGCTGCAACTCTGCTCTTTGTTTGGATTTTGTGGAGTTGTGGCAGTTATGCGCGGACTATCTAACGCGTCCGATGCGCTGCCTCACGTTCGAGAAGCACCAGCACCGTTCCTTCATCGGTGTTCGTGGTTGTGAAGTGCCACTAACCCCGACATCATTTGATGTCATTCTCATTCCGAAAGTGTCAATGACAGCGGAAGAAACGCAAGACTTCCCACTTGCATCATTTCATCTTCACCGCTTCGATGGGCGCGTATCATAACTGCCTCTCTTCCTCTTTTGTCTCCTGCTGTTTCTTCTCCATTTTAACTTCCAATGAAACTCGCACACACACACACACACACACACACAACTGTGAACACAATGAGTCTCCAATAACAAACGGTATCTATTCTTTTACTCCTGTCATCTGGCTCATTTGCTTTTCATCCAGATTTTACCACCTTTAACTTCGACTCCGTTTCGTTTATTCTTCAAGTGGCGTCCCGCATTACTGTCGTGTTGTGCGTGATTTTACTCCTACGTGTATGCTTGCGTTTGGTCTGGTATAGCTTTTCTCTTTCGGACGTTTTGAAAGAAAGAAAAAAGAAAACTGGAAGCGGTTCTCAACTTCGATCGAGAAGTGAAAGAAATAACATATCAGGAAAAAAACCACAAGGAGAGATTTAGTTTTGTGTTGTGCAAAACCACGCAACTTCTGAAGCATCTCGTTGCCAACTCCAAAATTATTTTATTCTTCTGCTGCTGCATTGTTGCGCTGGCTGCAGCGCGTGCGAACTGTATTCCAGCGTTCTTCTTTCTGCCTTTCTTGTTTAAAACACAAAAAACAACCTTTTATTTCACGACCCTCGTAGATCCGTCTAAACTCCCTCTTTTCGTGTCTTTATTCTTCATTCTTTTTCTTTTTTTTTTTGGCTACCAAGTAACTGTGCTTGTTGGCAAGTGTAGAGCAAGCCTTCCCCAACTCATTCTTCTTTTGTGTGTCACCTGTACTTTTTGCGAGGCTTTTTTTTGTTTCATTGTCACCGCCTACTCTGACGTTGTCAAGGGAAAAAATATATATATATGGGAATAGAGAGAGAGCGAGAGAGAAGGAGCTCAAACAGTGTGATAAGAGCGTTGCGTAGGTAAACACGAGAAAAGCGAGGCATCGAAACGAAGAAGTGCAGGACTGCTAGTAAGAAAAACAAAACACGAAAGTCATCGAGTGAGGTAGGAAACTGGAAGGAACGCGCAAGACATCACATTGGCCTTTTAAGAAAGCTAATCCAAACGTTTTTTCTTCCTGCCTCTGTGTAAAGTAAGACACGTTGGCACCACCGAAAAAAAAAAGAGGAGAAAGAGCAGTCTGGCAGTAACACTAAAAGCTAACAAACACTTCTCTCCAGAACACAGCTCTCCACAAAAAAAAAACATTTTTCCTTTTGCAGATTTCTTCGTGCTTGATTGCTTTGTTTTTGTGTCTACGTTACAATCGCTTTTTGTTTTTCAACGACTGTCCCTTTTTTTTTGAAACCTGTTCAGCTCTTCTTCTTTTTGTTCCCTGTTCTCCGTTCTTCTTTGGCAAAAAGCCCAAACAAGCGATCTCCATGAGAACTCAGCTTTTTCCTTTCTCAGCCACTTAACTTCTGTCCGTTTTTTTTCTGTATTTCAACGCCTTGTAGAAAGTTTTGAGAAACAGCAGAACGTATCGTGACCGCAAAACACGCCATCTTTGTATTTTCTACTTGACTGCCTGCTTTCGTTCTTTTGGTTGCCTCCTGCGAGATGATGATTATTATTATTGCTATTACGAGTGGTATCTTTTTCTAAGCAGTATCTTTACCGCTAGGGAGAGAGAAAAAAACGGGCTAACGATCAACAAAAGTTTCTCTCTTCGGCACTTTTTGTTGTCGTTTCTGTTGTTGTTACCGAAGTTGCAACCATACGCTATTTCGGTGGCATCGATTTCTTTTTATTTTTCCCCACCTCTCTCCACCTCTCTCCAGCGTCTCTCAGCGCACTATTGAACTCCTGACAGTTTTTCTTTTGTTTCCTTCTCTGTGAGGTCGGAAGAGAAGGGTTAATAACCTGAAGTGGAAAGCAGTTCAAAAAATCAACGAAAAAGATACAAATAAAGGTTTCCTCAAGTACCTCGCGGATTCAAGAGGCAGTGCGATACTGTTGCAAACTCTTGAGGAAGGAAACAAGTTTCTTGGAGTCACTGCTGAGAAAACACCTTCGAAATCTTATTGCTGCTCACTCAAGCTCATTTTCTAAAGTTATTATTTTTTACAAAGTTGCTCTTTTTCTTTCGCATTTTTCAAATACTTTTTTTTGCGTTTTTGCTCCCTGGGTGTGCGTGTCGGTAGCGCTTCCGAAACGAAAGATAAATCATATCTTTGTGTGCTGTATTTAGTGGAGAAGAAAGAAGTGTCTTCTTTATTGCTATTCTAACTGAAAATACTTACTCAACTTGTTCGAGTGATTGTAAACCGGCCTCAGTGCGGCTGCTTCTTTTGGCCCTTGTTTTTGGGTTTCCATCGTTTTGCACTTTAGTGTGCTAATTTGGTGATGCAGAGAGGTGGAGTGAAAATACAGTGTTTTTGCACGATACAACCCTTTTTTTCTTCTGTTTTTCTCCGTGGCGAACGAGGCCGCTTTGCTTTTTTTTTTCACTCAAGAACAGAACGTTGATTCTTCCTTTCCTTTTTTGTGTTACACATTCGTTTTAGACATATATATATATATATTTGCTACGTGTTGGAGGGAAAGGAGAAACAGTTTTTTCTTCTCTTTTCACCCCAGCGCACCCACACCCACACCCACGCACGCACCTTGAGGAGGTGTGAGTCTCAGCAGCGTGCGATGTCGTCCGCCCGCTCCGATTCCAGTCCACCGCCCCGCGCTGTTCGCGGACGTGGGGGCGGGAGTCTGCCTCAGCTTGTGCGTCCGCAGTGGTCCTCGGCGGACAACAGCACCTCTCACTTTCCGACCCCGCCAGGCACGCCGGAGTTGCGGAGGGCTGACGCACGAGTTGGGGAGTCTCCTCGTGTCAGCTCTGGTCGCCAGAGCAACGGGGTTTCGCGCGGCCTGACTCCCCACGCTTTCACCAGGCGGGGGCGCGGTGGCACCGTTGTGATGCCTCCGACGCGACGGGCTGTCAGTGCACGTGCCACTGCCTCCCTCAATGTTGCACAAGCGTCTGCGCAGGAGATCACGTGCGCGACGCCAGCAGCGACAACGCAACGACGTCCCGTGACGAAAAGCAAGGTTCACCGGAGGAGCGCCAACTCGTCTGTTCACGCCTCCGAATCTGACAAACCGACCCCACAGTCTCCGTTGTCGCGTCAGTTTTCCCCAATGCATTCAGAGCAGCACAGCGGCCCCGGTGAGCTCATCTCCGTAGACACGGCAGCAGAAGCAGAACTAAACGATTATGTTGGCTCCCTCGAGGCAGAGCGGGAGGCAATGCGGCGCGACAATCTGTTGCTGCGGACGCACCTTGCAGACCGGCAACTGCTCGCGGAAGCCCTCGAAGCTGAGAACCGGGAGCTAATGCAAGCCCAGCAAAGCAGACAGACGGTGGCGTTGCAGTCCTCCATCGGGTCCATGACGGAGTTGGCCGCGTCAAGCTGGATGAACATACTCCCCCAACCGGTCCACTCATCCTATCAAGCTGCACCGCAGCGCAATGGCCACGGTGTCGGACCGTCGCCACCGATCTCACCGACGCTTGCACTTCCGCCGCTACCAACCGAGCGCGGCTTCGCTAGCAACGCGGAGGAGAAGATGCACGACCTTCCACTTCACACACGCGACACCCGCGCCTTGCAGGACAGACTCGCGGAGATGCAGCGCGCCAACGATGCTCTGCGGCTGGAGGTAGCGGAGCAGAAGGACGAGCTCCAACGTTTGCGTGCGTTAGAAAATGCAGACCATCCAGAGCAGAATATAACACATAGAAGTGCCACCGTAACGACCCATCTAGGTACTCCAGGGACGCCACCTCCCTTAGCCACGAACGAGAATTCAGTGGAAACGCCGTCCCTATCGCCACCCATAGACTCACTTACTCTGGTGGCACAACTGCAAGATGCCCAATCACAAATAGAGGACCTTCGTGATTACATCGCCAAACTACAACAACAGTACGCCGAAGCGCAGAAACTGTCAACAGAAGAAAAAGAGATACTGGAAGAGCAATTAGAAGCAGCTTTGGCGGCATCACACCACGACGACACCAGCGGCACTACAGAGAACCAAGATATTGACTCTCTTAAAGCAAAACTTGCTGCTACGCAAGCCTTAGCGGATGAAGCTGCACGCACCGTCGCACAACAACAGGAAGACATAGAACTGCTGCAGGCGCAGGTTGCCGAGGCGGCGGCGGCTATGTCCACAATAAACCACGATCCTGCAGAAGCGCAGCACCTCAACCCGAACACAGCGCACGCAGAATACGTCCATACAGTAGAACGACTTCAGGACCACATCGCGAAGCAGGATGACGACATCCGTAACTTGCAAGCTCAACTCGCAAAGCCAAACTCGGTGAAAAATCCACTCCTGAAAGACGACACTCAAAAAGAGGTGCAGTCACTCCGTGAGCAACTCACAGAACGCGAGGCTGAGGAGCAATCACTCATAGACGAGCTTGCTGCAGCACAGAAGACTGCCAACCACGATTCGCATGAGCAGCACGCCACCGATGAGCGTACATACGCACGAAAACAACGGCAACAAGAAACCCAGATCGCACCACCGAATCACGAGCTTGCGGCTGCGCGGAATGGCAGTGCTGCCCGTGGCAGTGGTGGCGATGCTGTGCCGGCGGCGGATGTAGCGGCACTGCAGCGTGCGTTGGACGAGCTGCGGTTCCACGATGAGCGGACACGGAACTACGACGCGACGAAGCCGACAACCGTGTCGAGGCATCACCGCGAGTTCGATGGCGATGAGTGGGGCCGTGTTGTTGCGGAGCGTGGGGAGGCTCTGAAGGATGCGTTCTGCAGCGACGCTGCGAATGCGTGCCACGTGTCACGCGACGAGATCATCGCGGTGTCGTTCCGTGTGGGCAGCCTGCACGTCGACTTCTCCGTGCGCCACAACCAGGATGTAAGCGAGCAGGAGATTGATGATCGGATTGCTGCACACGAGTTCCCGATGATGAACACGCTGTACGCAAATCGCAACGGCCCGAAGACTGGGCTTGACGCTGCACAGGAGAAGCTGGCGGCGCACGGTGCGGAGGTCACGGCGCTGCAGCAGGAGCTGGCTGCCGCGAAGGATGCGCTTGCTGCTGCGGAGGCCGCGCGGGCGGATGCGGATGCCGCTGCTGCGGAGGCGAAGCGCGCGGACGAGCAGCGTGGCGCCGCGGTGGAGCCGGAGCCCGCGGAGAGCGCTGGCGCCGCTGCTGCGGAGGTGCAGGCGCTGAAGGAGCAGCTGGCAGAGCGTGACGCTGAGGTCGCGGCGATGCAGCAGGAGCTGGCTGCCGCGAAGGATGCGCTTGCTGCTGCGGAGGCCGCGCGGGCGGATGCGGATGCCGCTGCTGCGGAGGCGAAGCGCGCGGACGAGCAGCGTGGCGCCGCGGTGGAGCCGGAGCCCGCGGAGAGCGCTGGCGCCGCTGCTGCGGAGGTGCAGGCGCTGAAGGAGCAGCTGGCAGAGCGTGACGCTGAGGTCGCGGCGATGCAGCAGGAGCTGGCTGCCGCGAAGGATGCGCTTGCTGCTGCGGAGGCCGCGCGGGCGGATGCGGATGCCGCTGCTGCGGAGGCGAAGCGCGCGGACGAGCAGCGTGGCGCCGCGGTGGAGCCGGAGCCCGCGGAGAGCGCTGGCGCCGCTGCTGCGGAGGTGCAGGCGCTGAAGGAGCAGCTGGCAGAGCGTGACGCTGAGGTCGCGGCGATGCAGCAGGAGCTGGCTGCCGCGAAGGATGCGCTTGCTGCTGCGGAGGCCGCGCGGGCGGATGCGGATGCCGCTGCTGCGGAGGCGAAGCGCGCGGACGAGCAGCGTGGCGCCGCGGTGGAGCCGGAGCCCGCGGAGAGCGCTGGCGCCGCTGCTGCGGAGGTGCAGGCGCTGAAGGAGCAGCTGGCAGAGCGTGACGCTGAGGTCGCGGCGATGCAGCAGGAGCTGGCTGCCGCGAAGGATGCGCTTGCTGCTGCGGAGGCCGCGCGGGCGGATGCGGATGCCGCTGCTGCGGAGGCGAAGCGCGCGGACGAGCAGCGTGGCGCCGCGGTGGAGCCGGAGCCCGCGGAGAGCGCTGGCGCCGCTGCTGCGGAGGTGCAGGCGCTGAAGGAGCAGCTGGCAGAGCGTGACGCTGAGGTCGCGGCGATGCAGCAGGAGCTGGCTGCCGCGAAGGATGCGCTTGCTGCTGCGGAGGCCGCGCGGGCGGATGCGGATGCCGCTGCTGCGGAGGCGAAGCGCGCGGACGAGCAGCGTGGCGCCGCGGTGGAGCCGGAGCCCGCGGAGAGCGCTGGCGCCGCTGCTGCGGAGGTGCAGGCGCTGAAGGAGCAGCTGGCAGAGCGTGACGCTGAGGTCGCGGCGATGCAGCAGGAGCTGGCTGCCGCGAAGGATGCGCTTGCTGCTGCGGAGGCCGCGCGGGCGGATGCGGATGCCGCTGCTGCGGAGGCGAAGCGCGCGGACGAGCAGCGTGGCGCCGCGGTGGAGCCGGAGCCCGCGGAGAGCGCTGGCGCCGCTGCTGCGGAGGTGCAGGCGCTGAAGGAGCAGCTGGCAGAGCAGAAGGCTGAGGTCGCGGCGATGCAGCAGGAGCTGGCTGCCGCGAAGGATGCGCTTGCTGCTGCGGAGGCCGCGCGGGCCGACGCGGAAGCTGCTGGTGACAGGAGTGCGGTGAGAAGGCAACTGGAGAACGCCCGTTCTCTCCAAGAAGCTGCTGCTCGTGAGCGTGCGGACAGTGTTGCACGCCGCGAAGCTGCGATGGACGCACTGAAGGAGAAGCTGGAGGAGCAGGATGGGGCGGTGCATGCGCTGAAGGAGCAGCTGGCGGCACAGAACGCGGAGGTTGAGGCACTCCAGCAGGAGCTTGCGGCTGCGCGGAATGGCAGTGCTGCCCGTGGCAGTGGTGGCGATGCTGTGCCGGCGGCGGATGTAGCGGCACTGCAGCGTGCGTTGGACGAGCTGCGGTTCCACGATGAGCGGGCACGGAACTACGACGCGACGAAGCCGACAACCGTGTCGAGGCATCACCGCGAGTTCGATGGCGATGAGTGGGGCCGTGTTGTTGCGGAGCGTGGGGAGGCTCTGAAGGATGCGTTCTGCAGCGACGCCGCGAGTGCGTGCCACGTGTCACGCGACGAGATCATCGCGGTGTCGTTCCGTGTGGGCAGCCTGCACGTCGACTTCTCCGTGCGCCACAACCAGGATGTAAGCGAGCAGGAGATTGATGATCGGATTGCTGCACACGAGTTCCCGATGATGAACACGCTGTACGCGAATCGCAACGGCCCGAAGACTGGGCTTGACGCTGCACTGGAGAAGCTGGCGGCGTACGGTGCGGAGGTCACGGCGCTGCAGCAGGAGCTGGCTGCCGCGAAGGATGCGCTTGCTGCTGGTGCCGTGGATGGTCGCTCTGCAGCGCTGGATGCGAGGATGGCGTTGCTGAAGTCCATGCTAGCGGGGGAGTTGCGCGCTCAGGTGGAGGCTGAAGAGGCGGATGATACGGACGCTGCTGCCTTACACGGGGCGCGTGCCGACGAGTTGAGGAGTGCAATCGTCTACGCGGAAGCGGCGTCTTCTGGTGACGGAAATGATGTGAGTGCTCTCATGGAGCGTGTGGATGAACACGTGGAAGGTGTGCAGGCTGTCCAGCGGGAGATTGCGTCACGGGACGAGGCTGTGACTGCGTTGCAGGAGGCTCTCGTGTTGGCAAGGACGGCACCGAGAAGTCCCGACACAGTGGCTGCGGCGCCTGTACCGACACGTGAAGCTCTCTTGACGGATCTTCGGAAGGAGCTGGGGGCTGCTGAACACCTGCAGGCTCGAAAGCTTCGCAAAGCAATCGCCGATATCGAGGCGCTGTTGGATGAGGAAGGGAGTGTGGCCAGCTCCGCAGAGTCTAGCCACGCTGCGGCAGGATTGAGGGAGGAGCTCGCGAAGCAGCAAGGCGAGGTGGAAAGACTGCAGCAAGAACTCCAGCGTGCTCGCGCCGCGCATCAGGCGGAGACAGAGGAGCGTGGAGCCATGGTGGAGCTGTACGCGGTGGAGGTGAAAGCCATGCAGGACCAGCTCTCGCAGGCCCAAGCAGCCGAAGACGAAGCGCGGCTGAAGTATCTGCTGCAGGAACATGAGTGGAAGCAGGCGGCACGACAGCAGCTCGACGAGGAGCATGCGCGATTGGGCGCGGAGCCGGAGGCGTTAAAGGAGGAGCTTGCAACGCTGACTCGCGAGGCGGAAGCGATGCGACAGGAAGTTGCTGGCCTTCGCGACACGGTGGATGAGGTGCAGTGGTACGACGAGCGCCGAGACAACTGCGTGCCGGACAAACCAATGACAGAGTCTTACTTTCACCGCGTCTTTGAGGGCGACGAGTGGCGTCGTGTCGTAGAGGACTATGAGGAGGAGCTGCGGTGGATGCTTCACATCGACTGCGGCCGTGCGTGCCACGTAAACTTGGAACATGTCACACGCGTTGATTTCGTGCTGGACAGCTTGCATGTAGACTTCTGCGTGCAGCACAACACGGATGTCGCGAAGAGCGAGTTGCGCAATCGTCTGGTTGAGTACCCCTTCCCGGCTACCTGGGGCCTGTACCACCGTGTGGTGGAGGCGGACGGCCCTGGCGGGTCGTTATTTGGCCCTTCCTTGAGCAGAGCTGCGGAAAAGCTCGTCTTGGAGGAGGAGGTAGCAAGAGCGCAGATGCAGGGGCTGGAACTGGAGGCGCGGCAGGAGATGACGCGGGAGCAGGGTACTGACTCCGCACATCTTTACCAGGTCTACTTCGATGACCTGATGGCCGAGCTCGACTTGGCGGGTCAGGAGCGCACCGACAACCTAGAGCACCTGGAGGAGTGCGCGGCGTTGCTGGAGGAGGCTCGAGAGAGCGAGCAGGAGCTGCGTAATCGTCTCTTCACGGCGGAGGAGGAGATGTTCGAGGTGCACCGCAAACACGACGAGGAGAAGCGGCTGGGGGAGGAGCGGGAGGAGAGCGGTCGCCGCGCCATCAGCGAGTCCGTGGTACGGTTAGCGGAGCAAGATGCTGCCATGCAGCGACAAGCGGAGGAGATTGTGGGGCTGCAAAGTGAAGTGTGCAACATGACGGAGACGGCGAAACAGAAGGAGGACGCGATGCAACAAATGCGTGACCGTGAAGCCGACTTGCTGCGGAAGCTGGAGGACAGCGCGGTGCAGTACGCGGAGGCGGTGAAGAGGCTGGACAAGGGCGAGAAAGACGCGGAGGCGTCACGAGAGACGCACGCGGCGTTGTCCGTGGCGTTCGCAGACTTGCAGGCGCACAACGATGAGCTGCAACACGCCAACGAGGCGCAAGCCGAAGCCCACCGCGTAGAAATGGAGGCTGCACTGGCCATGGAGCAGAAACTGAAGGAGGCCACGGACGTTGTGTGCGAGTTCTTGCCACAACTCATCGCCGCCGCGTCTGGCACGCGGACGAAGGACAATGCAGTGGAGGAGGACGGTACAACGACGGAGGAAAGTGCCTTTATGCCAAAGGGCCAGCTGGACGCAAATGAGCTGCGCGAGGCGTTGCTCCATCACCTGGGCCAGATCGAACAGCTGCGCCGCGACAAGAATAGCCTCTCCGACGATCTGGATGCTGCGGAAAAGCTGCGTAACGAGTACATGGCTTCGCTTGAAAATTCGATGCGTGCGTTGGCGGACGAGCGGGCGTCGCGCATGCGTGCACACGAGCAACAGGTACAGCTGTCGCAGCAGCTATTGAAACAGATCACAATCATGCGCAACGCGGAGGACGACGACGCAGTTGATGAAGGCCATGATGATGATGTGGCGAGCAATTACGAACCATCAAGCCTGTGCAGTGTCACTCCTCCGTTCTAAGGTGGAGGAAGAAACACTTAATTCTCGGATGTCGGTCTTCCTGGAGGGAAGTTATTCACTTTTCTTTCTTTTTTGCTACGTGCAGCAAAGCTGTCGTTGCTCTATTATGTTTCTCACCCCCTCCCCCAGTTTCCGCTTTTCAACGTGCAACCTCCCGTGTTGCTCACCTGCTTTCGTTGCTCTTTTATATATTTTGAACAGGATGGAAAATACACCGAGTCAGACTTGGGAGAGAAACAGCCTAAAGGAGAACGAACGACGAGGTTCATCTGGAACGTCGCAACGAAGGCCAGCGCCGCACGTTGAAGTCTCTTCACCTCCCTGCAACCTTGTTGGCTGTACTCCTTGGAACTGTCAACAGTGTGCCGGAGGCGACATCAAAGGCATAAAGTGCAAAGAGTAAATGGAGCGCCACGGGAAAGCTGCTCTTTTTCCCCTCAAAGCAACGCCTTAAATCACCAAAAAAAAGCGTTAACGTTGTTCATACAGCCCTTCATCTTCGTGCTTCACAGTAGATTTTGTGTCGTGCAAAGCACACATGTGCGAGGACACCCGTAAACAAGTCGAACCACGACGCAAGCGCCCTTCTTTTTTCCTTTGCTGTCACGCTTCTCCGCGTTCTTCTTCGTTTCCATTTTCTCCTCGTTGCTTTTCTGCTCTTCCTCCCCATTTCTTCACTCGTCCCCCCCTCAAAAAAAAAAAACGATGACACAAGTATGCATAGCTGTTGCGATTCTCTATTATTTGCCCATTGTTTTTCCATTTCTTCGTCTTCTCCGTAACAAGCTCTTTGAGAATCCTCCCCGCAGTTAAGTTGTTCGAAAGCAGGAACGTGACGCTGCTATACCGCAGTCCGTTTTGACGTCAAAAGAAAGGCTTTTCCAAGCGCGTGTCGTCCGTCAAAGACTCGTGGCTCACACCTGGCGAAACATCTACAGTCGATTTGAAAATTGTGGTTCAGACTCGCTGAATACGTCGGAGGCACGTAAAAGATTCTCTTTGCTTTGAACGCCTGCATTTGGTTGATGCGATCAACGCGATCTGCGTTTTTACCCCACTCTCCTTTATGCCGTCTCCCTGCTTTCTACGTTGAGGTTTCTCTTTCTTTCATAGTTGCCGTTTCTTTCCTTCTTCGTTGGTTTTCGAAGTTTACTTCTCCGGTATTGTATTATCATTTTCATAGACCCACTTAACAAGCCTGCATTCGCCACCATTAACGCACGCAGACGGAGCTACCTGCAAGCACCGTGAAGCGGCACGACTTTTCATTGTTTTTTCCCCCTTTTGGTTGTTCACTTACACACACACACGCAGACACACGTCTGTTTCGGGCTCCTCTGCTGAATACACTGTTCAGAGAACCGCTGCATACTGGCGTATCACGACGACAACGATTACGATTTCCGTTTCTTTTTCACTGTATTGCTATCTCTTGCCTCTTCATTAGTTGTGGCCCTGCTCGAAGTTGACGTGCAGCGGACCGTGTTTTGTTCCGCTCTCCCAATTGGAAAAATAGAAAAAGAAAAGCCGACAAAGTTTTCTTTTGGAAGCGTTGAAGAAGGCAACGACGTTCGAACTCAGCGTTTTTTTTTTCTTCTTCTGTTCTTTTTTTTGTTAAGTCTCGCATCGTTTTTCTGCTTATCGTTGAAGTATTATTCGTACCTTCTCCAACATATTGGTCAGTTTGTACACACGAGCAAAAGAACTTTCGCCTCCCTCTCTCTCGGGCGAACTTTTTTCGGAGAGCACATTTCCATCGGTAAGAAGTGGAGACGAACTACTTAAAAAGTCCATATTTAATAAGCGGAACAACTCTTTCCCGTATCACTGTTATTTCGCCTCGTTAACGTTTCCTGTGTCTTCCCTTTTTCTTTTGCAATACTGCTGCAGTGGCTGTTGTTATCGTTGTAGAATTCTAGCGTTTCTGCTGTCTTTCACCTCCTTTTTTCGCACGACGCAGTTGAGACTTCCTTGCCGTGCAGCGAGAGCGATACTGAGGATAAGCCGTTGCTGTAGAGCTGAACAGTTTTATTGCCACACCACGTCCGCTGCACAAAAAAATTTAACGGAAAAAGATAGGAAAAGGGAAGGAAAATATAATGTCGTCGTCTGTGCAGAGCTCCACAGCCGCAAGCCGGCCTCGACTTGCAATGGCGCATGCCGCGGCGCGTCCGCCGTGTTCCTCGCAAAGGTCGTCTATTGCGCAATCACCACCGCTATCACCACCACCAACAACAATGCAAAACCCGCCTAAAATGGTGCACAAACAGCACCACGCGCAGCAGCAGCAGCAGCAGCAGCAGCGCCGTTCCTCGCCGGCGTTGACGCGGCAAGAAATCGAAGCGGCGGTGCAGGACCGTGTCAAGCGCACCGCACCGTACATCAAACCAGGCGCTGTCGTTGTGTACGAGTTCCTTGATGAGGCGCAGGAATGGCACTGGTCGCTGGGAACGGTGCAGAGGGCCAACCCACACGTCGTAACGCTCGCAGAGTGGAGCTGCGAATTTGATGGCCTGGACAAGAGTGTGATGGCGACTTTGGGCAAGGAGGAGGCGCGTATCCGGCGGGAAATGGAAGACCACCAGGCTACCATTCTTGCCCTCCGCTCAGAGTTGGGTGCGGTGCGCACGCACAACGAATCGGAGATGAACGCTGCCCGTGACGCGATTGAGGAACGCCGCCGCGGGATGGAAGCCACGACGGACGCTCTAGACCGGTGTGCTCAACGCGGGGTGGCCCTGCGCCTCAATTGCGGTATTGACGAGGATGACGTCCTGGCGGCTGTCCTGCGCGCTGCGTTGAGTATTGTGGAGGATTACGTCCCAGTTGAGCCGCTGCCGTGGGACGTGATCTGGGCGACCGTCTGCGATCCCGTCTTTCTGCAGCGCTGCGTCAACTACGACGCTGGCTATGACATGAGTGTGGAACAGAGGGACGACATCGTGGCATGCTACGTGGACTCGCAGCTCATCACGGAGGCGAAGGTGCGCCGGGCAGCTGCGCAGATGGCGATGAAGTCGCCTGACTTAAACGAGGTGCTGTGCGCCACCGCCAGCTGGGTTTTTACGCAACTCTCTGCGTTTCGCGTCTACCAGAAGTGCGCCAGTACCCAGTCCTACGCGGACGAACTACAGCAGCAGCTCACGCACCACGTCAACAGCTTGAAGGAAGGGATCAGGAAGCTGCGCCAGGTTCAGGCACAGCTGCGCGTGCCGAGCGGAGTACCCGGGGACCCGTCCGGAACTTCGTCGACACCTGGCGCCGACACCCACTACACCTTTGTACCGCTGGAGGACTCCACAATAGAAGTTTTGCGGTGCGCCGTCATCTGCCCCCTGCCCACTTCGAGCCCAGTGCAGAAAGCAGCGTCGAGCCCGGCCCTGGAAGAAAGCACACCACCATCCGTGAAGGGAGACGGCTCCTCACGATCGAGTTCGGCGCCGCCGCTGAAGGGCAGTAGAAACGGAAACCGCACCGGCACCGCCCACGCCCACGCAGCCCCTTCACCGTCGCCAGAGGTCATTGTGCTCGATCAAGAGGAATTGGACGAGATCGTCAGCCGCGCCACTCAAGACCGCCCACAACTGTTAAAGGCGCTGGACGACTTGCAGCGAGAATGCGGACGTCTGGAGCGGGAGTTGGCATTCGTGAAGTCGTTCACCAAGGAGGCGGCCATACCCCCCGCCGCTTCGCTGCGTAGCGCCACCGCACCCTCGTCCAGGGCGTCGCTTGTGGAGCGTCCGCCGTCGCAGATGGCGCCAGACGCGGGACACAACGGACGACCGTATCGCATTCGCCCATCTGCTAACGACGACGACTCGGACGGCAGCGACGAAGAGGCGGACACGCGCGCTTTACAGAACGTGCTTCTCGGACTCCACCGCGATCTGCAAGGAGCGCGCCGCGAAAACGAGCAGTTGAAGCGCTCGCTGGAGCGAGAAGCCCACAAGCACAAAGCCGAGGCGGCAGAACTGGGCCGGCAGCTGCACGCGGTGCGTGCCGAGCACGAAGATGCATTGGGTAGGCTGGCTGACGCTAAAATTCACTGCGAGGCGTTGCAGGCGGAGAACGACGACCTCGAGAAAAGTGTAGCCGACTTGACGGATCGCATCCACGCGCACGAGAAGGAGCTGCAGAACGACCCTGGTGATATCCGAAGTGCGTCAAAATCCACCAAGCGTACCGACCCCGACGAGGTAAACGCCACCCCTGCGCCCTCTGAAGTGGACGCGGTTGCAGATCCCGATGCGATGCTTGCAGAAGGCAAGGTACCATCTCCTGGGCACGACGCAGCGACCGCGCAACCGGCATGCGTGACGCACCACCGCAAGCACCTCGACGGCGACGGATGGCCCGATGCAGTGCGGCACCACCCCGACAGGATGCAAGCCGCGGTAGCTGTAGATGCTGCCAACGCGTGTCGTGTGTTGAACGATGCAATTACGCACGTGCAATTCTCGCCATACGGCTGCACCGCTGAGTTCGACGTTTCTCACGCGCCTGAAATAGCGCAGCGCACCCTCGATGAGAAGATCGAGCAGCGCCCCTTCGACGAATGTGCGCGTGTGTTGTGTGACGACGAGGAGCATCGCTCGGCAAAAGATTTGCTGCACCACCTTGAGGAACGCGATGCTACAATACGGGATTTAGAGCAGCACCTGGAGGAGCTGAAGGCACAGCTCGCTCAACTGAGCGCCGCCGACAACCCTGTTGAGGCCACGAAAGCGGCGGAGCCACCTTCTTCCTTGCCCGATGCGACAGCTCTCCAAGAAGAACTCGACCACGCACGCCAGGCAAATGCGTTTCTTCAGGCCAGTGTCGACGAACTCGCTGACAAGCTGCAGGCTGCTAGGGACGAAAATGCCGACCTTGTGGATTCGAACAACGCCGTCGTCGCGGAGCTGCGTCAACAGGTGGCAGACACTCAAGATCAACTCAGCGACGCTGCTCGCTGTCAGCAAAGTAGCGACGCTGAGATTGCCGACCTGAAGCAGCAGCTGGAGGAGGGTGGTGCCACCGATCCAGAGCCCCCAAGACACGTCGGCTGTGATTCATCATTCGCGAAAGAGGGTGAAGACTCTTCCCATGTTCCATTGGGCCCACAACAGCATCCCGCGAACACGACTGCAGCAGCATTGGATGACCCGCCAGTTGGTGCCGCGAGTGTTGCAGCGTTGCAGCAGAAGTTGGAAGAGGAAGCGGCGACAAACGCTTCCCTCCAGAAAGCGATGCAGGATGCTGTGAAAGACAACGCAGAGCTGCGCAACATAGCAGCGGCAGCCCAAATTGGCCGAGAGGCCATCGAGGCCGAATGCGCCGACCTGCAGAAGAAGCTTCACGACTGCGAGGCGCCACATTCGCCTTCTGCTCGTGATCTCGGCCAGCCGGCAGCTGCCAGCATCAGCATTGCTGAGATGAACAAGGGCGACACGGAAGAAGTGCTGCAACAATTGGCTGCTGCTCAGCAGCGCAATGCTAAGAAGGATGCTGAGATCGCGGACCTGCGCGACCAGCTCGCAGACGCGGAGCAGCGTGCGAAAGATGCCGAGGACGCGAAGGCTGCGGAGGGCTCCGACAAGGACGCCGAGATCGCGGACCTGCGCGACCAGCTCGCGGACGCGGAGCAGCGTGCGAAAGATGCCGAGGACGCGAAGGCTGCGGAGGGCTCCGACAAGGACGCCGAGATCGCGGACCTGCGCGACCAGCTCGCGGACGCGGAGCAGCGTGCGAAAGATGCCGAGGACGCGAAGGCCGCGGAGGGCTCCGACAAGGACGCCGAGATCGCGGACCTGCGCGACCAGCTGGCCAATGCTGCGGTGCGGGGAAATGTAGCCGACGCGTATGAGGACCGCATTGGTGCGTTGACGGTGGAACTTGAGGCGATGTCAGCGGAGTGTACAGACACCCTGGAGAAGCTGGAGGAGTGTATGGCGCTGCTGGAGGAATCGAGACAAGGTGAGGCTGAGCTGCGAGAGCGGTTAATGAGCAAAGAGGATGAGGTGTTCAAACTGAAGTGTCAGCTTGATTTCGCCCAGAAGGAGCTCGTGGAAAGTGAAGCGAGGATGGCGGCTCAGGGGCCTGCCGTCGATCCCCAGGTTTTGTCGGCGCTTGAAGACGAAGTCGCGGTGCTTAGAGTAGACAAGGACGAGCTAGAGGACGCGTTTGCACGACGTAACGAGGAGCACCAGCTGGAGGTGGACGCCCTCAACGACAAGGTGGACGAGCTAACGGCCGAGTTGGAAGACAAGGGTGAGGATTACGCCAACACGTTGGAGAAACTGGAGGAGTTTGTGGGGCTTTTAGAGACTGCGCGGGCTAGTGAACGTGCCGCGCTGCAGTCCTTGGACGACACAGAGCACGAGTTGGGTGTGCAGCAAGCACAGCACGACGACGAGATGGCTGCAACTCACCGCATTATTGATGGACTGCGACGCGAACGGAACGACCTGCAGCGACAGTTGAGTGAGCGTGTCGGCGGAGCGTCGCTGGAACCACTTCGGGGGGAGCGCACAGAGGTCCGTTCTCCTCAAAGCGCAACCTTGGGCGGCGATGAAGATGAGGGGACAGCTACCTCGGGCACCCTCCGCAGCGCGATGCAGGCCACACGAGGCAGCAGCTCGACGATGCGTGAACAATTGGAGCAGCTCAAACGGGAGAAGGAAGCTCTCTTGTCAGAGTTGGCGATGAGGGATGCGGACTAGAATTCGCCTTGGCCGGTCTCACCCTACTTATTATTTTTTCCCCTTGTTTGCAGGAGGTTGATGATCGGCGTATCGCGCGCTCACGCTCGATGGTGCTGAAAGAACACGCGACCAGTGTCCTTCGTGGCTCCTTGGGAGTGTAACGGTGCTAGTCCAACGAGGACTCCCCCGTACTTAAAAAAAAAAGAAACATATACTTTTTTTAATGCCTTTTGAAGGCGAAAAGTTTTGCGTTTTTCTTAAATCTTGCCGCAGGATTAATGTGCCTGCCGTATTTTTATCATCTGTTTTTTTTGCTAAGAGCTGCTTTGCTATGCGGCATTTTGACACTAGTTGTCTCACCGTGTCGAGAGGATTTCTTTACTTTATCTAGTATTGTTATTGTTATTGTTCTTTTTTTTGCTCAACTTGCTGTATTCAGTTTTTCTCCACCATAGACTTGCTTTTTTTTTTTTGCCGTTGTTGGCGTCTTTTCGTGCTTCGCTTTCTTCGCCCGTGGCTGCTTTCATTTGTTTCTTTTTTCTGCATCTTCCAACACCGAGTCCGTTCTGTACACTCGTTGCGAGTGTCAACGCACTCTTTCAACCACATGAGAAAAGGAGCGCCGTTGAGAAGAAAAACGAAATCTGTGGTACTTTCTCAAATGTAGCTGTGCACTTCCTGTTGAGTCTGCTCCCCTAGTTTGCTATAAACGAAAGGAATACACGTGAGACCTGTTAAGTGTATGTTAGAATCCCTGCTGTAGGTCGCATTCATGCGCTGGAAACCGTTCGCTATTATTCTTGTGACGTGGATCTCCAGCGCTTTTCATTCTTTCAGGGAGGCCAATGGTTATCATGTTAGTACGAGCTCGTCAACAAGCGTCTTCGTTCGTATTCCCCCGCTTCGAGTGGGTGCCTTCTCTCTCTGCTCCTGTTGCTTCCTCTCTGATCTTTCTCCTCTGTTTGACTCTCTCACCGTCTTGGCTGCATTTCAGTGTTGGACTCCACTACTTCGTACCGGCAATAGTTTCTGTTTTTCTCCCCTTCAGTTCGTTGCGGTTGCCTCTTCACGAACACAATTGAAATAATTGACACATTGTATATATCTATATACATATCCGTAGTGGTGAGGCGACAAGGACGGGAGAAGGGAATCAGCCAGTTCGCAACGCAAATAGACTGACCGCCAACGTCCATTACTGTGCTTACATCGTTGATTCACTGAATTGCCTGTTTTTTTCCCTTCTTCCTTGCTTTCCTCAAAAAAACGTTTTCACTTCTTTTTTTCTTCTCTGCCTTTCATGCCTTCTCATCGCTTTTCTCCACCCCAATTGCGTCATTGGAACAAACCGACAAATACAGCGTCTACCCCGTCAAATCGGTGCTGACTTGCTGCTCGGTACAACGCCAATAATAAAAAGAAACATCATTTTCGTTGCTGTGCATATCTGGCTCCGTCGCCGCATCTGCAGGACAGAGATAAGGAAAAACAAGCATTTCCTGACGTCCTGTGGGCGCACACAACGCTTCTTCTTTTGTTGCTCCCTCAAGCACTGGAAGAACCCACTCTCTCTTTTTTCGTACGATTTATTCAGCCTGCAAAAAGCGCAATGTCCGCCGGTGATAGACCAGCTGCGGTAGCCAACGAGACCGCTTCGCCAAGACTGCGCGGTAGCTCCCACCTTCACGAAAGCCACCACCGCAACGAAGACAGCAACGAGTGGAGGGGAAGAGCAGCGCCGCAGCTGCCGATGCGTCGCCCGTGCCCCAGTGCGCCACAACACCGGCACTGGAATCAAACGCCACCAGCAAAAAGAGACAGCAGCGGTAGCAGCAGCAGCAGCAGTGCAAGTGTTCCCAGAGCGGCTGCGATTCCTCTTGTCACTTCTACCATCGTATCTGCTGCTCGTGCTGCGGCTGATATGACAGCCGAACGCGAACCGTGTCTCAAGAATTTACTGCCTGTTGCCTCGCCATGTGCTTTGTTAGCCCGTAGCACCGATGCGGCCGGCCGCACGCACATCGTGACCCATGCAACGACTGTTTGTAACGGCAACAATGACAGGGAGAGGGAGGCAGAAATCGAGGACACGGTTCCTTCACTTTCCGTTGTAGGGGTAGCCGACACGAAGCCCGCACCGGGCTCGTCGCTCACGCATTCTCCTCCCCTCGGAGCCGATAAAGAGGCTGAGAATGCCGATGCGTCCCCACGATCAGCGGATGCTACAACAGATGGGAGACCCGAGAAGTTGGTGCAACGGAATTTGGATCACGCGGGCCACTCAGGACTGCATTATTCCTTCACTACCGGACAAGAGGAAGCAACTAATAAAGCGGCAGCAACTTGTGCGAAGTCATCGACGGATGTTGTGGCTCCCTCGCACGTGCATTCCCCCTCTGCCCCTCCAGTACCGCTTTCACTCACGAACACGCCCGTGGTTCTACGTATGCAGGCTCCACAGCAGCTTGTCAAACCATTTAGAGAAGCAAACGCGCCTGACAAAGCGGAACTGTCCCCGCCACCTATTGTATCGCGTAACGCAGCAGACGGAGGGGCCAACGGTGCTGAGGCAAGACCGCGTTGGCCACCAAACGTACCAAATACCAAAAAACCTATGCCTAATGCCGTGAAGAGCGGACCACGAGCTGTGCAGCGCGCCAGCGTACATATGCCTGCACCTTCGCAGGCCAAGGAGAGCCTGCCAGCGACACCGGGGTCGGCTCAATCGGCGCTGTCGCCAAACGACCCATTCGTGGATTGGAAGCACTCCGTTGTCAGTCACTCTTGCAGTCTCACTCGACTCATGCAACGTCATCAACAGGAAGGCTGGAAGGACGAACTGCGAAATGTGCTCCAGCAAGATGCAGATGCGTGGGTGCAGCAGGTGTACGAGGAGCAGTGCCTGCTTCAAGCCCATCTGACCTTCACACAGGCGAAGGTGGCGGAGCTGACGCGGGAGGTGCAGCTGCTACGCGGTGAAGAACTCGAAGACCACACCATCTCCTCTCAACTGCCGGACGGCAAGGCTCCGCCACGTGATTTGGAAACAGAAGCACTAGCTCCAGATGGCAGCGCTGACGCAGACCTGGCCGTTACTCCTGATGGCGTGGCGGACCAGCAGCACGGGTGTGACAAGAAGTTGGACGATCATCCGACAGGGCTCACCTGCCCTCCGGCCTACAAGCTGGAAATGGAGACCTATATTCATTCTTTGGAGGCACACACTCGCGCTCTTCATGACGAAAATCAGCAACTGCAGCTTCGCTTAGACCGCCGCACTGCCCAGCTCGCCTCAGCCCAGCAACGCTACGAGCAGAACTACTCGCTGCTGCTGCACGAGCAGTCCGTCCTCGAGGCAGATTATCAAAAAGTGGCAGAGGACGTGGAGGAGGTGGTGGGCATGCTGGTGGCAGCCCGTGCGGCGGAGCAGGCGGCCTTGCGGCGACTGAGCGAGTACGAGGTCGCCCTGGACGAAGCGGAGATGCGGGTAAAGAAGATGGAGGCACAGCAGCTGCAGCAGCAATTGCACCTGCAACTGGGGGACAACGAGGAAAGGGCCGGAAAGGCCCCAGTTGCACGGTCTTCTTCGCAGGCTCAGTGGCCGTGTAGCCGTCTGTGCCTCGCACAGCAGCCGTCTACCTCTGATAGCGCCTTTTACAGTGTCGTTGAGGTGAACGATCCCGACGGCGCCGCGACGTCCACCGCAACTTCCACGCCGCCGCTGGTGTCTGCAGTAGACGGCGGTCCGTTGACGCTACCGCTGCGTAGCGTGTCGGAAGAAAGGGAGGAGGGGACGATACTGTTGTCTCATTCCTCCACGCCCATGCGTCACACGCCGTCGCTGCCGGTGCCGCTGCCCTCTCCTGCACGTCCGTCCTCCGAGACACCGCAACGGGCGCGCAGCGTCAACTTTGCGGTGTGCGGTGGAGCCGCCCCCTCGCCCTCTTCTACGTCCATTTCTTTTTCCGACGGATCGTTTCCTGCTGCTGCGTCGTCTTCCCACACCGCGCGGACGCCCTCTGTGCTCACCGCCGCTAGCCCCGATGTGGCAGGGTCAAAAGGCGAGGACGCGTCCGCTTCGGTGCCGCACATCCAGGCAAAGAGTAAAAGTCGTCTGCTCACCCCCCTCGCGTCGTCCTTAGCGGCGCTGCTGACGCCCGGCAGCGTGGCGGCGCGACGACGCAGCAGCAGCAACGGCAGCACCACCCCGGCGCTGCTGCGCGACGGCTGTGTGAACTTCGCAAAGGATATACACGGCTCACCGAGTGAGCAGGAGCTGCTGCGCTTCAAGTGCACTTTACTCGAGTTCGAGCTTCAGTCAAAGGAGAAGATGCATCAGGAGGAGAAGAAGAAGTGGGAGAGCGCTGTGCACAACGCGGAGGCTGTGAACACTGCCATGGGCGAGGTGGAGGCGCGGGTGCGTCAGGCCACCGCGTCGTCGAACCGGGTGGAGGGGTTACTGCACGAGATGAATCGCGTGTGGTGTACCTCGTTTGCGCTGGAAGATGAAGGTGACAGCGAGGATGAGGACCTACAGGAAAAGGTGCGAGAGTACTCGCCGCTTGCTGTAATGGATGAGGAGTGGCAGTTACGTCGGCGGTCGTCGCGAATATCTGTGGCGTCCGTGTATAATCTGCCTCGCCAAAGCTCCTTGGAGGGCGCCGCCGACCGGGGAAGCAGGCGGTTGCCCGAGTTCGCGGGAAGTGGGCGGGAGTTTTTTGGTACTGAGAAACGTGCTGCTTTTTGAAGGGGAAATGCAGCTGAATTTTGGGCGTCCTAACGTACGCGTGGATGCTTCTTTATTGCTGTCTTATGCGTGTGCGCTTTAGGAACAACAGTGCCCATCAACATCAAAAAATAGACACGTTCTCTTCTTCTACAGGTTTTTTTGAAGTTCGTTTACGATATGCTGCCCGCTTTTCTGCTTTACATTCGATTCACTCCATCTCCTCCCTTTTCTCAGTTTTGATGTGGGCATCGGTGGCACCGAGTACGGCTAAGGGAACGGACAGAAAGCCACCCGGCGTTGAAGGCAGTTGCTGTTTATGACGTGCGTTTCCGCTTCGAAAAAGGGGCACACTAAAGAAGAACTTTGTTTTCAATTGCGTTGCTTGCCTTCTTTTTTTTTTGTTTACTTTCTTTCTGCCGCTTTGATGTGTTTGCTTCTACCACCGTCCACCACTGTCAACGGGGTTAATATCCTCACGGATGTTAACATTGCGGAATGCGAATGTTGTTCTTTCGAAGGTGAACTTCTTTTTACCCACTGCGTGATTGGCAGCGGCGTTACTACTACTCTATCGAGCACCTACGGGGCGCCATTCGTCATCACGTTTTGGAATCAAAAATAGCTTTGAAAGCGAAAAGGAAGAAACAACTAGAGCACGCCTATTCTGTTTCCTTTTCCTTGTTAATTGTAAAAAAAAGGAAGAAAAGAATGCTTGTTGCTGACGTGCAGAAAGCGCTGAGGGTTGCACTGTTGTTGCTACGCTTTTTTTTCTTTGTATTGTTGTTTTCGTGTTCTCTCCGGCATCGACCTCGTCATATACGTCGACACGGTGTCACTCCTTTCAAGTTCATGGTTTCCCCTCACGTCAGTCTTCTTGGGTCGACATGGTTCCTTCTGCTTTTCGTCTCCCTCTCTGAGTGAGTGTGATTGTGCCTCTTTCGTGTCTTTTCCTTCAACAGAAGTTTCTTATCTCTTTTTTCCTTTGTATTCCTCTCTTGTGCTGTGTTATTTTTTTCTGCCTTGTTTCCTCTTTGAACCACCTCGTGTTTCATAGCATTTATGTGGGTACGTCGTCCCACGGCTCATCAAATGAAAATGTAGTAAATGGCACTCCAAAAGAAATACGCACGGGAGTGATGGAGTCATTGCTGACGTGCTCAAGGCGAACCGGGTTTCATTTTTCTCAAATGGAGTATCTCAGCAACGGGCTTGTATTTGTTCTGCTGACTGCGGCAGGGTCTTTTCTTTGCTCGTTTTGTTTGTTTGTCTCTAGCCGGCTTTACAGCGGAGCCGCAGCTAGTCATGCTTTCTTGATATCAATTTCTCCTCGTCTACATCCTTCTTCTTTAAAAAAATTCTCTCTCCTTCTCTGGTTCATTGGAACTCCTTTGTCGTGACAGCCACGGCTATCTTGTTTACTTTCGGCGGAAGCTGGTGCGCACAACAAAGGTTGTGCGTCTGCGTGCAAGGTACTCGACGGCCATCTGAGCATTCAATTTCGGGCACTCGCACTCGACGCCCATTATACGAAAAAAAGAAACATACAACCGCAACCACAACAAGGCGTGTATGTGTGGGGCGGGACTTACACTCCGCTTTCACCATGCCACGTCACCGTTATGGCGGCGAAAGCAGCCACACGCAGAGGCGAGGACAACATGTAAGCTGCAGTGAGGCAAAACGGAACGGAGAAGCGGAAAGGAGCACAAGCGGTGATGGAAGCGCCGCGACCGTACCAGCCTTGCAAGTCGTTCATTCGCCCGCGTACCACACAGCATCGCTATGCAGCTCCTCGGCGTCGTCAGACGCATTCGTCTCTCCGTGCGACAGCGAACACGGTGACGGCCTTGTAGATGAATCGTCGTTGCCGTGTGAGTCCACCATAGCGATCAATTCGACCGGTAGCAAGGAACGCCAACGTAGCAGTCGTGAGGTGAGAGTGGGAAGGCAAGTAAGCGACCGACACGCGCAACCCGAGCAGCGCGCATTCGCAGCCCCAACTCTTCCCACCGCATCCACGATCCACGCAACACACAACCAAGAGTACCCAAGTAGAGTCTCTAACCCAGCTGCTTCCTCTTCTCACGCCGCCGCTTCACCTTCTCTCTCACCACCGCCCCCACCGCGCACCCACTTTCAGTACGTTCACAGCTTCGAGTACCGCTGCTGTCTTGCGGCAAAGATACGTGCCCTCTACGGTGCTGAATCGATCCCGGTTATTGTCGAGCCGGCGGAGTCGCACCTGCGTACGCCGTCGCCTTCTGCTCCTCCATACGAGTCGCCAAGGCTCGCTGCAGAGACGCGCATCCACATCGCCGGAATTGGGCAAGGGCTGCTCGCTCGCTTTAGAACGCAGGAGACGAGCACTCGGAGTTCCAGTGCGGGCACGACGACTTCTCCTCCCCTGCAAGCGTCTACCGCCTCAGCGCTGGCGTCTCCTTCTACTCGTAGTACGCTGAAGTGCGTGCTGCCGCGCTCCAAGACGGTTGCGGAGGTGATCCTAACGTTGCGTGATCGGCTCGCACTTGACAGCTGCCAGTCCCTTTTCCTCTCCGTTGGCGAAAGCGACGCTCTGGTGCCCGGAAATTCACTACTCGGAGACCTGTACCAGCGCTACCACCATCGCGACGGCCTACTCTATTTGAGCTATTTGCTGGAAAACACATTTGGTTGATAGGAAACGAATGGCAGCTTATGAGGAGCAATCACCGGCACCAAGGTGCAAGCGTGTTGCGCCACGTCAAGAGGGAGGGCGATTGTCGACCGATCCCGCAATACACTTTGAACCCTTCACGCTCTCCACGTCGCTTGTTTGCCAGTTTCCCTTGTCACCACACAGTTGTACTCTTGTTACTTTCTTACGTAAAGTGATACTACTGTGACAGCATCATATATAATTTTTTCGGCAAAGGACCAACGAGCCTTCTGTACGTTTGCGTTATTATCTTCTCTCCCTCCGCTTGACCTCGTCTGAAGTTTCAGTCTTTCGTTTCCTTCTGTGTCACGGACAGCGTTAAATTGAGGTTCCCCTGCTTACGAACCACCGCCGCACCTAAGCCGCCTGACAGCGTTACTAGGAAAATGGGTCTTTTCCACACTGCTACATATGCTGCAGTTTGTGTGATGCTGTTTGTTTACAGTGTACTCCGAGTCCGGTTTGCTCCTCTATGTGCGCCTCACGAAGAAAAGATAAATCGTTGAATACTGAGAGCTTAAATTCGTCCGTTCGCGTCAGTCTCTCGTTCCATTTGTAGTGGCTCTCGTCAGCTCGCGGATGTACAGAAGCGTGGTGTTCTCCCCGCAACGCTGACCCAGCCCCGTGAACGACGCGGAGAAGAGAACGCAGTTTGAAAAGAGACTCGGCACAGAAGTACAACGCGTTATATTTTTCACTTTCTTGTCTCCCTGAAACGTGGAATGTCGCACAACCCCACCACGCCATCTTAGTTAACATGATACAAGTCGTTCCTTTCGCGTTGTTCACCGCGGTGACTAGCAAGAGTTGAGAACACAACTACTGCACCGATCAAATACACCACCGCTCATCTCAGTCACCGCACAAACTAAAAAGCACGTCTTCGGTTCTTCCCTACGCGACTCCCCTTTTCTCTTTCCTTCTCCTTCTGCCCCCACCACGCAACGCCCCTCCGACGCCTCTCCGCCACCATCGGCCAGATTAACACACGCGCTGCGCTCTCTCAACCGCCTACAACAAAAAAGAACCAACAAGCCGCTCTCTCGTTTTACCACGCACGCCCGCACATCACTGTCACCCCCATACAGACCCCCACCATAGATACGCGATTGCTAGTGCGCACTGCTGCCTGCACTGCCACCCCGCCACCGCCTCCCCCTCTCTCCACATTGAGCCGCCCACACACCCACACCCGCACACACACGCCGTCGCAGGGACAGAATGTCTGGGAAGCCGACCACTGCCACCGGTGCCGTCGTTGGCGCGAAGCGTCCGCGCTCGGAGGAGCAAGCGACGACGGAGCCGACGCGGATGTCTGACGAGGCGGCTGCGGACCAGTCGCGTTCGGAGGAACTGCTGATGAAGCCGCTGTCGTGCGGTGCTTCGGTGCTGCCCGCGGACACGGCCGTGGAGGGGCCGGACGCGATGGACGAACCGCTGCAGCGCGAGAACCCGTTCCGCTTCGTGCTGTTCCCGATCGTGTACCACGACATCTGGCGCAAGTACAAGGAGCAGGAGAGCTGTATCTGGACGCTGGAGGAGATCGACCTGGGCAACGACATGCACGACTGGGTGAAGCTGAACGACGGGGAGCGGCACTTCATCAAGCACGTGCTGGCGTTCTTTGCGGGGAGCGACGGGATCGTGATCGAGAACCTGGCGGAGCGCTTCATGAGCGACGTGAAGGTGCCGGAGGCTCGCGCGTTCTACGGGTTCCAGCTGATGATGGAGAACATCCACTCGGAGACGTACTCGGTGCTGCTGGACACGTACATCACGGACAGCGAGGAGAAGCTGCGGCTGCTGCACGCGATCCAGACGATCCCGTGCATTCAGAAGAAGGCGGAGTGGGCCGTGCGGTGGATCGGGAGCGGCGCGAGCTTCCAGGAGCGGCTGATCGGGTTCGCTGCGGTGGAGGGCATCTTCTTCTCGGGGTCGTTCTGCGCGCTGTTCTGGCTGAAGAAGCGCGGCCTGATGCCGGGGCTGACGTTCAGCAACGAGCTGATTTCGCGCGACGAGGGCCTGCACACGGACTTCGCGTGCCTGCTGTACAACTCGCACATCAAGCACAAGCTGCCGCGCGCGCGCGTGCTGGAGATCATCGTGGACGCGGTGAACATCGAGCGCGAGTTCATCTGTGACGCGCTGCCCGTGCGGCTGATCGGCATGAACGCGGACCTGATGGCGCAGTACATCGAGTTCGTGGCGGACCGGCTGCTGGTGTCGCTGGGGATGGAGAAGCACTACAACGTGTCGCAGCCCTTCGACTTCATGGAGATGATCTCGCTGCAGGGCAAGACGAACTTCTTCGAGAAGAAGGTTGGTGAGTACCAGAAGGCCGGCGTGATGAGCACGGAGGGCACGACGAAGAAGTTCTCGCTTGCGGAGGACTTCTAAGCCCGCCCTGCGCGTGCCGCTCTCCCACCTATTGACCCTATTGGTTTTATTATTGTTTATTTGTTTCCCCTTCCTCTCTTTCTTCTTGAGGTCCCTCCCTCCCAACATCACCGCCCCTGCGACGCTGCCCCCTTTTTCTGTTGTTGTCGTCCCTCCTCCTCCCTCTCTCTCCCCCTCGCACGCGCATGTGGCCGTCGCCGCATCGGTGTGCGCGCTTGTGTAATAGAGAACAAGCCCGAGAGCGTAAGAGAGAGACGGGGGAGGGCTGCCCGAGCGTGCGCTGCACGGCTGGCGCGTCCGTCTTTCCTTTTCCTTTCTTCTCTCCCCTCTCTCCATCCACCATCACAATTTAACCTCATTTTTGTTTTTATTCTTGTTTTCTATTTATGGCTGTTTCAACGTCCCGTACTGACGCGCGGAGTCGCACATAGACTGACGCACGGTTCCCTTTTGGGTGTAGGGACTGTGTGACGCTCCTCCCCGCCCCCTTCTTCTCTCGTTGTTTCATACAAGCCTCTTCCAACGCCGTCAAAATGCTGGTCCAACTTTCCGTATTGCTTGTTTGTTCTCTTTATATCCGTTCTTTGCTTTCGTTGTTGATGGTCTCTTTCGTGAGACCTGGTGTCTGCACGCACGGCGCGCTGCTCTCCGTGCGCGAGACCGCTGCGCTTGTGAGGACGTGTCCGTGCCTGGCGAACGTGGTCGACGACGCTAGTCATGGCGCCGCTCTTCTCTTTTTCTTGCTCTTCTTTCGTCGCCGTTTGTGCCACTACTGACTTTCTCTTTTGTTTTTTGCTTTCTTTCAGACCTTCCCTGTTTTCTTTTTCTTCCACCATAACGCTTTATTTTGCGGTGCTCTGTTGGGCGGCCGTGTGTGCGCGTGTTGCGACGCGGGTGCGGGGGCTGTGCAGGTGTGCTGCTGTTGTGTGTGTGCGGTACGCTCACGCCCCCTCCCCACTGTCCTGCGCCGTTGTTGCGTTGTTGTGCTGCGTCGCAGTGCGGCCACGCGGTGGTGCACATAGAGGAAAATGAAAAGCATTTGAACGAAGGCGGTCGCGAGAAGCGCCGCTGCGCGGCTGTGTGGCCTGTTGCGTGTGGGTGTGTGTGTGGACGTGAGCTCCTGGTCGACGCGGCTGGTGACGGACCCGGTAATCGTTACCGTGTTCTTTTTTTCTCCTCGTTCGGTAACGGTTTGTGTTTCCTGCTGCATGAAGAGGGATGGCTAAGTTGGCAACAGTGTGAAGTGTGCTTTTGTGCTCTGGGTGCTCATGAGGGGACTGTTGAGCAGCGGCGCTCTATCGCGTTTTTTTTGTTTGCGTTTATCCATGTTTTTTTTACTCCTCTTGATTTGTGCTCCCCTTTCTCTTCTCTTCTCTTCTTTTTTTTGAAGGAGTGGTGCTCTCTCGTTCTCTCTCCGACGTGACTCTTTAGTGTTCTAGCGAGCCTAGGTTGGTAGTAGCACGTGGTGCCGCGTTGTAGCATTGTTCTTCCGTGCAGATCACAAGTTTTTTTGTTTTCGATGGACTTCATTCCGTGTTCCTATATTGGCCAAACTACGGCGGACGGTCGCCGCTTCGACGGCCTTGGCCGTTACACCTTCGCCAACGGCGATGTTTACGTGGGTGGAATGCTGGATGGCCAGTTTCACGGTCAGGGCGTCATCTTCTTCCGCAGTACCGCCTACGCGGGAAAGTTCGCGTCAGCCGCGAACGCGAACGGTGGCCTTACCAGCGCCTCTGCTCCGGCGAACGAGCAAGGACAGAAGGCGAGCGCAGAGGAAGGTTTGAAAGGCTTCTTGAACCAGACAGACACGGCCGCTTCACCGGCGACGCCAGAGAGCTGGAGCGGGCAGTACCGCGGTGTTTGGGAGCACGGGCGGCACGTGGAGGGTCAGTATGTCTTTCAAGATGGGCTTGTCTTTGGCAACGAAGGCGGCGACGCCCGTCGTTTCTCCTCTGCGGCGTGGACGTACTGCCACGGCAGCGACCGTCGCCTCTGGGAGGAGTACCTGGAGAACGTGGCACCAGTGCTGCCGCATGAGGCGCTACTTGGTGGGGCAAAGTTGCTGCACGAGCGCAAGCACGCTGCGGCGAGCAGCGCAGATGGTGCACCCATTGCGGAGGAGGGGGAGGGCCTTCCGCTGGTCCTTCCAAATGCTTTTGTGCAGGCACGAGCGGCGCCTGCCTTTGCGGCGGGGCAGCTCTCCAGTGTGAATGACCCGCGTCTGGCGCGGTGGAACGTCGCCGCTGCAATGACACACGAAGCAGCAAAGACGCAGAAGACGGTGCCGACATTGAGCACCAGCGAAAGTGCCGCCGCTTCACCAGAGATGGTCGAGTCCACTATAGCGTTGCAACTGGCGGTGGCGCAGTCAACGGCGGGTTTACGTGCTCGGGATCCTTTTAAAGACGGTGGTGCGACGAGGGATGTGCATTCGGCCGGCGAGGCGAACGGCGCTCTGCCGCCGAAGCTTAATTTGTCAGTGTGCCGCGTGAAGGATGTGGAAGATGTGAACCGCGAGCTGGTGCAGGTAGTACCGGCTCCGTCCTAAGGTCTTCTTTCTTCTGCTCACTCCCAGATGTACCCCGGAATGTGACGGCGCACTCCACGGTGGCAAAATTTGGCTCCGTTATTCTTACGTGCGTTGTGGGCAACGAGCAGAACGATGTTGATTCTCAGCAAGCCTTCTTTTTTTGGCATTGTATGTATTGTGTTTTCATGATGTAAATAAGAAAGATGAAGTGTATTGTCGCTTGTTGCACCGTGCACGGCGCGCCTCTGAAGAGACGATACAATTTCAAAAAATAAAAAACGAGATGCGTCACTACGGCCCCTGATGTCACCGTGTTGCATCAAGTCGCTCAACCGCAACAGCGGGTAGGATTTGTAAGCGGAGAAGAGCAACACACCTGTAGGGTTTACAGGTAGTGCAGTCAACTAGTTTTTCAAGGAAGAGAAAAAGAAGAATCAACAGGCAAGCACAAGGGATACAAATGCGTTCAGCACTGCCTGCACTTCTGCCGGTGAAAAAGTAGAAATGGCGGCACCCCATGCGGTTCAGAGAAACAGCTGAAAGCACACTTCATGCGATTTTCATTCCGCATACAAACATAGAAAGTAATGGCGGACCTGCTCCTCACTTCTTTTCCTCTTTCTCTGTGTTTTACACGTCTTGGTGTTTAAAAAAGGGCGCCGTTCTTTGTGCTGTCTGACCTGCGCTGCACGACTTCTTTCCGCCGAACTACGGGCGTCACCACTCACACACCAAGCGGCGCAATCCAAGCGGGCTGTTTCAGCAGCTAGCACGGACACATCAATTCACAGAGGAGTTTACCTCAACGATACCCCGATTGCTGTTCTTTGCAGCAGTGGTTTCTCCGCAGACGCAATATATATATAACAAGAACGAAGAAAAATAAACAGATAATCACTTCAACATGATGTCGCAGTCGCTGGCGACATACCCGCTGGTGCAATGCGTCGTCTCTGCAGCCCAATTTGCCTCAGGCGAGGTGTCCTTCTACGACACCTACGCGGAACTCATGGCCGCTGATGCGGAGGGCAGCTGCACCGCGCCTTTGCGCATCGACTATGACGTGTTAGAGCACTTCCGTATCGTACGTGCGCAGCGGGTAATGCGGCTGACGATGCCGCGTGTGGAGGTGCGGCGGTGGGCAAAGGAGAACGGGTTCGCTTCTCAGCTGGACGCCTTCGAGGATGTGCAAGAGGCAAAGCGAGACACGAAAACCGCAGCAACGTCACAGACAACTTCTGCTGTACTGCTCCTTCAACTGAGAAGCGAAGACCTGTCTCGCTTTTTGCAGACCATCGCCCCGCTCGTGTCAGCAAGTCGTCGAGCACGATCGGTGTCGCGCATCTCCGTCACGGAGCCGCTGCCGCTTTACGCGACGTTGATCGATCCGGCACCCGATGTGGAGTCGGAGACACGTGCGAGCAGCAGCCTCGGCCGAAGCAGCCACAGCGGCACCGCTACCCCGGAAGCGCCGTCACAGAAGTCAAACGCAGAAGTGATGCCGAGTGAGCACCAGCGAGATGAGCAACATGATGACAAGCTCACCTTATCGCAACCCCTTCCTGTGCCTCCGAGCGGAGTTAAAAGGTGTTCCGCAGAGCGACTGTCTACAAAAATGCTGACGGCGCGCTTGGGAGAGAGTCCCGTTTTGTTGGGTGACGAACATCACCGTGACGAGTCACGAAAAGAACTGCCTGTTCGTGGAGCTGCAGAAGAGCTGCAACAAGTGGAGACACTACCACCGTCGCCACCGCCCTCAGCGCAGCAGCACGCCATGCCGGATACACTAGCGAGCGTTGAAGAAGAGTTAGCTGGGTTGGCGGAGGATGCGGAGTACCCGCCGATGTACTCCACGATGGAGGGCAGACGTGGACACCACGTAGGGCAACCGCTAAAGCGACCCGGCCCCGTCCTGCCAGCCGCGCTGTTGGGTGGGGAGTCACGGCAGAGCAATTATCCAGCACGTGGTGGTGGTGGGAGCCACTCACGTAGCGGCCGCATGGCGACGAATAAAGGAAAAGAACGCTCGTCCACCAAGGTTGCAACTGCCCCTTCTCTTTGTCCTTCGCTGACGTCTTGCGTGGCGGATGGCCACGCAGAGCGTAGGCCGATGGTGCGGGAGGGCAACCCAGTCGATCCGCTCAGTCCGGCACTTCAAGCAATAGAAGCAAAGCGAAAGGAGAGGCCACATCGTCTCGTCATTACGCACCTGTGCGCTTCAGACAACGGGTCGTCTACCCCTGCGAAAGCACCGGCAGCGGCGATGGCCCCGAACGACAGAACAAGCGTAGAGGAGGATAATTTTGTGGAGACGGTGGCGACGGTTACGCTTCAGAGCGACAAGATTCAGAAGGGCCGGAGAGAAAGTCGTATAAGGAGCCCTTTTCAGGTGGAAAGCGAGCGACAAGACAGCAGACATCGTCATGCCACGTCAGATAACGAAGCCGCGGCAGCCAAGGAAGTCACCCGCTCTGCGGATGACGCCTCCACAAACGGAAGCCGGCTACACAACTGGCCCAACCCTTCACGTACTTCTCCTAGAAAATCCGTGCATCCGCAGCACAAACCGCCACAGCCCAAGTCGAACAAGATACACTCACCTGCATCGTCCTCGGTACTTGTGGGCGATTTCTTCTCGCATGACGATGCGCTGCGCAAAACGAGAGAATTGAATGGTGCGGTCGCAGAGCTCACGGCGGTATTGCCGTCTGCACACGCGCCTGTCCTGGCTTCGAACGATGCGACGGCGCACAAGGATGTAGCGGCCTCGGCCGAACCTCGCCGGTCCGTTAAATTCCCTCACAACGTCAGTGACGCGTGCTCGCTCAAGCCGCCACAAGTGCGTCTGTTAAACGCGGAAGTGCGACGAGATGTACGGTCGTATTTGCTGGACTTGTTCCCTAAAACAAGCGCACCGACTCGGCAGCTAAACAAGAGCACAGCCAAGGTTTCTGCCGTCGCTGCTACTGCTGCTGCAGCACCCAGTATTCCACGTCGCCGTGGCCGCCCTCCTAAAGTGAAGGCCGCGGACACAGCTCCACAGAGGCCACCCACTCAGAGGAAACAGACAGACGCCGCACCTGCAATGAAAGAAGATGCCTGCCGAGTGCAAAACAGCGGTGCTGCTTTCACATATGAGCAGAGAGCGATGCTGCGATTCAAGACATCGCCGACGTCGCTTCCGATGCCTCCGAGAAAGCGTAGCCGCTCGGAGACCCCCGGCGCTGCTGTAAGCGCAATGAAGCATCGTCCCACTTGCCGCGGCGACAGCGCCACTGCATTCTTGTCGAACCAAGCAAAGCAGAAGAAACGGCAAACCACGTCATGCAGGGTCCCAGACAACGGGGCTACTTCCTGCACAGGAATCGACGGCCTTTCCGCGGCGCGTGATTCTGGGATGCTCGGACCCGCGCACGGTGCTTCTCCCTTTGCGAAGGACGCCTCCTTCCTTCTCCGGCGGAACAATGAACCACCACAAGCGTTCAAGAAGACGGAGAAGACAAACGACTGGGCAGCCGCGGCGTGTCGTTGCAGCAGAGAAAAGGGTCTGCAGACAAACCTGAACTGCTCTGGCGAAGAAAGAGAAGCGGCAGCACCATGCTCGGACGAGGGCGAGGACACTGCGGCGGCAGCAGGAAGGATCCCGCTCACCTCACTTCATGAGGCGCTAGATCCACAGCACGCATCGCTTCGTGGAGGGAGTATTCTTCATGATGCTGTTATGGTCGAGCAGCAGCACTCTCATCCCAAGTCGAATGGATCGTCCGGTGCGGAACGTAGGCGTGATGCCGCACTCGCCGACGCTCCACCTGACCCCACCGCCGCGGCGTCTTATGATGTTGAAAGCAGCAGCAGCAAAGCGACATGCCCGCTTTTTTACCGTTGTGACTCCCGCAAAGAGCGCGCGCGACGACTCCTTCGGTACATGAATCTGGTGTCCCAACATCTTGCCATGATGCACGAGTCCCACGATGAGCTGCGCGGACTGTTGTTGACGATGCTTAACGACAGCCAGTTGTGAATAACGCAGCCGAATCAAGGAGCAGATATTCACGTTGAGTGTGTGCGTATGAATACATATATATTAATTCCTCGTTTTCTGCTACAATCCGCTTCTTATGCTGTCCGAGCGCAAACGATTGTTTCGCAGCGCTCCAATAGCCTATCCTTTTTTTTAACGCTGCTTTTTTTCTCCCCTTTGCAAATGTTCGCCTTCAGATCTGAGGCTCAACCTTTTCAGAAGTGTTGGCCAACGGCATTCCTCTGGGATGAGAATGCGTGCTTCCTCAACACTCTCCCAAAAAGAGGGTGCTTCATTCGCTTTGTTTCCAAGTCGCTTTACAGGTGTTCTTTGATGCCTCTCACGCCCTTCTACTGGGGTGAACTGTAGTGTCAAGTAACTCTTTTTCAGACAGCACTAACGAAATATTTCCTCGTTGTCCGCATCCCTTCCCTCATATTGAGCCGCCTTTTCCTTCATGCGTCGGATATCTTCTTCGACTGCTGTATCTTGTCTTTTTTTCCCCCTTTGTTGACTGTTCTGCATTCTCTGGCTGCGTTGCAACGCCAGTTTGCCTTGCCGTGTGAGCAAAACCGTACGTTCCTTCTACACCGCATCTTCTTCACCAAATCCCTCTCCGGAAAGATAGTAAGGGAGGTAGAGCGCACCTCAGTGATTCACTGAAAAGAAAGAAAAAAGGAAGAAGGAGTTTGTTTCCGCCCAGACGGAGGACCGATCGCGTTTCTGGCTATTTCGAGCCAACTGCTTCGACCCACTTGGCGTTAAAAAAACAAACAAACTCTACTACTATCATTTACCCCACATATACAACGGTGAACATCCATAACATAAAATGTTCACCCAAATCGCCGAAGCACACACGGAGGTGATCACCTCGCTGATGTTCTCGCCGCACGTGGTCACCGGCAGCGAAGAAGGCGGCCTCCTCTGCTCTACATCAGGTGACGACACGGCCGCGCTGTGGGACCTGCGCGCCGGCAGCGGGACCTCGCAGCGGGCGGCGCTGCTGGCGGGCCACCACGTTGGTCCGGTGAACCACGCTCTCTTCCACCCAACCGACGCGCACACCCTTCTCACCGCGTCGGACGATCGCAGTATCGGCTGCTGGGACCTGCGCCGGCCGGATAAAGTGGTGGGGAAGATTTCCGGCTTCCAAGAAGGCGTGAACAAGATGCTATGGCTGCCAGTGGCCTCGATGGGCTGCGGTGGCGGTAGCGGTAGCATGGGAAGTGGGTGGAATGTGGTGAGTGCGTGCGACGACGGCCACGTGTACGTTCACGCAATGGTGCTGCCGGACGACAACAGCGCGGAGGTGGCCAGCACGGCAGCCGGCGCGGAGGTGATGGCCGCGATGGGCACCACACTCGTCCCTCAGGTCGGCGCGCTGGTCGACAAGTTCCGCGTTTCCACGAACACGGTGAACGACATCGTGCTGGCCCCCCACTCCACGACGACGCTCATCACGGCATCGGAGGACTGCGCGCTGCGCTCGTGGACGTTGCGGCCGGACAAGCAATTCAGCAACACCACCGTGGGCACGATGGACGAGCGCCTGCTGGACACCCTAGACGAGTTCGAGAACCCGGTGAACCACTTGGTGGTGGTGCCACCAGGGCTGATGGGGGCAGGAGACTTGTCGAACAAGACGGAGGGGTGGCGCGAGTCCCCCGCAGGTGCCGGAGAGGTCGGTCAAGACGACGGCGAGAACAGGCGCGGCTTTTCCAGTGAGAATGCGGAGGCGGAAGACGAGGGAGAAGAAAAGGACGAAGATGAAGAGGAACGCGGCGCGGGCGGTGGGCACACGCATCAGCGCTCCTCCGCGGGCATCTCTGACACGGCCGGCACGGGCTGCTGGCTGCTCGCGGCGTGTTCGGAGTGCGTCTTCGGCGTGGACTTCTCCCTCCACTCGGGGCGGTTCGGCAACGGGGCTCGCTCCTTCGTCGGCCACCGCGACTACGTCCGCGGTTTGGAGTTCACCAGCGAAGGCACACTGTTGACGGTGTCGGATGACAGCACGGTGATGGAATGGAACTTGTCGAACTCGGACCCAATTCGGCAGATGAAACTGCACGAGGGCATGGTGATGTCCTCGGCGCTGTCGCCGTCACGCACGCTGTTTGCCACAGGCACCGACCGTGGAGAGATACGAGTGTGGCGCTTGCCGTTTGAGACGGAGCGCATGGGCGAGGACTGAACGCGAAAGGTGTGAAGGAGTTGTCGCCGCCGACTATTATAACCAGCCATACATCAGCAAATCGAATAGATGTGATCAGCGTGCTGATCAGAAAGCGATGTTAACAATCAAACAGGAAGTTTTTTTAATTGACGTGCACCACTCACAGTGGCGAAACGAGTTCGCCGTTTTTTTGTGCTGCTCCTCGCGGTGACCTTAAAAAGCAGCTGCCACGGTCATTCCCGAAGCTGTGTTTGATGGGCGAGGTCTTTCCATCTCTAAACAACATGTGACTTGAAAAGCGCACACAACGTTGCCAGTTAAGCCTCTTTCTTTTATTGAGGCGCTTCCGATAATTATGCAGCTTGTGTGTCCCATTTACCGTGGTTGGATGTGGTGCTCCTCCTCTGCTGAGTACTCGATCGTCATCACTCTCTTCTCCAATTCCCCCCCCCCTGCTTTGTTACCCTTTCCTTTCTCTTGTGACGACAGTGGAGAGGGGAAAAAGAAACCGTGTTCCTGCACTCCTTTGTTTTCTCTTTACATAGAGGAAATCGAAGCAATTACGGTTACGTATAGGACCTCGAGTGAATAAACTTACGTAGATTCCTTAGTCACAGCTTATCTCTCTTATCATTGGATACGTTATTATTGTCGCTGAAGCGCGAGTGGTGGTATTCATTTAGTGGAAAGAACTCGCATCTTTTTTCCCTCTGTTTTACATCTTTTGTGTTTTTTCTTTCTTTTCCCAACTTTCTGTTGTTGGCCCATGTGGAGAAGCAGCTCTCTCTTGCTACGGCGGCTCCCAAACGAGGTGGCCGTCGTGGCTTCGACCGCATCGGCGTCCGGCTGCAGTGGCGCCAACAATTACCACCACCACCACAACTCCGTCAGCGCGCTCCCTCCTCGGTCCAACCCTTTCCGTTTTTCGAGCGCCGACCCGCTCTCCTCCTGCCCCCTCCTCAGCCGCCACCGACTGGTCGCACCGCCGACCCTCTGCGTCGCCCGCCGCCGTCAGTCACAGAGCTCACCAGGCAGAGTTAGCACCCAGTGGCAGGAAGGGGAGGTGGACCCGCGCTACTCCTCGGAGGGCAACATGCGCAGGCTCAACCCTGACACGATGCCGCACTACGTCAAGTCGACGATCCAAAAAGACCGCCGCGAAATGGGCCTCGCTGAGGTCTTTGACTGGGGAGAGTTTGCGAAGGACGCCGTCTACATCCCAACCCGCTCTGGTCCGCTGTGGGTCGGCAGCGACGACCCCCGTGCCTCGAGGTTGGTGCGGCGCAAGGAGAAGATGAAGCGGAAGCCGCTGCAGCGCACCCGGCGGAAGCCCGGCCCGGACCCGGCCAAGGCGCTGGAGGACCACCCCCTCCGCGAGTACTTCACGACCCCCACAAACCTGCGCGACCCCCTCAGCGTCGCCATGGGGCTGCACCGTGCTGGGCGCATCCGCGAGTACGACATCAAGCACACGGCGGCCAAGATTGAGTACATCGCCCGGCCGCCGATTGTCTCCATCATGGGCCACGTCGATCACGGCAAGACGACGCTGCTCGACCACCTGCGCCGCACGAACGTCGCGGCAGGCGAGGCGGGCGGCATCACGCAGAACGTCGGCGCTTTCCAGGTCAAGACCCCCGACGGGCACTCCATCACGTTTATCGACACACCCGGCCACGCCGCTTTTACGGCGATGCGCGAGGTCGGGGCGGCGGCGAACGACATGATTATTCTGATCGTGTCCGCGGTGGACGGCGTGCAGCCGCAGACGCGCGAGGTGATCGAGATCGCGCAGCGGCAAGGGACGCCGATGCTGGTCGCCATTACGAAGATCGACCGCCAGCCGGACTGCGACTACATCAAGGAACAGCTGCGCACCTGCAACGTGGAGCTGGAGGAAGACGGCGGCGACACCCAACTCGTGAAGATCTGCGCCAAGGACGGCCGTGGCATTCCCGACCTGCTCGAGGCGATTCAGCTGCAGGCGGAGCTGAGCGAAATCTCCACACCGACGCCGAGCCGGACGGAGTTGTACGTGTTGGAGTCGCGCAACTTGGGAGTGACGGAGGTGGCGGCGGTGGTGCACTGCGGCACCGTCCAGCCCGGCCAGGTCTTCGTCTCCGGCACCATCTACGGCACAGTAAAGCGCGTCTTAGACGACCACGCCACCACGCTGGGCTCCGCTGGGCCCTCCGTGCCGGTCGTGTTGCAAGGGATTCGTGTGCCACCGAAGCCCGGTTCCATCCTCATGCAGGTCAGCAGCGAACAACACGCGGAGAAGTTCAGCTGCTTTATGCGTGAGGTCTACTCGGTCGAGGGTGGTCGCGAGAACTATCTGCAGCTGCTGAACCAAGAACGGCGGGGCAACATAGAGGGTCGCAAGCCGGACAACAACCTCGTGCGCGCCTACAGCACAAAGGCCTTTCTTTTGTGCGTCAAGGCGGCGACGTTCGGCATGCTGCAGGCCGTGCTGAAAATGGTCTACGAGCTGCCTCGACTGGAGGGCGTGTCGATGGAGGTGAAGGTGACGGAGGTGGGGGGCCTGACGAATCAAGATATCGCCTTTATTGGGGCCTCGGGTCAACCAGGCTGCGTGCTGCTCTTTGGCGACTGCAAGGATTCCAACAGTCTTGACGTGCCGAGCCACGTGAGCGTCGTCCGCTTCAACGTCCTCTACCACGGCATCGACGAGCTCAAGCGGATCCTGGTTGAAGCCCTGCCCAAGATCGAGAAGACGCGCGTGCTGGCAACCGCGGAGTGTCTGCAAACGTTTAAAGCTTCGCAAGCCGGGCGTGCAGGTAACGCCGGTGGAATGAAGGTGACCAGTGGCACGCTGGACGTGTCGCACCTGACCTGCCGCGTCATCCGCAAGCACCAGAACATGAAGGCGAAGCTGGCCGCCGCGGTGTCCGCCAACAAGGGCAGCGTCTCTACCAACGTCCTCGACGAGGACGAGTCGGTGGTGCGGGAGGTGGTGTACGAAGGTCAGATGAAGGAACTGCGGCGCTTCAAGGAGCTCGTGCCGACGGTGGAGACCGGGTTGGAATGCGGCGTGGTGCTCTTCGACGACTTCTCCTTCCGCGTGGGGGATGTGTTTGAGCAGTACGAGATGTACGAAGAGAGCCGCGATGTCGCCGAGGAGTTCGAGGCTGCAGAGAAGCGGGAGAAGATCCTGCGTGAGCAAGCTGTGGTGCAGGCGCGCATGGAGGAAGAGGCGGCGGCGGCGTCCGCGGAGGTCACCCAGAAGAGCAACGAGCTGCACGAGAAGCTTACGGCTGCTGCCGCGGCAGTAGCAAGAGCGTGACGAGGGAGGCGCCTGTGACGGCGTGCGTTTCGTATTATTGTTTCTTTCTCACTTCTATGCCTTTGCTTACCTTGTTTTTTCTCGCTTTTTGTTTTGTTGTTCTCTTCACAGTTCTTCTACCTTTTGCCACTTCCCCTCCCCCCAACATGCAGCGCTGAAGTTGCGGGGGCGATCTGCGGTTAAGGGCGAAGGAGCGCGTGCTTGGCATCTTGCTGTTGTTGCCGTGGCCACGTTTTCGTTGTTGTCATTGAGTTAAATGTCGGTTGTTGTTTTCCTTTTTTACTCGTTACAGGCCTGTTCACAAAAATAAATAATGACTATTGCGCAAAGCACAAGGTGAGATTATTGTCCTTGAGTGGGTGGAGTGTGGTTGCCTCGTTTGTGAAGCTGACGACACTGTTGTCGGTCCTACAACGGACACAAACATGAAAGCACTCAACCACATACTTCACCGTCTTTGGCATCTGATCTTCTTTTTTTTTTCCTCCCTCTTGCTACTTCTCGGTGTGGTGCTCTTGTCCAATTCGCGCTGTAGAGTTACACGAGCACCGCCGTCTTTTTCGTTTCCTTTCCACATAAGAAGACGCTCAGCCCCCACGTTTATACCGCATACAGAGCTAGGAAAAAAAAAGGTCACCCACCTTTGCAGACGGGGAAGATGCAGCGGTGGTGGCGGGAGCGAGCGTCACCTCGTTTGGTCGCACACCTGCCAGAAGTATTCGACGTCACGAAGCAAGGCAAAGTTCGTCATGGTGAGCACCACGTGAACCGACTGCCCTCGACATCAGGTTCTGGCAGCGCGTCGGCGGCAAGACGTACTCGCACGCCTGCGACTACCTCTTGCACTCACAGAAACGCCACCCCCTTTGTGCGGTCTTGCTGGGGTAGTGCAGTGTGTGGTGCGTCCGCTGCCGCAGGTACGTCTATGGTGGCGGCCCTTCGTGTGCAGCACCGCCTGTGTGCATCCCAGGTCAACCGAACTTCACCGCGGAAAGCGGCAGCCACGTCGGAGAAAGAGTTTCAACGAGAGTTTTTCGAACACTCCCTTGTTCAGCGCTTAGCTGCCGTGACGGTGGCCAAGTTCCAGCTGATCGCCCTACAGCAGCAACGGGCGCAAAAAGCGGCCTCGTCAGAGGACACGGTGGTGTACATGCCGATGTTTGACTTTGTGTGTCGAGTGCCTTCGCTGGTCCGGGATGACATGTTCCGTCGTCAGCAGGACGCCATGCGATGGGTGGAGGCGTCGCCGCTGCTAGAGCTTGTCGATCAGGACGGCAGCCGCATCTGGTCGAACACGACGCCATGCTTCATGACAGGCTCCGCGACGAGTGGCAACGACGGGTGCGCGCCGTCGTACAATCCGCTGCTGCACGTCCGTGTGGTGGCGCCACCGGAATGGTTTCAGCGCATCGAAGCAGCGGAGTCCTCTGTCCCCCACAACACAACACGGTCTTCCGCATCAACACAGAGCGGTGGTAGTAGTAACGGCAGTGCAGCTTCTTCTTGTGGGTTTGCACGAGGACTAGCGGGAGAAGACTTCAGAGTTGCAGTGCAGGATGCCCTCGTGCGCGCCTTGCGTGTCTCCGAAGACTGTGCCATACACAAGGCGGCGAAAGTGGCGGCTCAGCAGAACAACAGCACCTTGAATGCTGCAACGGCTGATGGTTGTGATGGCGGCTGCACCGCAGCACAGAGAAGCTCCAGTGTTTGTCGCTACGTACCACTCGTCAACGCGCTGAATCAGATTCATCTTGAGGCTGCAGAGGCGAACAACAACGTGCGGGTCTCGATGCCGACCGCGACCCAGGAGACACTGCAAGCGCTCTCGATGGAGACGCTGGAGCAGGTGGTGGACGCGTGCGGTCTGCTGGTGACGGTAGGACGTCGTCTCCAGTGTGACGAGTACCCGGCACTCACGGCGAAGTGTTTGTGGGTGGTGCGTTCAAGCCAGTTGCCGCATCAGCGGCGCCCCTCCGTGTTTGTGGCGCTGCGGCACGCGCAGGACACGGAACCGCCGCGCTTCCGCTTTGTGCACCCGCGCGTGACAGTTGCGACGGTGGCAAACAACTACGGTGGGTGGGGCTGTGAGTCGAACGTGCCCACCAAGGCGGACGTGTATGAGATCCTCAAATACATTCCGGTGAACTGGGGTTCTATGAGCCACCTCACTATCCCGATCGACGTGAAAAAGCAGCGGATCCGCTGCTCGTCGTCGCAGCAGTGGTTTCGGCGGCAGCCGTACTACTTCGAGCTGCGCAACATCAACGGGACGGTGGAGATACGCCGGAGTATCGTGCTGCACCCCGAGGCGCACGGCCTGACGAAGGAGGAGGCCTGCGAGCTGCTGGAGCTGCAGCTGGCGACCGGGGAGGCGAACAACCTCGTCCTCCTCGAAGGCAGTGGCACACCGGCGGACTACGGGGTCCCGCTCCTCGAGCGCACCGCCATCAAGTTCCTCCTGCGTGTCTGCCCGACGTACTTCGCCCCCATCTCTCTCGTCGCGCAGCGCTACATCAAGAAGAATCTGTCCGAGGCGGCGATGGTGGCGGTGGCGCGGAAGCGGCCGCAGGACTTCGAGGAGCTCACGACGCGTTTTAGCGATGCGGTGTTGCTGCGGCGCCGCGGTGGGGCGGACAGCTCTCGCTGGCGTGCCGCCTTTGTGGCCGATCTCGAGAAGTACCCGGAGGACGTGCGCGGGATTATTGCGCTGTGCAACCGCATGTGCCCCTCGTGGGACCGGCCGGAGTTCATCTACGTGCGTCTCGGCGAGGACGAGAAGCAAGCGATCGGCGGCTACGAAGGCATGATGCGTATTTTACAGCGTCACCCAACAATCTTTCGCGCCGGCAAGCACTTTGTCTGCCGTGCCGATCCGTCGAATCCGCTGACGTTGCAGGAAGTGGAGCCGCCGCTCGACGACGTGACGGCGCGATCGGTGATGCGCGAGGAGAACCCGTACCAATCGGCGCTTGACGTGGCACTGGTCTTTCACTACGTGGCCCCTGACAAGGAGCCGTGCACGGCCGCGTACTTGGCGGACTGCGCCAGCCCGGCCATGCGGTGCGTCCTGCCGACGCGCCTTGTGACCGTCGTGCAGCAGTTCCCGAAGCTGTTCGCGTGCACGGAGACGTCGCCGGGCGTCTTTGCGATTCGCAAGCTGAAGCAGCGGGTGCTGAAGCCCACTGCACAGATTTCTGAAGAGGTCGTGCATAGCAGCGGCAGCAGCAGCACCAATACGAATAACGATGGCACGGTAGCCGCGACGGACAGCGACGAAAGCCTCATTCAGATGCTGGAGGACGAGATCGCCGAGGAGGAGCACCTGACCAAGGAGGAGGTGGTTCACGCGGTTCACACGCTAGTGCCGGACTCGGGTGTGGAGGCGCCGCAGCTGCTTCAGTGGGCGTCGATGAGCGTGCAGCGTGCCGCCAACGAGTACTTTGGTGGCGTGCTGAAGCTGACGGAAGCGATGCCGCAGCACTTCCGCGTGGTCACGACGGAGCAGGCGAAGACCATTTACAAGAAGTAATAGTGGACGGAGGTGGAAGAGAAGGGGGAGACGAATTTGTTGGCATTAGGTACTCCAGTGAGGCGGTGCTTTCCTTGTGATTTACATACTCTAAAGATCTTTAACTTCATCCTGCATGGAATAAAAAGAGGGAAAAACGTTTTGGAAAAGTGAAGAAACTCCTCTCCACAGCCGCTGACTGATTCGTAACGCCGCAACGAATCCTTAATGGGCTGTCCAGTTCATGCACATCCATCTAAAAGGAATGCGGTCGGTATCGGGCGCCGTTGTGCTTCGTTTCCTGTTTCCACTCCTCCTCCTTTCTCGGCGTTTCTTGAGATCTTTTCTGCGTTGGTTTTGGGTTTCCTCTGCGCGGGCGGGAAAGGCTGGGTGACACGACGAGCCCCCGAAACGCACACTCGCAACACCGCGAAGAGCGCCACACATCAATGGCGTTCCGCTACTCAGAAGAGGCGGCGTTGAGGTCCAGTCATGCAGGGACGCAGACGCAGTATGCAGCAACACTACGATTTCTTTTTTCTTTCTTTGTATGTTTGCTTTGTGAGGCAGCTCAAGCCACCAGAACCCAGCTAATGAAACGACGTCACCCCACACTCTCTCCCAACAAAACAGAACTCAACAACTCACCTTCTCGCACGATTCCTTTACTTGCGACGCTCGTAAATCTCCCGCGCAGGGAAGGGCAGGGGGGTGCGGTTGTAGCGGTGGAACGGTACGGAATCGTAGCCGACGTAGCCGTCGTCCGCCTTGCCCTGGATCTTCGTCGTGTTACCGGGGTACATCCGCAGCAGCCCCCACATGTGCCGCACAAAGAGGTGCTGCATGTGGTACTCCTGGTACTGGATGCGGCGGTACCACGTCGTCAGCTGCGCCCCGCGAGAGCGCTTGTAGCCGGTGGCGTCGCCGAAGCGCGGCGGGGGCCGGCACATATGAAAACGATGGAGGTCCTTCTGAATCACCGCAGTGCGGCGCAGCGGCAGTTGATCGACGCCCATGGTAAAGTACATGACCTTGTGCTTCACCATGCGCTCCGGCTCGGCCCACCACTTCGGGCCGGTGCGGATGACCGATATCGGCGCCGTCGCCACCGACCGGGTGAGGAAGGTGTTGAAGGCGACAGAGGTCTGGCGCAGCATCTTGACACAAAAAACTGCTGGCCAGCGTTCGAGATTTGGCGAAGGGAGGGAAGGCGGGAAAGGAAAAGGAAAGAGATGTGGAGAAGTGAAAAGGAGTGAGTGAGAGAACATCAAACGGCGAACATATGAAACAGAAGACTCTTATTCTTTTCTTTTTGATAAGAGAAAAAATGCATCGTCCGACGGTGCAGCACAGAAAGAAGAGGAAAAAGAGAGGAACTAAAGTCTTCTCTGTTTGGTTGTCGCCGCAAGTGGAAGAGGATAAGGGCACGAGTAGAAGAATGAAATGAATGAACACGAAGAACTCCTCAAAAAGAAAAGAAAGAACCATTAAAACAAGCTTGCATACGTTGCATACACACATACACACTGCGATAGACAAACTAGTGAGGAGACGTGGCGTCGTCCTGCTCCGTCTCTTCGTCTTCATCGAAAGTGTCGCAACTCGCTTCCGAGTTGGGGTCCTTCTCCAGCCAGTACCCGCTGCTGCTCACCTCATTCTCGTCCCCGTTGTCTGGGCGGGTGACCAACTTCAAGGCTGCCTGCTCGCGCCGCTGCCGCTCCAGCTCGCGCTGAAAGCTTTCTCGCCACGCATCCTCCTCGATAAAAGCCGCGCGCGCGGCGTCGCTCTCCCCGGCGACGGCCACCACCGCGGCCGCTGCAGCAGCGGCAGGCGCCGCCATCGAAGTGCCCAGCAGACTCGTGAAGTCGTGCGCAGAGACGGGCCGGTGAACCGTGTCCGAGAATTCGGTGTCGCACCCGCGCCATCGTTTTGCTGCTGCACTCGCTGGCGCATCAACCGCGTCCACACCCGCGAGGGGCCTCCGCGCATTCTTTGCTGTGATTGTAAGCGCGTTCGCTGCGTCGGCGTCTTCGCCGAGAGCTGTGGACGCGTGACCTGCCGCGCCACCGCTCTTACCTTTGCCGAGCTCCGTGCCTTGCTGGAGTGGCCCAGCGGCTGCCTTGCGCAGTGCTCTGTCGGCTGCGGCGCTGCTGCTGCTGGGGGTGTCGGTGTTGAGGTAGACGCGAGACCACTCGTAGATGACGCCTTCCGCAGTGATAGCGACAAGGAAACGGCCGGTCGGCGACCACGCGATGCCGGTGCAGCGACCGCCGTAGGGCATCGGCAGCGTCGCCAGCACGTGCTTCTTGTTCATCCGCGTTGCCTCACTCCCTCCATTCCTCGTCGTGCCGCTTCCTGGACCGGGCGCAGTGGCGTCTGCCTTCGTTGTCGGCGTCGGCGTCGTTGGCGCTGCTGCTTCTGCAGCCGCCTCGATGCGCAGAAGCGGGAGTACGCGCACGAAGCCCTCCTCGCACGGCGCAGCAACGACGACGAGGCGGCGGTTGTCGGGCGAGGCCACCGCACCGACGCCGACATGTCGCATGCGACTGGGTCCTGTCGTCTTGAGAAGCGGATAGAGTCGGTAGCTGACGGTGGGTTTGGCAACACTGCTGTGGTGGTGACCACCACCTGCGTTGCTACTGTTGCTGTGTGGCGGAGTCCCGCGCTGCAGCTGCAGCAGCAGACCCAGCGCGTACACCGTGTCGCACGGTGCGGTGACCAAGATGAGCAGCGGACACACCACATCCAACGCATCACCGCGGAGCTGCTTCAGCAACTCCTTCTCCGTCATAGCGGCGGGGTCGAAGCTGCTAGCACCCGCAGAAGCCGTAGACGACTTTGGTAAGGCGAGTGACGAGTCTGCGCGACGCGCCGCCGTCGTCGTGGCGGACGACGACGGAGCTCCACCGTGGCTCCCGTTATTACCACCCCCACCGCCCCACAACGCGGAGAAGGTGTCAGACAGCCGCGACGGCAGCCCAGCGAGGACGTGCGGGAAGCTGCTACTAGTAGTGCCACTGCTGCTCACCCCACCGCTGTTCGTGCGCGTAGCGGTGGCACTGTCGCCGCCGCCGTGCTTCAACATGGATAAGCTCCTTGTGTGTGTGTCGCGGCGACTGCGAATGGCCGCGGCGTTGCCGGCCGTCGCAGCGGCTTCTTCCACCTCCGCCTTTCGTGCGTCGAGCTCGGCGCGACACGCACGGTTCTGCACGGCAGCAGCGTGCAACACCTGTGCGGTGGCCTCCGGTGGCTGGTGCAGACGTCCCCCGGCACGAGCCGTGGCCTCACCTGCCCTTTCGTCATTCGCCTCGGCTGCCGCAGCAACCCGTGCCGCCTTGGACGGCGAGCCGCAGGGGCGGAAGAGACTGTGGAGCTGCGCGGCGTAGAGAACGCTCACGCTGATCGCGGCAACGCCACCGGCGTGCGCCGGCAACACACACGCCGCCACCCGCCGCAGCTCTGGCAGTTGGTAGAGCGGGGTGACGAAGATGGCGCCGCTGCCAGCGGACGATCCGTCGTCGCGTCCGCTGTTGGAATGGGGGTTGAGGGGATCCGTCACGTACGATCGACTGTGCGAGTGCCGCGCCGCACCGCCACTGCCGCCGCTCGTGGAAGATGTGGACGTCGCTCGCAGAGTGGGCCATATGACCAGGTCCCCTGCACGATACGTCCACAGCGCCACCGTGCCATCTCCGTCACCCGAGAGAAAGAATGGCGACGCGATTAAATCGACGGCAAGGGCGGTGATCGCGCCGCCTCCCCCGTTTCCTTTACTTGGCTTGCTACCGCTTTTCAATAAGTTTTTGGATCTCATTGTCCCTCCTCCGCTGCTAACGCTGCCGCTGGCGGTTAACTGTGTAAGCCCCGTGCCCGCCACGTTCGTAACCGGCAGCCCCGTGGAACTGTTGTAGAGGTGCAGCTCGCTGCTGTCTACATAGCTGACAAGCAAATAATTGTTGTTCTGCGGCATAAAGCGCACGAGATGCGGCGCGCGCTGCACCGCGGAGGCGTTTGCCCATACGGCGCTGATGCGGCGCAGCTTTGCGCACGTGCTAGCCTTCCACACAATGACGCAGCCGTCCAGGCCGGTGGTCGCGTAAAGGGTGCCGTCATCGTTGAAGGCGATGGAGAGGATAGCGGCTGTGTGGCCTGACAGCGGGACTGGCTGCGACGACAACGCAGAAGCGGCGGCAGCCGCACCATCCGGCAGGACTCCGCCTAGACCGTTGGGGACGGCGTTGGAGGCGCCACCGGTGGCCGTCGCCGTGTTGCTGGCAGAGAAGGCATGTGTCGCGCTGCGTGCACCAACACCAACACCGTCCGTCGCTGCGTTCACTCCTGCCGGTGCGTGCGGGGGCCACAGGCTGCCCAGCGGCGTCGCCCGCACCGCCTCCTGCCCTCCACCCGCCGGCACCCGCCACAGAAAGCCGGAAGACGTCCCCACAAGGTACGCGTCGCCAGCGTGGTAGAAGTGAACGCAGGTGGCCGCCACTGGCGACGACGACGGCTCGCGCTGCGGCAGCATCTGCCCCTCCACGTGCCGAAGATCCACGACGCGAGCCTCTGGTGCAAAGAGGTAGGACACGTAAGGCGCCACCCGCCCTTTGTCAATCGCATCCATCTCCGTGAGAATGCTCAGTTGCGTTTGCGTGTTGGGCGACGCCACCGAGTTGCCGAGATGGCGATGGTGGTGCGGGCTGCGCGGCGAAGCGCGCCGTTGTCGCATGCCTTCGTCGGGTGAGGGATGCTGATTCGCGTTTACTGTGTCTGCCTCCGTCAGCTGAGCCTCTGCGGGGGACACTAAAGGGTCGTCGGAGGGTGCGTCGGCTGCTGCGGCTGCAGCGGGAAGCGTGAGATCGGCATTGGTGCTGGACGCGCCGGCCGACCACTCTGATGAAAAGGGGGTCGCCGAGCGACTCTCCGTACCATCGGAGGAGGTGGACGGGGCGCCGTGGAAGAGGTTGCGCGTCTCGCTGTCGCCGTAGCAGCGCAGCAGCGACGGCAGCGGCACGTGTGGGTGGTAGGCACCGTCGGGTCCCGGCGCGGTCATCGGGCAGACTGTCACGTCGAGGGAGGGCATCGAACTGGATGCGTAGGAGTCGGAAGCCGTCCAGCTGCTGCCGGCGCACGAGCACGAACACGAGCACGAACACGACGACGCCCTCGAATGCAATCGTTGCGGAGGGGTAGGGAGGTGCCCGGTAAAGGACGGAGACGTTGAGAAAAATGCCTGGATACCGCCACCATCAGCAGTAGCACGAACAGTAGCAGAAGAGTCTAAGGCATCGGGTGCCTTCGAGTGCTGCGACGGCCCGACTATCCTCTGCGGTCGATCGTCCTCCATCGCAGAGCTGCTGATGTCGCCCGTGCCTCCACCGCCGAACGTGCGAGCCAGAAAAGAAATAGGGCTGTTGCGGAAGAGTTGGTGCGATGGCGACAGCGCAGAGGTCGGCGTACTGCGTGTCCGCGCGACGGGCGAGCGCAACGAATCCGGTTTTGCTGCACTGCTCATAGCGATCGGCTTGGAAGAGGACTGCGAGTGCCGACAGTGACCGGAGTGATGGTGGTGACGATGGAGGTGTGGCTGGCTGACCTTTGGCGGTGACGCCCCCGCCCGCAACGACAGGAGAGAGTGGTAGGGTCGATCTCGGTGCTCATGCGGGGCGCGATACCACTCCGCATCAGCGGCAACGTTGTCAGGTCGTGGCGACAGCGGAGTAGTGGACAGGGCACGAAGGGAGGGGTGCAGGTTCGCGTCGGCACTGCCGTGAGGAGCAGAGAAACGCATGGGTGATGGAGACAGCGAGCCGTCGTGTCGGTGACAACGATGATGGCCACTGTGGCGGTGGCGGCGGTCTGCGTGAGGCGAAGCAAATTGCTTCGTGCTTGTGTGCGGTGAGCCAGACGGTGAGGGGATGAGTGTCGTAGCACCTGCTGACCCTAACGCTGCTGATACTGCTGTGTTGCTTACGTTGGGATTGGAAAGATGAGTGAGAAGAGGGGAGACAACGTTGTGTGTGGTGGCCGTCATCGCTTCCTCGTGTGGAGGTGCGATGTGTTCAGAGAAGAGGGAGGGAGCACCAGCGGTGGCTGCCGACAGCAGACGTGCCGCCATCACGCCGAATGGTTGAGAAAGGGTGTTGCGCATTACATCAGCGGCGGACATCGGAGCTTCTCGTGCTGCCGCTGCGATGGTTTGCCGAGCGGCGCGACGACGTTGCCGCAGCGCATCCCGCGCCTTTTTCTCCTTTGCCCGCTGTGTGAGAGGGGCCAGCGGCCATTCCATCGTAATAGCTCGTGGTGCTTCTGGCGGAGCATCAGCTGCTGGTATTGGAGAGTGCGTTGTGGTCTTTTCAGCAGCTGCATTTGATCTGGCGACATTATCGTGATGTTGAGATCTGCGGCACGCCTCTACCCGTTGGAGTGCCACTTGCAAGCGGAGTTCCGCGTGTTTCGCGGTTTTACGCACATCCTGTGGTGAGGATGAGGATAGCATCGTCGCTGATGAAATTTGAAAGAGAAAAGGCCAATACTGGTGCTGTTGATGAAGAGCAAGCAACAGCGTAATTAGAAGTTGCTGTGTGTTTAGGGGGTCCAGCTGGACCAGAAAAAGGGAACGACACCCTTCTGGGTGGTACAGAAGGGGGTGTCGGTAAGCAAAACTGCAGAGAGAGGTGTATTTGCCTCCTTCTTAATGAAGTAGTGACAACGAAAGAAAGCGTACGTTGGTGCTTATGCTTCTGTGCTCTGCGTGAACGCAACGCAGTGACCGCCACAGGAGACAGATCGTTGGAAGCGTTTCATGCGTAGGAAAGAGAGAAAAAAATGAGATGTGGTACAACAAAGAAAGGATGATGTCGACAAGAGGAAAGCGGAGTTTTCATAATAATTATTCACAAGTCTTTTTCCTTCTGCGCGAGGTGAGAGACATATCTCTTCTTTCTTGGTTTTTCTCCTCAGCACCATATTGACAAAAACAAAAAATACCTCAAATGAGGCTATTTAGGAAATTTACGCAGGGAATGCTCACTGCGATGCTGAAAAGGGAGACGAAAGGATGAGGAAAACCACAGCGTGATTGCACTTAAACCCAAGGCTGCTCGAGCTCACGTTTCAAACAGTTTGGCAGTGCGCATGTGCAGGTTACAGCAATACACGATAACGAAGAGAGAGTGAAATGGCGTTGCACCTCTTTTGTCATGCTTTTTCTTTTCTGGCAGTAGGGCCAACCCGACGACAAGGATATTTAGTTTAAGAGGTGGATACAACAGAGACATAAATATATACGTGTGAAAAAACAAAAAGAAACGACAGAACAGCGAGCTCTGCCGTGCCGCAAGGAAGCATCAAAAGGAAGAAGAAGAAAAAAGGTTTGAAGAATGTTGTTTTCCTAGTGCGTTTACTGCTTCAAAAGTAGAAGCTTATACTTCATACATTGCTTTCTAAAAAAGGAAAAGACAAAATAAATATAGCGAAAAGGCAATAAAAGCAGAATTACGCAATTCGCATGAACATTTTTCCCCTTCATTTTCAGTATAAGCGTTGTCATACTTGAATGGAACAAGTACAAACCTCGAACTAAAAAAGAAAGGAGAAGATCAACACCACCCTAAAACGCTGAACGTCAAAAACGAAGAAGAAAAGAAAAACACACACACGAGGTAATGAATGAGCACACGCTCGAATATCATTACCTTCCGCTTTCTCTTGCCCTCTGCTTGAAACGCCTCCACAGCGATGGGAACGAAGAGACCGAGCGGATACGGCAAAAAAAGAAAGTCTAAGAAAGCACGCACTTACACCCCCAAAACGAAACAAATGAAAAACAAAAACAGAAAGCACTTGCCTTTTCACCAGCATTTAAAGAAACTAAATCAAGGGAAAACAAAAAAAAATGTTATGCCACGCTTCATACACATGAAGACGGGTACGGGGGAGAAAAACAAAGTAGTTTGGAACACCAAATCAGCCGCATCTCGTTAGCGCTTTTCACGCCTTTCAAGTTACACTTTGAAATTCAGAAAAACAGAAAGACGCGAAAAACTGTTTTCAGAGAGAGAAACCAGATAGCAAAAACATACAAGAAAAAGACTCCTGCCGGCTTTTCGTTATGAGGTCACCGAATAAAAGATACTCTACGGCTCTACGCTTTGCAGAATTTGATCTCAACTGGCTAAAAACAGAAACAAAGAGTAGTTATGTAGAATGTATTACTCTGCTGAGTAGGGGGGGGGGGAGGGGGATATAACCATCAGCAGAGCGCAACTGTAGGTCAGAGTTTGGTCCGACACTTCAGTTGCTCCCTCTAACAAATTTAACAGTTCTTTTCTTTTTTTAAGGTACGATTACGTTTTATACAGCAACAACAGTCCACGAAACGTAAAGTGGGGGGCTACACAACCGCTCGCTTCTTCGTCTCGAAAAACCACGAATCTTAAAAAAGCTGACGTAAAAACGTAACCGGACTCGGAAACTCTTTAAATTGAAAAAAAAACCTTCATCAGGATTGTGAAAAGAAAGAATGACCTGCGTTGTGTGAAAAAAAGGTAGCAAAAGAACGGCACAAACGAGCTTGAAAACAAGCTCCATTAAGCTGGAAAAAAAAAAGAAAACAAAAGCGAGAAAAGAAAGCCGCGTTGGTCTACAAAGACATCGCTCCAGGTAATCGAGGGCCAATCAGCCATACATATGAAAAAAAAAAGAACGCAGTCTATTTTTTTCACCATTAAGTATTGAAGAAGAAAAAAAAAACCCTGTGTTACCACTCTTCTTGTTGCTGAAAGGGAAGGGAGTAGAAAACCAAAACACCTTGCACCGTCACAGGAGTCGACATCGTGTCACGAAACGTTTCAGTGTGCTTCGCCGTAGAAGCGAGTGCGCACAAGAGCGCCTTGGTGCGTGACGACTCAAAAAAGAAAAAAAAAAGAAGTGAGAACACCGCCCAAAAGCACGAAAAGAACGCTCTCGATTCGAACAGCAAGACAAAGAAATGGAGGAAAAAAATACGAATGCAAAAGAACGCTCATCACCGTACTGCAAGAGAATTTTTATTTTCATAGTTCTCGTTTTCTTCTTCTGGGAAAATGGTGCTCTGTGGTGAACCGTTGGCTTGGCACAACGTCAAGACCAAAGGCAAGGTGAAAGAAGACGCCCCAGAAAGGAAAAACAAAAAGAAAAGTTTTTTTCCTAAATATCAGCTTAAAACACGCTCACGAAGCACAAGGAGTGAGGGAGGGATATACGGCTTTCTTGAAAGCTTGTTGAGACTCAAAGGCCACAGAAAGTCAAAAGAAAGACACCCCTCCTGGTGAATTAGAAAAAGAGTAGTCCCTATTTAACAAAGAAAGAAAAACCTGTGACTTCGTCGTCTGCACTTTGCCTTCGCTGTAGAACCTCAACTCGCGCACCAAAGCTATTTACATTTCTTTAAAAAAACGTTCTTTTACACACTTGGCTTCTTTTATATATTTTTTGCATTCCTTCTTATGCGATCGACACCAGACGTTGCGCACCCGAGATATACTCCTGTTCGTGACCGCGCAGCAGGCGCCTTGCCGTAGCATCGAGTTCAAAGACATGTGGGTCCGCCGCACCGATGGCACGCAGGCAGTCCGCGAGAAAGAAGAGGTACTCGCGGTTCGGGCCGCTGATGCCGGTGCGACTCAAGATTTCCCGTGCCATCACCTCCATCGGGGCATCGCCTACGTAGTCGTCATTCTCCTTTGTGGCAATGTAAACAAGGTACATCACGCTCCGGCGCGGCTGCACCGCCGGGGCGTTTGGATGCGTAAAGATGTCGAGTTGTTCCTCCGCCTCTCCGGCCGCGAAATCAGTGGAGTTCGCGCGGGCGTACACATCGGCGGCCTCCGACTTAAAGGCCTTCGCAGACGGAGCCGACGTTGTGGGGGTGGTGAGGTTGCCGGTGGTGGGGTGGGCGTTGTACAGGGGCAGCTGCACGCGATCGTAGCCGCCCTCGCGGACGTCCAAAGCGGTGAAGATCCGGTTCAGCTTTTCGGGGTCCGCAGGGAGCTGGTAGGCCTTGCCGTAGACGCGGGCCTCCTTGTCGTCCTCGGTGGGCAGCAGCGTCACGACACGGCCGGGTGCTCCGGGCTGACCACGGTGCACCTTCGTGCCTTGGTAGAAAACCCGCTTGTACCCTTTGATGTACGACTCGTACTCCGCCTCGTACTCGAACTCCTGCTTCCACAGGATGGAGCCGTAGCCAAACACAACGAAGGTCGTGTCCTCAAAGGAGGGCAGACCGAAGCGCTCGTGGTAGCGGGCGGTCGTTCGAATGGAAGGGACGGCCACGGGCGCGCTCACGTTATGGACCACGCGCTCGCGCCGCTCGGCAGTGCAGGCCGCCATGTAGTTGTCACCGGTCATGATGAAAACAGTGTCAAAGCGGTGGTGGTAGAAACGCCGAAGAGCGCGACGCGGGACGTAGCGAAGAGGTTGCGAAGACGTGATAGGCGGTCAGCGAAGGTGACGCAAAGGTCAAGCACTAAAGAAAAAAGAAGACGTGTCAGAGTTTAAGAAAAGAAAAGAAAGGTAAACAAGAAAGAAGATTAAACTAGCGGCTGTATTTTTGGGTCTTCATTTAAAGTGTTTGGTGGATGTAGATGATCCCCAAGTTGACGATGATATAATACATGCATTAGAAAAGAAGGGGAGGGGAAAGAAGCTTCGAAAGTTGTCGAGAATCACCAGATTTGATATGATGCACGCAGCACCTTTAAGGAATTATTTGCGGCTTCGCACTGACATCAGTCTTTAAAAAAAAAGATGCTTCGAATTTCGCATCACTACCTTGGATGGTTTCTGAGGATACGTGAGTGCGTTCTTCTCTTCTCCTGTGACAGTTTGTTCTGTCTGCTAATTAATACAATAAAGCCTTAATCAGGAACAGAACGTAATACGACGTTATGTTGCTCTGCAACACTGCAGAAACGAAAACATGAAAAAGTGTCGAATTTTAAATATATGTGGACCTCTTCTTTACTAGACGCTGACCTTGAAGCTGGTTTCACAAGGCGCTCCAAGGCGTTTCCGCAGAAAGGAAACCGTCAGTAGGAATCACATGCATTCCCCCTCCCCCACCCCCTCCTCTCCCTCATGGAGGAGGCAATGATAGGAAGAAAGAAAAGCAAAGAGAACCACGTAACTTGAATAATTGTGTTCAACCCTCCTACAATTACCATCCGTCAAATAGGAAGGGAGCGAAATGAGCAAGGGGATAGACAAGGAAACTGAAGGAGGAGACCAGGAGCAATAAAAGAAAAAAAAAAGGGCGGTCGCTGACAAATGCACACAGGCGATTGACGTACATTGCTTGCTAGTGCATCCAGTCCGCTCAGCTGGAACGCTTCGCAGTGTTCGGCCGTTTAGCAGGTGCGCTAGTCTTATCTCCAACACATCCGCCCAAGCGGAGGAAGAAGAATAAGGGAAAAAAAAAGTAGCTCTTGCGCCTAGTTCGTCTCTTCTTCGGCGAGAAGCCGCCTCGCAGCGGCCTCGAGCTCAAACACATGCGGATCATCCACTTTCATCGCACGGAGGCTGTCGGCAAGAAAAAAGAGGTACTCGCGATTGGGTCCACTCGGCCCGGTGCAGCCCAGAATGTGCCGCGCCATCGCGTCCGTCGTGTCAGGGCCGAGGTAGTCCTTGTTCTCCGCCGTGCCGTTGTAGCACAAGCACACCACGCCTTTGCCCTGCGTGTCGACGCCGCGCTCGCGCAGGCTCAGCTCGTGCTCCGCGCCGGGCGTCGTCGGATGCGCATCGTAGAGAGTAACGAGAAGCCGCTCGTAGCCGCCCTGCTCACGCGTGTCGAGGGCATTAAAAATGCTGCGGAGTTTTGCCGGGTCTGTTGGCAGCTGGTAGGCCTTGCCGTAGACGCGGGCCTCCTTGTCGTCCTCGGTGGGCAGCAGCGTCACAACACGGCCGGGCCTCTCAGGGGTGCCGCGGTGGTCCTTTGAGCCTTGGTAGAAAACCCGCTTGTACCCTTTGATGTAGGTGTCGTACTCCGCCTCGTACTCGAACTCCTGCTTCCACAGGATGGAGCCGTAGCCCCACACGAGAAAGATGTTGTCGTCGAAGGATGGGAGGTTGAACTCCTCATGGTAGTGAGTGCGTGCCGCGGAGGGTGAAGCTACCATTCTAGTTTGTTTGCTTTTCGTTAATTGATTGAACGAATGAATGCACGCGCGAGTGAAGAATGGCGCTTCAAACACAATCGATTTCCCTGATGTGACGGTGTGGAGAGGAACACAGCAGAAAGATGAAGGGGAAGAATTACCCCAGCTGTGAATGCGTCTGCTCGCACGCCAAGCAAAACAAAGACAGCTGTTTTCACCAAAAAGGATTAGGCGAATAAGCGGGGGGCACGCCAGTTTTACAGCTGAGAGGCTGAAGTTCGCGTAAAATAAGTGGAGAACGTGGAATCGATGGTAAGCGGAGTAATGCACACACGAGACTCTATGAATGCGTAGTGGTGCTCGTAGAAAAAAAAAAAACCAATAAACAATAAGTGAACAGAAGAAAAAAAGCGTGCAGACACTCCTTTCAACATAAGACGGCCAGTGTTAACGGCGATATCGCAGGATGAGCAAAAACATTTAATTTATACATGTATCGCGAAGAAGTTATAGAATGGAAAGGAGCTGGAAGTTTGAGCATAACTGCATGAGAAAACAAAAGCAAAATTCAGGCCAATACATCTGAGGGAAACTACACCCAACCACACGCCAACCATCCGGATGCGTACGCGAAAACGAACTCAACTGCCTCGTGCTATACACGAGAAGCAGAAAACGCATGTCGTTTCTTCTCGAATAAAAAGAGGACAAAGAAGCAACACTCAAAAGAAAGGAGAAAAGGAAATGCCACAATGAGTAGCTACTGAGGAAGCAAGCGGATGATGACATGCTCTCATGGAACCACTAAACGTTTGTCGACGGCACCGCCACCACATTCCCGGTTGCCTGATCTATGCGGAAACTCGGCCGCGGACGCGGCGGCAGCGGCGGTGTGGAGTGTCCACCGCGGGTGTCGCCGCTTCCACTGCCATCCAACGCGAACCGCACGCGCGAAGCCGCGCGCTTCCGCGGTGGAGTGTGCAATGAAGGAGTCGCCTTGGAGTCCGAGGATTGACGACGCCAGTTGGTCAGCGACGACGACGACGAACCCGGTTGCTGTGGCTGCTCTTCTGTTGTCGCGCTCGACGAGCTGTGCTCATGCCCTGCATTGAACCCGCTCCACGCGGACAGCATGTGACGAAAGGAGGAGCGGCCACCGCTGGAGGACTTCGCAGTCCCGCCTGCGTGACGCAACGTCGGCTCGCTCGCGCTGCGGCGCACGCGCCGGCCAGCTGCTGCCCCACGCGCGGCATCCTCGGTAGAGTTGGATTCCGTGCTGCCTAGCAGTGCCTTTTCCGGGGACGCGGTGTTGGCGAGGCCATCACGAGACGACGCCATAGCTTGGGCGGACAAACCGCTGCGACTGCCTTCCCGTTCTGTCGTCGCGGTTTTTGTACTGGGGATGCCAGTGCCGCTGCGGTTCCCCGTTTGCAGAGTTGTGTGCGGGACTTCTGGCGACACATTCGTTGTCTGGTCGGGGGATTGGGTGCTGAAGCCGTGCTCGACCAACGCTGCGGCGAACTGATTAAGATGATCTTCCTCGCCTTTCGAGTTGACGGCGAAGCGGTGGAGGAGATGAAGCGGTGGTAAGTCAGGAAGAAACGCGTTCGACGGCTTCGGCCGTGGCGGCATCAGCGATGGGTCGCTCACCGCGCGACGACGGGATGCCGCATCGAGAGGTGCGTTGAACGCGGCGGTGCGGTCCGTCTTCGCTTTGCCATTGTTCTCACGCAGTGCGTTGCCATCTGTGGAATGAGGGCAGTACAGACTGGCGCGTCCTGCGGCCGCCTTCGAACCGGCTGGACGGGGAAACACCGCGGTACTGTCGAGGTCCTCCTCCCCGTTGCCCACAACACAACTAGACGATACCGATAGAAAGGTAGGGAGTGCACTTGGCCGCTGCCCGCTGGCCGCGTTATTCTGGCCGCCCTGCTCCACACCGCCACGGCCTTCTATTTCTGCTTTGGTGCCGTTGCTTGGCGGGAGAGACTGCGCGTTGGGCCTTGTCAAAGTCTCGTGCGACGCGCGCTGCTGCCACTGCGCAAACGACGGTGTACGTGCGAGGGTGGTGACGGGGAACGTCTCGCTGCCCTCGTTCTTGCTGTCGTCGTTCGCACCGGCATCACCACGACCACCACTGCGGCCGCGTTTGCGTTGTTGCGCGTGCTGCTGTTGCTGCCGCGTCGCGTCCGACAGCGCCACGGCCGCGCGAGACGCCCGTTCAAACTGCACGTGGCGCCACCGGCGCCGGTGGTACGGCACGTACAACGTTTTGTCCGTCACAAAGCCGAGGACGTACACTGCGGAGAGGAAGTACAAACAACAGCACACGACGTCCAGCACGACAACGGTGCCGTAGCCAGCCACGTGCCACGCCCGCACAGAGTGTGCGAAGACGCCGGCATTGATTTCCGCACGCGCCGCCGCCGTCCACCGGGGGATCAACACATTTTTGTACACCATCGTGAAGGCGGTGAAGAACGCCCGCAGCAACCAGAGAGGGAAAAAGAAGGAGCAAAGCGACACGATGCGGCCCGACATGCCAGCAGTGACGAGCGTGGTGGAGAGGAGTGAGCCGAACGTTAGGAGCACCTCAAACACAATCATCGCCTCTTGTACCCCCATCAACGCGTACAGCAATGTCAGGCCGTGCCGCTGGCGAGAGAGTAGCGTCCGTAAGCTGAGCAGGGCCACATCGACCAAAGCGAAGGCAATAAAAAGCAGCACCACAATGTGAAATGAAATGGCCATTGCGTACTCTCTCAAAAATCTATGTATCTGTTCGTGCTACAGTGCAGCCGAGTCACCTTCCACCGTTTGAAAGGATAACTAAAAAGTCGGTATCGAGGGGGGAAGAGGAATGCGGATGAAAGCAGTTTAAGATGTATCTATTCTAAAAGGGGGGTAAAACACACACACACACTTTGGTCTATCGATGCGGCTGAGAAAGCACAACAACAGAAAAGTTTATGTAGTGGAGCGTGTAAAGGTTCCTCTTCCGTGTCCAAAAAAAGCTATAGAAATGTATTTTATGGTGCTTCACAGATCGACGAGAAGAGATTCGCTTTCCTTTTCCAAACCTGTAACCGCTATTGAAACCATCACTCCAATACACAGATGCGTAAGTTTGCTTCCCTTTATATATTTTTTGAGTCGAGAGAAGCAAGATAGAAAACAGAGAACGAAACAGTAGATACACCTCCACAGCACCTTTCTCTTTTAAGTCAACGGGAGCAGCATCCACCTGCTTTGAAGATAGAGCATTAACACAAACATTTTTTTCATCGACTTCCAGAAAACAGTGTTATTTCCCTCCTCCTCCTCGACTAACAGCCATACCAGGAGCAATGAATCGGGCAGCGAGACGACGCAGCGCCAAGAGCCGTCCACAGTGCAAATCTTTTCTTTTTTCCGTGCGTGTCACATACACATTTGAAGAACAGACTAGGAAACAAAGTGCCATCAAGAGGCAAGCGAATAAGGCGTAATCGAGGGACTTTACATCGAAAAGAGAGTTTAAAAACAGAAGAGAAGAAAAAGAAAAGGTCCAACCCGTTTGTTGAGAGGGAGATACAGCGCGAGGGATAGGGTGAAGCTAAAAGCTGCGTACACATCTAACCAACACATATACATGAATATAAGGTGACCCCCCCCCTACCTCCCCCTCCCCTGAAAGCTGTACATTCAGAAGACAACAACAAGAAACCATTTTGGGAGTCTCTTGTTGCAGAAAAAAAGAAAGAAAAACGTGAGAGCTCTCGCGGCGAACCCAGTGTCTTGTGCTGCGACGCCTCACTCGAGCAGCTTCGTAAACTCACCACTAGTGAACTGATATGGCGTAGATGCGTAGGGCCGAATCGCGATGGAGCGGACGGCGTACGGCTCGCGGTGGCACAAGGGGCAGACCTCGCCGTCCGAGACCGCGCAGCCGGCATTACGCTGAGGATCAAAAGAGGTGCGGTGCGAGGCGACGGAGGAGATGACGGCCGTGATACTCGATCGACGACGGCCCTGCTGCGACAGCAAGGACGCGTTCGCCATGCTATTCAGCATGCGGTTGCTGCTGCAGCCGCCGCTGCCTCGTGAGGGAAACTGAAGCGGCGGCGGCTGTAGCGGGAATGGTGCCTCATTGGCCAAACCCGTGCCACAAGCCGTGGCGGCCAGCGAAGGCAGCGTCGACGAATCCCTGCGGAGTAGGTCCTCCCCGTCCGTCCTTGCACCAGCCTCCTCCCCGAGCCTGACGCTGCAGCGGCCCACAGCTGTGGTGCGTCTGAAGGCGTCTTCGTCTAAAAAGCGGTCGTGTCGCTCACTGGTTTCCTCGTCGGAGCCTCCTGTCCTGATTCTTTCGTCGTCTTCCTCCGTCGCGTTGCCGCTCTGGAGGCCGGAACGGGTATCGATCGTAACGCTGCTCGAGTCAAAGCGGCCGCGTGAGGAGCTCATAGCCCCAGCATCGGCAGCAGCGCTGAATGCCACCGCCGAGGGCCGACGCCCTTGCGGCGAATGAAAAGACGGCGCAGACGCCGCAGTTGCAGCCGGGAGGGTATTTTCATCACTCTTCAGAAACGAAGTCTTTCGCTTCCGCGCCGACGGGGTCAGGTTGGACGGAGTCATGTTGGTGGGCGGACTTCGAGTCGTAGAGACGCGGCCGTGAAAGGGGCGCTGCGGCTTCGTCGGCGATACGGACGTGCCATCACCCAACACCGATGCGTGGAGAGAGGAGGAGGACATTCGACGGGAATGCAAAAGAGAGCGCGTTGGTGTTGCATCCGCCGCCACAGCCGCAGTCCGTGCCGTTTGCGGTGACGCGGACAGCCCGTCGCGACTGCTGCTGCTCGCGCTGCTGAGGTACATGCTCTGCCCCCGCTGCATCAGCGCTCGCGTCTCTGCTCTGTACAGACGACGGTAAAGGGCGGCGCGGAAGTGGTGCTGAATCAAACGGGCAGCGAGGTCTTCGAGGTCGTCCATCGAGGTCGCGAGTTCAGGGCGCCACACGGGCCGTGACTTCGCGGTATTACTTGGATTTCTCGGTGTCGGCGGAGTGGGGAGCGGCGCGGGAAGACGCGGCGGCCGTCCGTCAGGAGACGTCGTGTGGCGCTGCGGAATGAAAAAGCTGCCGTTGTCCAGCGTGTCGACGCCACCGCCCCGACCACCACCAGCACTGCTGCTGCTGCGCGTTGTGCCGAGCTGCTCACCCGCACCGGGTAACGCGGTAGTGCCTTCCGGGTTGTCAAAGGTGGAGCTCAGTCCACTTGCAACGACCACACTGTTGCTTTCGATGTTTGTGGAGAAGGGAGTGGAGCTGGGGTGCTGATGGGGTGTGCTCCACGACCCGGCGAGCGTGTCTGACTCCTCGTTAGCACCCGCCTCACGCCCCCAGCGTCGCGCACCACCACTACCATCACGACCGGCACAGACCCTATTGTTACTGAAGCTGCCGCTGTGGCTGCTGGTCAGTGGGTCATTCACTGGCGTCTTATTGACGCGGCTGTCGGTGATGCCCTGCAGGGAGGCGTTATAGCCAGTGTACACACTGCGGTGTCCGCTGCGCGCCTGCGCGTCTGCGGCATCCGCCAGCACCTCCTCCGCCACCGTGGGCAGCGTTGCGGTGAAGAAAGGGTGCGCCAAGATGGCGTCAACCGGCAGCCGGTCCTCCGGCTTCACCTGCATCAACCGCGAGAGCAAGTCGAGCGCAACGGCGGGCAGACCGGGGCGGGGCTGCCGCGTGTGTCCGTGAAGGATGTGGCGTAGCGTGTTGGCGCCGTCGTGGGGGTAGCGGCCGCGGTTCAGCATAAAGTAAAACACCACGCCCAGTGCCCAGGCATCGGCCATGAACGGGTCGTAGGCCTCAGAACGCAGTACCTCCGGGGCCACGGTGTGCATCGTGCCGCGGAGTGCGTGTAGCCGATCACCTGGGGCGCAGAAGCAGGAGGAGACCATGTTGCCAATTCGCACCAGACCCTCAGGGCTGACGAGGAGGTGGTCAGGCGCGATGCCGGTGTGGGCCACGCCGTGCTGGTGGAGAAAGAAGACGCCCTTCACCACCTGCTCGAAGAGGACACGGATGAGAGGGAGGGGGACGTGTGGCGGAATCGGACCTTCGAGCGCATGGATCGCCGCAGCCGTGGTGACGGAGGCGGACTTGAGGGTGTCGGGAAAAACGGAGACGCTGCCACGCTTCTCGTCGCCGGGGCTCGTGGGGGGAGTGCGTTGGTTGCGCTCCGGCTCGGGCATATCAAAAACGCCGCCAATGCCCGGTCGGCCGTCTTGCAGCTGACGAAGGGAAGCACGCTCCGCCATTGTGACCGATGTAAAGCTGCTGTTCTCGTTGAAGCTGTTGGCGTTTACCGCTCCACTGCTGCTGCCTCGCCTCTCATCGCCTTCCTGGTCTTTTGACTTCTCCGGCCCGCTTGTGAAGTGGCTTTCCCTCTCCGCGACAGATGCTCGGACAGCGGCGCGAGACAAAAAGTGCAGGTGGTTCATCAGCTCCGCCTGCGCAGCCATATCAGTAAACAGCTTCGTCAGATTCATAGACGGGAAAAGATGCATGAGAATGTACACGGACGTGTTCGACTCGAAGCACTCCACCATCTCTAGAATGTGCCTGTTGTGCGGCAGTTTGCGCTGCACGTGGATCGACTCCGCAACGCGGTCCCACATCCACTGCGCTTCGGCCAGCACGTGTTTGTCGTAGATCCGGACCACGTAGGGCACCCCGGTCGTCACATGCGTGCAGATGCGGGTGCGGCAGTCAAAGTCACCGGTAGCGAGGACGCGGCCCAGTTCGTAGTTGCCGATGATCTGCCGATGTGCATTCGCATTACCTGTGTTTGGCGCGCTGATGCTCTGCCGCTGGCTCTGAACACCGTTGTCGCCTTGTCCATCTTCTGTGGTTTGGTTGCTCGAGATGGACGAATGCGCATTCATGCGAGAGCGCCAGCGCTGTGGCTGCGATGCCTGCTGCACTTCAGTGCCGTCTCGATCTGCAGCTGGCATTCTCTACCTGTAATTATGTGTATATATATATATATATATATATATAGTGGTAGGCCCACCGAATGCGGTTCGTTTAATGCGTGGTGATACTTTGCGTACGATAGTGCGTGATGGGCTTGTGAAAGAGATGGAAGGAAGGGGGAGAGAGCAAGAGATGAAACAAGGAAAGTGGAGCTGCTTGGGAAGCTCACAAACACAATTCGGTGCACTCATTGTTGTTGTTTCTTAAGTGGGCGCTGAGTGTCTTTCTTTTGCGATGGTCCAAAAGGGGTGGCGGAGTAGCGGCTGCAGCGATCTTGTCAGCTCATCAGAAACGGTGCGACTGCCTCGTTTGCGCAGTTCCAAAATCGAAAAGAAAAATGAAAGCCCACAGAGACTGGTACTCTTTCCCTTTCGTCTCCATGAGTGCTTGAAACACGAAGAGCTATACATATCTATATCCATTTACACGTGTGATTAGCATAGTTATCGACAGTAAAGTATGTGTGATGTGGAAAAGAACACAAGGAAGAGAAGAGGCATGAAATGCCACGCAACGCACAGTGGCCAAAATACCATCACCGTTCAAAAAAAAAAAAACCCGTAGTACACAAGGGGACTTCTCTCACAAAAACAACGAAACAGAAACGAAGTTCTCTTGGAAACAATGCAGGACCGCCTTTGCAACCTTTAGCACATAAAAACAAAAATTGTAAAAATTCATGTAATGAACTTTGACAAGGTGATTAACGGTGAGTATGATCAAAAACCGCGCGCTGCTAACGTGGGACGTCACCTCCAGAGAGCTCGCTGTAGGTCTTGCGACGGATGTCGTCGCGGAAGCCGTTGTATCGGTTCATCGCCTTCTTCTGCACCCGCTCGGTCAGCGAGCGATCGCCGTAGGTCGTGGCGCTGTTGGGCTCGTTCTCATCCTCCACCTCACCTTCCATCTGGTAAATCAGCGTCTTGTCCACGGAGTCGACCAGCCACGTCGCCACCGGATTCCCAACCGGTGAGCAACCGAAGTAGCGCTCAAAGAGCGAGCCGAACTCGCACTCCACCACACGGCCGGCGTTAGGCAGCGACGGGCTGCTCCACAGCGCCTGTCGATACACTGACCCACCAAGACCGAGCATGTTCACTTCGCGAGAGAGGGCCAGGCGGTGCAACGCGCTCTCGTTGTCGAGGAAACCGTCCACGACACGTGAGGAGGCATCGAAAAGCGTCTTGCCGGTGTCCTCTAGCTTTAGCTTAAAACCGAGTCCGGGGATATCGACTTGGTAGGGAGACGTGTAGCGCTGCGCTGCTGCGTCGAAGACGAGTGGCTGCCGGCCGCTCCCCGCCGTCGTGGTCGCCTTCCTGGGGTCTGAAGAGCTTGTGCTTACTCCAGTGGTGTCATCCCCGCCAGAGATGATCACTGGGTTCTTGAAGTCTAAATTGATCGAAAAGATGCGCTGTGGCAGGCGACCCCAGCACAGACTGCTGCAGATGCTGCCAGCCAGCCAGCTCGTGCGTTGCCAGTGAATGCGGTCCAACACCATCACCCGCATCGACAGCGTAGGGTGCGGCGCAGGATCGACCATCTTTTCGAGCCACGATTGCTTTGCGGGGATGTTGTTGCCCACAATCATCGTCACGAGGCCAAGCGGCACAACGGTGTCGCCGTCTTCATTGAGGTAGTTGTTCAGCTGATTTCCCCCCGTTGAAAGGGTAGGTGGGGAGGATGAAGTCGTGACCGTCGCCGTGTCGGTGGCTGTCTCCTCTGCGCCGCTGGGACGCGAGGCGGTCATGCGCATGAAGTTCGGGACAATGGAAGGGCCACGCCGCCCGGCCGCGGTCTTCACGACGTCCTCCGTCGGGATGAGCGGCTTCGCGGCTGGCGGGGCGACGCCCTTCGGCAGAATCATCTCTCCAAACTGCTCCGCCTCGTACCGTTTGTGCAGTGTGTATTGCAGGTTGTGCAGAGGGACGTACCACGTCACCATAGCCGCGTCAACGGTGCGGATGGACGTCGTGACTTGATCAGCGTCTGTTGGCTGCATCACAAGATAATTAAGTGGGTCGCGGATGCGGCGAGTGCACCGCACCACGGTTTTGATGGCCGTCGCGGACATCTTTGAGATGAAATTAATAGAATTAGATGAAGTCGTATCGAAATGCAACACTGTATGATGTTATTGATAAGTGTGCTTAGGTGCAACAGAAATAAAGTACAGCGAAGTAAACAGTATCCAGCCTTTCTGAATGCCTTTTAGTATTATCTATTTTATTGTACTTCCCGACAAACAGAAATGCTTTCGGAAGAGATGCTGCGCAGACGATTGAAAATAGGAAGAGAAGGAGAAATGCATTGCGTGACATACTTTTGTGAAGATCACCGCAGAGATGATCGAGCCGACATAACACAATTGCACAGACGCAAACCTCAACAACAAAAACCAAGTATTTTCATATACCATTGAAGAAAAAATAACAACAATTCTTCTCATAAGTCTTTCGAACACATCAATCAGCGTGCGTCTTAACACTAATGCTTTCGCGCGCCGCCGTAGGGTTTAATCCGCTACCGTTCCAACATGAATCAAGCACGCGCATCAGAGGCACGCTTGCGGACTTCTCGGAATGCCTTTCGTGAACGTTTTTCTGTTTTATTATTACGGAAGTGAGGTGAATAACCAAAAAAAAGTGCGGAAAGAGAGGGAGAGAGAGGAAGAACGTGGATAACGAAAGAACATACAGAATGAAACGATGCGCACACACATCCGCCAATAATAGTAAAAAAAAAAGGGAGTACGTAAAACAAAGTACAAAGAGAACGAAGAACAGCAACGTTACTGTTGCCGCCCACGACGCACAGTACAAACAGAAACAAAAAAAACAGGAGTAGAGTTCTGTGAAGGTGAACGCAAAACAACGGTGAAACGAAAAGAGAGGGGAAAGGAAAAAAAGAGAAGAAGCAGCGCACAAAAAAATACAAAAGATAAGTGTGAGTTTAAGAAACGTAAAAGCGCCTTTGCACTCGAATTCATTTTGCAGGACGCACACGCACGGCCGGGCGCCGCGGCCCCATTGGATACCTGAGGGCGACTTCATCCGGCTCTGGCGCGGGTGCCGCGACACGTCGACTCAGCGCCGACAGCAGCGGAGCCACCGGAGTATCGTCCTTTGGGGGAGACATCACGCTCTCAATGGGTCGCAGTGCGGTCCACCGTCGGACACCTCTGAACGTCGCGGTGCGAGCCAGACCGTGTGGCGACGAATCTGCGCGGTCGTTGCTCGCCGGCGGCAGCGACGGGGTGCGCAGCCGGGCAGACGGACTCTTCTCCACCGCCGTGGGTGCAACGGTAGAAGGGCCCTCCGTGGAGGCTGCGGCGGGGGAGGGGGAGGAGGGCCGATGGAGGGGGCTGCTGCTGCTGCGCCGCACCAGTGCGGGCGAGGCCGGACCAAGAAAGCATGACTGCTCCCACTTTTCGTGCCCGAAGGCGTCGTCCACCGCTTGGGCGGCGTGACGAAATGCGGCAGACGGTGCGGCAACAGCGCCAGCGACGGAAGCGGCAGAACTGACGCACGCCGACCGCGTCCGTGCAAAGGGCGGGCTCGCGTGAGTGGTGATGGCACCCATGCTGGTAGTGAAGCGCCGGTCGGGCTTCGTTGCAGTGGCAGACTCCTCGGAGCGGCCGCGCTCCAGCGAGCGTCGGTGCTCCTTCGCCACGCCCGCGAGGGCACCCATCTGACGCGGCATCAACGCCCGACCATCGGGAGCACGCGTGCTGTACCGCACGGAGAGACTCGCGGCACGGTGCGCCTCCTCGTATTGCCGGCGCAGCTCGTGGCGCCGACTGCCGTACGCACGGAAGAAGGCATGCTGCCGCAGCTCCGCCAGCGTGATGCGGTGCTTCGGATCCGTGTGCAGCATGCGCACGAGAAGATCCAGCGCCACCACACGGACGTCCCCCGCCCGTGCAAGAGCGAGGACCAGCGGCAGGTGCGCCCGCGCCGTCTCGGAGCGCACAAAGATGGAGAGTTCTCGCAGGTGCTTGCCGTCTTTCGCCTGTGTCGCGGACGTGCCTGCACGGATCTCAAACAGCGACATCACACAGCGCACCAGCACATCTGCGTACGGCGGCGAAAACGGACCTCCGTGGTCTACAGTTGCCGCCGCTGCCGTCGATGTATCCGCGCCAGTGCTTCTGTGGACAACTCGGCGGTACTGCGGCAGCGGCGGCAGGCGCCCCACGAGCATCACCCACAGCAGCACGCCAAGCGCGTAGACGTCAGAGGCTGGCGAGGTACCTTGCTGGTTCACCCACACACGGTATGCCTCTCCGGCAGTGCCGCCATTGCTGGACACGGTGGACGGCTCGAGCGTGTCTGCGCCGTCGAGTACCAGCAGCACGTTCTCTGGGGCGACGAAGTGCTGCAGCAACACCGCCTCGTACGCGTCATTGGAGAGCCCCTCAACGCCCCCCGCAAAGGACACCCCACCATCGCCTTGCTCCTTTCCGCTGGTCAGCCAGGAGCCGCTGATGGTGTAGGTCGCGGGGTCGGACGGAGGCGCACCAGCGGGGCCGCCACCAAACATGTGCGGCAGCACCGCCGCGTCGTGCGCCTTCATGCATGCGTACCCGCACGTGTCACGCGTACGCCAGCCAGGCAGCGACAGCACCGCACCTGGCTCCAACAGCGCATCGGGCACCAACGGGAGGAGGTGGTCAGTGAGGCACACCTTCCGACGGCTGGCCGCGTCCCTCTCCGCGTCCCACCACTGTACCAGCACGTTGCCCGGCTTCACGTTGCCGTGTGAAATTCCGCTGCGGTGCAGCCCGTCCAGCGCGCTCGCAACAGCCCACGCGATGTCGGCGGCGTCGTGCTCCGTGAGGCGTTGCCGATCCTCGGGGAGAGGTGCGGCGATGGCGGCCCCACGCATGGCCGTCTCCGCCGCCGCACTCTCCGCCACAAGGCGCCGCTTCCGCTTCTCCACCTTTGCGCGGCCGGAGAGCCACCGAGAGACGTGCTCCTCCAGTTTCCGAAAGTCCTCTGCCTTCATGGAAGTGTGACCCGCTGACTGACCGTCGCCGCCGCCTCCGCCGGGCGGTCCGTAGTGGGCCCACTTGGGCATGGCGGTGATGGGCAGTAAGTCTCTGCCCCAACGGTCCTCGAGCAAGGTGGTAAGACTGTTGAAGTTCTCCACGTAGTCACGGGCGTAGAGGAACACGGTGGGGTGCGCTGGGGGAAGGGAAAAGGAACTGCCCCGCATCGAGCTGTTGTGTCCACTGACAACGTTACCGCCACGGCGACCCTTCATAACAGCGACGGCGGCAGTAAGAGCAGGAGCGGCAACGTCCGCCAGCGTCCAGCCGCGCTCCTCCATGTCGCTTTTCGTGACTTTCGGCATCCGCACCAGCTCACCGGACGGCTGCTCCTCCTCGGCGCCCGTGGCGCGCAGCATGCTGGCAAGGGTGAATACATCGACGACACCAGCCACATGAGACACCTTCTTGTCCACCTGATTGAAAAGGGCGACGGAGGCATCGGGCAACAACTGGGCGTGGGTCCACGTCGTCGTATCCTTCTCCGATGACGGGTTCCGCAGGTTGCCGGAGAGATCGGAGCTGAGGTCGGTGGACGAAAAGCCTTGATAGCCGGACCGAGAAGAAGCGATCGCGCAGCCTCGGTAGACAGGGAGGGTCATCGCAACCGTTTTCAACACCACCGACCTCTCGTCCTTCGTTGTCGTGCACCGCCGCATGCTGACCGCACCGCGTGCGCTTGGGTTGAATGTGAAAACGGTCTTCAGCGCCGGCTCCACCCACCGCTGCAGCTCCAACTCCATCTCCCGCTGCATATCGCGTGCGACCGGCTCCATCGGGAAGTGAACGGAGCGGGTGCGTGCGTGTGTCGGCTGCTGGGAGCGCCGCCGCGCGACACGGACTGAACTGCCCATCCCCTTCGTGTGCGCGGGAGCCACCACTGAATGCGACATGCCGGGTCGGAGTGTATGCAAAGAGTTGCAATAAAAGCACTTCTGTTGAAGCAGAGAAACTGAAAGTTTGAGGAAAAAATAAACTCTGAGTTATTGGTGTCAATGCGATTGTCGACAGCCATAAAGGTCGTCAGTTGCAAGTGGCTGACTTCGAATGGTGGGAAAGACTGGCCAAAAGGAGGAACTTAAGAGCAGACTGGGAGGAACCAAACAAGAAAAAGAAATCAGAGCCGGCACAGAAATCGACGGCACCGTTATCAGGGGTGTGCTTCACGACGCGCCGCACGACATACCATGCGTGCAGGACACAGACAACAATAAAGGTGTTGGCTTCCACTTAGCAATACCTCGTACGATTGAACCGCTTGAACTTCCTAAAACGAACTCGAAACAGCTTCATCTCAGATTCGTTGGAGACAGTCAGAATATGTCGCTTCGTGAGTTTCCTGCTGTGGTTCCTTTTTTTTTTTGACGCGCACACGAGACACCGTGATGAACCTGTCATTCACCATCCACCGCGGAAAAGCGCCATCTCGTTATTTTCATCTCACTCTGTTCGCACATTATCACGGAACACGCACGCACGCGTGACGGGGGGAAAGCGACAGAAAAACTCAACACGAAAGCAAAGCACAGCGAAGCAGACGACGGCGCCTCTCCGACACAGATAACGGCATAACACAATCGCCTCAACGGCAAAAAGCAAAAAAGGGAGAAAAACGAGCAAACCACACACGTTGTGCGCAGATGAAATTCGACAGCCAAATAAAGATGATGTCAGCTTTTAATGGGATTGTATGCAGCATCGAAGTCTCGACGACGGACGAAGGGAGAAACAAAAAACACAAGAAAAGCACTCTGCCATGTCCTACGAAACGCCTCGCCCTCGCCTTGCCACTGACTAATCCGTGCGGATTTCGTATACGCCGCTCTGCGTCACGTACCGCACCCACGGCGTCGCCACGTAGTTCGACCGCTCCGACACCTTCACATACCGCACCTGGAAGCCCGAGACGGCAAAGTACGGAATCACAAAGCGCAGCTTCACCGGCATCCGTGAGAGGTCATGCACGTCGCTGCTGCGAATGCTCGGCAGGTGGAACTCCGCACTGCAGGAGCATTGGCGGCCCCCCGCGATCTTGCCCAAGTTCCACACCAGTGCGTTCACCTGCGGGGCGTACTGCAGATGCCCCGTTTGGCTGTTCGACTGCGGGCGATCGGCGTCGGACGGGATTGGGATGTACACCTCCATCTCATTCGCCGTCAAGGAGGAGCGGTACTTCGTCTGCAGGGTGCAGTGCACCCGCACCCGCGAGGTGCCGTGGTGGGTGAAGGTGCAGCGGACCTGCACGGGCTGCTGGATGCGCTCGTTCAGGCGGTAGGACAAGAGCGTGAACTCCCCGTCCGGCGGCACGAAGGAGATGACCCGCTCGCTCTCAAACTGGTTCAGCTTCACGCACTGGTGGAAGGTGATGTCCTCCATCTCCACCGTCCTGCCGGTGCGGCCGGTGCGGTCGAAGAGGATTTTATCGTTGAGTCCCACGGTACAGGTGGGCATACCGGACAGCCGGCTCTGCATTTTGATGGTGCCCAACACCTCACTTGACAGCGTCTCGCCGGCTTGGTTCGCCAGCAGGTCCACCTGCTCAATCACATCGAGGAAGACTTGATTGTTGTTGTACTTGTAGTTGCGTGGAAGACGCCAGGGGGTGGAGCCGGCGGCACCGGTCACCGCCGCGGGAAGTGCACTGGCGGCGAGGGTCGTCTTGGTGCCCATAATCTTGGTGAGGAAGGTGCTCTGCATGATGTACTCGCGCAGCGCCTTCTCCTCCGTAAACTGCGGAAAGCCAAAGTCGCACATCTCATCTAGCAGTTCGTAGATAATGACAAAGTTGTCCTGCACCGTTTCTTGGGTGACTGTTTTGAAGTAGGCGTTGAAGACGGAGACGCAGCGGTGCAGGAAGGCAATCTGCTGAAGGGAACAGGTGTTGATGTTGCTCACCATCAGTAAATACACGTCGTTTTCACGCACGAAGGTGTAGGTGTGCCCCAGCTCTTCAAAAACAGGAGTGATGCGACTTTCCTCCTCGTCAATGACACGTTTCTGGAAGACGGCGGGGACGTCCTGCGCGACATCGCCGCGATAGCTGCGGTAAATGAGGGGACTCCCTTTGGAGTCCAGAATATAAAGAGCAGATGCCATGGACTTCGCAATGAAAAGAACCAGCAATACAACCAAGTGTTAGATAACCGGGAAACAAAGCCGCGGCAGGAATGTGAGGCGATAATGCTGGTAGGAAAACAGAGAAATGTGCGCCGAAGCAAACGCAGCGTTCCCGTTGCTAGGATGCGAGATTCAGAGTGGACGTAAGAGACGAGAGCGTAAATGGAGAAAACAAGAAAGAAGAAAAACGGTTGGAAAAAAAAAAGAAAACATAACCGGTTTCACAAAAAAAGGGGGAGAGACACAAACCGTGAAAACGCACCTGAGCAGTCAGCGCAACAGCCGTGTGCCCTCAAAAACGTTGGACTTCTTCACCTTCTTTATTCTTTTTTTGTCTGTTTGTTTGTTTGTTTCGCAAGACACTGCAACACGCTTTCCCACTCCGTCACCGTTAAGTGGCAATAATAATAATACAAAAGCAAAGACGTGTGTCTGGTGAACAAAAATAGGCGTGTGAGGGGTGTATCTTATGACGAACACGCAAGCAGCACGCGAAGAGCAGATGGCTCACACACAGTCAACAGAAACCACACGTCAATACAAAAAATACTAGTAGTAAAGACACAAGAAAAGGCAGGGAAAAAGGGGGCAGAAATGCGCAGAACTAATTCTGAAGCAAACAGACAAAGGAGACGCAGTGCATAAAGACACATGGATTACGATCGGAAATTTAACCCTGCACTACGCAGAGTGAACTAAACTATAAGAAGCGGCCAGTAATGGTCCGCAGACCCACAGAGAAAAGAGCGTGTCTTCACATCTACACGAACCTTATGGGGCTATGTCGAGCTGCTGTCCGTCGTAGGCAAGTTCCATCGAAACCGTCTCTTCCAAAAACCGACGCTTCCTAGCGCACTGCGCCGCCACCTCTGGTGAGTCCGCTTCCTGCGCGGACAACGTCGCCAGTTCCTTCTGCACTTGCGCTTTCAAGTCCGCCAGCTCCTGCGCTAGCTGCTGGTTCGTACTCTTGTGTTCCAGGCTGCAGAACATGCCCACAAAGTACGTCTTGCGCGGGGCGAGCTGCACCACCATCGGAATGGCTTCATCGGCGCAGTAATGCGAAGCGGAGGGAGACCCGTGCTCCGCCAAGAGATCCAAGATGAGTACGTCGATCTTTACCAGGTCGAACAGAAACGCCATCGACTTTGCCGGAATGGCGCTTACGTCGGACATGTACACCACGCAACTGCCCTCCTGTAATGATGCTGACGCGCTCTCGCGTTTATGACTCGTGAACGCGGTGCCACGTCCAAAGGCAAAGCACATGGAGATGTACTGAGGTCCGTGCTCTACAGGGAAGGAGTAAAACGGCAGCTCCGCATCTACCCTCGTTGCGGCCGACTGCGGTGCGTACGCCACTGATGATTCGGACCCGGCGAATTCTAAAGGCAACTGCGATGTGAATGGCCCGATGGGGACGAAGATACGCTGCGGGGCTGCTTCATTCATAAAGAACAAATCCATGACGGTGGACGGCGCATTAAAGACGGACGTCTCGGCGACGTATGAGGAGATGGCGTTGTCCGTTTCGCGCAGCGCCTGCGCATAGGCCTCCCGTGACGTCGGGGCCGGGCCTATGTGGAAGCTCGACCGCGCAAGGTCGCACGACACCATCTCAATCTGCTCGAGGGTGGGATAGGTGAGGTAGGTCGGGATGCGCCGAAGAGGGCGTGGAATTTCACGCACTACATCCTCGCCGCCAAGAAGCTCGTCGGCCGCCTGGTGGGATGAGACAGGTGACGCGGATGCCTTAAAGTCGCGCGCCGCCTCCGCCTGCATGCCGCATAGCTCCTCCACACAGTGCATGGCGTCGGCATGGCCGTGAGTGAGCAGCAGTACATCTACAAAACGCACCTGCATCGGTGCCAACACACGTAGGTACGCATTGCGGAACGTTTTCCCGCAATCAATCAAGACGTGGTGCCACTCCATCTCGTCGCTGCCGTCAGCACGCTCGTTCTTTTTTGCTGACGTGGAGGATTTCTTTGGAAACGGAAGTGAAATGAGAAGTGCAACGTTGTTGCGCCGATTGGGGCCGTCTGGGTGTCGGATGGCGTCCCTGCACGCGCATCGAGTCGTTAGGTGGCCAATCACCGGAACAGCACACGACACGCCGGTTCCAACAAATGTAAGCCGCATATTCTTTTGGGGAAAATACATTATTCCTTTACTTTTCTTTTGATGGCGAACAAGCTAACAGAAACAAATACCGATATCGAAGATTTTTGGGAAGGGGAGGGGGAAGGAGTCAAAGAAACGTAATTAGCTCAATAGAAGACAAGAGAAACTGTTCTTTCACTGGAGCACGTTAAAAGACGCGCTGTTACACAAATAGCAGGACACACTGACCTGCTTAGAGGAGGATGAAGAATGCGGAGGAGGAGAAAAGCAGGAAAGGAGTAGAACTCTTCTCCCTCTATCTCGCGGAACGATGTGCTCAGTCTACCACCCAACACCGTAGCTTGCAGAAGCTGATGAGCTCTGAGAGATCTTCGATTAAATAACTTACTTGGGGGACAACGGTGATCTCCACAATGCGGCATGGCGCTCAAAAACCGCAGCCGTCAGTGCCGAATTGGGTTCCCGCTTGAAAAAAAATAATAATAATAATAAGAGTGAGAGTGAGAGCAATAAAGAGCCTTGTGAATATCACAACACTTTTCCCCCTCAAGAAAGGGGGGAGGAGAGTTGACCTCCATTTACCTGCTTCACAAAAACACACAGACACACCGACCAGCAACACCAGCAACGTAATCCGTTTAAAAACAAAGAAACGGCAAGCGAACAAACAAGAGGTACACAACACTCCTCGCTCGGCAATGGCGATACATAGAGAGTTAGTATCCACATTCAATAATCCAACCTGAGCTGCTTAGCGGGCCTTCATCACAAGAGCTACTGCGGGATGGTGATGTACATTCCGTCGTACGCGAGGTCAATGCATTCCACTTCGCCTTGCTTCAGGACGCCGGTGGCGACGTAGCCATCCAAGACCTGCTGCAACGTCGTGCGCATGGTGTGATGTTCCACATCGCAGTGCATCCCCACCCCATAGACGTAGCGCGGGCGAAGCGCCAAGGTCAGAGCTAGCATGTCATCTGCGCAGTAGTGCACAGGGCTGCTGCGCTTCTGCGGTCCGAGGCAGTCCACGTAAAGGATATCAATCCTGACCAAATCTTGCAAGAACAGCATGGAGTCACGCGGGACGGCGCTCACGTCGGAGATGTAAACGACGCAGCTGCCCTCTGGTGGGGACACGCCGTCCTCTAATTTACTCTTAAACGCCGTACCGCGGCCGAAGACGTACGCCATGGAAATGTACCCCCGGCCGTGCTCCACCGGAAACGAATAAAACGGCAGCTCCGACTCGGTCGCACCACCAGTGTCGGCGGTTGCGGTGATCGGCAAGTGAACTCGCTTGGGCTTCACATCATCCACGTAGAAAAAGTCGAGCGCAGTACTGCGACGCACACCGATGTTGCGCCACCCGCCTTCCTTCTCTCCATTCTGGACGGCCGCGAGCGACTTCGCCCCTCGCTCCTCAAGACACGCCGACAGCTGCGCGGCGTGCTCGGCGGGAGACGGCATAGCCGGTCCACTCTCCACGCTGTTACGCACGATGTAGTCCACCGCCCGCTGAAGCGTCTCCATGGTCGTGTAGGAGAGGTAGGTGGGAATGAAACTGTCCACCACCCATTCCCCGGTGGAGATCATGTGCATCATCTGCAAGTCACGGAGGTCATCCAGGCCGGCGATGGCGTCCGCGTGCCCGTGCGTGAGCAGCAGCGTATCCACGGCACGAATGTTCCAGCGAATCATTACTTTAAAGTAGGCGTCACGGAACGTCTTGCCGCAGTCAATGAGAATGTGGGCCACTGGCTTATCGTGAATGTAGTTGCCCGCCTGGTCTGTCGTAAAGCATGCGTGGGACGTGTTCCAGCACTGATACGACTGCGGTTCTGCCTCGGCTTCCTCGGCCTGCTGAGCGGCACTAGACGTCTCTGGCGCAGACTTCTGTCTTCCACTTAACGTCGGCAGATCCCCGCGTGGCAGGGTCAGCAGCATGCTGATGTTGTTGCGATTGTTGAGACCGCTCGGGTTGGCCACGGCGTCATCGCAGGCGCATCCGCGGCCGTAGTGTCCAATGACAGGAATGCCAGTGGAGACGCCAGAGCCGACGACGGTGAGTGTCATGAAGCCGGCCGGTGGGGCCGTGGCCGATGCACCGAGAGGGGCTGCGTTGATGGAGAAAACGCTCATCTGTCCGTTTTTGTACAAAGTGCGTGTACTGGAGGTGCAGCTGATGGCAGAAAGAGCAGCAGTAATCACCAAGCCTCAGTTTCGCCACAGCAAGATAACCCGAGAGCGATGCAAAAGCTGGAGAGCAGCAATGCACTCTGTGGAGCTGATTGAAAAACAGAAACAAAGAGAAAAGGGAAGTACCGCCTCTAGGAGATGTAAAGAGGCAACAACAACAAAAAAAATGTATGGGAGGGGGTACTTCCTGCCAGAGCGTTGAGGAAAGAACACCGAGAGAGTGAGAGAGAGAGGAAGAGGGGGAACGAGAGCGGTAGCGGGCCACCAATAAGTTCAAAGATTCAGGCGTACCCTACGATAGTGAAAGGAGTAGCAGCAGCACGCACACAAACGGAGGAATTGTTGACTCAAAGCAGAGTCGCTTCACTTGAGAGAGAAAAAGGGGTCAGGGGAAACAGTTCTCTACAGCCTCCCATTTTTGTAGTTTCGACGCGGTGCTTCGCTACGATGCATCCATCACAGCAGCACGCAGCAGTCTTCTTCAAGTGTTCGCTCTTTTCCACTTGGCACCTTTTGAATGCATCAAAGGAAAAAAAGAAAGAAATCATCTGGCACATGAAGGAAAAGAGGACAGTAAGAAAGAAAAAAAGTCAATTCTACCGATAAAAACTGCTTTCACGACAACAAGCAGTGCCAGCGTGCGCCAGTAACAAGAAAAATGATAAGGTGGTACGACAACTTTGTCACCACCACCCTCCAAAAACCAAAATTTGAACAGCAAACAACAACAACAACAACAACAACAAGTGAGCATTTTTTAAAAAGCAAGAACAAAACTAAAAATGGGGAAACGAAAGCTTTTCAGCAGGAAAAAAAAAGGAATAGGCGTGCGCTCCATCTAACGAAAACAAAAGTCGAATCGTAAGCGAAAAACAGAACAAAAAATACACATCGAAGGACGGCACATTCCGACTGCCGTGGGCGTAACAAATAACCGAAATAAAAATAATAATAATTCCAGAATTGAACTACACGGACGGGAGCTCTCGCCGTCACACACACAAGCTGTTTCTGTTAATCAGAGGCTGCCCAGGCGGCAAGGCAGACGCCACGCTCGTACCAAACAGAGATGCCCAACTCCGCACTGGCGCGATCTGGCGCGATGGGTACATCCAGCACCTCCAGCAGGGACTCACGGTTGTCCGTCGTGTAAAACGGCAGGAGGATAGTCCCCTGTTGATTGCGTTGCTGCGCAATCCGGACCACCGGCGACGCCGCTGAGTCGCTCCCACCGATGCCGTTTGCGCTGCTGCTTACCCACTTCCAACGCAGGGAAACCGTTGTCGATAAGGCTGGCATGCCCGCCTCGCCATTCACCTTCGTGGTGGAGGTCAAGGCACATTTGCCAGCGCTGTCCACCACCGCGGAGTACAGCGTCAGCCCCAAGAACACCATTTCGCTTGCGCTGCGAGGCACAGGGTCATTCGAAGCCCCTGTCGGCGACGCGGCCGTTCGCGAAGCTGGTGTAGCTGACATCTCTATTTGCGGGACAAGGCGCTCCAATGGGACCTGATCCGCCCTCGCACATTGTTGCTTGAAGGCGGTGAGAAACGCTCCCGGCGAGAAGAGCAGCCCCAGGCGCACCGGCTTCTTTGCGATAGCTCCCGATGACGCCGCCGTGGCCAGCGCTAGCAGGTGCTCGACACGCTGCTGCACATCGGCGATCCAGAGACCTACGAAGAGGGAGCACGCCACGGAGCCGTGCACGCCAACCAGGTGCGCGCCCCACGCCGCCGGCACGTGGTCCTTCATGAGCTCCTCTACCAGCCCGCGGTGCACGGAACTCGGGGTCCGCTCCTCCATCACCACCTCGCGCAGTTCACGAATGTCGGTGGTGAGGTGGCGCAGCAGCTCCACCGCCGCCACCACCTCGCGCTGCATTGCCATTACCAGCGGCGGAGGCACCGCGCTCTTCGCAGCACCTTTCTGGTTGATGATGTCGTTTGCGGCTTTTGTGCTGGAGAGATCGGCATCCACGTTCTCTCGGGTTTCCTGCTCGTGCAGGGCGACGGCTTGTTGGACAAACGCGTTCTTCTGCAGTTTCTGAAGCCCGTTGAACAAAAGTGGGTACCACGCCACGCAGTACGCCTGCACCTTGGCAGCCCATCGAGTAGCGCGCAAGGCATTGACAGCGGTGGGGCTCGAGGGATCAGCAGTACCAGCACCGCCTTTCTTACCACTCAACGGCGAGCCTGAAACCTCATCCGCTGACCCCACGTGCATGTGCGCAACATCGTCATCGGCGAAGGTGAGTTCATCGTCCAGGGTGTTTTGCACGAGCGATAGGCGTTCCACCGTCGCGATGGCGCTGCGTGCGCGCGTCATACGATCCGCACCGACGGGTAAGGCGAGCCACGCCGGGTCGCTGTTGCCGCCTTCCAGACCACGAACCCACTGCAGCAATTCGCTGCGCGTGTGCCCAGTTATCGGGGGCAGCGGAGACGAGGACGCGGCATCAGTAACCGCCTTGGGCACCAACAGAGCCCCGTCATGCAGGACATCCGTGTTGAGCATCCTCCGGCAGAACGTATCGAGGACGTGTTGATCGAAAACGTTGCTCACCTTACCGCCGTAGATCGTGGTAGAGACGATGGTCCGCAACGCGTCCCACGATACGGTAAGCGTGCTGCCCTTTGTGGATGACCACGCCTGTACGGCTTGCACCACACGCTGGTACTCCACTTCCGTGTACTCGTACGCTTCGCTCCAGCCGAGAGGCTTGTAGGAGATGCGCTCCGTGATGACCGAGTGCAGCCAGGCAGCAGCAAGGTACAATCGCTGTAATGCAGTGTTGTTATTGCTGTTCCTCTGCGCGCTCGCCGCCGCTGTCGTTGCCGCAGCAGGGTCGGCCGATGCGTCTGCGGCGGAGGAAGGAAGGGACGGATACGAAGAGGCCTCGCCGTACGTCTGAAGAAGCGAAGACTGCATGCCGGGCGGTGCCTCGTACACAACCATCACCGACGTCTCAATAAGGTTGATCGGCAGCACTTTCGACGCAGACGCGGTGGCAGCCGCGGCTGCCACCGCCGGAGCACTACGCGACGACACGCCCTCGCGCTCTGCTGTCAAGAAGAGGCGGAAGTTTTTGTGTATCTGCTGCTCACTGCGCTGGAAGTGCAGCTGCTTCTCCAGTTTGTCCATGTACCCGAGAGCGAGATGCACGTTCTTCAACAGCATCCAGCCGCCCTCCTTTGTCGTCTGCGCCAGGTATGCGTCGGCGCTCTCGATGCTCTCCATGCTACCCATGGCAACCACGAAGAGCGTCGTGTTCGTGCGTCGTGCCAGCTCTTCCACACGCGAGGCCGGGTCGAACATCGTGTCCGCTACCATCAGCAGCGGCGTAGCTTCGGACAGCTCGGACATGATGTCCTCGGCGAGGTCGTTCGTCTGCGGGGCAAAGAAGTCCTCCTCTGATAAGACGCCGCCTTGTGCACCGGAGACACGTTTCCCCTCCACGATCACCTTCGCCGATGCGTGCATCTCCTTCGCCGAGAAGTACGCCGACAGGAGTTTCCGCGCTGCCTCGTTGAAAGCGTCGCGGCGCGTGTTCAGAAGTAGCAGCGTGAGCAGCAGCATCCGACGCACATACGAGATGCCGCGCGGAAAACAGTCACTCGACAGCTGCAACTCACTTACAGCAACAGGCGCGGCGGAGGTGAGGACAGACTCCCACGCGGCAGACTGCGTGGTGAAGGAGAGCCGCACCTCCTTGAAGGCGGGCTTCGCCAGCTGGAACGCCAACGCCTGCCGACTCTGCGAGCCCAAGGTGGGGCACGCCCGACGCACCACCGGTGGGAGAGCAACGAAGTCTTCCGATGCAGCGGCGGCCGCTTCATTCGCCGTGGTCGGACTGCCGCTGCCAGGTCGGGTGACACGTAGGCACGACATGATCCACTCCCACTCTTCCGGCGACACGGACGAGCTGCTCGCGCTCGTTGGCAAATTCACACCCGTTGCGGCTTCACAGCTCCCCACCGCCGCAGTGGCGCCGAAGGTGCCCATGGCACTGCGCAGCTGCGCCAGTCGGAACGCCCACGCCAAGTGGTCCTCGTTAAACATGCCGCGCACCACGCGACGGTGCAGGAGAAGAAAGATGAGATACGTGAGCGTGTGCAGTCGCTCGACTTCCGCCGCAGGCAACGCCGGGGTCGGTGGCGGTGTGAGCATGCCCAGTGCGTCGTCCAGCACCCGCAGCACAAAGCGGACATCGTAGTGGTAGTACGGGTTCAGCTCAGCGAAGCGCTGGAGGGCGAAGTGCGCCTGTGCGACGACGGTGGCAATGGGTCGGTACTGCTCCTCCACTAGTCGAATCTCGCGCAAGGAGTCGTCGCTGTCGTGGATGTCGCGCGCAATCCGCGTTGCCTCCTGCTTCAGCTCCGCCAAGCTCTGTATCAGCGCGTCGTTGTCGAGCAGGCTACCCTCCGACTCAGCAATGTGCGTCAGCAGCTTCTCCTCCAGCACGCGCAGCCGCAGCTGATACTCGCCCTGTGTCTTGAGCAGCTTCGAGCGCTTTTCGTCCACGTCGGGCCGCTCATGCAGCAACACGTAGTGCAGACACTGCGATTGCAACGAGGAAAGCGTCACGGTAAAGTTCACAATGCACACCTGCCCAGCCAGATCCGGCGGCGGCTGGAAGTTCGGGTTCCGCGTGTGCAAGAAGAGAGAGAAGGACGGGGCAAGATCGACCTCGTGGGGGCCGATGCGGGTGATGTAGCGCGTGCCGTGGCAGCGCACCTCGCCGTTCAGCAGCGGCGACACAGCCGGATCCAGATGCTCCGCATCTTCCATTAAAATGGGGTAGCCGAAGCGGACGGCCATCTCGAGCTGCTTCGAATACCCCGGCCGACTAAACGACGCCTTGGTGATCTTTTTGTCTGCGTAGTAGTGCAACACAAACTCTGCTGCCACCCCTGTCGGGTCAATGAGCAACAGATAGCGCCGACAGCGGTTCATGATGGCCGCGTTGTCGACGGCGAGGCGGTCCTTGGGTAAGCCGGCCTCCTCCCACGAAAGCTGCTGTGCCGCGGGAGACAGGTACTCCGCCACGCTGAGGCCCTCACGCACGGGAATGGCGGTGCTCTGCAGACACTTCAACCAGCGCGGTATCAAAACGCGCTCGCGTGTGTACTCGTCGTAGAAACCCGTGTAGGTTAAGAAGACAGCGGACATAATGCAGTCGCCGAGGGTCGTGCGAGCCTCGGAGTCGGAGCTCTTCACCTCGGCCTGCCAGCGGTTGCGCTCGTCCAGCAACTGGCGCACAATTGTCTGGGCACGGCTGCACTTGGCGCTGACAGTCTCAATGCGCTTCTTCAACTCGCCGATCTGCGACGTGGCGCTCTGGTACTCGGCCATGAGCTGCTGGAGCGACGCCTCCTTCGCACGCACCTCGCCTTGCGCCTTTTCCAGGCCGGCGAGCTTGACGTCACGCGCCTTAATGAGCCCCTCAATTTGTGCCCGCATTGGCGCCACACGCTGATAAATGGCCGAGTATTTTACCTGGAAGAAGACCCACTGCATGAGCGGCCCCGCTGCCTTGGAGGCGCGGTAGGCAGCCTCGACCGTGAACTTCTTGTCCTTCATCATAATGCGCACCTGCTCACGTGCCGACTCCCGAATGTCGTCGGGTCGGAAGGTGCGCACACTGGCGAGGAAGTCGTCGCGGCGGATCTGGTTCTTTAGCGTCTCCCACTCCGAGCTGTTGCGCTCGCCCATTAACACGCACACCGCCTCCAGTGTGCGCTTCACCATCGGCGGCGGTGTCGTGTAGGCGCGGATCTCCCGCAGGTACTCCGGCTTGACGGTGCTGAGTGCGGCGTCTGCTTCCTTCAGCGCCGGCTCGGCCTCGGCGAGCTCGACCGACATGCGTTTTGCTTCGTCGGAGATCTTCGCGTGTTCGTCTTGCAGCTGTTTCTCCAGCGCCTCCGCGGCCGCCTTCTCCTTCTTCGCCACATCCGTCTCGGTAACGATGCGCTCCAGCATCTTCTGCGCGCGTTGGCTGTTCGCCTCCAGCTCCACCTCACTCTCCCGCAGCGTTGTCTGTTGTGCACTGACCTCCTGCGACGTCTGCTGCAGCTTCGTCAGGCCATTGCGTAGGTGCACAACGGCGTCGTTCGACACCTTCTGCTTCTCACGTAAGACCGCAACGAAGTGGGAGACGCAGTCGGTGAAGTGCCGCGGCGTGATGAAGGAACCTTGATTCGCGTGCCGGACCCGCAGCGCGTGGTTGATGTTCTGCGTCGCCTGGTGTATCATGCAAAGTGACTCCACTACCGAATTTTTTGCCTCTATTTCCGAGGAGAAGGTGTCGTGGGAGACGGGGAGCAGCTCGAGGCTTCGAATGCGCTCCTGTGAGACCTGCTGCAGCGTGGACAGATCCCAGTCACCGAACCAGTCAATGGTGCATCGATTGACCAAGGCAGGGCTCGCAACGGTGCGCGAGGTGAACTCGCCCGAGGACGGATTAATGGTCAGGACAACGTGCAAATACTCGCGCACGTTCGTCAAAAACCAGTGGTACAACTCCGCATCGCTGTTCACGTCGACCAGGTCGTCCGCTGGGTTCTTGCTCATGCCAAGAGTAACGCTCGCCGTCGTCGCAGCCAGCGTGGCTGCCAGCAGGTCCGTCGCGTCATCGCCTTCGACGAGGGAGGCGTCGTTGCCTTTGCGACCAGTGGAACGACGCATTGTCGCGGCGCCTTCACGAGCACTCCCCGTCAGCGCCTCCCCACCGCGGTTGCCGCGCGTGGAGTGGTTCATGGCGTAGTAGCTCTGGTTGAGCAGCACGGCCTCCCGCACCTCCTGCATCAACTTTGACCACTCCTCCCCGTCAAACAGCCCCGGCACCTCACCCGAGGCCAGCAGGGCGTTCATGTACTCCAGGAAGCTGGGTTGCAAGATGTTCGACTCGTCAAAGAGGAAACAGATGCGCTCCCGCTTGCAGCCGGATCGCCGCAGCACCGCGCGCAGGTCGTTTTCGAAGTCGCTGAGGACGTAGTTGCGGTGCACCATGAGCGTGAAAGTCGAAAAGCCCCGCATCCACGCCACGAGCTTCGTCAGGACCGTCTTGCCCACACCCGACGACCCGGCGATGAGGAGGTGGCCAAGCGGCTGCCGCAGCACACGGTCAATGCGGACAACGTGGTCGATCATGCTGTCGTAGATGACTAAGTCGCCGACGGTCTCCTCCTCGTTGAAGGCGATCAGCCGCTTTTGCACGTAGGTCCGCAGCGCCTCGCGCGGGCTGTCGGTGTAGCTGCGCGACAGCAGCGTCGAAAAGAGCAGCGGCCGGTCAAAAGTGTGCGCGTCGACCTCCTCAAAGTTCTCGCGGAAGCAATCGTTGATGGCGGTGTCTGTCCAGTTCTGCTCTTCGGCCGAGACAAGTCGATCCGAGAAGACGCGCAGGCCCTCGTGTACGGCAAGCCGCACAAGCTGGCTCACCGTCAGCTGCCGCTTCACCGAGTCGTCCCATGTGAGGATGCCCTCGTAGAGCGCCCGCGACCAGCGCGACAGCTCACGCGGGGAGTAGAGGTAGTGCGGTTGCTGGATGGGGGTGAACCTGGCCTGCGACACGCGGTACATCGCCACCATCGCCTTTGCCAGCCGCGACGCCACCTGCCCGCACAGTCGCTCATTCCACGCGAGGATCGCGCGACAGTAGGTGGTGTAAATCGTGAGAAGCGAGTCGGGAGAGGGGAAGTCCACGAACAGGACAGGAGCCCAGCGCAGAAACCTCTGGCTGAGCGGGACGCGACCCGGATCGGTCGGTGGGTTACACGCCCCCACGACCTGCACATCCTCCACGTTGATCCACGTGTTGTCGCGGGCGCGGAAGAAGCCCTTGCGCTCGATGAGCTGGCGAAGGAGCTGGACGACGACCTGCGTGCCATAGCGGTCCAGCGCGGGTAAGTTGATTTCGTCGCAGAAGAGCAGCAGCTGCTTGCCGGAGCTGGGCACCATAACCAGACCACGCGCCGTGTCGTGCACGGTGCAGTACTGCTCCAGCGCCTTCATGATGGTCGTGACGGTGGTACCGCTGGAGAAGTTCAAAAAGACCACCTCGTACTCGGGCAGGTTGTTCAGCACGGCGGTGATGGACATTGTCTTGCCGGACCCCGGCGGGCCGCACAGGATCGCCGAACGGCCTGATCCGAGCCAGGCGCTCAGCACGTCCTCGTGGCGGCAGGTGTCGACCGTTGTGATCACTGTGTCGTTTGCGCCGACCTGCTCGGCCAGGATGGAGGTCTCCTGCACGCGGTTGCGGATCAGCTGCCACTCCCCTGTGCTGTAGTTCACCTCCACCTCGACCATCGACTGCGCAACGCCGTCCACGGAGGGCCGCAATTCGAGCTCCTTCGCGAGTTTCGTGCGGTTTTCAAGGTTCATGGAGGACGACAGGCCCCAGAAAATGGCGTACGAGAGCACCCGCTGGGCGATCTTCGTGACCACCGTCGAGCCAAAGATGTCGCCGTCGTTGCGCTGCTCCGCCTCAAAGGTGCGCCACACCCCATTGGTGAGAAACGACAAGATGCTTTGTATCACTTCCAGGTCGTTGAGCTCCATCACACAGACGTCGCGGAAGGCGGGGCTCTTCACCAGCTGCAGGCCGCGCACAACGGCGCCACTGCGCTCAAACGCTTCCGCCCAGATGCTCACCATGATCTCTTGAATTCGCTCTGCATCGGGGTGGCTGCGGTGGTTCGCGTTGTTGCCGCCGGACGTCGTCAGGTACATGCTGGCGGCGCCGTAGGCGGTGGAGCCGTAGAGGGTGGAGCCGAGGTCGAGCTCGGCGTTCCCGCCTTCCCAGCCGACCTTTGGACTCTGCTCCTTTGTGGCGTACCCGCTGGTCTGTGGCGTCGTAGTCGCGTTGAGGTTGAAGTCATCCTGATCTTTGATGGTGACGGTGCGGGTGGCGTGCCGCAGCGGAAGGGGACTGCCCACCGCTTCGCTCAGGGTGTTTTGGGTTGCATTCGCGATGATGAACTCGTGGTAGGTCTTGCCGTAGCTGCCGGAGAGCACGCAGTCAGAGGTGAGGAAGCGGCGCGGGCCCGCCACACCAATCATGTCCGCGTCCGTGTTCCAGTGTAGGTGACGGCCGCGCGCGTCGACAATGGGAAGCTCCTGCAGCTGATGGTAGGTGTGCGAGAGCACACCCGAGAGGGGCACGATTCCTTCGCTGAACCACAGCATACCGCACCGGGACACACTGGCGGGAGTGGCGTAGCGCAGGTCCTGCACCTCGAAGAAAATGCGCACCGACCGTGGCAAGGGCAGCCGCTCGCCGTTGGGCAGTGTCAGGAGCCGGTTGTCGTCGAGGACGGAGTTCAGGTTCTCCACCCACTCCGGGTCCACGTCGCCGTCGAAGATAATCCAATGCTCCTTCACGACGTCTGCAGGCGCACTTTCCGTGCGCTCGCCGCTGCCCGCCGCCGTCTTCAGGATCCCCGGTGGCTTGGTGCCCGCTTTGGGAGAAACAGGAGCGCTCAGCTTGTTGTCTGGCACTCCAGAGCTTTCGGCACTGCCAAGGAATGACTTGTCCGCGCGTATGGAAGAGCCGAGCGCCGCGTAGTTCGTGTTGCCCTCATCGTTGTTGCTGGCAAGTGCCATGTCGTCTGGAATCTGCTGCTGCTCCTCCGCGTCGATAATGCGCCGCAGAATGCTCGTCAGCACGCCATCACGCCACTCCCGCGTCGTGACATCCAACGTACCAAACAGCTCGGCTTTGCTCAGCACTTTGGGCGAAATAACGTAGGCGTGCATCTGCAGCGACTTCTCGAGGCGCACCATAGCAGCCATCAGCACCTTCCACGCCGTTGTCTTGCCAGTGCCGCTCGGCCCCACAATCATCACCCCGTGGCGGGTGAGCTTGGTGTGGTAGAGCTGCAGGACCTTTTCCACCCACCCATACGCCGGGGACAGACCGCTCTCGGCGCACACGCTGGCCACAGAGTCACGCAGCTCAGCCATCGGCAGCGTCGGCAGCGACCGTCCCGGGAAAAAGTCGTGCAGGAGCAGGTAGAAGAGCCCGACGTCCTGTGCCACCAGCTTGGGGGCGATGGTGGCGATGGCGCTCTCCAGCAGCATCGTCCGCTCCGCCTCTTGCGCCACATCGGGCGAAGCCGCCACCGCCTTGCCGCCCGTCTCTGCCATCACCTGCCGCTTGCGGTCACCCGCGGCGACAAGGACGGACTTGAGCGCACGCAGGCCGAAGTCGTAGTGGGCCTGGTGCGTGAACTGCTCCTCGCACAGGCGGAACAGTGGCACCACCTTCTGCGAGAGCGCCTCGGCGGTGGTGAAGCCTTGTGCAAACAGCATCACCTCGGCAATCGTCTCGCGATCGGGGATGGTCATGGTCACGGTGCGGAACAGCTGCTTCAAGTTGCCCGGCAGCTTCGACCGCCCTGCGTAGCCCGGGTTCATGGTGATAAAGATGGCCACGTTCGTGTGGAGAGGCACGGCGCGGTGGTTCAGCTGTACCTGTGCTTTGCGCTCTCGCAGAGATTGTTGAATAACTTGAATCTGCAGGGACAGCGCGGAGAGGATACGCTCTTCGAGGCGGTTGAACTCGTCGAAGCAGCCCCACGCACCGACCTGGCACAGCCCAAGAAAGATGCGGCTCACCGCCTGGTAGTCGAAGGTGTCATCGCAGTTGAAAACGAGGACGTGGCGGCCGAGTTGCATGCCAAGCGCCTTGACCGTTTCCGTTTTGCCGGTGCCGGCGGGGCCAATTGGCGACCCGCCGAGCCTGGTGTGCAAGGCTTGCATCAAGGTGAGGTAGCACTTGTCCGTGAGGGGAGTCTGCACCAGCCGCTCATAGGCCCCGATGTACTCAAAGCCGTGGTACACCGCCGCCTCTGCCATGCGGCACTCGACCGTCTCGGCAGACAGGTACAGACCCTTAGCAGACGATGCGGACTTGTTGTCGGTGTTGTTCGTGTCGTGTTGATTGACCGGCACAACGTAGAGCCGCAGCACGCTCAGCCAGTCAAAGTCGAAGCTCGACGTCACCTTGCGCGCTGCGAGGGAGCGCGAGACATCACGCTGGTAGACCGCGATCGTGATGAGCTGCTCGCAGCGGTACCGCGCACTCGGTTCGATGGAGTGATCCAGCACGCTGCCAGCCAGCTTCACCAGGAGCCCGTCCATGCTCCTCGTCACCGCCGACGACGCCGTGGCAGGCGACTTCGCTGACACCGTTGCCGCTCTCGTTGGTGCTACGGCGTCTGTTGCGGCGGCATGGACATTGGGGTGGTACGGCGCGGTCAGCAAGCCCTCCTGCTGCTTGGTCCACATAAGCTGCAGCGCCAGACATACCACCTGCGCGGGCTTGCGGCGAATCCAATCCATCGACCAGAGCGGCGCGTAGTGCGTGGAGTCGCTCATCAGTTCCATGTAGGCTCGTAGCGTCGACTCGCGCAAAGTGAAGGCCACACCCTGCTCCGCCTCACGAAGCCACTCGTGCATCGGCCGCTGACGGAATTCGATGGGGCCCGGCTCGAAGTTGAGCTCCTCGCCCTCGCTGCTGGCGAAGCCGCGCAGCCGCGTCGTGGCGCCCTTCGCATTCCCGTCCAGCTGAAAGGAGGCGAGGGCGGTGAACATCTTCTTGAGGTGTTTGTTGAGGAAAAGCGGATTTTTGCTGTTGCCCATGATTTCCAGCAGGTCGTCGTCGCCCACGAAGAAGAAGCGGGGGAAGCGTCCGCGCTGCGTGTCGAGGTAGCTCGTGAGAGCGCGCTGCACCGCCGTCAGCTGCGAGAGTAGACGCTCCAGCGTCACCTGCAGCTTCTCGTCCTCCAGGAAAAAGGAGGCACGCACCTCGGGTAGCTCGCCAGACGATCGAGGACGCGGTAAGATGTGCAGCAGCTCGCGACTGGTGCGGTCAAACTTCACTGTGTCGTGCGGCAGCTGGGCGCGTACCTCGGCGTTGCCCGCAAAGATACCGTCCAGGTAGACCCACCGCTTCTGCACCTCCAGCAGCGTCTCCAGCACCTGCCGAAGACGGTCCAACCGCGCCTCGGCCTCGTTCGTCATGGACACCAGCTGCGGCGAGATGAAGTACGGGCTGGCCCGCATCCCACCGAAGGTGCTGAGGTCTTCGGTCAGGCGGTCCAGCACGTCTTCCCAGCCGCGGATCAGAACCACCTGCTTCTTGTACGCGATGACGCTGAACTCGAACATATTCCAGAAGTTCGTGATGTTGTTCAGCTGCACCTCGATGCGCCGCTCGCCCTGCGCCATTTCGATCACTTCGTTGTAGACGGTCGCGTTCGCCGCTGGGTCGCTGTCCCAGATGTCGCGCACACGCAGGTTCTCCAGCACCCACGGGGTGTGCAGTTTCTGCTGCAGCACGGTCCAGTGGCGCAGGGCACGCTCTAGCGGCGACATCGCATCGGAGCGGAGGTCCTGCATGAGACGGTTGTAACCCAGCACGCCCTGCACCTTCGCGACCAGGTCCTTGCACAGCTTGTAGCTCTTGACCGTCTCGGGGTACTGCTCCGTTTCCTCCTCGATGGCTTGCAGACGCTCGTGCATCCGCCGCGGCACCATCTCGAAGAAGGGTGTCGCCCCCAGCTCGTTCAGCTCCTCGTAGGCGCTCGCCACGTGGCACCACACGTCCTTCACATGCGCCACATCCTCGAGCAGCTTCTGCAAGGACGAAAAGGTGTGCGGTGTCTCGCCGAGCTCCTCCTGAATCGCCGTGATGCGCTTCGCCTCCTCATCCAACGCCGTTGCTTCGTCGAAGATGCCCTCCACCGCCTGCTTCGACAGCGCCGGCGCATCCTTCGACGCCGCGTCGGAGTCCAAGTTGCGGAAACGGCCGTCGAGCTCTTTGATCTTCGCCTCAAGAGCGTCGGTAGTCGTGCGGGCCTCCTCCAGCAGGTACGGTCTGCGCACCTGCACCGCCTTGAGCTTGCGGTCGACCAACTCGGCAAGGGACGTGTACTCCTCGCGCACGGCAGCGGCGTAAATCCAATGCTCCGGAAAGACGTGTCCCAGCTTCGTCAGGCTCGCCTCGGCGTCGCCAATGAGGGTGATATCGCCGTCCATCTTCTGCAGTTTCGTTTTGAGGCCTGGTACGGCGGAGAGGAAGGCGGCGGCGTCGCGCACGTTGCTGATGACATCCAACGCGTCAACCGTGGTCCTCTCCTGCGTGATTTCCTTGTACGTCCTCTCCTGTTCCACCTGCAGGAGGTCCTTAAACTTGGCGTGCGCGTACTGGCTGACTTGGTCGAGTTTTCGCCCCAGTTCAATCTGCGCCTCTTGTGCAAGAATCACAATACCGCCCAGCAGCTTGTTCGGCTGGGTGTAGTCCATGATGCGGGCGGTGACGGTGTGCATGAGACCCAACGCGTGGCTCCAGCGGTGCAAATCGCCGCCGAAGCGCTGCTGCATCAGCCCGACATCCATGTTGAGGAACTGCTGCCCACGACGCCACTCCTTCTCGGTGTCAATGGCCTCCTGCACACACCGCTCAATCGCATGCAGGGGCTCCGCGAGGGCGGAAGCGGGGAGGCGCATGAGAAGGTACTGATAGCCGTCGTTGCCCGTCTCCCCTCGATTCATGCCGTCAGCTCGAGCACCCCCTCCCCCGCCCATCGAGAATGCACCACCGCCGCCTCCACCGCTGGCAGCATTCAAGCTAGAGTTGACGTCTCCGGTGGAGGGGCGCATGCTGCTCGTGTTGCCACGACGATGGGCAGACGGCAGGCTGCTCACACTCGCTTCTGGGCCTTCCAGCGCGTCCAGCGCAAGCACCTCCGCCTGCGTTTCCTCTTGCTTGTACAGACGCGGCAAAACGTCGACCCAGCTGAGAAAGCGATTCAGCTCGCTGATCCAGTGCTGCCGCCACGCCGAGCAGGGACACTCGAGGCGCACCTCCTTGTACACCACTCGCATGCGGATGCGCAGAGGGGTCAGCCGAAACACGTCCGTTTCCGTTCCTTTTTCGAGGAAGCGGACGTCGCTGCGCATGGACTGGAAGTCCTCGGTCCATGAGTGCATAAGGTACTTCATCTGCGTGAGCAGGGCCTCTTCCAGGAGAGGCTGGATCTGACGCGTCCACAGGTGGGCGTGTACGCAGCGCAGCGCGAGGGCATCGACGATGCGCCGCAACGCCCTCACGCGCTGCAGGATTGTGTCGGGGTGAAAGGCACGCACGTGAAACGCCTTGATCTTTTTGTAGACGGATTCCGTTTTGCTCCGCACCTGCTGCACGGTGGTCGTGAAGGTTTGCATGGTGTCCGCGAGCTGCTGCACGTAGGCGAGGACGCCCTCGTCATTCCACCGCAGCGTCATGCCGCGCTGAAGCATTCGATTCACCTCTTGATACTCGTCAGTGGCCACCAGTACAAGTGCCGCGTCCTCGCCGTTCACAGTGACGTAGTACACGTGAATCAGCTCGACCAGCGTGTGCGCCAGACGCGTGCGTAGCCCGTTGTTGCGCAAGGCATCGCGCAGGAGTGTGAGTCCCGCAGCTGCCGTTGACCCCCGCCCGTGTGGGGAGGACAGGCTGCTGATGCTCACCCCGCTACGACCTGAGAGCGCCATCTCGCCCATGGTGCCGCCGCCGGCGAGGCTGTTCAGCACGTATGGCGTGAGCTGCGTCGCCTCCAGGTAGCGCAAATCCTGCGCGGTGGCCAGGAGGCTCCAGGGAAAGGCCACCTCAATCATCCACATCGACGTCGCAGCCGCCGTGGCAGCAGTACCAGGCGGCAGGTTCAACGAGGATTCCCCCGGTGGAGCAGAAGAGCCGCGGTAGGAAGGGGAGATGCTGCGCGGACGCGGCCGTGACAAGCTAGCTGGTGGCGGGCTGACAATACGCGATGCCGAGAAACCAGCGTTGTTGCTGAGATGGCTGCCGTTGTTGTTCGCGTTTGCGATAGCGCCTGCCGTTACCGAGGACGCATTGTTGTTGTTCGTGTTTGCACCACCGTCGCGTGCGCCGTACACGTCAAAGTCTCCAGCGATAGCACCGCCAGAAGCAACGTACGAAACCCCGGCTGGGCCGCAGTTCACCGCCCACAGTACCGGCCCTGTCAGCAGCATCGTCTGCACGTCTAGGTTACTGCCCACCACCAACTTGTCAACCTCTTCGTACCAGCTCGTGATGTGCGTGGTGATGCGTTGCAGGATGATGTCACGTGAGCTGCGGATGTCGCGGACTCGTGCGGCCGTCTTGTACAGCCGAGGCGCACCTCCGATCAAAATGCGGTCACGTGCCACGACGAGCGAGCCGGGGTCGTGGGTCTCGACCAGTTCTTGTGCAACGCGCAGGTACTCGTCCTGTCCCCACTCCTTCGCCTCGTCCGCGTAGTGCAGGCTTAAACACGCAAGGGCGACGGCGCATCCGTGCACCTCCGAGTCAAGCCGCAGCTCATCACACGCGAGCAGGTTCAGCGGGACACCGATAAAGTCCGCCAACGCGGAGTTGAGCCGCCAGAAGTGCTCCACGTTGCGGAGAAAGAGCAGCTGGTGCCAGCCGTGTTCGCTGACGTAGTCGAAGCGGACCATGGCATCGGAAAGCGCCTCTACCAGTCGTTGCTCCCACATAATCTGGGCGACTAAAGTGGACACGCCGAATCGCGTCGTGTTGTAGCTTACCTCTTGCTTGGTAAGGTGGACGTTGACGTAGGACTCTTGGATGTAGGTCACGTAGGCGCCGAGCTTTTCTGCCATGGCGTCCTGGTAACTCTGCACGACGCTCTGCACACGCTCCAGCGGCAGCATTTTGAAGCTCTTGTATGTTCGAAACACACGCAGCCCACGGCTGTCGGCGAAGCTGGTGATGGTTGGCACTTTTGGCGGAGCTGTCGGCGGGTTTGTGTTGCCACTCGTGAGCACAGCGCGGCCGTCGATTGGAATGTGCTGCTGGTTGCTGAGCAGTTGACTCACCACCAGGGCGATTTGCTCGTCGCACTGATTCCGTCGCTGCTGGTAGGTGTTCACGGCGTGGTTGAAGCGGTAGACCGCAGTGGAGGAGGTGCGCCACAAGAAATTACTGTGGTTTTGCGCAGCTCCTTGTGGGCTCAAGGGCCCTCCGTCGCTCCGCGCCCCACAAACGGCGAGGACGCACTCGTTGTACGCATCCTGCATCGATAGCGCGTACTCCTCGCCCGGTTGCGGCGCAGACACGCTGCTCTTCGACGACGCAAACGGCAAGCGCACCTGCGTGGAAAAAACAACGCCGAGCTGGCGCATCAGCAGCAGGTGGCCCTCGAGGAAGTCGCGCACGGCAATGCAGCGTTGCAGCAACGCCTCCACCCGCAGGTGCTCGGGGTGGTCGCGTGGCTTGCGCACAACGCGAATTTGCTTCCGCAGCTCCCTGCTGTGTTCAACGTACCTCGTTTGCAGCGTGCGCAAGGCGTGGATGGCTACACGCAATGTCTGTAGGGAAGCAATGGGGTCGAAGGCGTCGCCACCTGCCGCTCCTGCACCTGTTGCTGAACTAGTAGCGGTGTTAATGTCAAAACGCCCAGCAGACGTAGACTCCTTGAGGTTGTTATTGCCACCGCCGCCGTCTGCTGCGGACTTCGCATCGCCCTCCGCGTCCGCGTCTACGAGCAACACCGGCTGCGTCTCCATCACGCTCACCCACCGCCACGCAATCTGTGACACGAGCGACGTCAAAAGGCTCAGCTGCAGGCGCGGGCTAAACCGCGTCGGCCGCGTCGCCGCGACCAGGATTTCGTCCGCCACGACGTTAAATTCCTTCATGTCATGCACATGCACGAGCTGCTTCTCGGGAATCGTATTCAAAAACGCAACGTACTCCTGCACGAGCTTTATGTACCCGACGTACTCGGCCACGTAGTCCGTCTCCACTCGCTGGCCCAGCAGGCGGTGCAGGAGGCGCCACTCCCGTCCGCGCAGCTGGTTCAGCACATCCTCCATCCACGCACCGACGCACTGCCAGTACACGATGCGCTCCTGCACCGCCCACACGCTGTCATCGTCCGCGTCGCTGTCGTAGCCCGCGGCCAAAATACTCACGGCGGCGCCGCGCCCAGCGATTCCGCTCGTGTCCGCTGCACCCAGCCCAGAACGAGTCAGGGAACTACCCGCAGCGTCTACTGCGCTAGCGGCATTCGAGGCGTCGTAGGACTTGCTGTTCGTGTTCTGCTTCTTCTTGGCGAGCTCCTCCTCCTCCGTCTTACCGGACAGGAGGGGCTCCATCGACAGGGCCTCGTTGCACCGATTTCGTACCTGCAAAATGCGCCGAATGAAGCTCGGGTCCTTGGCCGGCTCGCCGAGACGGTCAATCAGTTGCGGCACATCCAGCTGCGGGTTGGCGTCGCACAGCTTCAGCAAATCGTCGTGCACGTAGCGGGTAATGTCGATTTCCGGCAGCACATGGTGCATGGAGCGGATGCCTGTCAACAAATCCTGCACCTGCGCGCGCAGCGCTGACTGTGTCTTGTGCGAGCGCAGCATAGGGTCGTAGATATTCTGAAGAATCCCCTGCAGCGTGTTCAGCGGCTTCTGCAGGTCCATGGACTGAATGTAGAGGTCGCGCACGGAGAGCGGATGGAGTCCGGCGCCGCCTAACGCGGTGTCGCGCCGCTCGAGCAAAACACAGCTGATCGCCTTTGACTTGTTCAGTGCGAACCCGATGCTGGAGCTACGCCGAAGCGTACCCGCTGCACCGCGCAAGGTGGCGCCCAGCGTGCCCTCTTCGGAAGCCGCATCGTCTGAGAAAGAGACTGAGCGGAAGAAGGAGGCGGGGTCGGCCGTCGCAATAATGCGCGAGCCGCCAGACGCGCCATATGCATCGTCGGAGAGCTCACAGATCGCCACCAAAGGAGTGCGGGCCGTGAAGAAGGCGGACTGCCCCTGCGGAAGGTCATTGTCATCGTTTGCGTCGTCGTTGGTTGCGCCGGCGCCTGCCGCTGCCTTTGCATCAGAGACACCGTTTCCGTGTGTGGTGCTGTTGCGGTGACCTGGTGGAACACTTGGGTCAGTTCCATAAACGTCTAGCGGACCGGCAAAGTGCGCCACCTCGGGGTTTTGGCTGATGGCGGCGCGAACCTTCTCCACCGTGCCGTGCTGCGTGAGCAACACGATGAACTGCACTACGTCGTCGGTAAAGGGGAACATTGCTATTGAAGTGGAAAACAGGAAAAAAAAAGAAAGAACAGAAAAGGTATTAGTACTTTTGTGGAAACTGTGTCTTTGTGGGTGGACAAAAATTGACGGGACGTGTAGCGAGAGTGAAAGCGCTCGATCACGATTCGTAGTGCTTTTCGAGAGCTTTCAAAAAGCAAGGACGAGGAAGAAAGGGGAGGGATAAAGGAAGACACCGCAAGTAGGGTGTACAACTCTCCAAAAACCAAGCAAGAAAACAACAAAAATGGCTCAGAAGCACAAATGGAGACAAAAACGTCGACAATCGAAGCTCCTCACGGCAGACCGTCTGAGGCGGAGAAGACTTTACGCAAATGTATATGTATGTACCAAATAAAAACCACTAAACGAAGGCCAACACCAGACACAGAAAGCAGAACAAAAAGTGGAGAAACACCGCAATAGTAATAAAAAACACGCGGGTATACGTTTGATGGGCCGGAAAAGCAAAGACATATATATATATGCAAAAGAAGAAAAAAACAGCAGTTCAGACTCTGATGAGGAACGACTGGCCTGACGATCAACAGATTTTGCGACGCGTAAAGGTGCCGGCGGGCGTGCACGTCGCGGGGAACTGAGAAAAAGAAAAGATGAATATACGAGCCAAGCGTTATTTTTCCTGATGGAGCGAGCGCAACAAAGCGGCAGAAGAATCAAAATAAAAAGCTACGTGTAAAAAGCCTCTTCTCAGCGCTGCATGTATTCTTCTTATTTTTTTTCTCTCTTTCCCCACCTCTAACCTGATGTAGTGTCTAAGTCCGCAAAAACAGTTTTTGCTGTTCGCATTTGAAGCGCGCCTTCGTTCACTTTGCTGCTGCGCTAGGTTCTTTCAGAAAACATCAACAGCAGATAAAAGGTGGTTACTAAAGGAAAAGGACAAAAAAAACTACAGACGAAAACAAACGTAACAAATGAGCCTACAGTGTTTAAGGGAAGAAAGGTAGGCGGAAAAAAGAACTATGCAAAGGAGAACAACGAAAAGGAGTGGCCACCTCTTTCCCCTTGCTCCGTCCGTTTCTCCCTCTTTCTGTTGATTCTTCCTTCTTGCGGTAAACGATGCGTATGTGAGGATTAGGCAGTAATAAAAAAGAACGTCGAATATGGAAGACGTGGAAAAGCCTCCGGCAAGCACCGTGTGTTTTCTGCTTTCACCACAGCACAAACACACACCACCACCACAACAACAACAACACAAAAAAGTATGGCTGCTACGCACAACAGCAAAGAGTGTGCGGCATAGTTAATGAAATTATCATGGAAATCAAGGGAGAAGAGAAAAACGATGATAAGGAGGGATGAGAAAAATCGAGAAGAGAAGACGACGAGAAGGTGCAGCAGAACTTGATTGGAGAAACGGGGGAAAAAAGAGGCTCTGAAATGCGAAAGTCATTATTTTTCCTCCTCCTTCTTGAGAGTGAACGCATCGAATCAGCGACATGTTCGCTCAGCTGCCTCGTACACTGTTCCGCATTGAGACGGGTGAGTGATTCTGCGTCTCTGACCATGTGCAGCCACACTTTATCCAGCTAGTACTGTGCCGCTTTTAATCATTATGAGCAGAGAAGGACCTTGCAGCTGAGGTATACATGCTAGAAACACACGCCTTTCGAAAGAAATAAAAAATGAGCAGATGAAAACAGTTTTATATATATATAAAGGTGTACCCCAAAAGTCGCCGGACGGCCGTAAAAGCAAAAGGCTTTAGCTCATTTGCCCGCAAAGAAAAAGTCAGGAACGGGGACACGCAAAACCCCGCAAACCACCACTATTATCGCTGCTCCGACTGCTGTGGTGGCGGTTGGTGTTGCTTTGGAGTGGACGCCGTCCGCTGCGCCTTCTTGCGCTCCAGCAGCACGACACTGGACAAGATCGGTGTCTTGCACACGCAGCAGTCCGCCAACACCTCCGCGCAGTCCTCGCACACCGCGTAATGCCCACAGGGCAAGAAGATCACCGCCGCTTCCGCACTGAGGCAGCGCCAACACATGTGCACCTCCTGCCGCCGCGTGCCTGGCCGCACTGGCGCAGGCCCCGCGAGCGAGTAAGAAAGGTCACCAAAGTTCATCGTGGACACAGCGCGACGGCGGTGATGCATTCGGCGACGCTGCTGGCGTGCGGTGGCCTCGTGCTGATTCTGAATGGCCTCCAATGCCGCATCCAGCGTTGAGAAGGGTGTGTCCGAAGAGAAGGACGTGTTGAAGAGAGAAGAGGCTCCGTTACGCGATTCGACGTCTTCGCCGCTGTCGGAGTAGGATGCCACGTCGCCTTCCACTGCAGTGTGCTTTGCACTTGGATGGATGACCCGCTCCTCGCGGTACTGCAAGAAGGTGCGGTCGATCACCTCTGTCACGGCGTAGAGGTCATCACCAATGCGCACGTACGCTAAAGAGAGACTGATGGGCACGCCGTCAGGAAAGCTGGCTGAATCGCGTAGCACGTCCACCACGCCATCCGCAGCGGTGGTCAGCCTTCTCGCCCCTTTGAGGCTGTTGTCGAACTCGGTGGAGTACACCGCGTCATCTCCGGGCTTCGCGCCACCCAGCGCCGATGTTCGATATGCTCTACTGCTGTTACTTGCGTTTCCGGCAGCGACCATGTCGTCTTCAAAGCACATGGTTTCCTCTCTGCCGAAGCGGCGCGCATCGAAGTTACTGCTGCCGTTGCCAGCGTCCATAAAGACGGAAGTCGCTTGGTGTGCAACACCCTCTGCTGTTTTGCTGCGCGCGTGCGGTGGTGGTGCGGCGTCGTCGGCATACCTCATGAAGCTATCTGCCGACTCCGCAAGCAAGAGCAGCGGCGGCAGCGGCTGGCTCTCGACGTCCGTTGCAGTACTTATCGCCACAGCCGCCCGATCCTCGACGCGACTGCCTTCCGGACGGTTTTCGCTCATCTGTTCATCACCCCGGCCTGACTTTTCGCGCTGGCTGCGTTTCTCTGCCGTCGCACTGCCGGAGACCGCGGGTGGGGGTGGTAGGGCCGTCAAAGAGCTCGCAAAAGAGTCCGGGCCCCGCGTGCGACCTCGTGTGTGGATGCTGTCGATTGGGCTTGGCGGACTCGTGTTCATCGAGGACGCACCCTTGGGAAGCGACCGGTTTTCGTCGTAGTTTCCGCCAAACCGATTTGCTGAGCTACCGAGCCGATTCTCATTTTGCTGCCAATCTCGCAACCCATCTACCCAGCTGCCACGTCGAGGCCCTACACGGTTGCTGCTGCTGCTGTGGTTGCCGTTAAAGATGAGCGAGTTCTCTAACGAAGATGACAGCGCCGCTTTCCTTGTAAACGCGGCAGAAGCAGCTATCTCGCGTGCAACAAGCAAAGTTTGCGTGACCTGCTCCGCGGTCGAGGTGTAGATGAGCGTCACACAAATCGATGCGCGCTGCTGTTGTTGCGGCTGCTGCGGTTCTCCAGCCGAATGGTCAGCCATATGTCGAGGTGCGGTGGTGGTGCTGAGATTCTCATCGGAGACCAGACTGCCTAACGCCCACGATGGAAGCGGGAGGGCAGCGTGCTCGTAGACCGTACGCTGGGCTTCGAATCGCTGCAGCAGTGCCCTCGGCAGCGGCGGCGGAGCCGTGAAGAAGAGCGCCGCGACTGAAACAGGCGAGTAACCCGCCCGATTTGACGCAGCTTGCTTGCGCAGGAGGCGGCGTCTCCACACGGCGATGCGGCGCTGCTGCTTTCGCTGGCGACGGCGACGCCGTTTAGCACGGTTTGGCGATGTGGCCGCGCTGTTCTTGGCATCGCGTCGAGACTGCGTGCGCCTTGCGGCACGTGGACGCTGAGTGGATCGATCGTCGGTGCGCCCCTTGCCGTCCCTTCGTGTGTTTCTCGGCGATTGTCTCGCATCGCGCTCTTCACGTGTGAACGCCACTTCTGCCCTTGTCATCTTTTTCTCCTGACGTTGTTGCCGCTTCTTGCTTCGGCGGTGGCGGTACTTGTCGTTGTCAAGAGCCTCACTGGAAGAGCTCGAATAGGAGGAAGAGGACGCCTCATCGCGACTGTTATCATCATCATCGTCATCACTACCGCTGCCATCGTCGACGCTGCTGTTGCTTCGCGTGTCGACAACGGGCTCCTTCTGTGGAATAAACGGACCTAGCTGGCGGTTCAGCACGTCGAGAGACAGCTCCGCCACCTCCACCTGGCCTTCCAGCACACGTGCCACACCGCAACGCTGCGGCAGCGACGTGCCTTTCACCGTTGCCTGTGGCACCGCAGCGCTCTGCAGCGGGGCGAAGGAAGACGCGGAGCGGGTGCGGGCGAGACTTTTCGAAGCACGACGCGTTGGGGTGGCGGAACGCTGACGACGGCCGCCCCCGCCGCCGCCGTGAGGGACGCCTGCGCTCGTAGATGAATAAAGCTCCAAATCCGTCGGCGCGTCACGTAGCAAAAAAACCTGCTCTGGAAGGGTGATGCCGATCGCAGCGTAGTAGCCTCGCACGTCGTGATCGCCAATAGTGTCTGGTAAATCAAGAATGGGTAGAGTGAGTAGCGTTGAAGTTGCTGACGCTGGAATTGGGATCTCTTTTGGTGTAGCCGATCCAGCAGCAGCAACAGCAGAGGTGACAGCGGCTTTCTCTGCCTTCTTACCCTTCCCTTTCACCTTTGCGTTCTCTGATGGTAATGCATTCGGCTTTTTCACATCCTTCTTGTTCCAACCCTCGGCTTTATTGGCGACGCGACTGTTTGCAGAGCCGTTGAGTTCTTTTGCTTGCTTTGCGGCTCCGGCGTTCTCCTGCGATGGCGGAGGTGGCAACACGGCGTTGTCAGACTTGTCTGCTTCCGCAACTGGCGCTTTTGATGCGGTGGCGCTCTCTGCGGACGCGGGAGCTGCAGATATCTCCACCCTCAACGGGGAATGCAACGGTGTGCTCACCGCGTTGAGGTCCGTCAGCTGCTCCGCCACGCTGCCAACGGAGTGTAACGAGTGCGCAAAGGCGTCGTCGGTGCTGATGAGCGACAGCAGCTCCTCTGCCTCCGTCGTTGCAGGGTGTTTTCCCGTTTCCTCGTGGCAACTGCGGTTGTTCGGTGCGCTTTGCACGCCTGCCGTTACTGCATCGCCGCCGTTTTCCGGCAGCGACACGCCGACCCCGACGACTGTGCCACCCGCCTGCAACGGTGTGGACAGCGTCGAAGCGTTGGCGGAGAGCGCGGAGGAAGTGAGCGAGGCAGCGGTTTGAAAGACGTGCGCCACTGCCTTCTCCGTCGCATCTCCTCGCTGTTGGCCGGACACGCCTGCTCCGTCGTCGGGCGAGTGCAGGCTCACCTCCAAACTGTGCGGTGCAATCGTGTCAGATGCGTTGAGAACAGAACCGTCAAGCTTCTTGCTTTGCTGTGGATTTGCGTGAACTACCACCGCCGCCTCACCAGCACCGCTTGTCGACGCGGGCCGTGGCGGTGGCGTGGTGAAGGTCGCGCTATCACTAGCTAAACTGTGAAGGCTGTGCTGGCTAAGTGACGGCGCGTATCTATCTCTCCGCGAGACGCTATCGTTCTCCTCTCCGAAGGCAGCGGAGTCCGAGTAGGCCGCACCGCTGCCGCCTAACCCAACGGTGTGCCAGCCAGCTGCTCGCGTGTATCGCAGAGAACCTGAGCCCAGACCACTTGCGGAACGAGAGGGCAATACAGACACGACTGCTGGGGGTGCTTGCACGAAAGAGGACCGCGAAGCGTTTGCGTGAGCGTCACTGCTGCCGTGACGTTCCTCCGACGGTGATGGCCCGCCGTCTTGCCCGTCGGCTAGCGCATGTGTGCGCTCACTCAGGCGCCGCTGTAGCTCCAAGCGGCACTGCCGGTCCATCTGCTCGAGGTGGCGCCGTCGGGCGCGTTGCTCGTCTTCGTGGGTGAAGAAGCACAGGAAGTTTTGCGTGCCAGCCGCGAAAGTCTGTGTGGCATCCAGCGTAAGGCTGCGCAGCAACGTGGCGCGATCGGCGCCGATGATGTACGCCACACGAAGGTCCGTCTCACGAGGTCCCGGCAGGGCAGACGAAGCTGTGCCGGTGGCATCCATTGACATTGACGGCGACTGCTGGTGCTGCGGCTTGTTGTTATTGAGTGACGCATCTGCGGGTGGCAACGACGGGGCATGCAGCATGCCGCCGTCGCTGTACCCACTGCACGTGTCTTGCCTCAACAAAGTGGACCTCTCAGGTTGACCCTTGGAATCACAATGTGGCAGCGATACCGGCTCTGCCGCACGCCGCTGCCGGTCGTTTTCTATCGGCAAGCCCTGAATTTCAACGCTGTCCTCCTTGATGCCTTCGCGGAACGACGAATTCCTCTTGGTGGGCCCGTTTGCTGAATGGCTGTGCGAGTACTCAACACCGAGTTGCTGGGAGCCGGGGTCTGGCTTGAGTCGGCGGCTCGCGCGGAGAAACTCTGTCGCGGCGTCGTTGGCACTGGTGCTGCCGAGGGGCGTGATGGAGGCGAACGAGCCAGCACTCAGCGGAGGAACCTTGGCTGCGTCAGCCGACGGGGTCGGCGATGACGACCGTGAAAGCGTTTGCAGGTCTTGCGACGTCTTCACTGGCGAAGAAGGGTCCGTGACACTCCTCTTCGACGACCTGGACGTGTCCTGCGTAGTGCCAACATCGTATTCGAGCGCGGCCGTCGCATCCGTCTCGTCGGCGTTCGAATTTGCCTGAATGGGGACGTGGGTAGATTGATCTGACGAGAAGGGCGACGTCTTGCCCCTGCTGCCCTCTCTTCTCTCGGTTCGACCGTCCACGGCGCTGGTGCGAGAAGACTCCGGCGCAAACTCCCCCGAGTTGCTGACACTAGTTGCCGAATCCGACCGAGCCAAGTCGTAGACGCCGGAGCCCGACTCACGAGTGTTCAACGAACGGCTGCGCGGCTGTCCAAAGGAGGTCTTGGAGTGATTGTTGAAGGAAAAAGAGCTGAGCTGCCGTGACCCAGCCACCTCACCACCACCGTCCACACCGTGGAATGGCGAGGACGACGCGCCTGCTCCTGCTTTCATCGAGGCGTGTGGCACCGACAGCGCTGTCCAGGTCGGCAGCCCGCTGGCACCGCGCCGCACGATGAAGCGCTCCGCCCGGAAGTTGACGGTGAGCAGCAGCGCCTGGTACCGCGGCCGAAGCGTTTGCGCCTGTCGCACGCGTTCCACAAGGGCTTCGAGCGCATCCACGGCGCTGTCGGCGATCTCCTGCGCGGCCTCGCGACGCTTACGGGTGCTGCGCCGCGACTCTTGCGCGGTCGGCGGCGGCGGGGGCGGCGCGACGACGATCGCGGGCGATAACGACGGTGATGGCTGCGGAGGAGACCTGGCATCAGCCGAAACAATTCCACCCTTACTATTTTTCGCACTCACCTGCGCAGCTGCCAAGGAGGGCCGCCTTGAGGCTGCAGGCTGCGAGAACGACTGCGAGGGCTGCTTGCGCGGTGGGCTCGCAGCGGCGGGAGAGGATTCCAGGTGCCGAACTCCACCGAGGTCATCGCGGCCGTCTTCGAGCAACGGCACCCACGGGGACTGATTGCCGCGCCGTCGCATGGAGAAAACGCCGGTGCCTGTCAGCACACCGCGGCCGCGATTCACCGTACTGCTACGTCCGCCGTCAAGACGAGAAGTGGAGTTCGAGCTGCCAGGTGAGTTGCTGCCGTCTTCGTGTCCGCTGCCCTCGACCTCAAAAGAGTCCTCCATCACTGTTGCGTCCTCGTCGCCGTCGTCATCGTGGATGTACTGCAGATACTGCATCAGCACCGCCGCGATGCGCTGCGCTCGCTTCGCCGACTTGCGGTCGTATTTCCCGCGGTGCGCCATCGCCGTCTGCTCCGCCACCGCCACCTCGAGCAGGCGCTGATGATAGCGAATGTAGGCGTACCGGATGGCGTCGAAGTCGAGCGGGCCAGCGCGCTCCTCCATCGCGGACCCGCCTCCAGCGTTCACCGCGTACGAGGAACGCACAGGACGGGGGACGGAAGCGGCGGTCATCGTCTGTACCCGAATTTGCATCGGTGCGGTGGCCAGCTGCGCATCAATGGCCGCCCGCAGTTCCGGTGAGCCATTCGCCGCGGTGTCGTCCTCACGCCGGTGCTGGCGATAGTAGTGGTGGTGGAAGTCTCTGCCGTTCCGTTGCAGATCAAGGCGCGCGGCGTCTCGCAGGTTTGAGGATGGCGCGCAGACGCTGCCGGAGAGCGGCGCGGTCATCGACAGCAACGCGTCGGAGGTGAGACGGTACTGCTTAAGTTGCAAACTCACAGTCGGCTGCCGGCGCGACGAACCCAGAGGCGTGGAGGAACCTGCGCCAGGTCTGCTGCTGTTCCTGCTGCTCCTGCCTCCATCGATCCCTCGTTGATTCGCGGCGGGCGAGGGAGAGCGCCCAGTACGTTTCGACGTCGACGTGAGAGAAGCCGCGCCGTTCAGCTCCTTCTCCAGCCGCGCCGAAAGGGAGTGCGGCGCAGAGGACTGCAACTGCCACGGCAATTGCAGACCCAGGACAAGGTCTTGTCCCTCCAACTTCGGGGTCCACCACGAAGGGCTTGCAGCGTCGGCGGACTCCAGTGCGGCAGGTGGGAGAGGGACAGCGACGGCCACCGGTTTATTCACCTCGGCTTGACTCTGAACAACCTCCCTGCTCTCAGCAGCTTTGGTACCTTTCTTACGCAACTTCAGCACCTTGCTGTCTTCGGTGCTGGAGAGGGTGCTAAGCGGTGACCCAGTGAGCACGGAGTTAATGAGCGATGAAGGGGTGGAAGAAGACATGGGCGGCGTGACGGACGGTGCCACGCCAGGGTTCCCGTACTCAGCCACATCGCCAGACCTCTGCAGCACACGCGGCGCAGGGGGCACATCGCCGCGCTGGATCGCCTCCGAGGCGAGGAACTGCGGCACCGCCAGTTCGTGGAACAGGCGCGTTTGCAGCGGCACGAAGGAGATCGTGAACACATTTTTGCTGTGGAGCCGGTACGCGCGACGCATGCACAGCAGACCCACGGCTTGCACGATGTGCGCGACAATCCATAGGCCAAGTAGCACGAGGCAGACCAGGGTGATGGTGTTGATGAGGGTTTCAAAGGCCATTCGGGGGGAAAAAGAAGCCGTTGACGTGCGCTGTCGGGGTGTATGTTGGTTACTCTACGTATTTGTGCTGCTGAACACCTCTATGGGCGGCAAGACGCATCCCTTCCTTGTTCTTAGTTTCGTTAACAATCAAAGACAATAAAAGGCAGGCGTAAATCTCAACGCAATGTCGAGGCGGCTGCTTCGTCAGCCACAAGTTTATGCACCGTACGCGAAAAGTGAACGTAACTGCTGACGAGAAAGGGTTGAAAAATGAGAAAGAAGACCAATAAAAAAAAGATCACAAATGAAATAAAGCAGGAGAAAACCGGAAACGTACTCGTCTGGTTATGTCGGCTGTTACGTTGGTTTCTTCCTCCTCCTCCTCCTCCTCCTCTCTCTCTCAAAGTGAATCGGCAAGGAACAATGCCAACGCGAAGGCTTGCACACGGGCAACTACCTTTATATGGAGAACTGCGGGCAGTGGAGTTGTTTGAAGCGGGTGAACGTGTGAGTTGTGCGAGCCAGAAAGAAAGCGTGGAATATCGCCCAGGTGTGTGTGGACAAATCCAAGAAAATGCGTCGGATGAAAGGGGAGGGGGGAGGGAAGAAGGGTACGTAAGCACAGCTGGCGCCTTAGCTGCCTTGCAGGGATGCGCGGAGTTCAGAGAAGAATAGCGTGCCTTCTGAATACATTTTTTTGCACACGGCGATCGCGGAAGGGGTTTTTTAGGGGGCAATAAACTGACTTATGAAAGAAGAAAGAACCCTCCTGTTAAACATTTTACGGACTGGACAACCACCAATGAACCTTTTCCTTTGTTTTTAGGTGAGTGATTCCTTTTTAACGTGTATAACATATTAAAGCGTCTTTTTTATGAGTGCTGATACCGAAGATAAAAATGAAAAAATAGAAAACAGTGGTAAACGACGCCTGGTCATTTCAACTATGACCGCATGAGGGCTGAACAAAACTCACAACGCCTCCCCCGCTTCTTCACCGTTCAATCACTGAAAAATGAAAAGAGAAAGAAGGCACATGCGACCAAAAATAAAAAAACGAAGGGCGTCAACGAAGACGCAGCACGTGCAGTTCAACAGACGAGGAGAGAGTGGCGTGTCTTCTATTTGCTATGCATGAAATGCGAAGGGAGAGAAATACAAAGCATCTATAAATAATCAACAACGTTAAGCATCAAACACGAAGAGAGACAGAGGGGGGAGGAGAAAAAGAAAGGAACGCGTCAATACGCACAAAATAAAAAGTTAGCAAACGCAGCAGAAAACAATGCCGTCAATTATTGCATGGTCTGAGGCAGACACCCCCTCAAGAGCATGAAAAAACGGCAAAGAGAAAACCGCAGGGAAGCACATTAGCACGACAAAAAAAAGTTAGAAAGGTGCCCCCCGGTTTCAACGTTACAACGCCAAATTACATAAAGTTGCAACAGCTGAAGCTGGTTGCGTCGCGTTGACACGGCTGGGCGAGCACCATTGCAGGCATTGTGGTCGGGGTGCTCGTTGCACCCTCAAAGGCGGTCAAAGTCAGATCCAGCAGCTGGTTCAGCGTTGGTGGAGTGCTCTGCCGCTTCCTCGCCGCATCCGCCTTCACAAGAACCTCCGCGACCAGCACGTTCAAATCTTGATGCAGCGCCGCCAGCTCTTTTTCGATGGTGCTGGCGTTGCGCAGGTCCAACGTCACACCCAGATCACGGAACTGCAGTGCCTGCTCCACCTGCTCGCGTCGTTGCCGTTCCCGCCGCAGTGCCGCGATCGCCGCTTCGGGGCTTGCAGTGTAGCGAGAGACCTCCTCTGGCGTTACCGCCCCTCCCGCTGTAGCCCCCGCTGCACCACCACCACCGCTGAAGGTGTTGTTGAAGTCGGTCTCCCCTTCGTTGACGCCAGACATCGACGCGGCGGTGAAGACTTGATTCGTTGTCACACCGTTCATGGTGAAGAAGGAACCAGACTGGTCGCGCGCGTAGTCGATAACGTGCATCGCCTGTTGGCCACCGTCTTCTTCCTCGTCCCCTTCCTCATCGTCCACGCCGGAAAGCTCCGAGCACACGCCGTCATCGCCGTTCTCGTCGCCGCGGGGGCGTGCGGCGGCGTCGCCTTTACGTCCTCTGCGTCCCCCAGACAGGGAGAGGAACGAGTTGTTGTCGCCGTCAACCGCGGCCCCTTTCGCGCTCTTCATGGATGCACCGCCCGCGAAGAGACGCTTCTGCACATCGCGATGCTGGCTCACAGTACGGTTTCGGCCCTCCTTCGCCGCCGGCGCATCTCCGCCCACGACACCGCTGAGGTGCTGCAGCTCGATGGTCTGGCGTTGGCGAGAGATGAGCTGCTGCGTGGTGCCGAGCGGGGGCGGCGGAACATAGAGTGGCCGCTGGTAACGTGCCCGTCGCTCATGCTCCTCGTCGCTCTCCGCTCCAACTCTGTCTCCTCCGCCAGCAGCTGCTGCCGCCGTCACGGAGGTAGCCGAGGAAGGCGGAAATGCGTTTTCCTCCTCCATTTGCGATGTCAACGTGAACCAGTGCCGCAGCACCGCCTCCGAGAAGTTCATGGCGCTTCCTGTCACTTGCTTCTGCCCACCGAGCTCAATGGGAATGGTGTGGAGGTCGATGAAGCGCGCGAGGTCAGGGCGTTCGATCATGCGCACCGCATCTCGCACGTCGTCAGGGCTGTTTCCCACGCACGCCTTGATCGCCATGCGAATCTCGAACGACGCGCCAAGGACGAGGACGGTGCCGAGCATCATGGGGTAGTACTTAGGGAACATACTGAAGAAAGTCCCGGAGTTCCGCAGGAAGGACTCATGTGACCCCCACGGCGCACCTTCTTCGTTGATGAGCAACGTGAACTGCTGAAGATGACACGTTGCCTCTTTTTCGGCCTCTTGAACGCTTTGAGCAATGGTCTGTTTGCCACTGGCAGCAGCAGCAGCAGCAGCAGCAGCAACTACACGCTGCTGCCGCGCCTGTGTGTCGTCCTCGTTGTTCTTGAGCAAACATTGGGCCTGCATGAACTCCAACAGAATCACCAGCAGCCGCTGCGCCTCGTCCAGCTCCAGTGTCGGCAAAGTGAAGGCGGACATGTTCACGTACAAGATCGGACGGCCCTCCAGGTCATTACCGAGAAGGTGCAACGCGCCGCTGCGCAGGGCGGCCACCGTCGTCTGGGTGATGCTAATCGTGGGCAGCGTGCGTTCAAACACACGACGGCGTCGCAGCTTGGCGAGCGCCTCATCGACGCTGAGGTGCTTCGAGCGCAGATAACGCAGCAAATAAGCATTCACCGCCGTTGTCGAGAGGCCGTACTGCTCGTAGAGTTCGCGGGCTGCGTTGACGTCCTCAGGAGCGGCGGTCGCGGCGGCGGCGGCGGCATGCTTGGGTGCGCCGTTGGAGGCGGGCGTCGGTGAGGTAGCGCGGGATGCAGCGGACGGGTCGGCAGAAAGGCCAAGGGCCGCCTTAGCTTCCGCGAGGATCACCGCCTCCCGATGGATCTTATTTAGTCGTTGCTGCTCGGCGCTCATGTTCGTTCTTCTTTTCTTGTTTGCGTGTGTAAGTAATTCGCTTTTGCCCCCAGCAGTTAGATGTTCGCTCGCAGAAAGAAGGACGAATTGGCGTTAACGATGCTTAAAAAAAAAGGGGGGCGCTCGATTGGCGTCGAGAAAGCGCTTTAAGGAAATGTGGCGGTACCTTCTTCACACTGAGTGTGCAGGACACCTTAGAAAAAAAAGAAAGATAAGTAAACACAATTGGGATTTGCTAACGCAGCTGGACAGCAGATTTGAGAATTGGATGAGAAAAATGCGACAACACTGATGTGGTCGTGGTGGTGGTGGTGGTGGTTGGAGCGGGTTCACAGGTATGTAGAGGCGATTCGTTTGGCGTTAGTGATACACACAGGCGAGGTGCACAAAGAGTTAACGAGGCGGATGAAGAGGAAACATAACGACCTATTTTTCGAAAGCATGCACGCGAGCCATGAGGAAAAGAGAAATTGAACACAGTCATAGCCTTGCCTTGAAAAAATCGCACCCTTGGCAGGTGAGTTGCTTCACCTCGCGCTTCTAATCTCTCATCTACCACGCAGTGCGACACCAACGATGATACTTTTTTTTTCTTCCCTTGGATACGGTAGAGATTTGAGAGGCCTCAGCAAGCAGTGCGTTGCGCTCACTACAACTTCGTTATCTAATTATGGAATATACCTTCCAACTGCTAATGTGAAGAACGACAGCAACAATAATCGTAGTCATATTCGCAACCGATTGTCCTTTAAACGTCAAGAAAGGAAAATAGTGTGAGTTTCTGTTTCTTCTTTTTGTAAACACCATTCCCCGCCTTTCTCTTTCATTTCGCTACGCCACCAGCAAATTATACATGTGACGTGTCGTGAAGTAACTCACGCAACCCAGTCCCATCCAACTGCTGTACCCGCACCACTTCAGTCGTTTGTGTACTTTGAACTGCTGAAACGACGCCAACATCCACACCCACGAGGCCACCGTCTGCGTCAGGAAGATTTTGCGCTGCTGCTCCGCCAACTTCCCTGCCTCCACAGGGGCGGGAGTCATGGTGGACGACAGCGCCGTGGAAACAGAAGCGGCTGTCTCGTTACGGCCACGTTCCAGCACATTCTCATCACCTTTCATCGACGTGGCAGTGGCATTATTTTGTTGCTGCTCCGCGGCCGTCTCGTCACGGGTTGGTGTCTGCATATCTGGAAGAGTGCCCTGCAACGCATTCTGCAGATACGTGCGCTCCCCTGCGTCCACCAGAAACGTCGTCCCCACCGTCCACATGGTCAGCAACGTGAGCGCGTTACTCTGGCCGTGGATGTGCTGCAGCCCACTGAACGTGTACACCGCGCAGCTGAGGAAGCCGTCGAGGTACGTGTGGCGCTTGTTCGAGCGCAGGAAGGCGGCTTTGTCTTTCGCCTCTGCGTCATCTAGGCGCGCACCGCCGACGAGGAGGTCCAGCTGCTCCGCTTCCGTCAGGATCGGCTGCGCGATAGGAAGGGATTTAGACTTTACGGGCAAGCGGTCTTTTACAGGCGCGCTTTCAGAATCTGCCTCCGTACTCGCAGAAGCGGTCGATGCACCCTTTGCGGCATCCTTGGATACCCCAGTCGGTGCAGACACGAGTGAAAATGAGAACAAGCCCATGATGGTGAACGTGTGTGAGTATGTGTGTTTCGTATTCCTCTCGCCCGCAAAGGGTTTTCTTTTTTCTCCGGATTCGGCGCAGAAGGTACTACAGGCGACAAAGCAGTGTGTTGACGGTCGTCATAAGGGAATAGGAGAGGCAGGACCAAAGCTATGACAATGCAACTAGAATACAAGTGATTTTCATACGTTTCCGTCTCATGGACAGACCCTATCAGCAGAAATGTGCAACAGCAGGCGAGAACGGGGAAGGGGGGCATGAAACACGTTGCCAAACCTGCCTGAACATTGCTTAAGAAGAGCAGAGAGCCAAAACATCTTCTTCGCTTCTCGGAAAGAAGAAAAGAAAGAAAACGTTTGGCAAGCTCCAGATTTGATGTTAAACGGTTCCAAACAACATTCCACAGGGAGGTACGAGAAGCGAAGTCCTTTGCCTCTCAACACAGGGTATCCTGAATCCAGCAAAGGCCCTCCAAAGCACAACGTGTTTTTTTCTTTCTCTAAAGAAAAAAAAAAGGATCCTTGGCCTCTATGAAGAAGGGGTTACAATTCTATTACTCAAATAGGCGGCGCAGTCTGACTCGTCCTTCGGCCTACTGTTGTTAGCAGCGGTGACAGGAAGCAATCGCTTTGTTAGGATTGCTGCGTGCGCCTGAGAGAACGTATTTACTGCCAAAGACTCTATGCGCGTGAACAATATCCAGCGGCATTAATCCCTTCCATCGTGGTCAACCTCATCGTTGCTGCCCGTGCGGCTGCTGCGTGTACGAACGCCAACGCACGGTGTCAGCACGCACCCGCACCTCCTCCGCTGCTGCCTCAGCACGTAGCTGGTCCAGGCGTTGTCGCTCACGCAGCTGATGGGCGGAAGCCTGCTGCTGCGCTTCTTGATGCCGCACATGTGCGTTCCACCGACGCGTCCCTTCGTCAAAGCGATCGCGCTCTGTAGCGATGGCGGCGCGCAGCTGCTGCACTTCACGCCGCCGCTGCTGCTCAAGCGCCTGCTGCTCTAAGGAAGGCTGTTGATAGGGCTGGGGGTAGAAAGGCTCTCTGTTATTAGCAGGACCTTCTCTTCCATAGCTTCCGGATCGCATGGGAGGGTCGGTGAATGGGTGCGCAGGCGCAGACGGCGCAGACATGCTATCGACCGTGGCCGCTCGTCTGCACGCCGCCGCCTCGGCTTCGCCTTCCTGAATAAGTCGATCTAGATACCGTTTTAACTCATCGTCGTGTCCTGCGTCTACCCGGCTGCGTTGTGGCACCGAGTTTGGACTCTGCACGAGGGACGAGAAAACAGCAGAGCCTTGTGCATTGTCCACTGGAGCTGCCCGCTGCTGCAGCGCCGCCTCGCGCTCCAATAAGATGTGCCGCAGCACATCTTGTGTGGCGCTAGGGGTGTTGCCCATCGCCGCCGCGGAAGACAGCAACGTCGAGGGTGGCGGAGGAAGACACGGGAGAGCGGGGATTGTATTTGCTGCTGCTTGTGTTGTCGGCGGTGATGCTGTAGGTGAAGGGAGTGGGGGAGGAACAGCAGCGGCCGCTGGTGCCTCTGAAGGTTGGCACGGAGGCGGCGGCGATGATGCAGCGGGCTGCAACGATGTATATACGGATGCGACGGCGGGCGGCAGACGAGGAGCGCAACTTGCTGTTGCTGTAGCTGTTGGTGGTGGCGACGACTCCACCGCCGCGCTTGACGGGGCCTTTCTTTCTGCCGGCGTGGACGAGGAGGACGAAGACGTGGAGGAGGAGGACGAAGACGCACGTAACCGGCGAGCAGAGAACGGGTTTCCTCGCGCGTATTCCAGCGTCCCTTGAAAGGCGTTGTTCTGCGCCAGAAGAGCATCTCGATCACGCCGCAAAGCCGCACTGCGCTCCTCCTCCTCGGCCAACTGTTGGAGCATCGCGTTGTGATGAAATGCTCGGTGTTGCACCTCCTGTTCCAACTGCCAGACGTACTTGTCCGCCTGGTCGAGTAGCATCCGCTTCTCCTTGTCCGCTTTACCTTCCCTTGCGGCGCCGGCGGCGGTGGTGGTGGTGGTGGTGGTGGTGGTGGTGGTGGGTGACGGCACGGTCGCACCAGGCGGTGGCGGCGGTACAGAAGCTGCAGGTGGTGGTGGTGGTGGCAACGGCACGACAGCAGGGGGTGGTGGCGGAGGGGGCACCGACACGTCTGGAGGCGGGGGCGGTACGGGGACCGACACACCCGGCGGAGGCGGCGGAATGACCACACCCGGCGGGGGCGGCGGTGGTGGTGGCGGTGCCGGAGTCGCTGACGCAGCATCTCCCGCCGTTCCGGCGCCGTCTGCTGCTGCGGCTGGGGCCGCGCTGTCGGGCTGCACCGCGCCGTTACCGCAGTGCACGTGAATGTGCAGCGGTGGCTGCACGGCTTCCGCGGCGGGTGACGGGGGAGTCGGCGGTGCGTGATACCGCGCCATGATGCGGTCCAGTACTTCCTGATCGCGGTATGGCGAGAGAGAGGGCGGGGTGGTGCCGGAGGCGAGGAGGGCGATGGCGCTGGGGTAAATGGTTGTCGCTGTCGTTCCTGCTGTTTTACTGCTGTCGGGTTTTTCTACCGCTTCCGTTTTCTCCTTTCGCTCCCTTCGCGAGGAGCGATGGCGTCGGTGCTCTCCGCGCTCGCGGCACCCACAAGTGCAGCGGCTGTGTAAGCCGCAGTGACCACCACCACCACCACCATCACCTAAACAGCAGCAACGGCGATGGTTCGCCGACGATGGATTCTCGAACGCACCGCCGTTGGCAGCGTCTGCGTGCCACACCGCCACCTCCGGCAGCTGCGCCGTGCCTGTTCGCCGTGTCGTCCCCCGCGGAATACTGTACTGTCCTGCAGTGATGTCGACCTCTGCCATGTGCGCCACCCGCAACACCGCCGCAAGCACCTGCGGTGGCCACCCGCCAACGTTGCTGGATGTGTCGGGCTTAGATTCGTTATCGGGGTGGGGCGAGCTACGCTGTCCGTTTGAAAATGAGCTGTTCGAAGCCTTGCTGCTTTGGGCGGTGGCGGAGGCACCAGGTTTGGCGTCGCGCCGCGTGGGAGGGAGCCCTCGAGATGCCTCGCGGCAGCAGCAGTACCGGTCATCGCAACAGCACGGATTCTGTGGCTGTGACGGCGGTGTCGAGGTGAACGCCTGGAAGGGAGAGGGATGTTGCTGCGGCGACGGGTAGCGGTGTCTGGCCGCAGCTTCTGCGCGTAGTTGCATTCGGTGCTGCAGACTACGCAACGCATTCACATTAGAGTGGAAGGGCGCCGTTGGGCGCGTGCCGGAGTACTCCATCTTGTCTACTTGTTATTATTGTCGTTTTTCCTTGTCTCATCCAAATCTATTGTCTGGTACAGCTTCTACGACGTGGTGATCGCTGCAATACCGTGCAGGAGAGCACACAGCTAATTTGCAGCAGAAAAAAAAGATGGTGGTCTATAAATGTACTTCTTCCGCACCGTTGGGGCGTTGACGTCGATCGTATAGGAAACCCTTCAACGCTGCTAGTTGGTGGTGCAGCTTCTCACCTTTCTGAATCACAGATCGCAAAAAAAAAAAAATTGCAGAAGAGACTGCAGAGGAACGGGCAAGGATTCCTAAACACTCTCCTTTTACGCTTCTCTTGTAAGACGCTTGATTACACTCCAGAAATGGAAAGAGAGAAAGCAGAGGAGAACGTAGGAGCTTTAGGAAACATAGTTGACATTTAAAAAAAACTGTTTCTTCATTTCTGAACGTGGGGCAGAACACACACACAAAAAAACCTGAAGGGCACCGCAGATCCACACGACCCACATTGCGAAGAAACGAAATCCCCTCCGCACAGTAGCTGCCAGAAAAGCGACAGAAAACGCCAAAGGAAAGCATCAATGATCGCTTTTACGGCTGCACAAAAGAGAGAGAAAAGACTAGCTATGATTTTTGTCTGTTGGTGTTGCAGAGACTGCATCGTTGGATTCTCTCCTATGCGCTCTCGAGTCTGCCAATCCCAGAATCGATGCCAGCCGTGAACGCCGACGCTCCGTACAAACCGATAGTCTTTTTTGATGTTAATTGTAGTTTTCTTACCTTGGTGTTCGCCACCCTTCAGCTCGCTCCAACACAACAGCGTCAACAACAGTAAAAACGACAACTCCCTTAGATCATACTGAAATCTGCAATAACACCACAGGACACGTCTAAAAAGTGAAGGAAAGCGGCAGTCTTGACGCTACCCAGTCTCTCACAGAATGCCGAACAGCGCGGCAAGAGCATAGCGCGCAGATTCGAAATACTCGTACGGGATAGGAGTGTTCGTGTATGTGTGTGTTTGACGCTTGTTTATCCGTCACTGTTCTCCATGTTTCGAGTGGATGCACCTGCAATGCCTTTGCCACCTTTCCTATCTTCGATGATGTGTGAATGGGCTGCTCCAATGGGCACATCCCGACAAACACTCAAAGGTCAGCGTTCCTACTTCTTTTCTTTTTTGCTTTGCTGTCGCTGCCGTCTCCGCGGGTTTCGGCAGCGCCTACCCTCGCCATACGCAGCGCAACCCCCTTCACAGATGTCAAGAAGCTCTATTGTTTTACGTGGGGGAGGGAAGGGAGATTGCTTCTCACTGCTTCTTAGCCGCCGGACCTTTCTTCGACGAGGACGCCTGTTTCAGCACATCGTAGGTGTTGAGACTCTCCGGCATAATAATGTAACGAATGGTGCCACCACGCACCATGTACTCCTCCACCTCGACTGGGTTCTTCCCTTTGCTCGTGATCTTTGCGTGCGACATGTAGGTGTTCATGTTGGCATCTACGTACGCGATCTCGCCAGAGACGATGGAAGAGTTCTTCAGCTCGATCTCCACGAGCGTACCGCGCAGCTGTTGGAGAAAGGCGATCAGCGTGCCGCCAGTTTCCGAGGGAGAAACCGAAGCCATCGAGCACCGAGTGAGTGAGGAGCGCGGGTTTTTCTTTCTTGTTTTCAAGCGCCAAGGAGACTATTAGGAGATAGTCTTTCAAAAGGATCTCACAATTACCGCTGCGTATTGCCAACACAACTCACTTACTTGGTTCCTAAGTGGCAGTGGACAGAGAACGAAGAAAGGAGGAAGAAGAAGTGGCGAGAAGAGAAAAATAGAGGGGAAAAAAGTCGCTCTAAGAAGTCCTCCGCAGGCACTCAGTTTTTGTTTTCTTTCTTGAAGAACACTCCGCCGGTTGGAGCAAAGCTTTTTCCCGAAGCAGCCAAGGTTGGCAACGAACTAATGTGTTGGAGTTTGTGTTTTCGTCCTTAAAGGGGCTCCCTTCGGACACAACGGGTACGGGGAAAAAAAGGATTGTTTCTTCCCCCCCCCCCCTCCCCCTGCATGGAACTACGGTTCTTCACACGACGTTCACAGCAAACCAAATATATATATAAAGAGTTATAGACGTGTTAACGGCAGCAGACGTTACAACGCAACAAAGCGGTTAGTGGTAATGACGCAACCAGAAACAAAAAGGGCCACCAAACGCAAACAGGTCTGCTTCCTGTTTTCCTGCAGCTGTGTTACTTCACCTTCCCCACACATATCCAATTTTCGGTTGTATTGCGACGGACGGTCGCATCATGTGCGTAACGCGACAACTCGACCATTATGCATTGCTCCCGCTGCTCGAATTCAATCGCTGCACTATCCTCACACACACAGAAACACACACAGAAACGGCTACTGCAGCAACAGACGCAGCAAAACGAGAACGGTTCGGCAACTCCTTTTTCCCCTGCTTTTAACTCCGCGAAAAACTCTAGTCGACTACTCTCAAATCAGGAAGGAAGGAAGAAGAAAGGAGAAAGATCAATAAAGTGCAAAACAGTGTCGTTACATCCCTGTCTCGTTTTCATTTTCCTTTAAGGGTAGACGGCGTCATTTTCTTTTTATATTTATTTTTGAACCAATTAGAACTTTACGAAAGGGAGTTTCTTGCAGACTCAGATCGTCTGCACTTCCACCTCGTGGGGTTGGAAAAGGGGCGGGACGGTGGGAAAAAAGAAAACAGCCTTTCCTGGAGAGAGGTCGACTGGAGGGGAGAGAAAGAGAAAGGGAAAGTATACAACATGAAGCTTTCGATTCATCTCTAGGCGGTTTTTTCCTGGCGCAAGCTATCAGAAAAACACAAGTGCATATATCTTTTTTCGTCTTCTTCTTTTTGGGGGAGGTGTGTGTCAATTTTCACACGGACAAAAAACAGTGGCATCGAGGACACAGCATGGCTGCTCTACTCACCGACGTTGCATCAGCTGCGATGCGATGCAAGCGTTGATGAAATTGTTTTGTTCATGGCGTTTTTTGGTCGTGCTGTTCCGCTGCAATAAGGTGCAACGTGGGATTATGTTGGCTGCAGTGGCCTCATTTCGCCTGCCGAAACGCCTCCGCAGCGTCCTCGGCGCCGGTGAGCTCCTGCTGCTGCTGCTCCTGCTGTTGTGTCGACAACCACGAACGCACCAGATCCATACCGTAGGTTGCTTCATTCGGCCCGGACATCACCTGCGCCGCCTCAGATTCTAGCGTGAGTATCTCCTGGTCCGTCACTTGTTGTGCCTCCTGTTGTGGGGCTCCGCGGGGGATCGCAGTCGCAGCAGACGTGATTGTTTCCGCGAGGTTTTGCGCGGTAAGCGGCTGGGCCGACGTGGCGGGCACCATGACGGGGTGTGCGGTGCCGGGGCCGCGCAGGTTCGGCCGGCCGGTGTCCAAGGTGCGCACAGCGTTCGACAGTGTCGCGGGCTGCGGTTGCTGCAGCGGTGAAGTTCTCGGAAGCAACGCTCCGCCGGCAGAAGGGACGGACGCAGGGGATGTCGACAGGTGTGGTGGACTGGGACTGGACGACGCCGGTGGCGGCGTTTCGGTGACGGTAGACGCACCCGTCACACGCGGAGGAGGAGCACCCTTCACGGTGACCAAGTCTCCCACATAGATGGTTGCGGGGAACTCAAATTTCGCCTCACGGCTGTGACTGTTGCGCTCTCCCGGTCGAGGCGGCGGCGCCGTCGCTTCGTGAGGTTGGCTGTCCCAGCTTTCCACCGCGGCCGCCCGCAGCGCCTCGTCGCCGTCCGCGCCCGCGATGCTCTCCATCTCCGACGCCTCCTCCATCATTACGTGCTCGACGCCTGATTCGTCTCCACCTGCACCGTCTACGCCGTTTGCCAGCGGACCGTCGCGGAACGCGACAAACATAATTCCAAAGAGCGGCAGCACGCCCAAGGCACTGGACAGCAACAACGTGATGATGCCGTAGCGTAGCTTCCCTGTCACGTCAGCCACCCACCCACACACCAGCGGGCCGCTAAAGTTGCCCAGCAGGTTGTACACCGTCTGCGAGAAGGCCGCGCCGGTAGACCGCATGTGGGCGGGCAAGGAGTTCATGGTGAGTCCCGCGCCTGGTGGGATCAACGCACCACCGCAGAAGAGCACCACGGACATGACCAGCAGAAAGCCGCGCGTCGTCTTGGCAAAGATGCAGATGATAGAGAAGAGCACCGCGCAGCTGCCCCACGCAAAGAGAAAGAGCGTCACACGGCGCAGGTTGCGCTTGTAGCCGCCGATCCGATCAAGCAAAATGCCACCAGCAATCACGCCGCACACCGGCGCAGTCACCACGGCAGTGCCGAAGCCGATCATGATGGTGGACATTGACGCCTCAAAGGGCGGCTCCTGCAAATACTGAGTCACAAAGTTCTGCAACCCCGTCGCAACAAAGTAGAGACTAGTGAGGGAGACAACGCTGCAGACGTACACCAGGTTGCGCAAGAGGGGTGCCTGACCGCCGCGAAACCCCACCAGGAAGTAGCGAAGGTTCGACATGACTATTGCGGGGACGTCTCCAATAGGTGTCTCCAGGGCGCGCTTCGCCCGATCACGCAACGCGGCTCGCTCGGCCGCCGAGAAGAAGGCGACGGGGATGTTGACGTTCGATGGTGCGACCGACTGCCTCCTTCCCTCGCCACCATCGCCGTCGCTGTTGTTGCGCACGTCGCCCTCCACCGCGACGTCCGCAGCGGTGTCGTCCTTCGCGTTGTCAGCCGCCGCCTTTATTGTGTTGATCGTCCGCGAGTCCACCCGCGCCACGTACGTGATGGTTGGGATCATCAACAGAGTCTTGACGAAGAAGGCCCAGTTCCAGCCGATGCTTTCCGCCACCATATGGGGGCCGACAGCAAGGATGTAACCGAACATAATCCCAAGCGGGACGCCCGCGTTGTGTGCCGCCATCCAGAGCGATTGGCGGCTCTTCGGCGCGAACTCGTCCACCCAGACAGGGGTGTAGACGACGATAAAGGATAGTGCGAGCCCGATGAAAAATCGGTTGACGAGGGCGGTGTCGTAGTCAGGCATCGCCGCAAACAGAAACGTAAACACGGTGTGGACTACCAGCGCGCCGCACAGGATGCGCTTCTCGTTGTAGCGCGAGAACAAGAAGCCAGCGAGGGGGCAGCCGATGACGTTGCCGAGGAAGACGCTCGAGGTCAAAACACCTTGTTGCATCATGCTCAGTCCCCAGAAGTTGCCGATCCCGCTCTCGGCACCCAGAGCCGCGCTGAAGGCGCCGGAGTCGAACGACCCGATCGTCTTGAGCCAGATGAAGAGCCAGAGGTTTCTGCCCACTACTTTCGGATCGACACCGGGGGAGGTGTCGAGGAGGCGGTAGGTTGCGCCGCCACTGCCGTTCACGTGTGCTCCGGCGGCTCCGCTGTGGCCGGGGTCGTCCACTGCCTCGTCGACGTCATTGTCGCCCTGGTGGCTGGGAGCTTTCTTCGTCGCCAAGAACGCATTGCCCGGGCTCTCGTGGCTTTCTTGGAAGAACCGGTCCGCCCGTGCGATGCGCTTGTGGTTTTGCATGACTCACTTTACTCCTGCTGTAGCCGCCTCAAAGCGACGATGCAGGTGCACCAGCGCCGTGATATTTTCTCCCAGTATCGCGGCCGTCACAAAAAGAAAGACGGCTTCCAGCTGCGGAGAAAGAAGACTAATGAACAAAAACAAAGGAAGACTGGTGGCGGCTGCCAACGCTGCTGTGCGTTACCTTTCCAATTGATGTCTAACCTCCAATGAGGGGAGAGGGGAAGAAAGGGGAGGAGGAGAGGGGGGACACCAACAAGCCACCATACGTAAAGAATCGAAACGACAAGAACGCGATATAATTCTGTCGCACAATTCACAGCTACAGAAAAACACGTAAAGAAAACAAAAGAAAAACAGATAGCCAAACGGGAAGAGAATTAAAAAAGGCCTACTGCACCGTCTACCACACTGAGGAGCTGTCAGCTGTGTGTGTGGTGGGGGGGGGGGTGCGAGTACACAAGCGAACAACAACGGCCAAAAGCAAACTCGCCAACAAAAACAGAAAGGGCCACGTGGTCAACTCTTGCGAGAGGTGAACAGAGGGGGCGACAAACACCGACGTATGGGGAAAACACACAGGAAAAGATTCGCTTCTCACGTAGAGGAAGATTTTTAACAAACGGCCAGTACCATTAAGCGGAGGTCAGCGAAATAGAAGAGGGTAGCAACCAACCCTCGATGAGAAGAAAGGAAACGAAACGCAACAAAAGGATTCGGGGTAGCAGCAGACGTACACAAAGAAAACCAAGAGAGAGCGTAGCGGAAAACGCGGAGGAGACCGTCGAGGAAAGAGACGGACGTCAAGAGGTACGAAGCAGCATCACACACACACACACACACACAGGCCGGAGGTAAACAAAACCTCCACAATAACACCAACACCAATTAAAAGACCTGAGCTTCAGAAGTTGAGACGATGATCGTGTACTACACAATAAATGGCGAAAAGGAAACCTCGATTATGTAGTTTGGAAAAAAAAAGCTGAGACGCTACAATGTTCAACACTGTTCTTCGGCAAACCGGTTGCTGAAAACGGCACCACAATGATCATAATACTGGAGTCTAGAGGCAGAGCACAGTGCTGCCAAAGACGCGCAACGAACGAAGAGTGTTGCGACCACAAAAGAACAATAATAAATGGAGAAATGTATAGCCACCACAAATTAAAAAAAGAGGGGGAAAGAACCGATGCGCGATCAAAAGAAAGCTGCTTAGTTCAGTGTGTGAAGCGTCTTCGGTGTCCCCTCGTTTTGAAAAGATATTTTCAAATACAAATGCTACGACTGTAAAGTGAAATGCCCGGATCTCTAAAGAGAAGCCTCAGCGTCGCGGTTTACCAAGACAAAACCGACGTGCGAAACGACGAGAGAGAGAGAGAGAGAAGTAGCTCAGCGGAGTTCTGTTTTGATTTGTTTCGTTGCTGTGTTCGTCAAGGTCAAACAGGAACACGTGTGCAAGAGACGGAAACAGGGGGGGGGGCGGGTGAAAAGTGTTAGATTTGTCGAGTAGTTCCCCGTGTTGAAAAAAATATATAAGAAATCGAGGTCAACGGGCAAGAGCAAAACGGAGCAAGAAGAGGGAGGAAAGGAAGAGCAAAAATGAGGGCAGCAGACAGTTTCATTTCTTTCGGTTTCACGAAACGACTCTGAAATTGTTGGGACACGCTACACTCCTGCGACAACCGCGTCTCACACGCATGCGTGTAACCCCGTTGCGACAAGAAGCTCGCATGGGAAGCATTCAAGGGGATCCTAAGTTGCAGCACAGGTTACTGTTTCGTCGCCGCTGCTGCGGTTTAAAAAAAAAAACTCTATTATTATCTTCACGTTATTGTTATCACTGTTAAGGTGAAGCGAGCACCATTTGTATTTGTGAAGCAACGAACACTCTTCATCGTTCCCGCCTCCACCGCCACTATCCCTCTCACAAAAAGAAAGAGGCCCCAGCTCGTTCCTTATCGTAGTTGTCGTTGTTGCTTTCAGGAGACTGCTATCGGCCGGAAGAGAGCGAATACTTCTGAGTCACGGCGTCGGTGGAGGCTGTGAAACGGGCGACAATAACAGCAGCACCCCCGAACAGAAGAATAAAAGAAAAGGTTCATTAGCTGCTCCGCCAGTGCGGCAGCGCAGGTGTTGTGGCCTTCCTGTGCGGCGCGACGACTGTACGTGGTGTCTCTGAAGCTCGCGGTAGCGGGCGTGGTAACAGGGGAGACTTCCGGATCTTCGCTGCATGCGCAGCCGGGTTGAAGCGGCGCACCGTCGCCGGGGATGGGTCCACCGAGGCGTTGCCCAAATCCGCGGCTTCTCGCTCCGCGCCCATGCGGTACAGCAGCGGACCGCGAAAGACCGCCCCGCCCCGTTTCCGCTCATAGCGCCAATCAACGTCGCCCGTCTTGGGGTCTCGCACGTGCCACTCGGGTCCAAAGTAGTAGTCGTTGCTGCCGTCTGCGTCGATGTCGTGCACAACGCCAGGCGAAACTCCCCAGTGGTAGGGGGACATTATCTTGTTGGCCTGCTTGAGCACCTGTTTGTCCATGTCGCCTCCGGCCGCCATCTCGCCCGTGCCTTGCTTCGAGTACTTCTTCCCTTGAGCCATGGTTGTGGGGAAGTGCTTCGTGTACACCGGGTCGAAGGTGGAGACGGCGTCCAGGCGTGCTTGGTGAATGGTGCGGAAAGGATCCTCGTAGTGGTCCTGCTCAATTTTTCTCCACAGCTCCCCTTTACGGGAGGTGCCCGCCCGGGAGGCCGTGGTGGACAGCTGTGATGACGTAGAACCCGAAGAGAGACCGCCAGTTGTGCTACTGCCGTTGTGCTCCGCAGCCAGCGCAGATGACGAGGTGACGCCAGCCACGGCCACCGGCGAATCGTTCGGCAAGCGATCCGCGTCCATAAAGCCGAACACATTTGGGGCGGGCTTGACAGCTAGACGACCCTGTGCACCGGGCTGAGGCTGTGGCTGCAGCATCTCCTGTCCTTCCCGCATCTCCACCTCGTCACGGAACTTCTCAATCATGTCCAAATAGTGGCTCTTTCTCTCCAGCAGTGCCTCGCGTTCGCGCAGTTGATACTCCGCCTGCCGCCGGGCGTGTAGCTCCAGTTGACGCTGCCGGGCCAGCTGCAGTACCGCCTCGGATGTGGCCCCGCTTCGACGCAGTTCCGCGGCCTCGTGCAGCGCGGCAATCCGGTCGGCCTTCTCCTGCGCTTTGCGCTCCGCCTCCATCGCCTCGTGCGCCTCTACCAACTTCTCTCGCTCCTTCTCCATCTCCATCGAGGCCTTAAAGCGCAGCTGCGCTTGGTGCACCCGCTCCACATTGCTCCGCAGGAGGGCGGTGCGCCTGCTCTCGTCGTAGCGCGCGCTCTGATCCATGAGCTGCTCGTACACCTTCGCCGCCGTGTCCAGCTTCTGTTCGTAGGCGTTGTCTTTCGCGGCCTGCAGCTGCGCCCAGTGCTGCTGCCCAGCAACGCCAAAGCGGCTCTTCACGTTGTACTCCACGTCCGCCATGCGGAGGGGGAGGTTGTGGTAGCGGTTCGCCTCATCCTCCGTGACCTCAGGCAGCTCCGCCGCGCTAAGCTCCGCCTCGCGCGTGGCCTTCTCCTTGGGACCCAGAAAGCGGTCATCGCGTTTGCGCTCGTACACCCACTGCATGTACGCCCCTGGCTCTCCCCGCAGTGCGTCGGAGATCTCCTGCGCCGCTTTGGCCTGCCGCTGTGCGTCGTTGCTGCGGTAGTCCGCATCAACTTGCGTCCACACATCCCGCAGCCACCGCAGGCGCTCCTCCACGGCTGACTTCACCTCCAGCATGACCGCGGCCGTCCACTTGTCATTGCCGGCCTTCACCTTCCGTTTAAAAGCGTTCATCACTTCCGCCTTATGCGACTTGGCGGCCACGCGAAAGGCACGCTCGACTCGCTGGTCGAAGGCGTCAAAATACTCTTTCTGCCGCTTTTCCTTCACGTACGTGTCGAAGCGGTCGTCCTGCTGCCGCTGCCAGCCCTCCATCGCGCCGAACTGCTCTGCGAGGCGGAGGCGACCGACGTTGATGCCGCTCGCCAGCTCATGCGCCACGCGACTACGCTTCAGCATCTGAGATGGCACGGTTCTCTTTGCGGTGGTGGGGAATGATAAAACTGGGCAGTGTGCAGAAACTTCTCAGCACAAGTCACACAGCCTCAGAGGACAGCTGTGAAGAGAGAGGAGAGACAGGAAGAAAGAAAACGGTAGCTCCAACGTTAGTGGCAGCAGCCGCTTTTTCCCCTTTCTCTTATTCTCGTTTGATTGGCCGTGGCAATGCGACGCCACGTACGACTCTGTAGCAGCAAGTAATAGAAGATCAATCATCATAATGAATGTACGATACCGGAGAAGGGAAAGCAAAAACAAAAAGTTGAAATTATCAGAGGCAAAGGCAAGCCTATCAAATACCAGGCACGAGAGAAGCGGCATGTGATTTTCGTTCTGGCGTGCAGAGTACTTCGCATGAGACAATGGACTCCACGTTTCGCAAAGGGGAAGGCCACCTCGGGGACGCTCTACCCGTTGACGCGCAACAGACACGAGCTTCCTTCTCACTAATGGACAGCGAACGCAAGCCATCTGCCTTTCTCGCTTTCCCTCTTCGCGCAAACCTGATTTAATGATGTTGACTGGTGCAACAGTAACCAATATATAAATCACAAAGAAAAAGCGAAGGATATGAAACACAGCCACAAGACAAGCCGAGAGCACGTCCTAAATAGACGAGCTCGCTGCTTACGGCTGTGCATGTTCGTGTAGGAGAAGAAGAAAACAACAACCATAAGAGAGAGAGAGAAGTCACCTACATTGATACATCTACGCTAAGGAAAAACAAAGGAGAAACAAAAGAAGAAAAAAACGAATGACCGCCGCGACCGTGAAGTGAGATACATACATTTATAAGAAAATAAAAGCAAAAAAAGAATGTCCTTTCCCTCCGTTCTGTTCGGGTTGAGATGCAGTACTTACGGCGCCAAACGGCAGCACACGGCAGCACACGGAACAATGAAGCGCACTCAACGACGGCGATCCATGACAACAGCAAAAAAAAAAGGATGCGAAGAAGCACACACACACACACACACACACACAATAGAACAGAAAACAGTATTGCATCGCAAGAGAACAGCCTGCACAACGTCTCATCCTTGCCCACCGTCTTTTTCTTATCTATCTGTTGCGAGACTACATAGGGGCCGAAGAGTTCCAGCGCGCGGCGTACACAGCCTTCGATTTGATTTCCTGAGTGAGTTGCGTCGGTGGCACCCAGCTCGATGAACCCAATTCGGCGGCCACAGCATCAATGTTCTGCTTTTCTTCGTCGGACAAGGATTGGTAGGCAGCCGTGTATCGCACCGATGCAAAACCAGAAACAGCTGTGAGAAGGGCAATCTCTTCTAGCAAAGACGCCTGATACTTGCGAGAGAGGTAGTAGAAGGTGCAGCAGGTCTGGTAGTTCACCTCCTCCCGTGCCACGACAGCCTCGCAGAGCGACTGCAGCTCCGTCAGGCGCAGCTGATGCGCACCGAGCATCACCTCGAAGGCGAGCTCGCCAGACACCTGCAGCTCTTGCGTGTACAGGTAGCGAAGGATAGGCCGCACGGCAGGGAGAGGGAGTGGCACCGGCCCGATCAGCACCGTTCGTTTCGACGTGCTGGTGAGAAGCGTCGTGGGCGACTGCGCCGCCGTCGCGCTGAGTTTCGCCGCCAGCGGGCCCACCTGATTCGAGGCCTTGCTGTTGCCACAGCCGCCACTGGCGCGGTACAGCGGACGAAGGAGCTCCGCGAAGAGCCCGCTCGCGGCCATGAGCACGCTGGAATGCAGCACATGCGCTGCCTGGGCTTTTGTGTGCGGGTCAACCACCAACATCGTGGTGTTGGCGTTGGCGGGCGAGTTGAGGAGAGCCGCGAGGTCGGCGCGTAGCTGCTCACCGCAGCGTTGTCGCGCTACATGCATCGCCTCTCGGTTGCCAGACAACAGACTCGCACACAACTCCTGCAGCGGGTCCAACGTGTACGTCACGGCAGCAGCCTTGACAGTTTGCAGTGTCTGCACGAGCTGATTGCGGTACTCCGAGGAGAAGTTTCCCGCACCGCCACCTCCTGCCGCTGCGGTACTGTTGCTGCCACCACCACCGCCCTCCGCCTCGTCCTTCTCCTCCTCGAGCAGCACGCGATACTTTCCCCTCAGTCCGCCCCAGTAGATGTAATCCGTGAGACACTGAAGGGCCTCCGCGGTGAGGGGTTGCGTGAGGCCGGACACACGCGCGGTGCCGTTTGTGAAGTACACGGGGAGGCCTTCCGTCGCAGCGGCACCGCCATCACGGCTGCGACTATCCTTGCCCTCGCCTTTCGATGGTGTGACGTTAATATTTGGCGGAGCAGCAGAAGCACCACCACCACCGCCAAACTCGCGAAGCAGCGCGTCCACCTCGTCGCCAGAAGCGTCATTGCTCGGGTTGTTGGGGATGCTGGCGGCTTGCGCCGATCTCTTTGGCTTTTCAGGCGTGTTGTTCACCGAGCCTGCACCGGCGCCGCTCGCACCGCGGTAAAGATCGCTGCGACACTGCTCGAGTTCGCGCATGAAGAGCGGGGCGCGCTGCTGCACGATGGCGCGGTGCAACCCGACAACTGCAAGGTCAGCCCCGCTTGCGTGAGCCTCCACAGAGTTGTTGTGGTTGCTGATGCTATGATTATTCATCGGGTGGGAAATACTCCGTCCATCTTCGGACAGCACCCCTGCCCCCGGTGCAGGCAACTGCGCCATCACGCTCGCTATGTCTGTGACGCTACCGTATGTGCCGGCGTACGCGTACGTGTCGTACGGCGTGCCGCGCTGCTGCTCACGGAGCTGCTGCAGCATCAGCCGCAGTTGCTGCGCACCAGCCGCCGCGGCAGCGCTAGTAGCCCCACCACCACCACCCACCTGCGGCACAAGCTGGTCGTTCTCCGAGATGCAGCCGTCCGCGGCGAGAAAGCGAATCGTGGTGTTCGTCGCTGGCTCCGCTCCGCACACGCCCCCGAAGACATACACAAACCCCCCGCTCAGCGCCGCCGCAAAGCCTTTCTTGTTGGGCGACACGATGGAGACGTTGCCCATCGCCACTGGAATCCAACACGGCGTCTCCACCGCAATGCCCACGAGAGGCAGTACCACAGCGAAGTTCGTAAATTTGCCGGTAATACGCTCGTTGAGGTCACCGCCGCTGCTGCAGCCGCCAACGAGCAGCAGCGCCTCGCCACACGCAAACAGCGCGTGCTTCTCGCGCGGGACGGCGTCTGCGGTGCCGCCGCGGTGAATGCAGCGCCAGACGCCAGTGGTCAACTCCACGGCCCACGTGTCCGTCAGCACTCCAGCGGCGCCCGCGCCGCCGTTAATGAACATCGTGGTGCCACGCACACACGCCGCGTGGTGGGCACGGGCATCTGGCCGAGGCGGTAGCCCAGCCCGGCCCCCCTGCTCTTCGCCAGAGACGTTGGGGTCTGCGGTGCTTGCGACAACACCAGCCGCATCAGCCGAAACAGATGAAACGCGTCTCGCCTTGCCGCAGTGCAAGCGACGACGCCAGCGGAAGCTGTTGAGCGAGAAGACATGCACGTCACTCCCGCTGGCAAGTACGGCCGCAGCAGCAGTGGCGACGGAGGTGGCGCTACTCCCTGCCGCCTTTGATGGCGAGTTCGTCGTCGATCCGCGACGCCGCCCTCCAGCTCTGCCGGCCTCGTCAGTGGCCACCGTCTTGCCTCCGTACAGAAACAGGCGATCCTCGTGAAGGACGATGCTGTGGCCAAATCGCGGCCCTGGTTCACTACGGTTCTGTGGCGACCCGTCCCGCTCCCCACTCCACACACACCGCCAGTGGTGGGTGTAGGTGTCGTAGAGATGCATATCGTCCAGCACGCGACCGCCGTTTTGGGCCACGCCGCCGCTGATGACGAGGTATCGGCTGTCGTACGCACAGGCGGCGTGGCTGTGGCGGGCAGCGGGGGTGTCGGTCATGGCGTAGAGAGGTTCCCACGCGATGGTGGTCGGGTTGAAGGAGATGAGCGACCCCGTGTCCGCGTCGTTGCCACCGATACCGCCAAAGAGCAGCATCGTGTCCGGCGTGATGGGGGTCAGCGTGTGGCCCCATCGTGCAGCAGGGGTGAGTCCCACTGGGCGGAGATAGCGGGCGCACATGATAGGCATAAAGTTGATCTCACGTGCCGCGGCGCTGTTACCGCCATCCACCGCCTGCCCCCCAGCAGCAGCAGAGGTCGGAGACGGACCGCCTGCCAGCACGGTGCTCGTACCGTCTGTGTCTCCAGCCGGTAACATCTTCAAATGCACAGGACCACCACCACCACCAACGGCTACCGAAGCAGCACTTGGATTCGGTCGTTTCCC